ACCTAAAAAAAGTGCATATCGTATTTACTAGTTTACTTAGTTTGTTTAGATGAATACTCAAAGCCTTGAAGAACTAACAAAGAAGATTCGACATCATCTGCTATAGCGGACTTATTTTTGCTTGAGAAGTAATTTGAAAACAGTTGGAACTTGAAGCTGGAACTGCAGAAACGAGTTGTTAATTTTCTGGTGAAAGTTGGGTTGGTCTTGAGATAATTGCCAACTCAGTTGCTGCCCAATCAAATTGTAAAGAGTTTTTTCTTAGCTGCTTAGATTAAATATGCCGAAATTTTAGAAAACATTTTTCCATGAAGCTGTACAATCACACACTTAAAATCCTCATTGAAAGCAGGACAAGTCTCTATGAACAGAACTAAAACATGTAAACTACGCCCAAATTTCAGCTTTCAATGAATTCAAATATGGCAGATATTTATGAAATAAGAAAAATCGATTTGGTTCTTTTTCAAGAACGTGATGGTCGTGGATAAAGATTCTTCTTCAAAGAACCAGCAACGTTGCATTATTTACATGGCAAAAAAATTCACCACCTCAACAGATATCTTTGATGTGTTATAACTGTTTTATGCTTCATCGGATTTTTATAATTTTTATACAATTAGTTTTTAATTGTTCCAAGAATGAATATCGGTTAAAAAGGTTCGTGAAACAATATTTGATGGGGGCAATACCGTAATAAATTTCTTCGAAGTCAGCATGATATTAACGACTGCAGGCGTGAATTGAATTGTTCCCTTATTAGAGGATGGGCGTAGTAAAAGTTACGTCTCACGTACATCCAAGATTAGAATGAATGGGTAAACTTAAAAGTGCCGTTCAACGTCGGTCTGTGAAAACACAAACTTACTTCTGGCGTTCAATATCACGAAGCAGTAATTGCTGCGGAAGGTGGAAACATGCTTTATTAAAATTGTTGTTATCGTAAATTAATTGCATTACATTTTTTTTGCTGATCATGGATCAAGTTAACGTTTTACTATAAAAAAGTATAGAGAGGTCTCAAAAAGATTAAGAGATATATGAATTATATGATACAGTCCATAAAAAATTATAGGAAACAGTCTATCAACAAAATCATCTGCCCTAGCTTTGGCTCAGTTTTGAAGCTATAACAAAAAACCTTTCAATCAATTTCCTAACTGGTTAAGAATTCGGAAGCATGACAATTGAATAAAAAAAAGTTGTACCTAAAACCCCAAACTTATCCAAAGGGTGGAGGATTTCTTTTCGCAGGAGATAATATGAAATTGTGATAAGTAAATTATGAAAATATTTAAAAAATAACAGTCCAGTAACGTCATGGCTTCTCGTGTGAAAATTATTTCTCCCTCTCAGACGTATATTGTTTTTAACAGGCATGTAAAGCTACAATAGATAATATAATAGATATACGTGAACGCAGAAACTTGAACAGAAAAAATTAATAGAGCGTAAGAGAGATGTTTTGCACTCATTTCTTAATTCTACGAACCCTACTGCTGTGAAAACTCAATTAAAAAAAAAGTTGTTACATAAAAAAAAACGAATTGAATTATCAAATTTTATTTTTTTAAGGGCTTTGAAGTTGTTTGGTCGCCCAATTTTAACTCTCAAGAGTTCTTTCCACAGAGGCATTCGTAACAATTAAGAGTTTCCGAAGTTTAAAGGTAAGCGCACGCCAAAGCGGGGAAATGTTTCCAAATTTATGTCCCACTGGAAAGTCCGCGTTTCGAAATACTGTTGTTAAGTACACTCCAAAGAAACCAATAAATTGTTTATATAGGAAAATATTACTCGAACTGTTAAATTCGGTTAACGGGAAGGAACGGTTTACATTTTTTATCAGTTGTTCATTGCCGATCGTTGCGAATTATGTGAAAATGTTAAATTTGCAACAAAAATAGAATCAAAATTACACCTAACAATATGGCTGGTGGTTAAAAAGGCAATAAGCGAGAAAATACTCTTTCGTAAACCAGTATGGCCAGCTAATGTTTTATAAAGGAAACGATTCGTTTGAAAATGCAAAACTGCGACCGGAAAATGCCGCCCACCCTACAATTATTGTTGTTCTGTGAATATTTTGCCTTAATTCCCCTCAAAATCTCAAGCAATAAAATCTTTAAAAGCCTTTCGGAAGTTTCGTTTACTTTGGTGCAATTTATGAATTTTTCCCGATGGTTACGCCGCCCGTCTAATTTGAGATTAAAAATTAATTAATTTTTTTTCGACGACGTTTTAAGCAACAAATTTTTCAGCTCGGCAACAGACCTCCGCGAGAAATAATTTGTTTTGCGTAATTGGAATTCCTTAGATCAGACACATTTCTAGAGTCTTATTTTTGTTTCCTGAAAGTTTATCTCACGAATTTTACGAATTAGTGAGATCAATGTTTCGCGTCAGTCTTTGCTTTTGACAGAAACAAGACCCCCAAAGGAAATAAGAAAAACCAACTACAAAGTTAGAGAATAAATTTAAATATGAAACGGATACAAAAATGATTTCTACTAAAACAACTGAAAAACATCCCTATATACAAATTATGGAGTACCAAATTTTTTTTTAACCGTAACTTTTCTAAGTTCATCTATATGAATATAATTTTAATTTTAATTTACTGAATTTATGAAAAATTTTACTCTACAGGCTGTCCAGTTTTCGACACTTGTGCAAATATCATGCACAATTTTATCAAACTATAATACCACTAACAAAATATTTACAGTTGACAGATTTTGCCGTACGGCCCTAAATTGGTCATTAAAAATAATAAGACTGTATTACAAGACATAACTATGATGTTTGAATTATATTAACAACAGCTCAAGTGTAATTGTAACTGTAATTAGACACTTTTCTCACAGCCAAGAAAAAAGATTAAAAATCGTCAGCATTAAATTTCAATCAATACACCCGATACAAAATTATTTTTGTCTTACAGATATGAGTTTTTGCACAAGTACGTTTTAGACAGTAATTATTATTATTATTTTATTATTTTTGGATATATCTAGAATATTACCAAAGGCATAATATTATTCGTTAAATAATTACATTCCATGTTTTAAGTTAAAAGTAAAAATCTAATATCCTAATTACCTTTCAAGAACAATGTTTTCTCTTATCGTTGTAATAACTTTTAATTATAAAAAACGACTATTTAAATATTTTTAACACTAACAAGAACATTTTTTCTCAATGTCTGCGACACATATTTTAAGTTATGATTCTAAAATAAACTCAGTCTCATTTATTGCGCTACCTAAATACAGGGTGTTCAATTTGTTAGAAAAAAAAAATTTCACCCAAGATATTTTTATCAAAATTAGTACGCGCTTTTTGATAATCAAAAGGCATTTTCTTATAAGGAAAGTTTATGAATTTAATTTAAGCCAAGGTGTGGACTGAATGTTTTAGAAGGAAAAAATTGTTGGCCCTGTTTTCTGGAAAACAAATATCATTTTTCATATCATATCATATCACATGATTTAAATTGCAGAAAATTAGATCCGTCAAGTTTTCTCCTTTCGATACGGGATTTTTAATGAAAAAAATAAAAGTGTAAAGAAAGCAATTTACACAACTTCTATTTATATCTATCTATCCATATTAATATAATTTTAATTTTAGTTAATAACAACTCAAAATATAATGCACAATTTTATGAAACTATAATACGACTAAGAAAATGTTTTCAGTTGACAGATTTTGCCATAGAGTCCTAAATTGGCCAATAAAAAGTTGAATTAAATTTTTTAGAAGTTTCAAATTTTGAAGAACGAAATTATATTATAAGACTACGAAACAAGACAATTTTACTTGATGATATTTGAATTATATTAACAAGACCTCTAAGTGTATTTGTAACTATAATTAGACACTTTTTGTCACAGCTAAGAAAAAATTATTATAAATCTTCAGAATTAAATTTCAATCGATCAAGTAATCAATCAAGTACTTTTTAGGCAGTAATTTTTATTATTATTTTATTCTTTTTAGGTATTGTATTTGTATTATATTTTATTATATTATATTATTATTATTAAGTTAAAAGTAAAAATCTCATGTCCTAATTACCTTTCGAGCACAATGTTTTCTTTTGCCATTTTAATAACTTTTAATTATTAAGAACGACCATTTATTTATTTTTAACACTTACAAGAAAATTTGTTTTCAATGTCTGGAGCTCATATTTTTTAGTTATGATTCCACTTCTAAATTAAACTCAGTTTCATTTTGTACTACCTAATTCAATTTCATAGAAAAAAAATTCACTCAAGATATTTTTATCAAAATTTTCTGTCATTTTTCATATCATATCACATCATTTAAATTGCATAAAATTTGATCCCTCAAGTTTTCTCTTTTTGATAATGGATTTTTAAATAAACAAAATAAAAGTATAAAAAAAAACAGTTTCTTGTAAGTTCGTATATAATTTTACAAAAACTAGAATTTATACAACATTGATAAATTTAGATCGTGCCGCTGAAATTAAGGTAACAGGTGAAAACAGTTTTGGTTAGTACCGCGTACCGAAAAACTCAAGGCATCAAATTTGCTCAAAATTAAATGATTTTTTCAATCATAAAAAAATTCTTATGTCGGCAAGGAAGCATTTTCCGACATGTATTTATTTTATTATATTAGACGTAAAATTACCACTTAAAATGTGTTCTGCCAATTTACGGGCACTACATAGATATTATGACACTCGGTTATAAATGAGATACGAAAGTAGCTTTTTGGATAGTATAGATACTCGATAACAACAAAACACACTCCGAACACTCTTGCATCCAAACAGAAAACCAATTCTTTTAACAGGGTTGATTTTCTGAGCATGCATCATCCTATGTGTACACCTAGGTCTACCCAAAAATGTACCAGAATTATGCAGAAAGTAATGTAAATGATATCTGCTATTGCAGCTATATTAAGTTTAATATTGGAAAAAAATAAATGTTAGCAAAACTATTAATGAAATATTATACACTCACATGCGAACAAATTTTTCTTTCGGAATTATTCTCCTCTTCATTTTTACCGTTGTTGGATGTCTGGTAGAACAAAACATGTTTTTCACCTGTGGATGTCTTTTGCAAAATAGTTTTCGTTCTCCCCTCTAGTGTCATATGTGCAAATTTTATTACTACATAAACTGAATTGTTTATCTTCAACGTTAATATTAAACTGTTTATAAATTTGACTCTATTTCTACTCCTGATCCATTCGCGTCTGAAATTTTCTGAAAAATGTTATGCCGAAACGTGCGCAATCGTAAATAAACTGCGGAGAGAAGTCTACTTCCCCTTTGCTTGGGAGTTGCCGACTAAATACATGAACTCACGTGCTTTAGAGTTGCGGGAGTTCGGATAGTATACCCGGCATGCGCTATTTTAGATTGGCCAACCGGACAATTTTGGGTTTCTTTGCAGTTGCTCGAAATACATTTTCAAATGTTACCTTAAAATTTTGGTAATGCTTTGGGTGACCAAAACATATAAAGTTAGCTAGCTCTAATACAGATTACTTGTAATTTACTTCAAAGTGCTTTGATGATCCAGATATGAACATAAATTTTTTCGGTAGCAGTCTATCACGTTCTTAGATCAAGTTTTAGTAATCGAAAACTCTATGTTCGGAAGTTCGGAATTGATGAAATTTTTGCTTTTCTGAAACTTTAGATTTCAATCAGGAGAATGTCGGAGAATCCATTTAAATCACTTTAGCCTTATAAATACAATATCTTTAAACTTGTTATTTGAAATTCCTTATTCATGACAGAAGCAATATTTATACCGAATGTCACAACTTTAATTTGAAAATTTCGAACTACTCACAAAAAAATAACAAAATTGTGTAAAAGTTTTTTTATATTGTATTTATTTATAGTTGACGACTTCGTGGTCCTTGAAAGTCAGTTCCTTTTTCATATGGAATGGTATCTTTTAATTACCTTAAAAATAAATTTAAATATAAATTGAATTCTACTAACACAACTGAAAATCAACGCTATATACAAATTACGGAATACCAAATAGCTAATCGCTATTTTAGCCATAACTTTTCATCTAATTAATATAATTTTAATTTTAATAACTAACAAAATGTTTACAGCAAACAGAGTTTGCCGTACGGTCCTAAATCGGCCAATAAAAAGTTGAATAAAATTTTTTAGTATTTGCAAATTTTGAAGAATTACAAGACATGAAACTATGATGTTTGAATTATATTAACAACAGCTCAAGTGTAGTTGTAACTGTAATTAGACATTTTTCTCAGAGTGACGAAAAAATTATAAATCGTCAGCATTCGTTGATTTTTTCCTTTCTATTGTATTAGTTTTAAAACTAGAACACACTAGCCTGTGTTTCGAATCACCTTTCAAGGCCTTTAAATCTTTCTACTGAGTTATTTTGTTTTTATTTATTTTTTTACACACCTGTATATTTTCTATTATTAACAAGCATTTACAAACAGTAGTTCATTACACTGTTTATAAGCAAAAATGGCATAAAGCTTCTCCTGTCATTCCGTATACAAATTTTCGATAAAAAATTGACCAAAGTTTTGACAACACAGTGTAAGTTTTAAATGATCTTCTTATTAACACACTTTTGCTTTGAAACGGCTTGAGAAAAATGTTCTTTTTTCTTCTTCGAAATTGGTTTTTGATTTGGTTTTTGCTTAATATACAAAGCGGGCATTTAGAACCTGTAAACAAAAGGATGAGACACAGTTTTTGGTCGATAAGATGAGTAACTTGTTCTCTGGAACTAGCATAATGAATATGAAGTACATATTTCTAGATTAAATAACACGCCTCCTCCCAAACTTATTTTGAAAACTACAATTCTCAGAGTAAAATATCTGAACCTTTCCACCAACTTACTATTTACAAATCTTCTGGATTCCTCCTGGGTAGGTTGTTGTTGAGTCGAACTTGCTAACGTTTCGCCAATTTTGCTGTTGGCTTCTTCAGAGCTTACTGAAATTGTTTCAGGAGGGGGAATCCAGAAGATTTGTAAATAGTAACTACAGTTTCTTTGAAAAATCTAGAAACGGCAACACTGGGATAGAACACTTGCGCTTACTCTCACTTGAGCAATTTGAAATAAATCTGTTGCTTAGTTCTTGTCTAGGTACTTCTACTAGATCATATGCTGTAAGCTTTAATTAAAATTTAATGTTAACTTCAATTATAACAACAACAACAAAGTTGTTTGAAATATCAACTTTCAATGGTTCATGAATTATAGCTCTATATAATATTACGTCCATAACTTTTATTGAACTTAGGAGCAAAGGGCATCCTTGTTTAATTATAAGAAGTATGGTTAATAAGATTGCTTTCGAAAAATCGTCGCTGGGTGGGGCAAATTCGTAGCGCCTAGCACGAGGCAGCTTTTATTATAAAAGGAAAGACCTTCGCGGTTTCGTATGGTAAAGGGACGCATTGTTTTTCTATGGTGCTCCTGCGGACCACTATGGAACTTTCGCAAAATTGATGCAATTTAATTGCGCATGCACCCTGTATAAGATGTCCTTCACATCTCGTCGAACTTCAAAGTTACAGTAAACATCGGTAAATATTAAAATTTTCACAAATAATGGCATTGTCGAATGATATTTTTTCAAATATCTCGCACCCTGTATAATTGACAAAACCTGAAACTGAAAATATCCCATCTTTAACTGTTATTCATTTAACGCCATTAATTAACCCACAAAATCGGAAATTTTTAGGATCTTTTAGATTTTTTGCGAATAAACGACACACCCTGTATATGAATCAAACAATGTTCGAAGTAAAGGTTATAGCCCTGGATCTTCCACATTTTCTGGTTTAGGAAACCACGCAGTGCTCCATAATAATCTAGACGTCATCGCATCTTGGCAGCCCCCGAAATAATGATTTCAATATGGATTTTTTTCAAATATCCCGAGCAGCTTATGTGATAGACGAAAACCGCAAATACAAAAATTGTAGCTCTTGATGCGGCCTATGACACTGTTGGAACCAAATTACCATGTTTTTTTCCATTTTTGATTGGCGGCTGATAATTTACATTTACATATTTACAATTTTACAATTTAATTTGAAAAGCCTGTATATATTCGAAAAAATGCCTGAAATAAATGTTATTACACTGGATCTGCCGCATCTGCTCGTTAAAGAATTTTGCCGATCGGGTGAACGATTATGGAGGAAAACATTTTTCGAGAAGCTAAAATTACCAAAAAAAAAATTCAAAAATTTTCAAAAAATACTCGGCAAAATTTGATTGCACCCAATTTCTACCGTTTAAATGTGGACATGGACTTTTACTTCTTTGGTAAATTTGAAGTTGATATCTGCAAATTTAGGACATTTAACACATTTCTCATTTAGCCCGAAATATCGGGTACACCCTGTACAATCGGGCTATATCGCAATATCCAAGGAAAGTGAGATCCGAATCATAGTCTTTCAGTTATAACCAATTTTCAATAACAGGGAGACCCATTTTTCAGTTTTTTTGAATTTGCGACACACCCTGTATATTATTAAAAAATTGTCCCATTTCCCAAAATAGCGCATGTCTTTCTTGGAATGAAATGCTGATCCAGAACCACTTTATTATTTGGGTGTTTGTAGCTTGGTATACGTTCATTTGTGAGAGTAGAGCGATATTCAACATACAGAGAATCTGGATTTTCATACCTTCCAGCCCTCGCTCCAGCCTGTATAGTAGGGTCGGGGATAGAACCAGAATTTTTTTGGTTTTTGAAAAATCATGTTTTTGTAGACCCTTGCACACGTGATTTTTATGTTTTCAAAATAGGTCCCGACCCCCAGGCCCCCCCATTTTCAATTACCAAATATGAAGTGGATTGTTTCAAATTTCAGACACTTATCGTGTTTCATAGCAATGTCCAAAAAACCGGCGTCGGACTAGGGCTATTTCTTATAAGCTTGGAGGGTTAAAAGGGATTTTCGAAAGTAACAAAAAAAAAATAAAAAGTAAAGTCAGTAATACAGGAGAAGTAGCTTTAGCTTTTCTTGCAGCGGAAGCAAAAGACCACTAAAACCTAGTCAACCTAATGTCATAAAATGCACCACGCTCGACGTAACTATTAAAGTTTCGGTTTGTGTTATCAACTGTTTGCAGACTATAGAACATGCGAAATTGAAATCCATCTCCCGCCTCTGAGACGGCACTGGGCGGGTTCGGTGCGTTTTAGGCACATTGCATTGCCTGATTAGACTGATTTATTCGGAGATTTACTGAGAAAACGACGCCTTGCGACGCGAAATGGCTGTAAATGAGCTTCCCGAGTGCGATTTACATATGCTATTTCCTGATGTCGCCTCTTAACGCATTTAATTATTACGCCATCCGGCGCTTCTAGAACTTCGGTTTGTTGATATGGGAAAGCTTTCGAAATTAAACCCGAACTTGTATGGGACGAATGCAAAGCAATGGAGACATAATGAATTGGTCGGCGATTTCAGTTTTCTTGCGTTTGTGCGCCTAGGAAAGTGACGTTTATCGAATAAGTTTTCGAATAAGATCCAGCCAGCAGGCAAACAATTTGAAAGTTCTCGATATTAAAGGTTTCGATAGAATTAAACGACCACGCTTGAATGAGATCACATTTCAATCATAATTTAGATCTTGATTCACTGACGAACAAAATTCTTCAAAGACTTAGGCACAACTTTCAGCTGTAAGTTATCTTGGCAAAATTCAATCTTTTAGAGAATAAAACAAAAAAGAAAATCCAACCTTGACAAAGATTTTTGAACAATGTACAGTTCTTAAGTTGGACACATTGGTAATGGTCAAAATACACTTGGAACTGTCTCTGAGCCAATATCCCTATAGTAGGTTTACTGGCGACACTAGTTATCAAAAATCAGTCATCAATGGGTAATTTTTCGTTGATTCCAAAATGGTAAACTTTCTCCTTAGGCAGCAGAGTGCCTACACAAAATATTATTGTTTTTTATGCCTTTGAGACAGTAGAGCTAAAAATGAGCAGTGAGTTAAAAAAAAAACTTATGAACGGACCTTTGATTTCAAGAGAAAAAAATCTTACTTCCTCCACTACATATCAAGCTGGAGATGATGAAGCAATTTCTGAAGACCCACAACCAACTAGATCGTGTTCCAAAAATTGTATTTCATTGTAGTGAAAAACAAAGGGAAAGATTCAATCAGAACATTAAAACTGTGGAAGATCGCTGTCAAGAACTACGGCACTTGATGGCCGACTACTGTTGAAACCTTCAGCTGGCTGACCTAGTAACGTAATATTCCAAAAAGTCGTATAAAAGGAGGTAATAAATGAATGTATGTAAATCTAATTTTTATAATGAAAACTGTAGCCTTTTTCAAAAACTAAATCTGATTGGGTTGTATATTCAAAAATTGCCCGGATATAAAAATATGTCATATAATATTAACATTTAATTACACGTTCTTTTTTTTGGGAATAACAAAAGTAAGCAGAATACCAAGCGTGTCATACTTATAAACGTTTGGGTTTATGGCCGAGGTTATTCTGCGCCATGTAGGCTTACACTACTATTGAACTGATCAACTCGTTCACTTTTTAATTTTAAGTCGTTTTTATCAAAAACATTCTTTTCATTTATAACTTTCTTACCGTTTAAACTAACCAGGCTTCTGAACTACCCAATATGGTGTAATTTTTAAATTAAGTAGTATCCCAAAAATGAAGGAAGACAAGAAGAGTTTCGGTTAATTTGTATTATGCTTCTCTTAATCGTATGATATATATAGACTAATGTGAAAGGTTTTTTAAGAGAGTTGCAGGTTGGTTGTTGTTCTTCTTTAGATGCCAATCCGTTTACTGGATATTAGGAATCACTTGTTGAAATCTGTCTTTGTCCCTTGCAGTGTTTATGAGCTCTATTATAGTCTTCAGACCCTTCCATTGTCTGATGTTTCTCGCCCATGACAGCTACTTTCTACCCATTCCCCTCTTGCCTTCTATATTTCGTTCAGTATGAGCTGCTATGTGTTCCAAGTAGGAGGTTTTCCTTTTTTTAATGGTACCAAACAGTTCTCTCTCCTTCTGCATCCTATTGAGTACTTTTCATAAAACTTCTGGATTCCTCCTGCGTCGATTTTTGTTGAGTCGGACTTGCTAACGTTTCGCCAATCATCCTGTTCGCTTCTTCAGAGCTTGACTGAAACAAACTCAGCAGACTCAATACGAATCGAGAAGTTTTTTGAAAAATATTACAGTAGTCTGTGGAAGTTTCTTTAAAAAATTACTTCTTCATTTGTTACTGTATCGGTCCAGGGTATTTTTAAGAGCCGTCTGTATGTCCACATTTCAAAGGCTTCTATTCTATTTATGCTGCTGGTTCTCATGATCTACGCTTTTACGCCATAGAGCAAGACAGACCACACATGGCTTCTTGCGTAGCGCACACGTAGTTGCAGTTCAGTACGTTTCTAAACTTAATAAATGTTGCACGTGCTTTCTCTATTCTTGTTCTAATTTCCCTTTTAGGGTTCCAGTCTGCATACAACTAGCAGCCAAGATATTGATATTTTTCGACCCGTTCTATGAGTTGGTTTTCTATGCTGAGTGTTTGTATAATGATCATGAATTAAGTTTTCTTGGAATTGATGTTTAGGCCATATCGCTGGCCGGTTTCCTTCAGTCGGGTGCACATGTCCTGTAACTTTAAAAGATTAAAGTGCCATGAAATCCTATGAAATTTTACTTATTTTAATTGGGTAGTTTGGATAAATTTCATAAAAAATACAGATTTCACTAGGAAAATTGTTTGAAATGGTTGGCGTTAGCGAATTGTTGGCCACGGGTGGTGCAACATATCTTATCTACAGCAATATGTGCGACGTCGTGGCAACACCGACCGGAAAAACCGCGATGGCGTTATCGGGACGCTTTATCAAGCACAGCCTCTCTTCAAGGGACCGCACATATCTCAGGGAGTAATTTCCGTTGGGATGCTGGGCGCTAATCCTTTCCATAAACTTCGAATACCTCGTTTCTGTAACCGAATGTGAATTGAAGACAAAACGGAAACAGTTATTTCGGATGGCGATAATCCCAGCTCGCGTTTAACGAATCTTTGCTTAGATTATAGATGCTTAAGCGAGTCGGCGGGGGCAAATTTATTTCAATCGCCGATATTGACGAGCCGACGACGACAGTTTGGTACAAGGTTCGACGAAAGGTGTTTAACCTTACCGCCCAAACTGTGTGGAGTCAATCAAATGCATCTCACGTTAACGTATTACCTTTTTAGATTTAAACTTTAACTCTGACGATATAGCTACGGCGATATCGAGTGTCTGTCTGGTGAAATAGTTTTGTAACAAAATAAATTGCATATAGGATCGCGGCGTAATCTGTAACGGAACGTTGAACAGACAAAATTGGATATTCTTGACAAATCTCTCCTTTTAAGTCGATAAGGCGCTCCAACATATCAAATTGCAAGAAATACGGATTTAATAAAATTCTCATACTTTAAGCTACATTGGGAAATATTAATGCCATTGGTGAGGATTTTATGGCGAGTTTGTGCGTGGAAAATCGCAAAATTTAAAAAAAATCAATTTAGCGAAGCGTTGAAGACATTTTAATATTCCATTTACATATTTCCTAATTGCAACGCGGACAAGCAGTAACCGGATCACCGATATTTAATTAACTGATATATGGCATAATAGCACAATTTACTTCATTATTTTGTTAGGACATGTTCTTATCATCACACATTTTTCAGCAGAGGCTTAAGCGATACTACTGCTGTGAGTGTATACATTATTTAACATTTACATCCACATACCGATGCGAAAGCATCACTTTATTAATAAAATTCTTTTTTTTTCTGAGCTTTAACAACCTGTTCCCTCTAGGGTTCTGCAATTGGGTTGATCTCAGTTGGTGTTATTAAGTAATTAAAAAAGTGTTTTATTTATTAATTACTTAATTAGTACCCAGTACCATACAGTAATGATCTTTATTCATTCGATAGGGGCATAAAGAGTTCAACATCTGAACAAAATTATATTTAATTATCTTTAAAGGTTTCTAAAATATCAAAAATCCTTAAACCAATCGTTTTTAATGCGATATATCTTAGAAGCACAGTTGTAGAGCCTAGTTTATACTTTTCTATATTTTAAGGCAGAACAATAACCTGCAAAAAGTTTTACACTTTAGAACACTTTATCGACTTATGTTCTTTATATCGCCTATACTTTATTTATCATATTATAATAAAAAATCGGTTTTTTGGAAAGAAAACTAATGGGTTTGAAAAAATCACTTAATTTTTCAATTTATTTACTAAGTTGTCAGGTAAAAATGTGAAAATATCAGTGCCAATGTTATAGCAAATCTTAGACAGAAAGACGAGGGGTAAATATTGAAAATGTTAAAATAAAGCGCAAAGTATTAAGAATAAGTATATAACATACTTAAAAAAAGAAATTCAAAACACACTTTAAAAATATGGTGCTTCCATTTAGAAAAAATATGTTTTATTGATCACGATTTTGCAGCCATCCTGCATACTTTAAAATAATTTTAAATTGTGCACCGTAACAGTTATTACAACTTTCGGATTTACCATTATCTCATAACTTTTGAAACCAATCAGATATGAGCTTTACTGTGTCGTTGGCTTACCCTATATAGAAAGAGCTTTTTACCATGTTTGTCAAAGACGATCTTCTTTGCAGAAAACGAGGTTGTTACCTGTTGCCTCTTTTTGTTTATATATTTGATTGAAGCAAAATTCACTTTTACTAGACAGCGATACACAGTGATAGAATAATACACATCCTCAACTTAGGAACATGTTCCTGAGCTTGAAATAAGAAAAAAAAAGTTCGTATAAACATGGTTCCGCGTCCGTGTAAAAGATGTTTTTTTCATTTACCTTCCACAAACTTAAGTATAAAAATTATACACTAGAATGCTGATATAATATGTATACGATAAAATTTGCTAACAATTATATTGAAAATCAAGTTAAAAAAATTGAAATATAAATTTGCCAAATATTACAAATTTTATTCAGACTTCATTCCTAAAAATTATTGTCTTGTTGTGTAGTTATATATGGTGAATGACGAAATCGAAATAATATACTTATAATATTTTCCCTAAAAGTGGGGGTAATTTTTAAAATGGTTGGATAATTTGAAATTATGTTAAATATTTAGTAATAATAAATAATTCATGTTATTTATATTTGAAAAGTAATAACATTATAAGTTCTCTGTATTACCAATGAACATGAACAATGAACAAAATAAGGTCACATAGATAACATTCTAAATAAAATTGCTGTTTGCTGATAAACAGATTTGGTAATATTTGACCGGCAGTTTAAACAAGTTTAAATGCAAGACAAATGAGGTTTTAAACGGGCACGTAGAAATAAAACAGGTTTTGTTTGTTCTTTAAATATTTGTATATTGTTAGATCAATATTTAAATGTTAGTTTGGTAGGAAAGTCCATTACATTAACACAGAAAATTCAACATTGTTTTTTTTTTTAATTTTCTTACAACTAATAAAAATCAATTTATTAACAAAACAACAACAACATTAACATTTTTTTTTGAATTTTTAATATAACCTTGGGTATATATGACTAAAATAAAAACAAAAGCAGCAAAATTTAAATACAAAACAACTATTCGACTTATGGGAGATTCATAATCGCATAAAATAAACACAAGCGTAACTATTGTTTTTTGTTTATTAAAAATGTGCAAAAGTTAAAACTAGACACACTCGCGACAAAATAGTGAAGCCACTTAATATTTTGATAAGTTCTGATCGTGAACATATATTTCCTTATTTTAAATCCGATTTTCGTTATCTTTTAAAAATATTGATTTAATTACAGATCGTTAATAACCAAGCGTCTTTTCTTGACATTTTTGTTGTCGCTTCACTTCAATAACTTTATTTATGAAGAAATTATTTTCTAAATATTTTCAGAAATAACTAAAATCGGATATAAAATTCAAAAAAATTATCCCAACAAAATGGATCGGTTTATTTTGATATGGTATCTCCCAACTTATTTCAATAAGAATTTATTCTTTGGTGCCTTTTTTTCCGCATTTTGCACATAAAAGATCTGACAATTTGTAACCCAATGATTAACATAGTAGATATAAATAACATAGTCATAAATTTGTTATCTGAGATGGTGAGATTAGAGATTCGAGGCGCAAAATATTACGTCGCAATGCTTTCATTCTGGTTGCAAGTCAAACCAAGTACAATATGGGTGTGTAAGATCAATTTTACTGATGTCGATCAGTACCTGCAATAAAATATGACGCGCATAATTAATAATAATAATTAATGTGTGATTATTTTGCAAAGGTTGTATACCTGTCCCAAAATGTTACTGCTGGAATAAAACAGTTGTTTCTGGGTGCAAACGGTTACTTCAAGCTGTTTATTATTAACTTCCGCTTGATTTATGACATACTCGAAAATCTCCTCGTATACTGGATTGCAATTATCTTTTATCACCTGAAAAAGGGAATTTCGCAGAGAAGACAAAATTGTAGTAGAAATGTAGTACCTGGGTTCTCCTTTTGCTGTCTTTTGAGCGCTCGGGGAGAAGATACAACTTCACGTATGGATCAGGAATACTCGAGGGGTCTTTGAGGGGAATATTACTGTGGTCGAAATGAGCGACATTATATATAGATCATAAAATTGCATGCTTTAGACTTACGCAATCTTATGTACATTGACGATAAGCCTCTGTCGCTGAATGCTGTAGTTCAGAGTCAACTGAATTCTTCCCAATCCAGCTTCCCCAGCTGATCTAGAATCGAATCGAATAATAAAGACATTATAACGGGATTGCAGCACCTACGAAGTAACAACTGGAGTTCTATGGTGCAGCGAATCAGCGCTACTTTGAAGAACACTGGAGGTCATCGAACTGGGAATCACTTCTTCGATTGACTTGTCAGTGACAAATTCCTCTTTCGCAGGGTCCTGCGGAGATTCTTCTGAAGATTTTCGAATCAAACTTTGCCTAGAGCCTAAAATATTACTGAAATAAATTAATAAACCAATCATTTTAGTATCGCTTCAACCAGCCGAGGCTATCGACGTTCTAGAGTCGGCGCGTCGAAGTGATTCTGGTTCGTCTTCTAGCATGCCCTCTTCTCCTACACTTTTTTTCAAGATCTATAAAAAGAACACAACTAAATATTTTATATCTTAACGGAAAAGCGGATTCGCACCCTTAAATGCATAGACCACAAGATCTTACTATCCGGTCCGGACTTAATTAATCCAAACGGTTCCTTGCTAATTTCCAAGTTGGCTTTATTTGAAAGATTTTTAATTTTATAAACTAGCTGTCCAATTTCCGAATTCGTTTTCTGATCCATGATGCTCAAGTTCAAAGTGTCATTTTCGGGATTTGCCACTAGGAAAGTAAATCCTTGTTCCCAAACAGGATGGATTGTCCTCATTAAGACGTTGGTCTTCTTGGTTTGACTACCGACGCGAAGAACTACGTACGGATCTGGTTTCGTTGACATTCTAGCTTGCTGGTGTTGAAACGCAAAATTATTAATGATAACCTATACTGAAAGTCTGTTACTGAACTACTGCTTAGATGCAAGTAAAATAAAATTTTAAAACATTTTTTCTGAAAATTTTCTCTACGAAAACTAAGTCACATTTAGTCGAAGAAAGTAAAAAATTTAAATTTTGATATGCTGCTGTGTAAAATGTATTTTTGCCTTGGAGAAGATCAATAAATATAGTGTATATATTATAATATGTATATTATGGTATGAGCAAGTACTGTGCCTATTTAACTGCACGGTAAACCTTATATTAAGATAATAAATTATTTTATTATAATTAATAATTTTTCTCATTAAGGTCTGAGTGGTTATTCAATTACCAACAAATTTCATAAAATGAAACAGTAGAAAAAGCAATCTTACCGGCAAATTTTTTGCGGAATCGATAAAGACTGTAAGCAAAGCAGTATTTAACGAAGACACTTGCAAGCTTTGAGTTTCGTTTAAAATCTGTAAATTAAATTTAATATGATTACTATGGGGAACATCAGAAGAGAGGGAACTTACATCGTTTAAGTCTCCGTAATCGTGACTCAAAGTTAACCAACTAAAACGAAGATGGACCATTCCGTGTTTCGCTTGTTCCAGCGTTACCCACTGCAAATGAAACAAAACTTACGTCGTATCTACGAAAACAAAAGTAAACAAAGTACTTCGTTTAAATTTAATTTACTACTAAAAAGTATTGACACAGAGTTATACTAACCGTATCTTCATGCCCCTTTTTGACGATGTTTTCCACCTCGATGGTAGCCCTAAATGAAAATATGTTTAATTAAGTGAGCTCTAAATTTTACGGAATTTTCTATACACTATTTATAGTAATGCGGTACCACTTTTTTTTAATTTCACACCGAAAGCAATATGAAACAAAATATATTAGTGACCGCTCAAAGCATAAAGTTAGTAAAAGAGCAAACGCCCATTACCATGACAATTACAGAGCAATGATCAAAAAGCTAAACTGCACTTATCCCAGTCGAAAAACTGAAATCAAAACGGTAAAAAAATTGGGCAAAATAATCGTATATATATATATATATATATATATATATATATATATATATATATATATATATATATATATATATATATATATATATATATATATATATATATATATATATATATATATATATATATATATATATATATATATATATATATATATATATATATATATATATATATATATATAATATTTTACAATAAACGTACAACAATGATCGCACAAGTTACAGCTGCATTGGAGACTTCGTCATTTCAAATTATTATCTTGGTATAATCCTAAACAACTTCGAAACTTTCATTCCAAGATTTATTTCATCAAATTCGAAAACTAAAAGGAAAAGCAAGACAAAACAATGCTTTAAATAAATTAATTATACACAATTTTTAAAATTAAATTAATGGAATCTTGCTATCGAGAAAATTTTCGAATCTGTGGCGGTCTAATGCGGCTGCAAAGTGCGTTTGAACAGATCAATTTGGTAAACGGGTATATAGGTACCTTCCCAAATCATCATCCCGATGGCCTTTGTCTTTATCAAACAAATGAATCTTCAGTTGGGTACAATCAAAGGCACCGGTTACGCTCTCCAAGAAAAACTGCGTCAACACAAAAGGCATTTTACAAATCAGTTGCTAAGAAGCCACCCAGAATAAAACATATTTATGGACTAAAGCATGACATGAAATGTGTTCCGCAAACTTTATAATTTCGACAGCTAGAATCATTCTGCTTATCAATTCAATCGAGAAAAAATGCGATCAACGCACAAACCGCCATGCAGAAGCGGAAAAATGAGTTCAACTCTTATACCTGGTGGGTTCACAGTAACCTATTACAAATATCTTGCCAAACGGTGCACCGGATTTTGAATTATAACAACCCCATAACTCTTAGTAATCTTCGCCATTCTGAAACAATTCCGACTCTTGAAATTTGTTATGATACATTTCTATAAAATATTTTTTTTTCAAATTTATGTTAGAGATCGCATTAGTAAATCGAATCGAATAGCTTTTAATGGGCCATAATTTTGTTTTGGTTATTTGTAAAATGTATATATTTTTTGATATTGTAAAGTGTGAGTCAATTATTCACAAAAAAATGAAAATTAAGTTTTTCTGCGGTAAAAGCACTTTAATTTTCTTAAATACCATACCTAAATTAACAATTTTTGTATTTACGCCTTTTGTGTATGCGAGATAGTTGATGAAAGTTCTTTGCAAATAGTCACTTTTGGGCCGAACCATGAAATAATCATAATAATAAAAAATAATTTTACACAACATAAGCTTTCTACATCTAATTCCTTAGATCCTATCCTTGCACTTGAAAAGTCAGCATCAATATCCTTTTTTTCGATATGCTGTCACTAAATCCAAAGTATTTCAAAGTAGCGGAAATTAATTTTTGATTTCGAAACCAATAAAGAAATATGAGCAAAATTTACTCTATTTTGCTGTTATAGATATAGACAAGTTACTATTAACAGACATGCTCAAGCAGCAACCCTGTCGAGGCAGCGAGATATGCATTCTTATTAAATCCGTTGGATCGTTTTTGAGACATTTATTAGATTCACTGTGAGTCACCGGAAATATGCAGTTATCAATCTATACCGAAAACTTAGCAAATATCTTCAAAAATGCAAGCTTATGCACTCCATTTTATTCGTCTGACCTGCCCAAAAAATCGTCTTGAGCTTGACCGGGAATTTTTGGATCCCAATCCCAACACGAGCAGGTTATAAACTGAGCGTCCACTGAATTAACACTTGCCTATTAGCAAATAAAAGAAACAATTTATTTCGATTATTATCGCGTATACACAAAACTTCTACTCCCGTTTCTTGTAACATGTTGATAAATTCGTTAAACACAAATACACAGAAATATTGACGCTGAACAGATTTAGGCAACAAGATTACAAGCATTAAAAATTGCGGCGAGCGGATTATTTCGACGTGGAAAATCAATTAAATATTACATATAATGAAACAAATGCAAAATCATGCCAAGCCACAGTTTACTATGTCGAATTTCCATAACCCCATGCAAACACATAATAAATGAACTAAGTAAGATATATATTTCGTCAAACCTAAGTTAATAAAATTAGTAATATGGGTAGATATATAAAAATTTCACAAGATACGTAGTCCATTGGGGTATTACATAGTACCCAATTTTTCAATGGGATATGTAAACAAAATAAGTGAATTCCGAATGTTGCACACATTCAACCCCATTGAAAAAGTATAAATGCCAGAAGACAGATTAAATTAAAAATATGGGATGAAATATTAGTATACATAAATTGTAAATTATGATTTAGTAAATTTGCAACCAAGGAATCGTTATGATTTTCTGCCAAATGAATTTTAGCTTCATTCAGGTTTCAGTCTCGCGCAGTTTTATTTCATGTTAACAAAAATTTCGTAGTCAATACGCAACACCACGAAGAAATTTTAGGTTTAAAATAAAACTAAAATTGGAGTTTCTTAAGAAAAAGATATAGAATTATAGAAAATTTGTTAAAATTTATAAATATAATGAAATGGTAAGATGACGAAATATACATTACTTAGAAGATACTGCTCTCACCTGCCAAGACTTTCGTCGTCCCCTGTATCATCTTTGTCCCATAAATGGATATACAGTTGTTGACCATTGGAATCCAATATATTGAACTATTGATTTTAACAAGCAAAAAACGCAAAATCAGCAAATTAACACATAGTTTAGACCAGAGCTATGGAGGTGTCCTGCTGTTAAATTAGTGATTAATGTGTAGAGTTTATGTTAGACAGCGCCGTATAGTTCCAAAGTACAGCTTTATAACTTTGAAACACCTGCTTTTTACGTCGCAATAGACTTTAATTTGAGGTCAATAACGTATGAATTAAATTTAAATTAGATGTTTCGATTCGATCGCAAATAGTCAGATATTTCAAATTCTTCCACGTAAAGAAAACTAAAAAGTTGAAACTAAACCATGCAAACTTAAAAATCACTTGTCCACGCAGAGTATTTTAGTTACCTCGCACCAGTAGTCCCATTTGGGGTCGACGGTGTTATCAATGGGTTTCGTTTTAAACTCTTGAGCGCCGACCGTGATGACTGCGTAAGGATCGGACTTTCCTTTTCCCAGCATGCTTATATCTTTTTTCATAAGATGTTTGGCTTCCACCACGTGGACCCTTAAAACTCCCTAAGATTTTATATTAAAATACTCGTCCAATGGATGAAAAATTTAATTTACTTCCGGCTCCGGAGCTTTCAGTTCCACCGCCTCAACCTCTTCACTTAATTTTATGGGGAATTTATTTGGCAACACCATCATATTAGCAACGGTTTCTACCACAATCCTTCTTAAAATATCGCTAAAAGTTTTAATATTGGTACTGTATTAATCAAAGCGTCGCCGTTGGTTTGTTTCACCTCAAACCAGGCATGTCCAAGACATCGGCGATACCCACCAAATCAAAATCGATGTCAGGATTATTCAAAAAGAATACTTGCAGGCCTCCAACCAACGGCATCGAAGATATTAGAGGCTTCATCACTACCCTTAGCATTCCGTGCAACTGAGTACGAGCACCATGGTTGAGATACAAGAACGACAGCTACAATATTTACTTACTTGAAAATCTCTTATACCGCCTTTCATTCCAGACAAATAGAATGTGATATCGCAATCTCCGGCATAACTACGAGTCCATTGGTCGTTAATGTTAATTTTGATATTGGGAGATTTGAATTACTTACAATATATCCAAATCCATGATAATCTCGTTGCGATCTACGTTCCTGTCGTAGACCTTGACCCCTCCGATTCTAAATGGCTAAAATAAGTATCGTTTTTGTTAAAAAATAACATTTGGAAAGAAAGTGTAGAAAATATTCCGAAAAACTTACAACTGTCCCCAAAATAATCCGTTCAAACTTGAAGCCCGATAGTTTATATTTTTCCAAACTTTCTTTCAGCGCGGGTTGAATAGAATCTCTGACAATTTGTTTCGCATACTTGTTAACGTTAGGCCATACTTGTTTGATAATCTAAAATTAGCAGCTTGGTTTAGTGACTTCCGTTTACTGCCAATATTTGACTTGGCTTACTCGATTTAACCATTCCGCTCTCTCGATATCGGGAAAGAAAACCTAACAAAAAATATAAATGAAAAAATTTTCTCGGTTGAATATAGATAATACAAGAGAAACACCAAATCCATCGTATCACTTCTCAAAAATAAATTTAATTTTAAAAAACCTGTGACATGTTTCTTATAAAATGGCATCATCAAATTAAAAACGTATCACACACATGAAAATATAAGTTCAGACATTTTTCAGAAGATCTGATATAGTCAAAACAGGTTCCTGTATATCAAGGACAAATTTTCACCTTTGTTTTTATTTTATTTTGTTTAATTTTACCCTCCAATTAATTTTCGTAAAATTAATCAAACTATCTTTATATGAAAAAAGCATAAGCTTAAAAATGGTTTTAAAAAGTTTTGAGAATTTGACAATTGTGATAAAACCGATAATATTAAAAACATTCCCAAGCAAGAACAATGGTTTTAAATTCGATAAACTATTTCTAAAATGAAAGTGAAAGTGCAAAATCGCAGACGAATATGAACTGTGAATCAGTTTAATAACTGTGCAGAAAATTGTGCATGAGAAAAAACACAATATGATAACAAAGAAAACTAAAAAGTATAAATGAAGAACACCAAAGACTATACGTTGGATAGAAGATGTGAAAATTGAAGTTCGGAATAGGTTATATAACGATTTATATGGATCAAAAACTAATCCAATTTTGAAGAAACTTTGGATATTGGACTTGAATCATGGCCAAAGTTAATAAAAATGTTGGGTTATCGCTATAAAAAGGAAGATTTATATGTGAACAACCATATAGATAGTGAGTCAGCGTGTTCAATTTTTAATGCAAATTAAGTTAGTTCAATTTTGGAAACAGATAGTTTTCAGGTTTTATCTCGGTTTTTATGTTTTTTTTTTTGTATCGGCATTCGAAAAAAAAAAGTATTTTGCTGTACGCTGCTTGGTTGGAATTATTTCTTTTTTTACTTACAATTTCTAAGTCTAATATTCTTTTATGTAGCATCCGACAAGTGAAAAGATGGAAAACAAGATACTCATAATATAAAAAATATTTTTCTAGCTTTGAAATAACATCAATAATATAAGCTTAACATCCTGGACTGAGCTCATAAAATAATCATAGTCGATTTAACTTCACGCACGAGCATTAATAAACTATGGCGTTTTAAAAGCGATGAGTCAGGAACTCTGACAGTATGTACGATTTAGATTTTCATATTTAACATCATTAACCCGATCACCACCAAAGGAGGGTTATAATGTAGCCACATATTTTTGAACTTTATAAACATTTTTTTAAAAATATTTTGATTAAAAAAAAAATAAACGAATAAAAAAAAATATATATATATATATTAAAAAACTTGCAAACCAGGAATCACCAAGCAACTATCATATGTTACACAAGCACCACATCCATCTGAGCCAGTTAGTCATATGATGATTCAATAGTCAGTATCATAAATAGTCCACCGGTGAATTCCATGGTGTTAAATACTTTTGCAGGATTATAGTTATTAATAGACCATCCTTTACATCGCATTTATTTGTTTTCAATATGCCGAAAAATTATATACCATTTATATACGCATCTTCTGGATAATGGTAATATACTAATAGCACCATTTTTCAAAATGTGCAATAGTATCTTAACTTTGTTAGAGTAAACAAAGTTAATCTATTGCAAACATTTTCGAAATATTGCCAACTAAACAAAATGAGAAAGAAATATTTCTATCGCTAACTAAAATTACGGCTGATAATCATTCCTATTATTAAAATAATAAACATAAAAGAGCAACCATTTAAATTTAAATAAAATATCTACGCTATTATACCGCAACCTACTTACATAAGGTACTAATTATTATAAAAAACATTTTGCACTGAAGTCACACTTCTAAAACAATTAAAAGAAGAAATTTTCTTCAAAATGGAACGTTAAATGTAACAACGAAAACAAAAATATAGGCATTTATGTTCGTTTGAAATGTTTAATGACGATTACAAAATTTTGCGTTTTTGCACTTTTCTGCTTATCAATTTAATATCTAATAACATTTTTTGATTAATATGTCTTAAAACCTTTCAAAAATGGTATTTTAAAACATTCCAAATATTTCGAATACCCAAAATGCATACAATATCTGGAAAACGAGGTCTTGTTAATTTTGGAACATTATTTTCTTCAAATGGCAACTTTTCAATATTTTACTTAAATCATTACTAATGTACTATACATGTTGGATATCTACGTACCCATGCTGGCAAATCATTGAGTCTCGCTAAGACTACGTCCTTTTCGCTTGCCAATGCGGCAGCTTTAGCAATGGTTCGCTTCCGATCATTCGTTTTTTTCCATTGATCCCTGATAACGGCTAATACCAACGGACCTATGAACCACGCAACCGACCATTGCATATATCCCGCAAAATAAACTATCCCTACTATAGATGCCTGAAATAAGAATTAGAAGAAAAACTTTTTTTTTCTTTACAAGGTTTGAAAATACATTGTGTATAATTTTAATTAAACTTAATGGAATATTACTTTTCTAGTCCTTTAAAGTGGTTTTAATAAAAACTAATAAAAAAACTTTATCTTATCATTTCCTTTTATTTGTTGCTTCTGATGGCACCAGTGTATTATATTCAAAATAAAATTCCTCCTAATTAAAAATCAGTTTCAAATATTCCGATTATAATGATTATCCAGTTATTAAAAGATTCCATCAAATATAAAAGATAATTATTGCGATAACAGTAGATCGTGATTTATTGGTAATTGTTTTATCAAATTTGTTATTGTTAAATGTTCAAGCTTAGATTTTGTTTTTGGTTTGGTTTACGTGTGCTAAAAACCAGCACAGATAAACCAGATCGAGTATTTCAAAGTTATGTTTAATTGTAAACATATTTTCTTTATGCAGAGGTACTGGGAGAAACACATCCCACTCACACGAATGTCATAGCAGGATGCGAAGCCTTGACCCACTGTGGATTTCGCTAGGCCATGGGCTGGGAATCTAAAACTCGGTACTTATCTTTCTCATTATTCAATTGTTAGGTTTATAGCCTGCCTATTTTTTATCCGTCTTCTCTGTCTTCTAATTAATACTTGGTCATGAAATTCAAAAGGGTTTTTATCATAATTAAAAAATAGAGAAATACAAATTTTCATGGCATCGTTTTTATGATCTATTTGGGACGAAATTATAAAACACGATTTTGTATTAAAACCACTTCGGTCTTCGGTACAGATTCTGCTGGAAAAATTTTATTATTTATCTTGATTTACCTTTTTTAATGTACTCGTTATTAAACTCACGATACTCGCGTCACTTGATCTTTTATCTATAGCAGGATCCGGAGATTCTTTGCCGGCGCTCATCTTTAATCAAATAAAATTAACTAAAATAGCTGAATTTTCACAAAGTGTTCGTCAGAGTCGTGTACATTAAACTCACCGTATAACTTTTTATCAGGTGAACACAATAGACAAATTTGAACAAATTTTCAAACCTTTAAAGATGTAAAAAATCTTATAACTGAAGAATTCCTATTCGTTTATCAACAACAACAATTACAACGTGACATCACGATTTTATTTATAGTGTAGACTAACCGGGTCTAACCTGAACCGCGCGACGTGAATGTTTTGCAGGAATTCGATTTTTCGGTGGCAAGATTCCAATCGCCAGCGGGTGCGCGAGCCTGGTTGCCTACTTTTCCAGTGAATTGAAACGAAAGGCTATATCAAATAAGAAAAAGAAACTTAGTTCTGTAATTGCAATTTAAAATATCTATAAATTAAATTTTAACATGTCCCCGTTAATTCTTAACATTTTTTTTTATTAAATAATTTTTAATTCCGTTTTAACGCAAAGTAAATTTTAACTTGTTAATGTTTGCATAATAAACTCACTAATTCCTTGTAAAATAAAGTGTTCAATTGTAAAAACCTCTCATGTCGAATAAACCAATACTTCGCTAATAAGGTTACCTATAATAGTGATAGTAAAATATAATATAAGTGTCAATGTTAACAATGTTAATGTTCTTATTTATTTTATTTCACTGCCTATTGCACTCACTACACTGACTAAGCTGACGATTTCTGAATACATCCTTTTAGCAGGTCACAGCTAGCTACATTGTAAAACCAATTTATATAAGATAACAGTTTTTTCCTTTTCTTTTTTTTTGTATTTTCCATAAACTCCTAGAAAATAACATTCTTAACTTGTGCAGAAAGGGTAATGTCGGCAGCACAATGGCGTGCTTATTAGGAAACACTATTATAGGCAGTCAATTTGGTTGTTTTCAAGAAAGTGGAGCCTCATCCCTTTTATTCTTGATTCTTCACTTAGTTTAAAATAAATTGAAATTTGAATTTGAAATTTTTTTAAAATTATCCGAAAAATCTAAAGCGTATCCAAATTAATGCTGCCAAAGTAATTCGAGATATTCCCCAACAACCGTAATATACGTAATACCATAGTAACTAGACTTTGATTGACAAAACTCTTCTCTTTCTGACTAGCGTTGTCGCAACCTCAAAACGCCTTGTTCCGTTGTAAATTTATTTGGGGATGCTAATGTTTTGAAAAATGTCTTTACGCTATTCACACTTACCTTTGCTACCCGGATATTCACCTAACCCAAATGTAAGTATGCTTGCTAGTGACGCCATAATACACCACGTTAAAAATATTTTAGATCGGGAGAACTAATTTTCACCTTAATTCTGTTTTTGATGTTGCCGGTGATGGCAATGGAACCTTAATTGAAAAAGTACGTCCAAACATGTTTGGACCTTTATCGGACAAATATCCATCAGTCTATCCAAGGGGACAGTCGATCGAATTGCCGGGATGGATCCTTTTTGATAAACAGGTGTTATATGCAGGGTTATTTACTGGCTAATGTATACCTGCATATCTAAAGTACTTTCATTTTTTTAGTAGATATAAATTTTCAAAATTTTCCGTTATTGAGGTGCTGAGTGTATATGATTTAATTTAAGTCAACAGGAAAGGTCAGAATTCTAAATTAAAAAAAATTGCAAGTATATATACAATCATTAAGCCATTAAAAAAGAACACAGAGAGAGTGAGTGAGTGATATATTCTTGGCTTATAAAACTCAATGAGTCTAGTCTAAATACCTTCATTGCTTTCTTATGGTGCAATCAAATCAAACTGTGAAATTTGAGATTACGAATTCGACTGAAAGGGCACCAAATTCTGTTATGTTACGGTATGCACTACATGTATAGCCTCACTTTTAGATTCTGAGTTTTGATGCTTACTTCCAAGAGACTCTACAAGAGGTATACGGTTCGCCGTTCCAAGTAAGAAAAGTAAAAATTTATTATTATCTAGAAGATGGTACAATTCGGGTGGTCGAACCCGTAGTTATGAATAGTGGTATCCCGCAAGGCAAGCAAACGTAGAATTTAAATTATGGTCATCAATACAGCATAATGATTACAATTTTAAGGTGTGCTAATTTCCCGCCAAAGGATCCGCTTTCCCGCACCTATGGCTGAAAACTTTTACGACCTGATCGATTTTAATATCGGACGGGAAGTCGAGTTGTACGGCAAGGTTTTTAAAATTATCAACTGCGATAAATTTACGAGAACATTCTTAAATCGACGTGGTATTCATGTGCCAGACCCAATTGTTGCACCAGAGGATCCCTATTTAGAACTGAGATCGCATGATCGAGATTCGATACAACCAAAGAAGCCGAACAGAACTCAAGATAATTTAGGAAAATTTTTGGAGAACGATAAAAAGGTTAGCATTTGTTCGAAAGGAAAAATTATTTAATACGCATTACTACCTATAGCAAAGTTTACAGAATAATATTTGTATAAGTTGGCCGACACCCGCGACTGCCGACTTAATTTCGTGCCACCGCTGTTACTGCTATCGAGAGGCGGTACAATTTAGGTGTTTCGTGGAACGATTTGATAAACTTTAAATATTCCACCGCTTTAGTGCAGCGTTGATAATTGCCTTAGGTCTCAAAAAACTGTAGAAACTTAACTGTAAAGAAAGCAGTGTAACATTTTATCGACTGCTTTTAAGAAAATGTATTTTTCTACTCCCGCCTGTAAAATACTTAATTACCTACCGATCTAGCATGCGGGAAGCTTCACTTTACCACGTCAGTTTCGTTTCCCATGAATCCGAGCCACTTCGGACATTTCTCGGATTTTACCGCACGGATTTGGGAGCAATCGGATGTTTTCGGAGATATTTCCCACGCTTTGAATTTTGACGTTTGTCAATTCTGACGGTCATGTCAGTGAATGTATTCGTGTTGTTTTGCGAAAATGGACCCAAACACTAACGGTCGTAGAAAAAGTATAGTATGGAACACGTCCGGCAAACTTTTTAACTCACTCGTTTATTAAAAACTCGTCAAATGACATTTACCGCGCTTGTTGCATAACATACTATTTTCTACTTCTTTCTCTAAAGGCCCCCACAGACGCTCAGTTTTTTAATACAGGCCGCCTGTGCAAACCTAGTTTGTGCAGGCATATCAGTGCGTTTGTGTGAACGTCCGGTCGACTGCGCAGGCCGTTGGCCTGGCCTGAGCAAAATCAGACCGTGCTTGAATTTGGCATGCGCAAACTTGGAAACCTGAGCGTGTGTGGACTCATTCAGTTGATTTGTTCAGTTTTAAGATTTATTTAGAATCCAAAAATAGTAAGCAACAAACCAACCAACCAACAGGACATAATATTCTACGAAAAATGTTTATTCACACTTATAAAAATTTTCTAAACTTGTTCAGGGGAGTAAAGAAACTTCGTACTAAAACCACTTTTACTCCAACCACTTTGTGAAATGACGGCCGGTTTTTGAATATTTTATGAATGACTTGTTTTATGTTAACATTCACTGATGAGTAGCACATGCTGTGAAATGTTATGAAAATTGAGGATTCTAATTCCTTAGGTTCTTCGGTTTAAAGCGTACTGGGACGATTCGGAAACAGAGTACGGATATGTTCATCGGCTTGACGTTCGATATTATTGTGCAGACGACACGATAGAAGTTAAGGAACTGCAAAAAGAAGCTGGCGGCGAGCCTGATTTCATGTTTCTTCGTAGAGAAAAGTTGCCAAAATGGTACAGAGAATTGCCACCGGTTGGGAGCAATTCTCGCTGCACAGTGCTAAATGTTTTGGGCTCTGCGTTAGGTTCAAAAAGGTACATTCTCGATCCATTGGATTGCGGCCGAGAAAATACCGAATATTACACCGAAAAGGATTTGACCATAGGAGGTGGGTGTATATATATATAAACTTATACTCGTTTAACTGTGAGCTCTTCATCAGGGATGCTGAACTGTTATGGAAGAAAGATCATCCTCACTGATTGTGATTCGTTTACCAAAGAATATTACGCAGTCAAATATGGAATCACCGAATTCAATCCGATCGCGGAACCGAATCACGAGAGCAAAACCGTTCGGATACTGGAACCCAAAGATAGAGAACTGCCTCCGTGGAATGGGTTCGGCTCGTACGAAGATTCGGCCCAGAATTGTTTAACCGTGGAACCCAAACCACCACAAAGAGACTTCAAGAAATTTCTTCTTCACGACAGGTACCTGTTTGAAACAAAGTAGCGCAAAGCATTGTTCCCTTAAGAGGAACCACAAAAATTGGTCCCAAAAAAATTTTCTTTCACCGAAGCTACTGAATTCACTGGGTGGTAATTATTCTGTGAATGGAAATTATGAATATAGCGTAAAGATCTTTTGTCAATAATTTAAATTTACCACGAAACGTATTTGTTTGAAAAATGACCAGTGAAAAAGCAATAAATTATAAAATATCTTAATGGCAATTTGGATCGAAGTCTTTTACTGTAATCTTCGTTCGAACGTATTTTGAGGTCACATGTATTTTTTTTTCAGGGTAGGCCTTGACAGTCACATTCTAAGATTCCAAGCGAAAATGAAATCAAAAATTCCAGAGAATTGCAGCAGAAATTTTATCATTAGTTATTATCTAACCGACGACTCTCTGGGGGTATTCGAAATTGCGTTAAGAAACTCAGGTTAGATTTCAAAGTTGTATTACCAATAGCTTTTGCTCTTTTAAGAGAACTCGTTGTGATTTATTTTTTTTACTGTGTGCTTTAAATTGCAGGATTTGTAACGTCCACGTTTTTTAAAAAAGCACGGGTGCAGCTTGCGGGTCAGAAAACCTATACAAGCAAACCCCCTTTGTATTACACACCTCAGCATATGTATATCGGGGCAACCTTGATTATAAACGGGTTCGAGTTTATTCTCACAACTGCAGACGATTACGCTCTTAGATATATGGAACTAAACGCTGGCCAGGTAAATAAATGGAAACGAAGTATTATGGAGCAGTCACGAAAAACAATTAATTGAATGCAATTGTAATTGTATTTTACTATTCTTAATAAGATCAATCAATCGAAAGTTGATATGTTGACAGCGTGGGTCTGATTCAAATCTGAAAGATATAGGGTATACTGCATTGACGCTTAAGAATGCCACATAGGCGAATTTTTTTGTCACAAGTTGATGAATATTCGACAACAATCCTAGGTACACTTAGAATGATTCCAAGTAAAATGGTATATATAAAATATAAAAACCGCCCAAAAATAGAGCACTGTAACGAACGGGCTGCGCCGGACAATTCTGCAAAAAAAAAACCTCCTTCATAGAGGGTAGTCGACCGATATAAATAAAAAGCGTAATATAAATAAAAGGCTTAATAAAAGGCGAAATAAATTTTCAGTTTCAGTTAAATTTTACGCTCAGTTGTTTGTTGTTGTTGTTTGAAATAAAAGTTATACCGAAACACTTATGCCCTCCTAAACAATTTTATTCTTTTTTTTGCTTTGAAGTTATTAAGTTGAAAACATTTTTCTCGTGTATAACGTAATCATGATTATAGATTAAACCAAAAATCAAATCAATCAATATTTGTTGCCACGATATTAAGTCCAACTTTAATGTCTCGAAATATATTTTTTTAAAAGGTAACAAGTCAGTAATAGAACAATCATATTAAACAAACTCTAATTCAGCGAGTAAAGTCATTAATTCAAATGAAAAGTCTGTACAGAATGAAATGCTAATAAAAATGATATATGTATATGTATATATGTATATGTATATACCAAGAAAAAAAAATTCCAGTTTTCTTTCCGATTTGATTTTTGAATTTACTTGGCATTGCATATGCAATTTGGTACTACAAATAAAATTAACAAACAATATCGAAAATATAAATAGAAATGAATTTTAATTTAAAAACTAATAGCCATGTTATAAATATCTCATTATTCCTAAGTTCCTACCCGTCATTGTTTTAAATATTGGACAGCGTAACCGGAATTTGTGTTATAGTTCCCAAAATCAAATTTGAAGCTCATAATGGATAAAGTTCGAGACAAATTGCGACCAATATACAAGGACTTCGTTGCCGAAATAATTCCCACCGAATCATCAGTGATTCCTTATGAAAAACTGAGGTAAATTTTGTACTTTGCGAATTAAATCTCAAAAACTCTATAAACTACTTTCAGAAATAAGCTCTGTCAAATTATGGGCGAAGATTTCACAGAACACGAAATGATCACTATCGCCAGGGGGTTTTCTGCAAGTTGCTACAAGCAACGATATGATCGCGATAAAATACGGTAAATCTTTGGGACGGTTTTGAGCAACGCTCTTGTTGCCAACAGCCACTTACAAAAATGTAATATTTACAGTTTAAAGCGTTGAAAATTATATCTTTCAAGTTACTAGGACCTCCAATCTCGGCCCCATACTCAGAGAAAAAACGTTTTAAAAAAAATTTAAAAAAAAAAAACGCTAACGATTTGATCGACATTAAATATGTTTTTGCATCATTAGTGCTTTTTAATGAATCATTAAGACGCTATATGATCCCATAATGTATTCTTAAAACTGATTTACTTCTTCTTAAAACAAAATAATTGTCTGAATTTAAACTAAAGACGAAACCATTCAAATTATAATTGCCAGATAATAAAATAAGCATCACTAAATGTTATTTTAAATATTTAAAATTTAAATATGCTATGAGATTTAAAACGAAGAGACATTATTATAAATTATAAGCAAAGTCCTTTTTTTGCCTGTTGACGTTATCCTTGTAGAAAGTCTTATTTTTAAGTTTGAGGCACAATTAGTGAGACAGGTTTTCCTATAAAATTAAAATTAATAATATCAGTATATGAAAATAGAAATAACAGATTTTTTTCAATCATACCTAATTGAATAATTGAAAATGAAAGAAAATTATTTTGAATGTTTATGTGTGATCTTTCACCCATTCTTATCGCCAAAAAAATGAACTACTTATAAAACCACCAACAAAACGATTCCAAAACCTTCCTGACTAAGAAAACGGCGGTCACTACCTAACTACACAAGTTTAATTTGTTCTATTGGCTGATAAAAGTCACATGATAGCAGACCCTCTTTTCCATTTAAAATGTTAAAGAAATGTTTTAAAAGTAACAATCCAACGCCTTTAAAATATATTTAATTAATGTGTAAAATGTGTAAAAATGTGTTATATTTTTGTTAGTTAAATTGTAAAAAAGAATTGATTTATTACAATTTTAAAACGCAGTGTAGGTACACCGGCTTAAAGATAACTAGCCTAGAGCTTTCAATTCTTCTTAAACATTATTTTAAATATTTAATTTCATAATACCGTCCCAGTCCATATTATTACACCATATTTATCTAATTTTTAGCGCCATTGTGCTCACACAGCTTAAGAGATATCTTTGGGATGACCTGGATCGGTTACGTGAGTATTTTTTACTAAGGGATCATTCCAGATCCGGAAAGTTGAGCGAGAAAGAATGTTACACCATTCTTAAGGGAAGTCGGTTGCCTTTTGAGAACGAATTGATTAACAAAATTATTGATGTGTAAGTTGCTTGCTCCTTTATTTCTATTGCCAAAAATCCCAACAATCTGATTTAATATTTTAGGATTGAAAAGGACGATCATGGTAATATCGAATACGAAAATATTTTGCGATTTTTGGATCGTACCATTTGTCCCATGCCAGATTCTTTGCCAATCAATATAAAAGTAAGTTTTGTTCACTACCACACAACTGGTTTGAACTTAAATTAATCAAAGATTCATTTTTTTTTAAAATAGTCTTGGCAGAATATTCCAATCCACCTGATTTTATGGAATAATATATTAGGTATAGTCTGTCTCAATCTTCATCGTGCTTTTGTCCGCAATTATGGAAGTTACCGTCGGCAATAAAACTCGGATCCGGTAGGTATTAAAAGACAGAACATTAGGGAGACACTCTCAAATGTTTTGGTAATAATATTTTTTTGTTTATATCTAATCTTAGTAAATTACAGTAAAAAAAACAATGACATTAAATATATACAATAAATTCATAGCTAGGAATATGTATACATAATTACATTTTTATTTTAAATATTTAAATCTAATTCTGTATCACCATTAGAGTCGTCATTGAGATTGATTTTAATTTTTATAATGTGCTGTACTGAATTTTTCCAGCTCCCAATTTTCACAAAATTTACATTTTTTATCAAATTTATAACACTGGGACTTAAAGTATGAGTAACATTTTCTCCTCTGACCTTTGTTCTTAATTTAATTCGGCAAATGCTCTAAGGGGTTAAACATGCAATGATATTCGAGGAAGACGTAAACAAGTGCCCAGGCTGCTCAGCAAAATTATAGCATATATACTGTTTTTTTCAAAATAAATATCATTTTCTAGGAAATATTCCTGGATTTCAGTTTTTGAACTTGATGAGGCCGGTGCTTTCCCCAGCTGACAGCAGCTGACTTGCGTTGTCCATGACACTGTGATTGGGAATATTTTTTAAAAGATTGTTTTCAAAAATTTCGGCCCCTGTATCCTCATGATAATCCAAGCTGGAGTCCTTAATATTATTTGCAGACAACAGGGTCTACTATGGTGATGCGCTTTCCTTTATTTGAAGGTGCTTTCGTGTGAACGGAATCAACCGATCCTTTGGATACGGTGTTTTAATTTCTTTAAGGTAATTAAATCTCAGAGTGTCTATTTTGCGGTATTAATATCCCATTTTACAAAAAACTCGCAGGAGCGTGGCACGGCTTATATTTATATTGGTTTCATCTTCTAGCTCCTTTTTCAGTTTATCCATGGTAGGAACATCTTCGCTTTGTTAAAGACAATATAGTTTCTTGAATTTTCCATTATTAATAATATTCCTTATCGACTATATTGGCGTTTTTTTAGATTTTAGTTTATTTTTAAAATTTGGTAGATTAGAAAAATCAAGTGTAGCGGAACATATGTTCAACAATAATCATAAGGTAGATATAAGTAATTTAAAATTAGTTAAACAGGTAAATAATAGTAGAAAATTAGATGCCTACGAAAGTTTAGAAATTGTTAAGAGAGGGAATAAGGCACTGAACAAGGATAGAGGTCCAATCCCATTTAGCCCATTATACGCGCTGATTAGTTGCGTGAACAGTGCGTAATCCCCTCTCCCACTTCCCGATGTGTATATATATATAGAGAGCATTTGTTATTAAGTTTAGTTTTAATCTTCTCCTGAAGATGCCAACTTGGTTGGCGAAACGCGCGTCGAGTAGGTAAAATTGAGTTTCGGATTGTGGTAAAACGCGTTATTGTGTATTAACATAACACTAAGGAAATATATCATTCAGAAAGAAACAAATATACCCCTGCCCACCTCTGCCGTGTCACTCAAGCAAGAATAAATAAATAAACCAATAAATAGGTAACAACATCGTTAAAATTTTATTGTCGTCGAAATCCAACATGTTAAAGATTGAGACAGAGTATACATTACCTTACCAAGTGCATACAAATGAACAAGCGATAGTTTTAACTTGTATGTTTTAGCTGGATCTTGGATGGGGTTCCGAGCCCAGAGTGGAAGCTGGTAAGCTAATAGATTGGTGTGCTTTTAACAAATGTTTGGATTTGGAATCCACATTTAGAAACACTGTAGGAGAGGATTCGGTCAAAGCCATAGAAGACAAAACTAATTTGGCGGGTTGAATGTAAAATCTATAATTGTTGAAATAAATAAATTCATTTTATTATGATTTCGATTTGGACGGGGACAATTTTCCATCACTTTTAGTCGCCTTTTCGTGATCGGACTTCACGCTTCCGCGCATTTCCGACTTTGATTTCCGTTTAAGTCCGGCCAAAATCAGCCGTAAGTTAGCGATGGCTTTCCCGGGATTCAATCTCTGCAAGTTTAATCAATCATGAAATTGCATTGCCGTTACTTTTCTAATTACTTTGGGACAACAATTTGTGCAATTATTGATTTGGTGGCATCGGTACACAGAATAATAGTTCTTCAGCTGATTGAGCCTTTCCGCTGTTCCTTCATCTCTGGAGTCGAGGATCCAACGATACACATTTAAAAGTGTCGCGGGTCCCAAGAAATCGTTGGGCTGCTTTGAGTGGCCATGCCACCAGTATTCAGGACAAGACGTCGAACAACAAGCACACAAGATGCATTCTACATGGCCGTCCTATAAATGCCGATCGTTTGACCAGAGCAGTTCTGCGAAAACCACTTACTAGTTTGGTTCGATCTTTGATGCTTTGTAAAAACGTCTCGTCTCCTTCTTTATAGCCCTCAGTTTTTTTTATTAAATATGGTTTAATTCTGTTATACTGATCCAAAAATTTATTAAAATCGACGACCAAGTCCTTAACGACATACATGTGAGGCAAGGGGTAAATTTTTATACTGCCTTTAGATCGCATTCTCCTAAAATATTTTTTTAGTTTTTTTGGTTTCACTTAAGGAATCCGACCAGGAAAAATTTATCGATTACGGCTTACTCTAAACACGCCAACTTATTAACACCATTTATGTTCATTCCACAGGATCCGCATATACCTTCCCTGCAGGACCTTCGGAATGTTAAAGTACTATCCTGCTCCTTTTTTATGTACTCCAGGGCATCTAAAACCATAGGGCCACACCTGCAAAATATTTTTGCGAAACCTATTATTTTGATGATTACAATATTAAACTGGCCAAATATCCAAATTGTTTTGCATATTAAATCGTTTTCTCAAATCGATTAAAATTGAAAAGTTTTAATAAATAAACAACCGGCAGCACAAACTGTTATGTCACACAACCCTGTAAATTGTAGACTGAAAACTTACTCATTTAAATCTATCGTGTATTCTTGCATGCGAGGCTTTTTAAACTGTCTACTCTCGGGATCGAATCTGTATATTTTGAATCTTTTAAAATTCGACTTGATTATTGTCGGTTCCGGCGGCTTGTCTTTTTTTTCGATTTTCTCCACATTTTGTGCGTGAAGCTGTGCCGATTTTGAGAAATTTTGAACTGCGATGTAACATTTTAACACAGTCTAAGGAAACCACGCGATGAGAGATATGTCCTGTCCCTACGTACCTTATTCCCGACTTACGATCTTTATCTTTATATGATGCGACGGCCAAGTTATTCTCGAAAGACAATTCATGTTTCATTTCAAACTTTAAAATTTCTGACGTTTCTTTTTGTCACGTTCAGATGTGAACAGTGGTAGCAAAGTTTACAGAATACTTTAGTCCAAAGTGGGTTCTAGTATGGTACTTCTTATGATCCTCTGTACTTAAGTTTCAATTGCTAAAAATACCAATATTTCGAAATTTAAGGGACCTGAGACCGATTAGATACCCGTATTATCCAAATTTATTGAAAAGGTCGGGAACTTCCAAATTAGAAAACACCATAATTAAAACAATGTAATTATGCTCATCCCTTTACACCAATCAGATTTCAGCACAGCTAAATATCACCAATGACATTTCTGGAGCCGCTAATTAAAAATCACAATAAAACACATATTAAATCATCAGTACCAAGGTTTTAATGGTCGCGTGTTCTCTGCCACTTGCTCATTATATTCCACAAGGCTGCTCGTTAGGGTGCTATTTTACATTTTATTACCTTAAATATATGATATGTGATCTCAGATCTAATGATATATATCATTATCTTAATAATAGGCTAGGTTTTAACGGTTGCGTATTCTCCCTCATTTGCTCATTATATTCCACAAGGCTCCTCCCCGTTAGGATGATATTTTAATTTTATTACCTAATATATATGATATCTGATCTGACATCTGATAATATATATAACTATCTCAATAATATGCTACAGTACCTAGAGTTTAACGGCCTCCTGTCCTCTGATGAATCAATGCCCATTGTGTTCCGCAAGGCTCAAAGGCACAAAAAATGACTTGTACCTCACATAATTTGAAAAATCATAAACATAAACTGTATTTTGCAAAAGGAAAAAATACAATTTTTCAAATACGATATTCCTTTATTATAAGAGTAAAAGTAACAAAACATCACAATGTCACATAGAACAACATAACATATATGCATTCCAGATAATTTTTTTATTTACATTAAGTAGAATAAAAAGTAAATAATCCTCTTTATACATTTTCAAATTTTATTATGCTATACCAAAAACACAATTAATATGCATTTGGTGAATCAGATAAGGGCAAAAATATTGCAGAAGTAAGATATTATACTATTGGCTATTGTTACTGTAATTGAATAGGTTTCCTACATATTTTAAGTTAAAATAGGTTTAAAACTACTTAGAAAATAACAACTTTTAAAGATGAAAAAATGAATATATAATATACTCAGGATCACAATGATTAAAGCTGAACAGGTTTTCCTAGAATTCCCTATCAGGAAGCAAAACTGGAGCGACTAGGGTCCAGCCATATAACACCAAGCACAGCCAGCTGGATATTTCTTTAACCCACATTGAAGCAACATTATTATTAAAACCTTCAATACTCGAATTTGGCCTGAAAGTTAATATCACTATTGCATTATGCATATATACTGGGTGTTATTCAAATGACATGATATAATTTAATGAATGAATATCATGGGCAAAGAACAAAGGCAAAAATATTAAGTTCAAGTATGAGAGAAAGACTTATTATTTTCTCTACTAACATTACAAAGGCTTTTCAATGAACTCATGAACATTGCAAATTTCATACATTCAAACCCCAAAAAATTATTTGTTTCAGTATTAGTTCAGGATTTCTGCACCAATAGTACATCCAAATATGATAAAAACTCATTAAAAGCTGTTATTATTTTGTCTACTAACACTACAAAGGATGCCCGAATAAACTAAACTACTGTTTCTGGAAGCACTGCAAGAGATTCTTGCTTTAAATTGACCAAGTCGAAAATTGACTATTTCAAAAAAAGGATACTTAAAAAGTTCTACATATATTATTCAATATCACAGTCACAGTCATTAGTTCATCTCATAAGGAAATTAAAAAAATAGATTTTTTTGTCTGATTTGGACCAAACAAAATATTGGATCAACATTAACTGATTATAATAAATAATATCATTTCAATAACATCCTGTTTATGCAATATTAATATGGCACTGATTTACTTACTTGTACCAGTTCGTCAAAGTCATCATTATATAAAGGGTGGCCAAAGCAAACATAACATGGAAGAAGGTCCAGCTATAAGCCACTGACTCCTCTTCATTATCCCAAACCTTTCTTCCACCTCCTTCGCCACCATCATTACCTGTGATAGGAGTATACCCATCTTCACATAAAGTTCAAAATAAATGAAAAGAGAAGAGAGAAACGAAAAATTAACTATCTGTGCAACAATATTCCAAGGCATTATGGTGACATGTTTGGAAAAAAGAAAAATTAAAAACTTACAAAAGAAGGGTAAATAACATACCTTCATTCTCAACTAGGTTATCTGTTCCGCCGCCCCTTACTGAATAAAGAAAATATGAATTAATGTAATATTCCAAAATTATGCAATATCATAAAAGCCAATATCCCTCAAAACAATATTAACACATAAGCTGAAAAGCTAGATATATTACACAATCTCAGTACTTCAATTATCATACATTTTGTAGTTGTAGCACACTGACCCATCACGAACACCACATATTTACAAGATGCATAAACCAAAATAAAAAATCTCTTAAAAACCTTGATTATATTCAAATCAGCAGGAACATAAACACATTTTGACTTCAAAAATTCTTATCAGAAATGTAATGGTAATTATACAGTGTGTTTCAAAAACGATTCTATTTAAAAGTTGTCCTTTTGAGATCAAAGTTCCTATACACAAGGATTCACAAAATCATTCATTTAGAACATGTAAAATGTTTCATTATTTTTCCAGTTTTTCTTAAACAACTAACACAGTTTTCAAAATATTGATTTGAAATAAGTAATGTTTATTACTCTATGAACGAACGATATTTGGACTATTTCTATCACTACATAATGCCATGGCTTTTAGTGTAAAAATATAAAAAGCAAAAATACAAACACAACATATAAAGCAAAAAAAGTAATTAAAAAAATATACCTGCGCCATTATCCTTAGTCAACATATTCTCAGACATAGTAATCTTGGAGGAACTGTTAGCAGACCGAATTGAAGAATATAACACACAACACATCCATATAATCAATCCAATGACATCAAAGTCATTGCCACTAGATTTTCCACCAAATATGCCCCAAAATCCTGGATTGCACTCTTCTGCAACATGATGATTTGAAATAATTAGTTTTACTTTTATTACAAGTTAAAAAATGTCATTTACTTGGAGAATTTGATACAGCAGACCAAGTCAAGTAAGTTACATAAAGAGTAACCACTGAAGATTGTAAAACTCCTGATCTAGGAAGCTTATCTTGAACAGCAGGCAGAATTGACAAAAAACTTACAATCACACATAAAATCAAGTTAATTGAAATAAAGAACTTATTAACATCACATCCATCAGACTAAAAACAAATCAAAATTGTTTATATAGCATAACTGTTGCTTCAAGAGCCTTACCTTAGTGAAGAAAATAAAAAGTAATGTAACACCAGCAATGCTAAGTGCATAGTTGAATAATGTCACCCCAACCAAAGCAAAATACCATCCCTTAGATTCTGATTCTTCATAATTTCCCACCCAAGCCTCAGCCCAGGAGTGAGCAAAATCGATAATTAAAATTAATTGTATCAAAATAAATAGGAATCCTCCTACAATTCCAAACCACATCCATGTTACTCCAAATGAACCTTCAGGAATGAAAAAGGCTCCAATTATACCTCCAATTACAAGGAGATATTTCAAGCCCCAAAATCTGGAAATTAAATTTATATTCTACTACATAAATAACTGTTTGTCCTATTTTTTAACTTAAAAAATATTACCCATTTTGAATGCCTGCTCTAGGATCCCTTGACGACTTCACTCCGAGCATCATTAGGGCAAACAATACAAAAAAACATGTCAAAATAAAACAAATTCGGTAAACTGCTAAGTATCCAACAGCTTTGCTACAGTCAACTATAACCGAAGATGGTACAAGGCTTTCCCCTGTGGCATTTGTACAGAACGGGACCTGGAAAAATGTATTATATAAAATCAAATTGAGAGTGACAACACTCACCTTTTTCAGGGCATTTTGAAGCCCAGGAGCTAATGTAATACAAGCAGTGATTGTCCCCAGCAATAACATTAACGCATACATAATTCGAGAAGATGTCGAATTTTTGCATGAGGGACATGCCGAGCAACAAAGAGAACAGGCTGCACTTCCGCAACCACAGGCCAACTACAATCATACCAGATATTTTGTATTAATCTTAAAATTATTTCTAGAAAAAGAGGCGCTTTATTTTACATCCAAAACTCACCTGTGCAGCAGAACACAGGCCCAAAACACAACCCATATTACAAAGTAAATGTATACTATATATTCCCGATCTGAAGAAACTTTATAAATGTATGTAAGTAAAGAACTTAAAACACAATAGACACACTATTTTCGTCTTACAACTTTATGATTAACATTCAATCATATATCTATGCCTGAAACACAAATATTGTTTAATAGTCTGTGGCCTGGGACCAAATAATTTTTCTCCTTTTCTGGATTGCATTCCTCCATAAAAATGAGCAAAATGTAAAGGGTTAGTTCGTTACTGACTACTTTTAAGGATTTTTCTAATGATTACTTTACATTAAACTATACAGTGTTCTCAAATTAACTTAGATTTCGTATCAACTAGTGAAGGCGAAAAAAACAGAAAAATTACAATGTTCACAAAATTTGTAAGGGCTATGTTCCGCTCCCCTGTAATCGGTTAAAAACACTAGTTATCGATCTTCTTTAAGTTGTAATATTTGTTAGTGTTGAGCTTGGTACTTGTTTGAGTGTAGTGTTGTTCGTCGCTTTTCGTTATTCACGCCGGTTGGGGCCGGTTGGGTCCGGATAGCACAGGACGGAAGCGAACAGTAAAAAAAAAACAGCTTTGTTTGAATCAAGGCGGATCTAGAGTTTAATTAATTGTGATGTTTATTTATAGAATATGTGCCGATTTTAACAAAAATTGAAATTATCAATGGACGAGGGTCCATATTGTAGTGCCCACTGTTACGGAAATTATAAGAAAAGGAGAAGAATCTAAGATAATTAAAACGTTATTTATCTATGCGTCTATTTTAACTTTTATGTATAAAATTCTGGAAATCCTAAAGAAAAGCAATTCACCTCATAAGGATTCATTATGGCAGTTACTGTATTTCACAGGTTAACTCTTTCGTTGGGTTTTTTGTCATTATTTCACTCAGCATATTCAGCTGCTCAACGTAGGTAGGTACAATTAATGTATTAAAGTATTACTCTGTTCATGGCTTTTTAGATCGTTCATATCTAAGACTGAATGAATTAGAATTTACACATTTGCCGCCTGACGTAAGTATTATGTCCATTTAAAGCAAATTGTGCCGTAAAACTCGCATATCTTTTGGGAACTATTGATATAAAAATTGTTTTTTTAGATCTGGATTCAGGCTCTAGCTAGTTTCTTTATAATAATATATGGAGTACTATATGTAGCAGGTGATTTCAAGGAAATTAAGGCTTCAGCCGATCTTGATAATAAATCATGGGAAACCTTTAGAAATATTCCTTCGTTTTATACATTTTCTCATAGAGGTAAAGCATTTGCTGCCTGAAATTACCAATAGCATTTAAAATGTTATGCTACAAAAAAAAAATTGTACATTTATAGAAAAATGTTTTGTATTTAGAAACCATGTATTACATTGTTTATTGTTGTCCCATATTCATATTAAAAGGACATTAACACTTCTGAATTACTTTATTTAACAGATTTATTTTAGTACATAAGGAGTGGGAAAATAAATAAACATACCTATTCACAAAAATGCAGAAATTAAGTAACATATAATTTCATGAGTCAAAGTTGTCTGAATAAAATTCGAGCTTGCTGGCAGATTCAATATAAGACTTTCAACTGCTCGTAAGTAAGGAAGAATATAATATTCCATGGTCCCATTCTAAACAATGTTGGAATAAACCCTTTGTAAAATGCCCAGAATCCCTCATTCTTAAAGGTGTGGATGAAGCAGTCAGCAGTTCCTCTGTAGATGTGGTATGGCAATGATATGCCTGCTTTTTTAAGCCTTCTTTGGTTCATTAAGCGAGTCTGCACAAAATTCAATCACGCAAATGACACAATTGTATACAAATAAAATAACAAAAATGTAATGCCCTATATGAAACTTACCCTAACAACATCTAAAGGTGTGGATGCAATAGCACTTCCCAAACTGGCAAAAAGACTAGACCTAAAAATGTTCAGCTGTATTTAAAGAACTGGTAAAATCACTGAAACAAATTTTAAACTAGTACCGTATTATTTGTAGATTATTAAATAATTCTTTCTTGCCTTTAAATTATTTTTCAATGTCTGCCTTATTTATTAGTTTGAAAATATGACTTACATAAAGTGATTTGCAGCTGTATCTCCAAGAATATTTAACAAATGGCTTTTACAAAAGTCATAAACAGGCAATTCCACTGCTGCTATGACAGCTGCTCTTTGAGCAGTTGGGCTAACACCCTAAAAAAGATTTTTCAATAACACTTCTTTATAATTCAGGTGACATACCCTCCATAACCCTGAGATTCCTTCATGGGTGTAAACCTCTTTAAAACAATCTATTAATCCAACATTACCAGCGGCACCTCGTACTTGCATTCGTACTTTAAGTACATCTGTAGGATTTGCTATAGCACTTGAAACTGCGCCAGCTATCACAGCACAAACTATATTAAGGCTAACATTTTCTTTACCTTTGTTATGCTCTAAAACAATATTTTTAAGGGAATAATAAGTGCCGAACTTAATTGTACCATAAGTTGCTTGCCTTAATACTGCTGGCCAAATACTAAAACAAGAAAAAAAACATGCCATATTTTAAATCATCACACCACTAGTATTTTAATAAAAATTCTGCAACACAAAACAGTTTACTTACTGCACAATTTTTACATTACATTTTTTTATTACCCAGAATATAATGATGCAAATCCTTCTTGCTTAATGATTTTAAATAAACAATCCACCATACCCTTGTATTTCAAAGTTCTATGATTTTTGTCCAATTTTTGGCCCTGAATTTGTAATCTTGTTTTTGTTGTGTCAATAGGAAAAGTACCTAAAATCACAACACCTGAAAACTGTTGTGATCTGCTGTTCATGACCAATACCCAACATTTGATAGAATGTAGCAATACTGTATAAAAGTTACTCAAAAACCTTCTACAAAAAGGTATCACTTACCAAACTCAGCAACACAACTAGCCAAGCCCCCATATACGAAAGGTCGCCAATCTCTATCTCCCATGCCACTCTTTAGGACTGAATGTTCTGAAGAAACCCCAAGATTACCCAAAATCAATAAGAAATATACCTAATTTTACTTTCAATAGAGAACAGGAAATTGTAATTTTAGGTTAATTATCATAGATTACAGAGACAGACAGAGAAACACATAGCTATTATCACAGAACAAATCACATCTTTTCATGTATTCCTACCTCCAAACGACGAAATTTGACGGATTAATTGAAATACCAACGAGGCTAATGGGATCTTCGAATTTAACCAACCGAGCCATTTTCGCCCACAAATATGGAATAAAAACGTACGCACGAAGGGACCCTCCTTTACAAGCAGAGGTTTAAATGGCAAATTTGTTTGTAATTGTAATTAATAAAACAAAATGTGGAAGTAGTAAAGCATAATTTGCTTCAACTATAGATTCTCTGGAGGGCATTCCACGAGACAGGTCGATTCTTGTCCGCTGCCTACGACGTTTAAGACTTGTTTTCTGTCAAATTTTTATTGTGTTGGACCTTAGTGAACAGTTAGTGTCTTTTTGATTATATAAGTGTTTGGCGGATTCGCTGTTTTTCCCACACACGCCGGTAACCAGGCCGGATGGGCTCGGAGGTCCTAGGAAAGTATCAGTGAAAAAAAATTGTCGACGAGTGTCAGTAAATAGGTTCGTCGGTGACTAATACGAATCGTTATTCGTATTTGCTTTAAAGTTTAAACATGATTGTAAGCTGGCCGAATTGCCTTATGTCGCTGTGGCCAAATTAAGTGTAAATGAAGATAATAACTGATTAACATTAAAAAAAATTGTCTTTAGATCATGTACTTTCGTAAAACAATTTTGATTTTTAAATTTTTTTGTGTCTAAATTCTCGTTTCACTGGTTTACATAGCTTAACAAAACGAATTTATTTTTATTTTCTTTGTAAATTCCTAATACTTTTTGAATGTTTTCTGCTAGATGTCGCCGACACTCAGTGCCTAACAATGCGCATGCTCTATTCATTTATTGTACCTTCTCTGTAAACGGCAAAATCACTTCCAAAACCGATCCATTCCTAAAATGTCAGAATTGTCATTCTCGTATTTCGTTTCGCCATATTGGAGTACTAAGCGGAATATTTAGGCGTGAAAAATTTTGTATTTGTAGTGAAAAATAAGAATACTTTGTTTCGGTATAGTTCAACAATTGACAATTCTATAAAAATTTCTTGCATTATTTGTAAAACAAGTGAAAACCGTTGTTTTGTTTTGTGTTTGATTACGGACTGTTAAAAATGGCGTGTGCAACTTTGAAGAGAACGTTGGATTGGGACCCCGTTTTAGGCGGCAGACCATCAAAACGCCGACGATGCGCACCTTTCTGCACAAGCCCTACACAGCGGGAGAAAGTGTCACCTACTCCTTCGTCGAGTCCCGTGGTTGCTTCTCCATCGACCAGTTCCGTTTTCCCTGACGTAATTAACAAAAAGTTGACTCCAGGTAGGTCACTTTCAAATTAACATAACACCAAGTCTTTTTGACCCACAATACGTACAGTCGGTCTATAGTTCTCCAAAATGTTTTATTTTTATGTTTGTTTATCTGTAGTTTTGACATTTTATCTGTCATCAGCTGATTTAAAGACACGATTGAAAATTGACATATCGATTCAAAAATTTTATGCCGTTAAAATTGTGCAAAAAAAAGTTTTAAAATAAACGTCTTTGGATTAATGTCTGTATTGAAACTCAATTAGAAATGATAAATTGTTTAGTATTATAGCGTCAAGGGTCATTAATTTCATTCTCCGCATTAAGAGGGGAACATTTATTTACATTTTTGTTTAGAATATATGGCTGAAAACATAAAAGCCGAATTGAAGCGACTGCAGAGGCGTAAACAGCTTTTGCACGGCGTGGCAGATAACTCGGATAATAGTTCACCCGATGCCGTTGGTGATTCAAGTCCATCAAGATTGGATAAACCACTGTTTACTTTTAAGCAGGTACATAATATGTCTTTTAATCTTTATATTTTAAGGTTGGCTCTATTCTGGGTGTAGGGCATTGTTTTCTTTTATAATGAAGAAAAAAATATTGAGGAATAAAATTTTCTTTGAACTTTAATATATTCTTAAACCCTACAAGTTGAAGAAGATTCCATAATATGTGCAGAATTTTGTGTTGAAACCTCAGAGCAAATTGTAGGGAAATTACTTTATATGATTTCTAATAACTCAACTAAATTTAGTTTTAAATTGTCGATGTTTATTAAATTTTGGCCAATATTCCACCTTTTGCATAAATCTCACAATTTTTTAATTTCATAATTTGTAAGATCCACATTTATTGCTAAAATTCAATATTTCCACTCTGTCTTCTATAATTTGTACCTGTATGTTTTATGTTTTGAAGGTAAAAGTAATTTGCGAAAGGATGCTCAAGGAACGAGAGACGGAAATACGGGAAGAATATGACAGTGTATTGACAGCCAAACTTGCAGAACAATATGATGCCTTTGTCAAATTCACCTTTGATCAAATCCATAAAAATTTCAGCAATCAAACTACGCCCAGCTGTAAGTATCTATATTGTTGTTTTTATCAATAAAACCACAGGTTAAGTTTGCAAAAACGTGATCTAAAAATAAAATAATGCAATGCATAAATTTTTTATGACAGTCATTTTTCTATGCGCAATAGGCTCTTAATATTAATATTGCATAAGTACATATTAATACATTCGAGTCACATCTTATTAAACTAGTCCCTTGTTTGAAAATGATTTAAATTTTATTGTAAAGCTTCCTTTGCCTTAGGCTAGAATTGTTTCAGCACACAATACATCTAAAAAATCTTTTCGTTCTAGATCTATCATAAATGGAAAAAATGGGTAAGCATTTTCCTGTTTTGTATCACTAAGAATATATACAGGCGTTTATATAAACAAACAAAGAAATAAACTACTGAAGAAGCAGTCGCATTTCATGATGCCTTAGAATGTAATACTACTCATTATCGGCGTTTTGTATATAAAAAACGTTTACTATCTTTTACTTTGTATTTTTCACGGAATTGACTTATAATATATTTGTTATATTGTGTAAATATGGTTTCTTATTGTGTTGTGTTACCGATTGCATGGGTTGTGTCCATGTAAAGCTCTGTCTAGAGATTCTGTACAAGGTATTTAACAAATAGAGGGACAAAAAAGTTATACAAGGTGATTTTGAAATGAAAAACAGCAGAGTGCTTTGTGGTTTCACTCTCATAATGGAACTGAGTTGTTAGGGTTGATAGTTATTGTTTTTTTGCATTGAAAAAGTGGCATATATAAAATGTTCAGTATTTTTGTTGTTTTAATATTGTATAGGTAGAATTAATGGGTTTTTGTTAACGAAAAATTCTGAACGAATTGTTGACTAGAGTTTCTTCTCGCATTACTATTGCACTATTTTATTATCAAAAAGATATTAAATTTAGTTTGTAATATTTTAGTATGTTAAGTCTCTATAAACTAATCTTTAGTTCTTTTTTCTATTAAATATATTAACGCACATTTTTTCAAATTCCTTGAAAATTTTATGATTTTTCTATACATTTTTTCACGTGGGTAGCAACAAATAATTAATTATATTAATTTACTGATCGCGAAAAAATGTATACGTGAAGGAATGATTGATCAGAAAAGTTACTATATAATGTATACCTAATATCCCTTTTTCGGCATTCTTTTTTGTTGTATAGATCTTTCGAATTTTTAATTAAATGCAGTTGAATCCATACTTCTCAATATTAGTGATTGCCTCCTCCCAATTATTTTTGAACTATTATAACGCATCTTTTGCCATTATTGTAGGAATCCTGGGTAAACTTTTTTACATAAAATTAAAATCTGTATTTATACACAATAGAAGTTAAGGCGCCAACTAGAAATTTGATCATCAAACTGGATCTCCCCTCTATAATGCTTGAATCTGCCTCATCAATTTTTTTATTATAGATTATATCGAACAAAATCTATGCCACTTTTTTGATTTTACTTAATTAGAATAGATTTTTGGATTAATAGTTTTTGCCATAAAAGATATGGTGGTTTATGGAGGATGTATTTAAGTAAGTAAATTAAGATATGCTTCAAAGCTGGCTTTAAGTAAACTATAAAAAGTGACTTTTTATTGAATTATGGTGATAAATAAAATGTTTTGCGTAAAAAACATTGCAAATTCATTTAATCTTCATTGATCAAAGGATATATACAAGGACATTCATTAGTAACTATGTAGGCAGTGTTTACACTGAGGACTTTGGAAGTTGTTTTCTACATACGCGAATTTATTTTATTTTATGGTCTCCATTTTTCGGCATTGCATTAGGCCTTCAACTTGTAAAATTGCAGTGTTCTTGTGTGCCATACACATTTTTAAAGTCACAGAATACCTAACACAAGACTCGCCAACACCAATGTTAGCATCTTAAGGCAGTAGTTATTGTTTAGTTTACATTTGAAGTTATTTTATTGGTTCGTTCATGTTTTTCGCAAAGAAAACGCTGATTTTATCCACTTATTTTCTCCAAGAGATTTGCAATAAACTGTGGTACACATTACTAGCAAATATAGAAAAATATTATTTTATTATTGGTTTTTGTTTTTTTTTGCGTTATCTAGTTAAAGAGACAAATATTGAACCTGAGTGGATATATACATATATACCACATTTGATTTGGGATCTTAAGATAATATTAAGTATATGCAATTGTGTGGATACGTGGATACTAAATGGTGTTCTTAATGTTTGGAAACCGAACTTGGTTCTATTTTACGATTTGTAAATTGTTTTTGTATTTTTCTAAAAAGACCTTTTTTCTGCCCCCACCAATGATCAATTTTATTTAGCTTTTCATTTCACACCTGCTATTAAACCTTGAATTTTGCTAGTAATGAAAATATCAATCAGTATCACATTAATCAATTAACCCAAATTGTCCAAAATGTTTTTGAATAGAGCATTGCTGGAAAATACAACTAACCGGTTAGAGATTTTTTTTGCATGTAAATTGTAATTAAGTATGGTTTTTGAAATTTGGATAAAAAATATTAAATATTTTTAGGATATTTTTACTCCCACTCAGTAATTTTTACATTTTTAGTTCCAGTTAGTATTTATTCGCCTCTTTAAATTTAAAAACTATTTATTTACCTATATTTTAAGTTACAAAATGTATAAGTACCTTTAGGAACGGAGATGTATTCTACAGATACAATATAAGTTTTATCGTTCCCTCTGTAAATAAATAGCTTTTATTTTTAATTTTTGTTAATTAAAGTTATCAATAATTAGACGTACTGTTTAAGATTTCTTACTTGTAATTTAATAAAAGAGGGCTATTTATATTGTAGTTTTATTTGGTTTCCATTGTTGTGATTCTTCTCAGGGGAAATCATGTAGTAAAGCAGCAACTATATCATGTTGTATAGCGGTAGATTCATAGAATATTTTAGCCTTTTAAATTGATCAATTGATATGAGTTGAACTATTTTTATGGATTTGCCCGCTAGGTGGGTCTTGGTTAGAGTGTGCAGGCCTTTGCACAAAGACCTGTTCTCTTAAATACTGTTCTGTCAGTCTTCTCATTCGTTTTTAGTAAAAAAGAGGGGAAAACAATTCATATTAACCGCAGGATATTATGTATGATAGGGTCAGCTATGAAAATCTCTGCCTTCTGAAGTGAGGACAGATTATGATGGCAGAGGAGAATAAGAACTAATAAAAGTAAAATGTTACATTTCTAATTAAATTAATGTGGGCGATCTGCCACGTAAGTAAAGCCATGACGCGGTATAAAATGCATATGCACGTTATTGTATTGCACCTCTATACCGAATTTCATTAAAACATTTACTAGCGAGTGGTATTACAATTTTTTTAAACTTTCCCACTTGATTAGTCGAATTTTGGATGTGGATAAATTAATCCAATTATTTCAAGTGTTTTAAAAATATTCTGTATAAGTGTGCATAAAAACTTGCATTCTATATCTGTACATATGGGCCTTGTTTCTTGTTCAAAAGCAGAAGCGCAATCTATTCCACTGGCAATGTGGCTTAGTTAAAGCGGACGTGTATTTTTCTACTCCCGTCTGTAAAATACCTAATTACCCACCGATCTAGCGTGCGGGAAGTTTCATTTTACACGTCAGTTTCTTTTCCCACGAATCTGAGCCACTTCAGACATTTCCGGGATTTTACCGCACGCATTTGGGAGCAATCGGATGTTTTCGGGGATATTTTACACGCTTTGAATTTTGACGATTGTCAATTCTGGCGGTCATGTCAGTGAATGTATTCGTGTTTTACGAAAATGTACCCAAAAACTAACGGTCGTAGAAAAAGTATATTATGCAACACTTGTTGCATAATATACTATTTCCCCTCAGAAATTCCCTCTGAATTGTCCGCCACAGTCAAACCCTGTGGACAAATATATACTTAAGTAATTCAGGGAACTTAAGTTATTTTTAAGTGAAAGTCATACAAAATGACTAAAAGGGTTAATACATGTTTCATTGGGGTTTATAGAAATTTATAAAAATCATTCCCTTTGTGAAAAATGAAGTTAAATGAGTCCTTTAACAACAATTTCTACTAGGTGTCAACAGAAACGGTAAAGATTTCACTGAAAACTTTTGACAAAACTAAATTCCACAGTTTCGAAGCAGCTAAAAGTTGAAAGATGTTTGGCAACCACAGACAATCGCGCGCCAAGTCGGCCAAATACACACTTAAAACGAGGTGGTTTAGTTTCCAGATAAACCGGCTTCATGTGTGGTATACCATGGAAAATCACCCTTATTGACACTGAATAAAAAAAAACATCAAGTGTAACAACCTACTTGTGGGTTTTATTTAATTTTTTTAATAACCACTTATCGAATTTGGTTAAATTGATGATTCATCAATATTAGCGAACATCAATGGCGCCGACTCTAGTTCTTCATTTTTTTTTGTCTATGAGGTACATCCCAATTTGTAAATTCATTTTATACTTTTGCAGATATCTTGAAGTTAAAACTTAACTATCACGAATAAAAAGATGTTCAAGGTTGAAATATACGAAAGGAATCTAGTTTATGTAGAAAATCTTTTTTTGTAATAGATTTTCTGTACATTCACGAGTCGTTGACGTAATAGCAAGAGAGAAAGGGTCAAGTTTTGCGTCATGTCTCTTTTGTGACGTCTTGGTAATAACAAAAAAATTCTCCGCAAGCATATTGATTACGGAGAGTAGGGACTAGCATTTGTAGTATTTGCGTAAATGTAATTAAATAGTGTTTATCGCGGTCGATAGGCATTATGGAAATAAAATTGCGCCTTACAAATGTAAAGTGTTTTATTCTACAGTGCTTTAAAAAAACTTCCAATAATTAATTAAATGACGGAGTTGAGGTTAATTTTTCCCCTCTTTGATCTGGGCGGCTTGAAAAATAATTAGCAGATGTAAGTTGATTAGGAAATCTGCGTACGCTTACTTTAATATTTTTGTATTATAGACATGGGGTAAATAATAAGGTACCTACATAATTAAATGCCTAAGAAACTTATAATGGGAGGATCCGTTAGTCAAGTTTTTCAGTCTGGTAGTGCTTTATTATCTAACGTACATGGCCATAAAGTTTCGGAATCGACTAAACAAAAAGTGGAGACTATTTTCGGTGCCCTTACAGCTAATCCGAAAATTGGAGTTCAAAGACTTGAAGGGCTTTTATTACAGATCCCCAAGGTATTTTATTTATAGACTAATGGCTTACTTTTATAACTTATTATTATTGACATATTTTATGTTATAGAATGAAAATATATTAGCTATACATGATGAAGCAGGTTACAATCTTTTGCAAAAATGTGTGGGTGCTAACAATGTAGAGTTAGTGAGATGGTTGCTAGCCCGTCACAATGCAGCCGATGTAAATAGGTTTCCCTGCAGTTTGCCATTGCATATAGCCTGTCTTAAAGGGTAAATGTTATCATGTTTATGTTCTATTAACACTCTTGACATATGTTGCAGTCATGATGAGTGTGTGGAATTATTACTAAAACATGGTGCAAAAATTGATGTTGAGGCTCGTATGTGTTGGCCAGGGCCACACACCAGCAATTGTGAAGAGAGAGGAAAATATTGTAAGAAATTTATGGTTAAAATGGGAAAATCTTTTTAGTCTTTTATATGATCTTGTAGCAACAACAATCCAACAAGAAGAGACTTGCATAGAAAGGGAAAGAGAAAGAGATGCAACACCAAGGAGTAAACTTCAGTCAGCCATTTATTATGCTTTAGATGGAGATCAAGTAAATATTTTGACTGTGCTTTCCCAACGCAGTGAAGACCCTTGGGTAGGTTTTTTTTCAATTCATAGCATTTATGTCTACAGACTAAATGGATATTTACAATGTGTTGGGCTGATGAACTAATTACTTTTTAGAATGGAATTTTCAGAGCCCGCAAACCTCTTTTACATGCTGCATGTGAAAGAAAAGCATGGAGATGTACACAATTTTTAGTAACCGAAAGATCTGATGAAATCCATATTTTAAAAGATGAATATTATCCAATACATTTTGCAGCCTCAAATGACCTCAAGTTTTTAGAACTGTTAATTAATGCGGGAGCAAACACAACTGTTACTACTTGCACCCAACAGATGACTCTTTTACATGTTGGTATGTTATTTTTTGGTTTGACTTTGCTTATCTAAGAATATGTAAAGTCAGTATCATAATAAATTTAGCAACAAATAACTTTCAGGTCAAATTTCCTGTAAAGGAAGAACGGTTGAGCATTTTACAGTTATTTAAACTATGTAATATTTGATTTGAAGCTCTATTATTTTTTTTTTAAATAAAGATATTCAGTCTTCTGCATATTTACATTATAAATTATCACAGAAAAAAAATGAGAGTACTGTTTACATGACTTCTGAATTCCCCCTGCCTCGTTCTACCAAAGAAAAATACGAGAATCTATAGAAATCTATAAGCAACCAAACAATCTTAACCGCAACTCAGATCTTTATCTGTCACCAATAGGGGAATCCTCTCCTCTAAATTCGCCCTCTTCAAACAATATATGAGCAGGTACAGAGTAGAATTCAGTTAAGCTCTGAAGAAGCCAATAGGATAATTGGCGAAAATGTCACCAAATTCAACAACAAATGACGTAGGAGGAATCCAGAAGTTTTGTAAAGAGTATTACAGGAGCCTGTGGAAGTTTCTTTGAAAAATTAAAACAGAACTCTAATTTTGTTGATCTCAAAATAACACTTATATTAATTCATGCACTAAAAAATAAATTAAGACAGAACAAAAATCGATATTATGCTAAAAGAAAAAAAAAATTAAAACAAAATACATTTTAAATAAATTATTTATTGTACATATGAATCTGATGCTTATGAAAACATAATCTAGGCATATATTACTTTTTGTTATGAGATGTAAAATATAGATCTCATCTAATATAAAACCTAAAACTTTGTAGTATTACTGGTGGCACATAAGTCAGCCGAAGACACAATATCAACTATAAGGCTCCTATTAAATAATGGCTGCAAAGAACTGATAAATACCCCTGACAGCTTGGGTAACACTCCACTTCACGCCCTAATTGTGAGATATGCACTGGAAGAAGCTCAATATGGCTATGATAAATGGAATAAATGGGACATTTTGCATTTGGTTCGCTATCTAATTCAGTCTGGTGCTAAGCCATCTATAAATCACACAGGAAACTCAGCAATTGCGTGTGTGCTGCGTCATGTCAGAGATTGGGATGTTTGCTATGAGCTACTTAATATGTTGCTGCATGATGGAGGTAAGTGCTTTATGTTTAGAACTCTGTCTATAATTTAGTTTTCTGCATCTTGTATCTTCAGGTGATCCCAATGAAGTTGGTCGAGATGGATCTGTACCACTAATGGTTTGTTTAGTCCCCTTAATCAACAAAGATCCACTTCACCATTTCACACATAATATGAAGGTCAGGTATTTGTTTTTACTAAAAAGTGATTTGTAAATAGTTTCTCCTTAGGTATGTTATTTGAATTGTATAAGGATCCTTTTGAAACAAGGTGCCAATCCAAACTGCAGTTACCATGCCAATCTGACGCCTTTACACGTGCTGGTGTTCACAGTATCAGAAAACATAACATTAAACTGTGATGTGCAAAAACAATTAAACTTTGAATTTATTAAAAATTTACTCATTCTGCTGCTAACCCATGGTTTAGACCCGAATGTAAAGGTGAGCAGTCGTATTCAACATATTTTGCAGTCTTGTATGGACATGATCCAGAATGTGCGTGATTGCAAAGATATACACTATGTGCACGACCTAACACTTACTTTAATACAGTACGGCGCTAATCCAGATATAAGGCTAAACATGTCCGAAGCAATAAAAAATCATCCATTGCATTCCCAAAGTATTTGGAAGACTAAAAATTATATCTTGTATTACTATATAATGTTAATATCGAGGAAAGAGAATCTTATAATGGATTCAAATATGACATTTTCGAAAATAATAATGTTATTTTATCTCGTTATGGAACATAAGCCACTTTTTAAATGTTTACGCATGTTATATACTCAACAGTTAAGTCTGGTTCCTGACAAAATGACTGAACCTCTAACTTTTATCATAAGGGACCTGTACAAGAGACCGCGGTCTTTAAAGCAAATATGCAGAGTAAAGATCCATAATTGCCTGAATCGGCGACCTGGATTGTATATAAATAAGTTAAATTTGCCAAATGCTATCAAAGATTATTTATTAAACTTTGAGCCTTAAAATGGTTGAGTATTTTTGAACGGCGTTGAGTTTTCGTGTTGGATATGAAAATAATAAGCGGTAGCTTTTGGTTCAGTTGTTGTTATAATAAATATTATATGCACGCAGAGCGTTATAAATTGTTGTATAAAACACTATTAGATATTGCATTAATAACACTTTATAGGGCATGATTTGTTGCAGTTCAAAATCATCCAGGATCAATACAAAAATCAAGCAATAATGTCTTTTTTTTCTGAATATTGATACTGTACATATCAGAGACATTACATCTGAAAGACACACGACAAGTCTTTACAAACAATACAAACCATTAAGAATTGTGACTGTATGGTGTGGATAAAGTCCTTCTAGTCAATAAATTGCCAAAATTGTTATAATTTTGGATGTTACTGTTGGGAGTGAGTGACGGTTAAAGTTCATTTCATGGACTAGACGTATAAATATATTAATACATTAGTTGCTGATTCTGAAGGTATAATTTGATAAGCACAAGTAATAAATTTGAAATGTGGCAATGGTGCTCATTTGCATCTAGAATTTCTAAAAGTTAAGGGCTTGTCGGGTTTCCTTTGGAAAGTAATAACCGCAATAGTTATATTCAAATGGACTTGTTTTTTGTTTTGCGCAATTAGTGTACAAAATTCAGCTGCATAGCTCAAAAGTTTCCTCTGATGGGATGCTTGGGATTATTAAATAAAAATATATCTATTATCAAAAGATTCTATTAAATAGTTAAGGTGTTAAGAAATTGTATTGGCTGTGCTATATCCTTTTTTTACTGTTATCTTCAGCATTCGCATCTTGGGATAATTGTCATGTTAGTTATTTTGGATTCTCTCAAACCTAAAATGAAGGACTAAACTAAATATTTCAATATAATGTATCTTATGAAAGCAAAAATTAAATAATGCGTAAAACGTAATATTGTGATGTTTTTATATTTTGACTTATAGTATAGTTTGCATGTTTGGTTTTTATGAATATTATAATAATTATTAGTATTCATGTTTTATTTCCTTTAATGCTTGTAATCTTCTGCCGTTACTAGTTAAAGCTTCTTTCACTGATGCAATTAGTAATTAGCAAATTTTTGGAGAATATGCATTATATAGTTAAATCGGACAGTGATAAGAAATTGTTTCTTTTAACTGTACTAAAATAACTACTTTATTTGATGAAATTATATTTCAAATAAATTCGACTAAAACTCGTTTCCAAATAAGCGAAAAGTTATTTCGGGCACGAAAATGTATGAAACTGCAACGGTCTCATAACAAGTTTTTATCTGTGCGAGAGTTGTATGTAAATGTCTCATTAAATTTAATTAGCTCTTAGGTCATGTTTGGCAAAATTTCAAGGATCATTCGCCCATTTCTAACTACCATTAAAGATCTTAGGGCCCGGAATCCGACATGATTTAAAAAAAAAACAAATGTCGCCGCAAAAAAAATGCATTAACAAAACACAACGAATATTTTTTGCAATACCAATAGACGATACTAATTTTCCAGTGTTTTTAATTGGTAGTCCGCTGTGGTAAACCCCTCTTGGGTATCGCTTTAAACCATAGATTATAAGTTCAGTGTGGTCTAAACTGCTCCAAGAGACACATTTCTATGCCATTATAGTAGTAATCTCTGGTATTAACCTAATATTTTCTATTGTAAGGTTTTTTTAAGTTTGAGAATGGATAATATTGAGGTTTTTTTCCGTGAAGTCAAAGAAATTAATCAACAGGACGCCGGAAACATTAATATTGGACATTTGGGAGACAACGCAAGTTGTTTTTCAACTGATAAAAACCATTTATACTTGTATGAAAAGCAAATTGACCATGTTAATCCTATTGGAGAAAACATTAGAGATGTCAAAAATCTAATATACCTATCAGTCCGCGGGGTTTTGTTTCTGACTAACGATTTCGATTTAATAATATACAAAATCAAATCAAAAGAGTTTGTCGTTGTTTATTCTTTTGCTGTAAAAATTGAAAGTCTGGCATGGAACCCTAATGAAACTTGTTTGGTGGTTTGCGATTATGAGGAAACCCTTTATGGTCTTATATTTGAATGCAATATTGATTTGCAAGAATACAAATTTATTGAAGCTTGGAAATCATGTTTACAAGATCCTGTACCGAATTCAGTTTATGTAGGATGGGGTTCTTACAATACTCAATTCAAGGGATCAAAAAAAGGAGAGGAAGAAATAAAAGGTATTATTATTTTATCCAAAAGAATTACTTTACTGGTAATGTATGAATAAAATCATTTATTAGATTTGCCAGAGTGTAAATGTCAAAATGCAGTTTTCTATTTCTCAGAAATTCCACAGAAGTATACTCCACCTACAATATCTTGGAGAGGCAACGGAGAGCAATTTGTGGTAAATTTTTGGAAAGAAGGAAGAAGATATCTGAAACTATTTGACAGCTCATTAAGGCCTTTGTATCAATCTCATGCCTACCCAAATTTGTTACCTCCAATATCATTTAAAGGTCAAGGAAATTTTATTGCATGTTCAGCAGTTCACAATAATCAAAATAAAGTTGTTATTTTTGAGAAAAACTGCTTGCTTAAATCGGAATTTTTCATTCCAGAAGTTAGGGTAAGTAACCATTTCTACTCACTGGTTTGTGTGTAATTAAAATAATGTTTTAGGGTGAAATTAAGAAGCTTCTATATCATCCATTTCATCAAATTTTGATTATATATAGTATTGAAGACACTGGGCATAGCACTATTAATATCTTTCTGTATTTAAATGCTAAATGGTATCTCAAACAACAGCTCTCCTATGAAGCTGAAAACCAAGTAAAGGCTCTTTCCTGGTCAGATAATCTGCAAAATTTTATTTGCAAATTAAACATCCTCACTTTGCATGATGTTGAGCATATTGTTCTTAGAATGGTAATAAACAGATGTCCTATCAGTGGGACTGTGGCGGTTACTGATGGTTCTGTTGTTAATTTTACCTTTTTTTCTTCTGAAATTGTACCCCCTCCAATGTTCAGTGCTTCCTTGAAACTTGATAAACCTATCAATAAGATACATTTTCATCCAGAAATTAAGCTATGTATTTTGATTGATACCACTTTAAATACACAAGTGGTTGACTTTGGAAATAATATACTGAAAAAAATTTCATACTATGTTGATCAAAGTGTAGATGAACTAGTTAGAAAACTCAAATTAGGAGGGGATAATACTAATTATCTTTTCTTTAGTGATGTAATTGAGGTAGTGGAACCAATAAATTTGAATGAGGGGGAGAATTCGTCTCTAGTATATTGTACAGGGTGCAGAATAGATGGTTGTTTCTATGAATTTGCATTGAATCAGTGCCATGATTTGCTCATAAACAAAAATGCAGTCTGTAGTAAAGTATTTTCCATTTTCATATACAAAAGTTACTTTCTTTTTACTCATGCCTCATGCAAACTTTACTGTGTACGCCTCACATCAGATAATGTTGATCAAGCAAATTGGGACCTAACCAAATTTTATGTAAGAGATATAGAGCAAGGTGCAAGAATTGTTTGTGTCAATGAAAAAGCTGAAATTATACTGGAACTACCTAGAGGAAATTTAGAGATCATTGAATGTCGGCTCATATGTATTGACAAGGTAGAAAAGATGATGTGTGACAATAAGTGGCAGGATGCGATCATGTTAATTAGGCAGAATAAATTAAATTGGAATCTTCTTATTGACTTGAATCCCCAAAGATTTAGTGACCACGTACTGGAGTTTGCAAAAGCAGCTGAATCGGTGTCTTTGTTGAATTCAATTGTGTCTGAACTGGGTACAATCAATTGCCTCCAAACTATGTACTCTCAGTGTATCAAAGATTCCATTCCACTACACACAGTCAACACTAAGCACAAGATATTGTCGCAAATATTGAACTGCATTATCAATTTAGACCCAGTGACTAATTTGATAAGCATAGTTATTTTACAAATAAGGCATTTCACATTAAAATCGGCGCTAAAGTCTGTGCATATGGTCTTCAAATTGGGTCACCTAAATATATGCAAGAAAGCCATATTTCAAATTTTGTTGTATCATCCATCAGATATTATTATAAATATAAGTTTCACTTTATATGATGTTGATTTCATGGAATTTATGCATATTTGCTGTTCTCAGGATCCAAAGGTGTTTGAACCTCAACTAAAGACATTAACAAACTTAGAAACTATTGATTTGAGGTTTCAGATGAATGTACTCGCAAAAAATTATAAAGGAGCTGTAAAATTTCTCCTTAGATGCTCAAGGTATCATGAAGACTTTATAAAGGAGTTTATAGTAAAACATGAAGTACATGAAGAAGCATATAAAAGCATAACTAGGAAAAATCAAAACTTTGATTTATGTTCTCAACTTTTTTCTACTTACTTGTCAACAAAATTGAGGTACGATGAAGCGGGGATAATACTTCAGAGAGCAGAGTTATACAATGATGCAATAACTGAATATAAAAAGTCTCTTAATTGGAATCAAGTTATAAGCTTGTCTGTGCTGCTTAATGTTGAATCAAGCAAGAGGAAAGAAATTATATCTGAATTGGCAAGAGGTTTGGTCAAACAGGATAGGATTGACGAAGCTGTTACATTGTATGAAATGCATTGTGAAGACTATTTGAGTGCCATATCTGTTTTACTGGACAAAAACATGTTTCAAAAAGCATTGTGTATGGCAAGGAAGTACAATTCCTTGGATTTAATTGGTTAGTGGGCACAAATACCTTTTTCTAAAATCCAAAATTTTGTTAACAAAAACGAAACTAAGTATTCGTTTGAAAAATAATTTTATCTCAACCTCGAGTACTTTTTGTTGTGTAATTAACTAGCTATTTTAACCAGCTCTCAAAGAGGAAGACGAACAAGTTTTATGGAATTCCAGTTATAATTATCTAATATCTGATAAATCATCTCACTATTTACGAAATTTCTGGATTCCTCCAGCGTTGGTTGAGTCGAACTTGAACAACAACCGACTAATAACGACTCCAGAAGTTTCGTAACTAGTATCACAGTAGCCTGTGGAAGTTTCTTTGAAAGATTGAATTTGTTGCAGATAAGGACATTCGACCAGCCATAATCAAATATAGAATTGATCTGTACAGTAGGATCTTGGATCTCGAAAAGCAATTTTTAATACACTCTGACCGTTTGGAAACAGTTCGGTACAATAAGCTGCTAAATTTAAAAAATAAGTACAGAAACGAAACATGTAAGATGTTTGGAGAATATGATCATTATTCAGAATATGGAAGCTCGATATCCTCATATGGCTCTACTGTAGGTTCTAACAAATCAAAAATGTATGTTTAAAATACACCCCATTCTAGGATCTACCAAATTTATGAAAATTGTTCTTAGGTCAACAACTTCAGCAAAAAATAGAAGAAAACTTAATAAAAAAAAGACCGATCTACGTGAAGGAAGCGTTTTTGAGGATATTGCATTAATAAGACACTTATATTTGTTAACAATCAGTATATTCGATTGCGGCCGAGAGGTTCGGGAAATTTGCTTAACCTTAACAGATGATGCATCTTTTACATACAGTGCTATGTTGCATAGGAAACTCAGTGAGGTGCAAGATAAAGTCAAATCAATTATTCCACTAATTTGGTCTAATACATTTGTTAATGCGCCTCATTCTATAGAACCTGAAATATTAGCTGTTGTACAAAACAGAGAAGAATTGGGTAAGTATACCACTGTTCTTAATACAAAATGGCATACACATTTTAAATTAAAAAATAATTTTATTTAACAGTATTAGTTTCAATATTTATTTTCTGCATGTAATATCTATTATCAAAAAAATGTTTTCTCTTAAATAATACCACTGCCCTTTTTTTACTTTGTAGATATTGAGTTTCGAACTCCACCGCTTCTCAAGAAGTTAGATGATAATTGGAAATTGTTAATCTTTCAATAAAAGATATATTCACAATTTTAAGAATTTAAATTTTCCCTTTAAAAACATAGTTACACACAAATAAAAATAACATGTATATAAACGTTTTCCCAATGAAGAAACAAAATAAATCTTCAATGTTACACAAAAGAAGTGGGTTTATTACTCCAGTTTTTGCGATTTTAAATTAGCATTTGAAATTGAAAACAATTTTTTATTCAAGCTGACGACCCATTCGCGAAAGTTGGCGATGCGTGCAATATGCTAATGAATTCAAATGGTCAAAATGGTTCCTGTCGTAAAGACCATTAGGAAGTTGCTCTTAACACCAACTGTACTTAACTCACCATACAAATTTTTCATTTTGCTCACAAAATAGGTATCTTTGCGAGAACTATTCTGCTTTTATCTTTCACGGTCAACACGATGCAATTCCCTCCCACATGTATTTTTTCATGCAAATATTGCAACGTGCCTATCAATGAATTGCAAGAAATTTGACAGATAAAATTATCAGCAATTTTTTCCCGAATTTGTGCGTGTAAATCGGCGCGAAGCGTTTATTTTTATAAACTTATAGTTTATAGGTTTAACCTCTATGAAAAATGTAAAATATGGAAATCACGAAAGATGTAAGTTTCAATATAATTTTAAGATATTAGATATCACACAGGAAAAATCCAAGCGGAAAAGTTGTTCAAGAAGCAAGTGTATAACCTATAGACAGAATGCTTATTCTCTCATCGCAAGTTTAGTAATTGCAGATGAAAGTTTGCCCTCCCAAATGTATGATTATAAAAAGTGGCAATGGTCAATTTGTTTTGTAGGTATCGACAACTATAACCAAAAAAAAAAAACTATTTCAATATGTACCCCAAATTAGCCCCAAAGAGCAAGAGAATTGCGCAAAAATTAGTTTTACAGAATACAAAAATTAATATGATTAGTATATATTGGATTTTATTCAGCAGTCATCTCTTTCGTTTCTAGTATTGGGATTATGGATTTTCCTTATACTTACACACATTATTATTAGTCATTTATCTGCTAGAATACATGTAGACTTCCTGTGACGTATTTTGAAAACTGGTTCGTCGGACTTAACCTTATTAACCTATAAATACAGGGGTTCTATTACAGTAAAAAATTGATACGCTGCATGGATATTTTCGTCGAGAAGAGCCTGGATGAAACTGCCAGTTTCAATCTAGCTCTGAAGAAACTGATGAAGATGATGATTGGCGATACGCTAGCTAGTTCGAGTAAACAAAAACCGACGCAGGAGGAATCAAGAAGTTTTATAAAAAAGTAATATATTTCGTTTATTATTTTTTTTTAGAGAAAAATGTTAAATAGAAAGGTTATAGGTGACACTAATGGGGACAACTTAAAATTATTTTTAAATATGCAGGGTGATGTATCAATATGTGGCAAACTTAACTCAATTCATGGCATTAATAGATACTCCTTTATAGTGGTCAAAAATGCGCTGTGTTTAATACCCTATATTTTTTACGCCGTCTCCGATAACTATTATTATTATTTTTGATCAAAAAATGACCATAAATCCGTTGGGTGATTGAGTATAAAAGGAGGTATCTACTAATGCTATAATATAAACTGTGCTCCATTTAAAAAATAAATGTTTTGTTTCCCACATATTTATGGCTCACCCTATATATTTCAAAATAATTTTAAATTATATCTTTTAGTCTAATTTATAACGTTTAAATTTATTTATTTTTTTTTAACAAATAATTAATGAGATATGTTATTTTGAAACAATATTTCCAACTTGCCTGTAAAGGTTAGTTGGAACCATTACTTTTGCGAGGTTTCAAACGCAACTTGAAGATTATTAGTCGCGAAATAACAAATAAAGGGGCAGCATTCATATTTATTAATTTGTTAGTTTAGGTGGTTACCAAATAATTTTTGTCACAATTATATTGTCTCTAATCCATCCACATCACGAACGCACGAATGTCGACGGCGGCTTGGATGTGATTCCCCTGCAATAAAGTTTTGTGTCCATGGTAAGCACAGTATAAGTTCAAAGTTTTGAAATCCACTTATTCCATGATGGTAGTTATATATTATTTAATAGTATATGGTATAGGTTATCTTGTTTAAGTGTTTTTGATTTCATTTTTGAATTGGCTGTTTATTTCGCAAAGAGTCAGGATTTTGTTAATTTCGTAACATTGATTCCTTATTCAAATGGATCCCTCAATTGAACATGAGAAATTCATCAGGGAATTTATAGACATTTTTAAAAATAATCCTGTGTTTTGGGAAAAAGATTATAAATCAGACACCAAAAAGACAGATAGAAATGTGGCAATGGAATTGTTAATAGAAAAGTGCAGAGAATATTATCCTGACGCTGGTGCAGATTTTGCCAAAAGAAAACTAGATACATTAAGAGGGTGCTTCAGAAAGGAATACAAAAAAGTCAGTAGATATTTATATTATTTAGGAATGCTTACCTTCTTGTTCTTTTCAGGTTGCAGACTCTAGGAAAATAGCAACTAGCTTAGAAGAAGTTTACAAGCCTTCTCTTTGGTATTACAACTTATTGTTATTTACTGTTGGGGAATCTCCAGATGAAAGTTTGGAACCTCTACGAGAATTTAATGTAACAGAAACTATATTTTGATAAATTGATAAAGATAAATTATGTTCTAATAAGAAAAAATTGTAACAGATTATAAAGAGATATAAATATGTAGGCACTTCTGCTCCAGTAATTTGAACTACAGAAGTTTTGTATGAAAATTTCATTTTGTTTTTTGGTTTATTTCAGAGGTTTTCATATTGGAATCGGGAATATACTCTGATATTAATAGAACTGTTCAAGAAATATCCAGTATTGTATTTGCATGAGGCAGAAAATAACAAAGGGAAAAGAGTTACGGCTTTTAAAGATCTTACAGAGGAATTAACCAGAGCAACTGGAAAAAAATTCAGTTTTCTGGAAGTTAGGAAGAAAGTTAGATTGTTGAGGGACCAGTATAGAAGAGAGAGGCGAAAATTGAAGCTTGGATTGATCAGGCAGAGTACTTTATGGTGCTATGATCTATTAAAATTTTTAAAAAATAACACTTTAAAAATAAATGAGGTATACAGATGAATTATGATGATTAGTCTTTTTTAAATCTTTTAATATTTTAGGAGACAAAGGGATTAATCGGTTCAGAATCAGATTATGAAAAGGTAATATTAAATTGAATTTTGGAAAAAAATATAAATTTTAAATAATAACAAATTAAAGATCACATTTCTGTTCCAGGATTCTGAAAATGAAACAGATAACTTTTCGGATCTAGAATCTTCTAAAATTTCCTGTGCAGCTGGTATTAAAACTGAAACTGAGTTAAATAATACTGTGGAAGAAATTGGCAGAGATGTCGCTCACAAACTTCGAGATATGTCCGATATGCAGAGAAAGTATGCAGAAAGTTTAATAAATGAGGTTATGTATCAGGGAATGATGCAAAACCTGTCTTCAGAAACAAAATTATTTATTTAGGTGCTTTGTTATATTTTTTCAATCTATAATTGCAACGTTAAAGGTTACAATGTATCATAATAAAGAGGCGTGATGGAATATCACATCCAAAGTGAAAGCAGCACCTGTCTATCGGTTGTAAAAAGCACTTGAATTAATTCACGCATGCGTAGATTATCCATCCTGGTAATTTTTTGATATTAATTATGAGAGTGCTTAACATTTAGTTTATTTTTAACGTGAATGACGATGCGTACTTGATTTTTTTTTGCGTCAACAATGTGAAAATAGTATTTTATTTTTAATAGCCAAAAACAAATAAATATTGATTATTTTCATCTTCTTTTTTCCATCAACCTTTTAAACTATTTCTTGCGTTATTTGTATATCAGCAAAATAAATTGTTTTTTTTTTGCTACAAGGCATTCTGTATCTGAAACAAAGTTTCTAATGGGCGAGTAGTTGTGGATACTTGCCCAAAAAGTATTCAGAATGAAGTTTTTGTTTGACCAACCAATAGACTAACCAATGGGATACGTTTGTTATTTCTTTCAATATTAAAAAATAAAATAATCTGTGCAAGAATGGTTAAGGATGTATGTGAAACGGTAAAAGGGCATTTTCTTGATAGAAATCGTATCGTATCGTAGTAGGATGTTGTAAAAATGAATTTGCATTTATGTTTATTCCTGGTTATATTGAAACTTTTGGGAGCAACTTCGTTAGAAACTTTTACCGAAGAGTTGTTGATAAAACCTTTGTACAGCGAGCAGTTGTATGTACACTTTCAGTTCGTTACGAAATGGGATATAAATTCTGAAACTGAAAATTGTAATCTTTTTTAGGTGTGTAATTCATTTAATCAATATTTGTTTTTAGATTTGCATTCCCGACTTTTTCCCCGAGCGCTTGGGGAAATTATCAACAGACATAACATTGAAGAGTTGCATGTTTCTTTGACAGGAGGTTTGTGGCGATATGAGACTTGGGGTTATCCAGTAGTCGATGCTGCTCCTGGGGCAGAGGTTTGGGCGTGGTTTAAATCAGACACAGAAGATGTGAACCTGAATTGGAAACTACTTGCAAACTCATTATCTGGGCTTTTGTGTGCCTCATTTAATTTTGTAGATGGTTCGAATACAATAAGTCCACAGTTTTCGTTTAGACCTGCAGGTGTTAGAAATAATTCATCAAGTAATAATACATTCTTGAGGTTAGTTCATTTGGTTCATTAAGTAATAAATATTTTTCTTTTTATATTTTTTTAGGTACTCGAGTTTACCCCGTGAGGTTGTGTGTACAGAAAATTTGACCCCATTTAAAAAATTGCTCCCATGTGATTCAAAATTGGGCCTAGCGTCTCTTTTAAATTCTGGATATATACATAATACTCGATATCATTCTTTAGCATTACATTTGCGTCCAGTTTGTCAGACAGAGGAGTGTGATGCAATTACTATGGAACTTCAACTATCAGTGTCTCTTGTTTATGATTATGCTATATTAGGTACAAAAAACTGGTCTTTCAAAAAATTGTTTGGTGTAGGATTAAATGGAAAGTGTCCACTAGCTGTAGAAAGTAATATTTATATTGATCTATCAAGTAATTGCTCACAGAAATTTGAATTAATTCCACGTCCAAATCAGATTATTACTTCTGTTAGAGGGGGTCATGCTAGCCTGTTTGGCAGATACAATATTGAACCTTACTTTTTCAGTATTGCTGCTCTCTATGACGAGCAAAATGGTGTGGCAGTTATTTCTCCTCCAGCTGTGTATGCAAATCAGCATCTCACCGGCTATGGACAGGAGAGGGGTGGAATTGTTACTAAAATTTTTAATAGTTATTGGGGCACATTAGATGTTGTATTACTGCAAAATATTGCATGGTATGTACCTGTATACCTGCATACATTAAAGATTACGTCGAGAGGACAGGAAATTGAACCCAAAGTTGTAAAATATGCACCAGGGAGACAAAGAGAGAAGCCTTACTATTTAGAGATTTTACTAACTGTACCACCCCAGTCAGTTACAATAGTATCAATAGATTTTGATTATGTGTTTTTAAAATGGCAGGAATATCCACCTGATGCAAACCATGGATTTTACATCGGTTCAGCCATATTATCTAGTTATTTGCCTTTGGCTCGAAATTATACAGGTGTGCCTCAAGACTCTTGTATGATATCGGCGAGTTTTAATGCTTCTCGCAGTGGCTATTTGGTCCAAGTACGTACCGAGAGCATGGTGATCACCTTACCCACGCCTGATTTTAGTATGCCTTATAATGTTATATGCTTAGCTTGTACAGTAGTTGCTTTGGCCTTTGGACCATTGCACAATATTACCACTAAGAGACTGGTGTTAAAGAAGAAGAATGAAGAAAAACTCATAATCCGACTAAAAAATAAAATTGTGAAATTATTTAGTAATTAAAACAAAATGTGAGTTTAGAATAGTTACTTTTTGTGTGATCTTATTTTTTGCTTTTATTTTTTCGTTATGAAAACTCAGAAATGTTGGCAGTTGATGTTGATAACAATAAAACAAGTGAAATTTTAAATATCCTAAATCTTTTTACCTGTGTTGTATTTTTCTATAAACTCTTCAAAGATCCCTTTATTAATATTATTATTAAACTTTTCAATTCATGGGCACTCTAATGTGAACCATACAAACAAGATTTGTATAATTTTTAAAAAAATTTAATATGAGTATATTCAGTGTTTATTAAGTCAAACTGAGCTCGGCAGATTACTACCTACTTACATGATGTTTTCAGTAGAAAAGTATATATGTACTATTGACAACATGTTTATTAAACTTTAGACATTCGTTTATTAAACTCAAGCTGCGGTCCGCTCGTGCCTAAATGGTTCATAAAATTTATTTCGTTAATACGTATATTATTTCCGTTGATTGGTTTAACAGAAAAATAATGGTAGTCTTCAGTATTTGTCTAAACGAGAAACTTTTTACCCAATGCGAATGACCATAGACGTCCAAATAAAATATACATGTGAATAACCCTAATGTCACTTTGCCCAACGGATTTTCATAAATGAGCGTAAATAACGCACTGATCACAAAATTGTTGGCATCTCTATCACTCCTTAACTTCTATGTTAAAAGTTGTGGTTACACTAGGCCTTTCTTTTATTGTTTGCCATTGTTACTGATCAATGCCAACGCGGGTTTTCAAGTTTACTGAGGAATTTCGAATCTGTGAAAATAACAAAAAGGTAGGATTTGAGAAACTATATATTTACTTAATTGTGTTAGACATTATCGATTAGACATAATGAAATGAATCGCATTTCTCAGTTAAATAGGTATATAAAATTTAAATATTTTGCTATTAAGTAGATACAAATTTGACATAAGCTATAATACATATCTTAATTTGATTAAATCACAGTATTTGTTATTTCGGTTTAATTATGATTATTGTTGCCAGTGTAATGACTTTTCTTCCAATGATTGTCCCAATCTGATCTTGTTATTGAAGTTATATTGTATAACTGACTGAAGTTTATATATTCTGAATATTCTGAGGGTAGTTATTAAAATGGCGTTGGTGCAGACTTCTAATAAATTAGGAATTTATAGTATTTGCAATTTACACTCTGACAATTTTTTTTATATTTTAAACATCCGTTTCTTGCAAATTTAATTATATTTGGTAGGGTAGAATTAGGACCTTTGACTATAAAGTCTGTATTTATAGAAACCTCAATGCATCACAAAAAGCATGGAATGATGTTTTCAGTTTGCTAGTATGCTGTTGATTGAGATGGAAATCCTTCGTTACTGAGTATACAACGTACAAATTGTATACAAATACAAATTGCGGTAAAATTCTACCGAAAAGTTATTACAGTTAGACACATGACAATTAATAGGCCTATCCCTATTTCGAGCCCCGTGGATCCATCGTTGTCGTTATCACTACTGTTGCTTCCGTTCGAACTTCTCTGCCGATTGGCCATTGCAGAACAAATGTCTCCGCAATGCTCTTGCTCGCATATATCACACAAAGTGGCCCTCGGACCCCAGTAGAATATTCTCGCTCTCCGTGCTAAAATATCGTGTCTTTATCACATTGTAAATTCTATATAACTCCTAATTTAATAATGATGAAGTGGGTGTCTTTATTATGTGTATAGGGTGGGCCGTTTATCTCGAGACACTACCTTATCTCAGAAACTATAGGGAATGGAGCCAACAGTTAAATACAAAAATTGATTGGGGTATTACAAACAATTTTAATGTTGTCTATACATTTTTCGTGGGCGACTATCAACTTTCTTATTTTAAATGGAATTCCTACACCTAAGTTAACCCTTTTTGACATTTTTAATTTTTTATGCGAAAAATGACGTTTGCGAGACGTAAACTGCCAATTTCTTCATTCGCAAGTATTTATTGTTTCACTTAAATAAGTTTTGTTGTGGACAAAGGACTTGAATAATACAAGGTACGGAAAAAATAAGATTTAAAATGAAATTAAAAGAACTGCCAAATTTTTTTTAAAAATATTTTTATTTAATATGTTTCTTTTATTTTTATACTTATTTTTATAATCTTGTGTTAAAAATTAAGGCATTTTTATACGAGGTTGTAAATGCCTAATATTTTTACTTTTTGAAATATTTCCTTTTAAACATTTGTCTATCACAAAAATAAAATGCTGGTGTCATATAAGTTTAAAAACAAAACAAGTGCTAGAACGCTTCCTCTTTGGTCGCCTGTTTTGTTGTTGCTTACTGTCCTTGAAGAAAGAAAAAAATAGACGTTGTCATTTTTTTGAATGATGAAGAGCAATTTAATGTTTTGTTGCATTTTGCAGAGACCCCTGAAGAATCAACCCAAAATTAATTCAAAATGCCTGTTTAGATCTAGATGTCAAAAGAACAACGCTTCGAACGTTCATTCAAATAAACAACTGGAAGTCCTATAAATTCAGTCCAGTGCAGAAATTAGAGCATCGGGTTAGATTTTTGCAACAATCTTATGGAGACACAATTTTCAGAAAATATATTTGCTAATATTATTTACATATTTACAACCTCAACTAAAATTTTTAGTCGGAAAAATAACCATTATTGGAGCAACAAAAATAATAAAAAAACATGTGTAAGTTACAATATCAGGTAGAACTTCTATCAACGAATGGTACGCCATTTGGAGGTTCAGAATAATAAATCCAGTATTTTTTTATCAGAATTTAAATTCCCAACGCTATTTAGAGCTTTTAAATATTAGCCATCCCCTTGTTTAAATTTGGCAACAGGATGGTGCTCCTGTTGTCACAAAAGTCAAGAAATTAGCACCTATTTAAATGCATATTGTAGATAATGGATTGGTGAGAATGGTAGTTATGCCTGGCCTTCAAGGCTTGTATTGCTCAAAGTGGGGGACATATTGAACAACTATTACAATAATTATTATCCTTTCTATGCTATAATTTTTTTATTGATCGTTCGTTAATAAAATATTAACCCACGTTATCGCGTATACTTGGTCTTATTTTGAATAAATCATACATTACATGCATAGTACATTAACATAATCTTTGGATCTTCATAAGCGCATTGGCATGGTCAACTATGAAATGGAAAATCATAGTGGCGGCACTTTAGCATTTGTTTTCTTCAAACGGCATCATAGCTATCTTATACTAACTGAACTTATATGGTAACAGCATGTTATTTGTGATAAACAAATGTTTAAAACGAAACATTTCAAAAAGTAAAATTATTAGGTATATACAACCTTATATAAAATTTCCTCGATTTTAATGCTAAATATGACAAGATTATAAAAATAGGTAGATCCCAGTTAAAAAAAAGTTTTTTGATAGTTTTTCAAAATTCATTTTTAATCTTATTTTTCGCATATTAATATTATATGTGTATTAATATGTATCGAAATTTCTTATGAAATCCGTTATTCGAGTCTTTCGCCTACAACAAAACTTACTCAGTAACTGCTTCCTAATGAAGAAATTGGCAGATATTTTACGTCTTGCAAACGTCATTTTATGCATAAAAAACTAAAAATGTCAAAAACGGTTAGACTTAGGCATAAGACATTACACAAAATATGTCTTGAATTTGGTACGAAAATTTAAAAATGAAGTAAAATACCATATGATCCATTTAAAATAAAACACGAAAAATTAAACACCCTGTATGTACAACAATAAAATAAATTAAAGGTTTACACACCTCAATTGACTTTTATGTTTAATTTTTGGCTTCATTCCGATAGTTTCTGAGATAAGACAGTGTCCCAAGATAAACGGCCCACCCTATACAATAGCAGAATATTTAACCGTGATGTAAAATGAAGTTTTGTTGCAAAAAATTAGTAGTATCCGTCTTTTGTCCCCAAAGATATTAAAGTTATTGTATCAGAACCAGCCAAAAATTACATTTGCATTCAAAAATTGACTAAATATTAAGAGTTGAAAAGAAAACTCTTAGGCCTCTTATTTTTGTAACGGATCACCATAGTTTACAAAGCAAACCAGCATTAATTTTTCACCTGGGGTAACAAATTGAAATCGGTAAAGGTATACTTACACGTATCGTAATAATCATAAACCACTGCTGATACGGGTTTTTGCTTTGCAACTTTGTGCGTTCGGTAAGCTGACACGGTTGGACAGTACTCGATTACCGTCAGATTGTTAAAATATAGGATCACTTTAGTATCCCCGTGACTCGTTTCCACTTTTTGGACGTTCTGAGAAACCTCTAAACTTGGCAGCGAATCCCTATCAGCAGTGAATCCTGACGGTAGCGTTACCTCCATCACCGCCATGTTACTTAGCGGAGTGTACGAGAGATTTCTACTTACGAACCTAGAAGAAGAAACGTATTTTCGATATATTTGGTGCCCAAAATTGGTGAACGCAACATCTCAAATATCCAAATTTTCGACAAATTATGTTTTTCTATTCCTTTACATCTTGTACTTTTTAATGTTATTATTATTGTTATCTTCCAGAAATATATTTTTCTTTTTCTTTCCGTCTTGTATTTTTTAATGTTACTATTATTGTTATTTACCAGTAACTTATTTTCACTTATTTACCATTTTTTGTCATTCCTTGTGAAACTTGCTAGTATGGTAAACACTAAACACTTTCCAAGTCTATATCAGATGAGATATAAGTACCAATAATAAAATAAAAAATAATTTTACAATTGTTTGACAACTACACCGTATTTTAAACATATATAGACTGTACTTTCTCTCCCCTATTATGCCCTGATCAGTGTTGCACCAGTTGCGCCATTATCAGCTTCATTAGACACTATTAGGGATCAATTTTTACTACTTTAGTCATGGGTTGGGAGCGACCTGATGCTTTCAGTAGAAACATTGATGAAATTTTGAAATTTGTTGGTTGTGATGTTTATGTGCTCTATTGTTTACTTCTTCATTAACTTCTCTTTTAAATAAGATAAATAAGGTATTATATTCGATAACGATTACAATTTTGAAAACCCACAATGTCAGCATTTGAAAAAAATATACATAGTTTACAAATAAAGGTTTTTATGAATTCGCACATTTAATGTTTGCAAAAAATATTTTTTTAGAAAAATTTCGAAAACGCGATATTGTTGCACAGTTTCACCATCCCAATCAGCATACAATATTTAATATTTCCAAAAATCTGAGGTTGAAACTTCAATTTTATATATTAAGTTGAATTACTTACGCTACACAAATTGACAACTGTAGATGGTCTATGTTTGAGTTTTTGTCAACCTGGGGATCCAAAGTGAATAAGGGCCACGGTCCGGTAACATTCATGTTATATTGGTACGACACCCTGAATATTCCAAAACCGCTGCCTGTTGCTGTCACATTCACTTCTCTCGAATCTTTATCGATCTACGAAACACACATGGTAATCAATATTAATACAATCTACAATACAATACTAATCCGACAGTATTTCAGCAACAATTTCAAGAAGTAAAGATTAGTCCAAAAAAATTCCATGACACTAACTTCGGTTGATTGAAGAATCATTGCGTTGTTCGTGTTTACGTTGAATTTGTTGGACTTGCCCTTATTGTAAGTAAAATTGATTTGTAAATTGGTGGGTAATGTTAGCCTCGACACCATCTTGTAGAGAGCTTGCAGTCCGGTGGCTGTATCACGTGAAGATGCAAATCCTCCAAGATTATTTTGTTGATTGATCAACCAATTCAACACGGGCACCGCATCATCTACTAAATTAGCTTCGATAAGGGCCAAAAGTGCGTACGAAGTCATTTCAATATCTATAGATCTCGGCAGTCTTGTCCATGGGTTTTTCGCGTCGTCGCCAGGTAGACCTTTGGTCCACCATTTCATATCGTTTTTACTATTCGCTCTCGAATCCAGTAAATTCGAGGTACTTTGTCGAGAAGTATGCTTGGCGACGTGGAGAACGTAATTACAAATGGCGATAGCGTACGACGACTCGTCTTCGTTCATGTTGCTCGTTATATAATCTAAACTTTTGTAGATTACGTTGGTATAGTTCTCACTGTAGCTTCTCTGCAAAGACAAAACAATAAAGGCCAATAGTACTTTGAATATGCTAGAACCTACTTGATTTTCTAGAAATGCTAAAGTCGTAAAGGCCGTTAAACTCAAACTGTTTCCGTCTCTGCTTTGCATGTCTTCATATATGACCGTTCCTACTTCTACAAAACTTCCATTGTTTCCTTGAATATTCACCAGCCAGTCGAGGGCTGTGTTTATAATATTATTGTCCACGTATATAAATTGCTTAGCTTGTTTCAATGCCAACACCACGTAAGCGGTTAACCTTCAATTACAATATTTCATACAACTTTGTTTATTGCTGCGCTGAAGACTGTGCAGTGCTTAAAAATTATGTTCAAATTAAATCGTAATTAATTTAGATTTTTTTCAGAAATTGAAGCACAAAAATTATTAATGAAAGTGTTAATGGGGAACTTGCTTAAAGAAGAAAATCATTTAAAAATAAAGTTGTAAAATTTGAGTAATTTTAATTGTTCTTAAAATGCACTGCCATTGGTTACATCAGAATGTTGTATTTTGATCTAGACGCACGTATACACACATTCAAATCACACGAAAAATAATCAATACTCATTGGTATAATATAACGTTGTATTTAGTTATTTTAGTTTTGTGGTATTTATTTTAGTTATAAGTTTTGTTTAATTTTGCTTGATTTGGTGTTTGGTGGTTCTATTAAAGACTGAAAATGGTTGATTGTTGTTGTTGGCGGGTGTTATAAATGGACAATCAGACAATTTATCCAAAGTTGGTATAATTATGACCATCACATATTAAAAATTCGGAGGACTTTTCTCAAGTTCGTGGTGTAAAAGTTAGTCAGTAAGTATAAATAGTAATGTATGGCCATTCTTAAGGTGTATTTATAGAGATTTAATTTAACATTTAATATAAATTAAAAAGTTTGATAATTAAAATTTAACTGTTGCGTTTATACAAGAATTTAATTTAAAACATAATTTAATTTTAAAGTGAACCAACTTTTAACTTGGTATTTAAATTATATTTATATTTACGTTATCAGCTTTTATCAACTGAATTATTTAAATATTACTGTTATTTTATTATTATTTTATGCGAATTTTTCTTTCTTTCTTTTTCTTTTCTGCAATTATTTCTAGTGTTTTTCGTAAGTTATATTTAAAATTTAAACTTTTTTCTACTCCCGCCTGTAGAATACCTAATTACCACGTCAGTTTGCTTTCCCACGAATCCGAGCCACTTCGGACATCTCCGGGATTTTAATAATCGGATGTTTTCGGGGATATTTCCCACGCTTGGAATTTTGACGTTGGTCAATTCTGACGGTTATGTCAGTGAATGTATTCGTGTTGTTTTACGAAAATGTACCCAAAAACTAACGGGCGTAGAAAAAGTATAGTATGCAACACGTTCGGTAAACTTTTTAACTCACTCGTTTATTAAACACTCGCTCCGCTCGTGTCAAATAAACTCGTGAGTCAACTGCTGTTTACCGCACTTATTGCATAATATACTATTATATCATTTAATTAATAAAGTCAACTAAATGTCACAACTTGGTTTAACCTCATCATTAATAAGTTATAGGTACAAATTTTTGTATTTAAAAATAGATCAATAACCAAGAAAGGGGATTAGAAAATCTTTACCTGATAATTGATTGTATTAGCTACTTACTTATGATTTATTAATTTCATTTTAGATCTGAAGAGATCTGGAGATTCTGCGGGTGGGTTCAAGTCACAGTTGAACTCGCACAAAAGGGAACGGATTTTTAACGAATAATAAATACAAAAGTAGAACATTAAGCAAAACAAAATTTGTTTATTTGCTATAATGTGTTTTCATATATAAACACACATTTTAGTAAAATAAAAAAAAGGGCAAGTTCCCTATTCTGAAAACCTTAGTAAATTGATACCTACAGGAAGAAGAAGATAAAAACGACAGTTGAAGAACTGCCTGCACTTATTGGATAATTTGTGTTTGTGTATTTCATGTCGCATTGCAAATTTACTTACCACACACTGCCGTTATCGTCTCTCTCTCCGAATGCGCTGAACGATCCATCTTTACGTTTATAAGTCAGCTGTTGTTGATAGCTCCTTTCCAAAAAGCTCAAGGCCTCGTTTTCTATAGTTGGATTTAATTGGCGGCTGTTTCTCAAATATTGCAAAATGATCAGATTCGGCATAATGTGAACCAAATTCTGTTCCCCGCAGCCCGTGGATAATCGTATCAGATTTTCTAAGTGGATCATCGAGGATCCCAGCAAATCACCCACCGCAGACACTTCTATTTTTTCGGAACCCTCAATCGCATTTTTCGGAACGGTGAAGTTGATAGATTTCTTGTAAGGATTCGATTGTCGCATGTCGATCAGCACTGATTTGGAATAATATTCGGTTTCTCCACCGACCTTAAATTTTTGTTTAAAACATTTTTATGTCATACGAGATGGTAATAGTGTTGTGTTAAAGAACTTTAGCTTCGATACAGGACAAACGTAAGTGATAATGAGTTTCCTTATAATTGAATATAAGATATAGGAAAACCTGAATAAACTTGAGTAGAGGCAATGTTATTTAATAAAATTCAGTTATGGCATTTGCAAAAATTTCATACCAAACCTTATTTGTAAGTTTTGTAATGTATTTGAGAAAAAGTAGGAGTATTAAGAGTGTAGGGAACCTGAACAAAATCAACTTTAATTTGTGAGACTTTCTATCTTACCTCTACTTTTAGGTGCTTGATAATTGTGCCTTGGTTTCTCGGACTATTTGCCGTAACCTTGATTTCGATCATTCCAGCTTTGAGTGTGGTAATCATGAACGATACAGCTGCACCGCCGTTTTTCTTGACGTTGACCTTTTTTCTTTTGTACAATTCTATTTCTAAATACAAAAAAAATTGGATTGGGTGCAACCGTAGATATATAGAGGCCCTGCCTATGCTGAGAGTACAGAAACTTATGAAGCAACTATGTAATTTTCTTTTAAGAAGGTCCATTCAACGTGCGCATGCGCGAGATTTCAAATTTCGTTTTTAAACAATGGCAGCTCTAATGACTAATTCTGACGTAGGACCCATAAGACCTTGCGGCTTTCAACAAGCAACATGGCCGCTGACAAATCGTCGATGTTTGGATATGGCATTTATACGGCAGCATTTTCGCAAAATACATCCAAATTCTATTAAATTTCCAGGCAAAAAGGCATTGAGGCCTGGAAAAGCAGTGCAGAATTGCATCACCGACGTCGGCGTCAGTATAATTCTGTATTTAATTTGTCTTTTTTGTTCTTCAAGCCCCGTAATGCGATGCAATTTCTACATGTATTTTTTTATGTAAGCTATTTTTTTTTGTAAATCGACGCAAAGCGTTATTTTTGGTAAACTCATAAAATAAACCTCCATTGAAATATCTTTGAGATGTTAGATATCCCACATGAAACATCTAAGAGAAAAAATGTTCAAGAAGCACCTCCTATATACAGTAATTGACGATGTCTATGACGATTACCTATGCTTGTTCTTGTAAAAATTCAACTTGTAGCTTAATTGCGTTCTTATATTTCCTGTTATTCTTGTACATTAAAACAAATTACCCAAACATCCTTCATACCTATTGAAAATCCAATTAGGTCCTCATATTTGCCACATTTGCTCTAATATCGTAAAAGAACGAAGTATTGAAAGCACAAATTATACAAGTTGTTGATTACGGTACAGAGATATTGACACCAAAAATGAAAACAACAATGGCACAGAGCACAGACTGTTCTGCGACAACAGCCTGTAATACTTAGCTCTGTAATTACTTAGCTCTTTGTTGCCAATTATGTTCGGATTTCAGAGGTTGATGTTGCGTTCTTATAAAAATTAATCAATTTTCCAGAAAAATTACGACAATGTAGAAACTTAGTCAGTTGGAAAGTGACGCATGCGCAAAACATCCATACCTTCTCTACAAAAATATCATAGCCACCTACGGCGCATCAATTTTTACCCTAGTACGGTCACCATAATATATTATAGCTATATGGGTGCAACGCATTATAGATGATCTACGGAAACTGTCCTAGAGAGCTAGTATATATTTTTTTCACGTCAAATTTGGGAGGAGTAGTATTTCCAAAAAGACTTATTATCAGCCAGAATGATTCAAAGTCAAGTAATACTTTGACCATTGATCTTTATTTATTTTTGCTCCATTTTAAAGTGCGGGTAAACTTTTCAATTAAATTAAATTATAGAGTTTATTGCAAGTATCGACCATTTCGGGCTGATCTGACACAGCTTGAAAAATCAATACATCAAAAGTTTAATTGGTATAAACTATAACTTTACAGATTAGTATTAGTAAGTGGAGAATAGAAAATCTTTCCAACGAATTCCCTTATTCCTATTTGAAAAAATTATGAGAACTATGCAGTACCTGCATATTTGATAGTCTACTCTGTATAAGTACTTACTCTTCGTCGCATTCACGTCGTTCGAGACTTCGGCAAACTCGAAGTTTTGTTCCGTGTTGTGTAGCGTGATTTCCGCCGTGAAATCTGGCCCATTATAATTCGAAATTACAACCGGAACCGCCAAAATCTCTCCTTTTTGCACAGAGTAGGGTAAATCGAGACTCACCACGAACGATTTCGCCACTTTCAGTTTTTTAGGCTGTGCCATTAGCGCGATTCCCATTATCGGATCAAGAGAAAAGCCACTAATAAGCCAACTGTTTAGGGTCGATGGTGCCTTTCGTCTTATAGAGGTTTTGCCCTCATATCCCGATGAAAAGTTGGTGAAAATCCAAGTTTGCGCCACGTTTTCGGTCAGGTATACTTTGGGTTTGTTCCACACTGGTTTTGGAATCCTGCTAAATGCGTAGGGACCGGCTAGAGGCGGTCTGGTGACTGTGTGAAATGGTAAACCCACTCCTCGATCTGGTTTGACGGTTGAGGATCCGTAGAATACCGGCCGCAAGTAAATATCCTCCACTGAAAATACCGAGTAATATTTGGACCAGAAATATAGTGCTTTTATAACCGACCCCGTGATTAACTTTGCCTATTGTTTATTACTGCAAAACCGCAGCCCCTTATAGAACCGAGCAGACCCTTAACCGCATTCCAGGACCGTCCTAGGAAGTTATCTATCTATACTAATAACCTAATAATTCTTGAAATATGTACATAAAAAGTTGGTACAAAGTAACAATTTATTACGTTCTATTTCATTACATTTCTACATACCATCATTATTAATATACAACATATTAAATATGATAATAATAAAGTATCAGTCCCTTACACAATCGTCACTATCGCCACTGTCGTCACCTAGTTCAATGATCAACTCCGCCACTAATCGTTCTCGATAAATATTGAACTGAGGTGGCTTTTACTTGATGAAAATCCATCTTTTATTGCTCGGTTTTGACAGTTAGACCAGCGTTGTACTAGATGCTAGATGGTACTATCACTAAATTTTGGCGCAGTGTTGTTTCTTCTTATATGAACTTTCAATTCAGACCAAATTATCTCAATCGGGTTAAATATACAATGATACTGGAGTAATCAAGATTTCATGTCCGTTTTGTTGTGCTATCGAATCGATTTTCTAGTCTTTATTAAAATATGTTATTTTTAATAATTCCAGAAGTTGTTTTTTCTTTCTTTAATTTCTTCTTTATTTGAAGAAGTACTTGGAATTTTTCTAATATAATAACAGTATTTGACGATAGTTTTGGCAATAGTTTATTTTCAAACCAGTCCTCAAATATTTCGGCGGTCATGTTTTCATCGTAATCCATACTTGATCTTTGACGTTTTTGACAGACAAAAATTAAGAATCTTCCACCCAACTATTTTTGGACCTAGCATGAAGAATTATAATGTGTTTTCCATGTGAAAGCGGTCTAGCACACACTTTTACTGTTATCACACCATCCTTTTTTTACTGCGTCGTGAGTGTCGAACCCCGTTTCGTCTAAATACACTAAATACACTATTTCAATTATATTTAAATAATCCACCCTTCATTGCAAAATTCTTTAAGATTCCATGAGCATTTGACGTTTATTAATTGTTTGGAACTGAAAATTTATTTTCTTCAAAAAAGTACGCAACGACCCTTTGGCACAGCTAATGTTTAAGTCTGTCAGTACTTTTTTATGCAGTTCTTCTAGGATTAAAACAGTATTCACTTTATAAGCGTCGAAGATTATACGTCTAATTAGATCAGCGTGTAGCTCTTTCAAAATTCGCGAAGTACCAGCATATTCTTTCACTTTCCGCTTGACTATCCCATTTGCAATAATTTTTCTTACAGTTGACTTCTGAACTTTGGTCATGTCATTTGTTTTTATTTCTGCATTAGGTTCGACTACCATCTCCACTTCGTCTTCAAATTCTGCATTGTTTTCCATGTATTCTTCTAACAGGGGAATATCTGCTTCATTCCACGGTCTCCACATTTTAAAGTGTTAAAAAACGGGAACCTTCAAAAAATGTTTAATTGTAAGATTCTTATGAATATTTATCTGTATTTTTATGACGTTCCTTTATCTAACGCGAGTATAATCTATAGTCCTAAAAAAGACTGTTGTTGTTTACAAATCGAAGAACTATGTAGAAGACACAAAAATACAAGAAGATGAATGTTGTTAATCAACAGGCACACAAGACAAAAATGATTTTTTTCAAACTTACCTGTAAGATAAATAAAGTACAGGTACTTACCCTTATCCTTTGAAATATCCAGTGAAAACAGCCTCGCAGAGTCAAAGCTCGAGAATCAGGTACATAAATACCTACTTAATGGAAGGATCACAGTCAAATCCCTCCGTAATATATACGAACATATTGAAATTTCATACATATCACCTGATGTTAAAATAAACGCTTCTCCTTGTTCGAAAATACCTCGAAGCATCAATGCTTGATCAAATTTAAGACGGTCTACGTTTCAAATACAAATTTCAAGTTTCTACAAATATTCTACTTAATGCAGAATAAACATCTGCTGGGGTGGGTTTTACCACGGTCCTGCGAAGGTTTGCGGTTAAGGTACTGTAAAATACTTAAAACGTCAAAGCAATAAATGCACCATATTTTTGGTCGTATTATAACTAAATAGTTTAAAAAGCAGTTTTTTCTATTCATATTAAACAATTTCCATAATTTGGTATGGTGCATAAAAAACTTACGCGTGGGCTTGTGCCGATTTATATGGGCATTGGTGATGATGTCAGCTCCAGCCTCCTGAAATGAATCGATGAGATCGTAATTGTAAGTCGATCGCGACGAAAACTAACGAAAATTCCCGAATGTGGATTGCTGCCGCCCGGTTTCCAGGAAAAATGGCTCTTGGCGTCTTTCATAACCGAGAAATACGGAGACCTGTCTGCGATATCGTACCTCAATAGTTCCGTGACGACATCTTTCGGAGTAACGTCGTACCCGCCCCTTATGTTATGGGCATTCTCGTCCACCGCCATAAGACCTATATACGAATTCTGTCGAGCTCTGATGGTCAACTCAACGTCCAAGTCAGGCTCTGTTTCGTCAGTATTTACATCGACGTTGACCTAATATTAAAACCATAAGGTGTTTTTAATTATCGTTACAAAGTATGAGGCCGTGAAAGCAAGATTAAAAAAAGGTCTAAACAGTTTTTTCATTCTTTTTATATTTCAATTATTTGATGTATTAAAATATTTATTTTTATAATGGTGGGCTGATATTTTTACATATCAGGCGATGGCTGTTCTATAGAGGAATTTCTCAGTAAAATGAAAATTTCCTATCACTACAAATTGTGTGACATTTTGACAGACTTATTATGTAAAAATATTACCAGTATTATTTAAAAAAACACTTATAACTATAAAAGTAGTCCAAGGGGTAATTACAAAGCTACCCTTATTAACTGACTTTTAGAATTCAATTCACAATATACACTAAAGTGCTTTTTACACTATTTTTTTCTCTAGTTTCACCCCCCTCTTATTTTGCTATCGTTTCAAAGCATCGGAAATCATTTTAAAATACGTACAAAATTTTCAAATAAATCGTCGACTTCTATATCAATGACATCTCCTATGAATTCACCATCTTCTTTTATGTAGTAGACGATTAGATGAGATAACGGAACCATAATGGGAACGGCCGTAAAATGGAACCTAAACACTTTCTTGTTATCTATTTGAAAGGTGTTAGTTAACAGTACGTCCCCTGAAATTTAGACCATTACATAATAATATTTCATTAATGAACAACATACAGAGACATCGTAAAAATTGTAAGGAATTTAATAATTTAAAATGTAAAATTAAAACTTAGGTTATTAAAATTAATTGGACACTAATAAACGATCTAAATTGCGGCTATTATTTCAAAAACAAATAGAAAACGTCATACCTCTAGCTAGAAGAACGTAATTTATATATCTTAGCGGTTCGCTACAATTGACCACTACGTTAACATCTGAAAGGGTCTTCGGTGTTTCGGTTTCTAGCGTTAGCTGCAAAAACGTGTCTGAATACGACACTGCAGCTGGAACAGGAGACATGCGTTCCTTCAAGTCTTTATATCCAGCCTAAAATTACAAATTCTGCCAAAGTCGAACTTATAGATACGAGGTGTGTTCAAAAAGTAAGATGACTTTTGTAATTGGGCGAGCTACGTACATTCGATCTTCGATATTTTTGTTTGTTATGTCAGCACACATGGCCATAACATATATTCACAGTTTCAGCCAGTTTACACGTTTACTTTTTTATTGCGAGACAGAAGCGTTAAAAATGTTTTTTGCTCTCGGCGAATTTCTGCTGTCAAAAGAGAATGGAACAAAAAATTTGCATAAAAATTTTTGTAAAAAATGGAATACAGTGCTGCAAAACACTTGAAATGTTGACCACAGCACGTGGTAACTCTACTTTGAGCAAAACAAATGTTTATAAGTGATACACCCTGTTCCAAGATCGCCGATGATAAATAACTTATAAAAGCGTAGAGGAAGTGAAACAAGTAGAGTTAAAAAACAGTAGAATTACTATTAGAGAAGTGGCTGAAAACGTCGGCATCTCTATTGGCTGGTGCCATGCAATTTTTTCTGAAGTTTTGAGCATGAAACGTGTAGCAGCAAGGAGCTTCACTCTAGAGCTGTTAAACGTACTCAATGATGATCCTGATATGCCCAAAAAGGTCATAACTGGTGACGAATCATGGGTATATAGTTTTGACGTCGCAACCAAAGCCCAGTCGTTCTAATGGAAGAAACCAAAAAAAGGTTTTGATTACTGATTTCTTTGATTATCGTGGCGTAGTACATCGAGAGTTTTTACCACAAGGTCGTACGGTCAAGAGAGTATTACCTTGAAGTTATGCACCGTTTGCGAGAAGCAATACGAAGAAATCGTTCGGAATTGTGGGAAAACAATTCATGAATTTTGCATCACGATAACGCACCTGCTCATTCATCGTTGCTTGTGTCTAACTTTTTGACCAAAAACAAAACCAGAATTATGCCTCAGTCACCATATTCATCATTCGTCATTCATGAAAAGAAGGAGGTTTGGAATGATTGAGGAAGAACTCAAGGCTATACCCGGAAGTGCTTATAACTGGGCGGGGGGTGGGGGGTTACTTTGAAGGGGGCAACATTAATTTTGATAAATAAATAAATACATTTCGATAAAACTCAAAGTCACCTTACTTTTTGAATACACCTTGTATACCAGGTGTCTAGTTTTATCTGTGTAAAATTTCTTGAAATTTTCTACTTTAAATATTGTACAGTATATTTTAGATTAGGTAAGTTTTCAAAATATTTTAGACAACTTTCATTTTTTCTGGATTACATAGGTGTACCTATTATAAAGTTTTAAATAATAAGATAATAATACAATATCTTCTTTAGGTGGTTAACTCTGCCAATTTTACCTCTATCCTTAACGCAGTTGTGTTGGTAACATTTATTGGAGTCAAATATTCCAACTTGATAATACCATTGTCATCGATTTTGTGAATATTTGTCGCATATACTTCGTCAGCTCTGGAAAATCCGTGTCTCACTGTAACTTCTCTTTGATCAGGTTTAATAACTGTTCCGTCGTGATTTGAGACCTTGATCTGAAAAAAAATTAAATTTACGTTTTTTTTATTTGATACGATACAGCAATGTAGTTTCTCTTTTGAATTTGTAAGTTGGGATAATATATCAGTAATCAGTATGATTTTGCAATCTTATTTTTAATATCAGTCATAAAGCTGATATTTTGGAAACTTTATGATTTGTTATATATAAATAAGATTCTCATATTTTTTATGTACAATTTACTACGTACCTGTAAGATTTTAATATAGACAATTTTTATTAGCGTAAACATAATAAATAAATGTATTTCGTTCTTGAAATCCGTTTATATGTTTTTGTTAGTTTTGGAAGATATTATTAAATAAAAAATAAAAGTCGGAAGGGACAGAAAATAGGTTTGATAATAATAATAATAATTTTAAATTAAAATTAAAATCTACGATTTTTAAGCCTGATATCTGTCAGATTCAATTTTTGGAAAAGGAAGTTGGCATTTTCGCTAGTAGAGGTCAAATTATTTCCCGATTTAATATCACCTCCCGTGGTAATCGGAGAAAATTCCACACCAGTAGTTTCCAAAAAATCAAAATTGATTTTGTTGACAGATTTCCATAGCAACGCATGTTTCCATAAAAATTTTCAGTATAATTCGATGGTATGGTGATCTCTCAAAAAACACGTATTATTTGGTTAAAAATTGCAGGTGTTCTCTTGATAATTTTACAATATCTCAATTTAAAAAACTCAATATTTCATAAATAAAGAAATTTTGGCGACACTAAAAATCACATCGCATTTTAAACGTAGATGAAATTCATAGCCATATTTAATTTTTTTAAATATATTTATGGGAACAAACCCAAATATTTATTTTTAGCATATATTTAGTAAAATAAAAAAAAACATTTTACAACGACTCTGCCTTGTTGAACAAACAAATACATTGTTTTAAACCATTTTTATCCCCGCCACAGAGGCGGAATTAACGTTTGATAATGTGTGTTTGTTTAGATGTCTTTGGTTTTGATTAGCTTAAACTTAAAATGGTATTGAATGGGTAACTTACATACACCTCATATTTGAATCCCGGCTTAAAGTAATCGGACGTTTTTATTATCTCCATTTTGTAGTCGTATTTGTGTATGTGTACATCGACGCTGTTATTTTGCCTTCTGCCCGTGGGCAATTCCTCGATCGTCACGTCAACGATGACAGTTCTTTCGTATTCATCGTTGAGACCTAAATCGTTTTCGATGTTGAAATCAACCGAAATCGTACCATCGATTTTCACAACCTTGCGGATCGGGTTCTGGAAAATCGGCTGGATTACTCCCGAGTATATCGTCGGGTAAACTGTAACTGTTGCCTCTCCCGTGACATTCTTGCCGTAGTTGTATCTAATGAAGATACCTGTTTAATCATCGCAAATAATTATACAGAAAATAATTACTTGGCGTTTATATTCACGCTAAGGATGTTTTCTTTGAACGTAATATGTCTCGGAGCTTCAACGTCTACTTTGAACTTTGGCCGTATGTACTCGGCAACCTCAATCGATTTGCTATAGGTTTGGCCGTGGATTATAACGGATATATTCCAGTGTCCCAAAACTGGACTTGCACTCAGTTTGAGGTCTCCGGAGAATACGCCCTTGGGGGCTGCTACGTTCGTCCACTGCTTAACTTTGTTTCCATTGCCGTCCTTGAAATGGTATCGCTTTGCAGATGCTTATTCGATATTATATAAAAATAATGTACCGCTATTTGAATATGTAGTGGTTCGTTCCTGACTTCGGCGGCGGGTTTCAGGGCCGGATTTAAGATAATCGCCCTGAACATTACGGTGGAACCAGGCTCGTAAACTGCTCGATCCGTTTGAATGAACACAGAGTAACTTTTCTTGACAAATTCGAGCGGAAAATCTGACGCGAAGTTGGTGCCCCCGAATCCCGTTATGTGAAGTTTGTAGTCTCCATCTTCAATGTCACCTACCTGTTAGGAATTTGCAAATATTTTCAGTACGTCGACTAAAAATTCTAACAATTTAGGTTATAGGTGGCGAGGTTTGTATCTAACAATTTAATAATCATTGCAAAATCATAGGAAAAGGGAATGTTTATTGAACATGTTTAGAAAAATTGATAATACATTCCAAAATAGCCAAAAACAAGAGAAAAGAAAATTGTGCAACAATGAAATTTCACAAAAAAAAAACAAAAATAATAATGGAAAACGGCTCAAATGGAAGGAGCTTTATTTTGATTCTCAGTTTGGCAGTTTATGTCATGTTACGTTATAGATTTAATATTAAATAGGTTTCGAAATCTGAAAAGGCAACTTTTTGAATGATGTTCTAATCTGCATTCAATGTAGAAGCTTTAATTCAATAAGTAATACAATAAAAAAAATACATTTTAAAACATTAACTTTTGTAATATTACTGCCAAAAAAAAGTCAGTTTTTATTTTCAAGTTAATACAAGTTCAATGATCTTATTTTATCCTTTTATCTCGAATTGTCTCATTGTTAATCAAATACCATACGAGGTATGATTCAGTTAAGGAAGCACAACATCCGAATCCCGGAAATATTTTAGACTAAAGTATTTAGAAACAGGCGACGTTTCTCAATTTTATTTAAAAGCACATATTAAAATAAATTTACAGTGATTGCCAAAGTTTTTTGACGATTCGCCTCTAAGTGACCACGTAGTAGTATCGCACAATGAGAATTACGAAGAATAATAAATTAGAAAAAGATTCCTACTGAGTTAATGCGGCACATATTAAAATATCTATTTTTTTTTTCAAAAAGACATTTAAAAAAAATTGGCATACCACCTTCGTTAAAATTACATGACAAATTTTTTTAGATCAAATTTCAATTAGCCTATAGATGTTGAGTCAGCTATAGAGTGAAGTTCATTATCTTATTGGTTTCGAATAACAAAATGTTTAGGATATTTTTAAACTTTGTTTTGAATTCCTTGTAAAATTCTTCAACAATTTTGTTAATAACAATACATACCTAAACCAATAGTTTTTCAATTTGGTAATTTTTCTAAAAAAATACTAGCTTTCACCCTTGCATTCATGTTTGATATTAAGATATTTGCAACGAAATTTTTATTAGAAACTAAAGGGTGTTAATTTAAATTGAAAATTTTGGTTAAATGGCACGCCATATATATTTTTAGTTTTCTGAAGATCTTACAAAAGCCTACCATTTTTATTAAGTACGTCATATCCCTATGTTTAATGCTTTGTGATTTATTTTAACTTTTCCAATATGTGCCTTTCTTTCAGTCTAAGGCTATTATTGCTATAACAACTGAACTAAATTAACAAATTCATATAATTAATTGTGCTGTGTAAGACTTTACAAGATGACGTACCCTAATATATTTGATGCTAGTGGTAGTATTAAATATGAAAAACGTAGGTGGTAAACCGGAAAAAAAATCGGAAATTCTACTTCAACATCAAGATAATTCCAAGGTCAGTAGCCGTCAATTAGCTAGCTTATTGAAATCGCACCACTAGAAAACACAAATATGGAACTACACCAAACACGTCTAGGTCGTGATTGTGAACAAAGGATAGACTTCTGCACCCTTATAAAAAGCAATAGAGAATGCATTATTATTCAACAGTTGTATTCAAGTAGAAGGGCATCTTTTTGAACATTTATTCCGATTAAGTAATAATTAAAAATAAAATAAGCTAATTTGAAGTAATAGGTATTTAATATTATTTACTTTTTATGTGGATTTAAAATTTGTCCGTTATTTGGACCAAACTTGCTATTACTATATCTACCACGGCTCTAACAAAGTTCTTTCTAGTGTTCATTTTTTCTTTTTAACAGAGCGCTTGCTGGCTAATAGTTTTGTCACTACCAACTAATATTATAGTAATAGTCTTAGATAGAAAGAAATGTAAATATTGAAAAAAGTTCAAATAAATCGCAAAGTATTAAAAATAGGTCTATATAACATACTTAATAAAAGTTGTGTTTTTGTAAGGTCTTTTATTAAAAACAATTATGTATATGGTGTGTCATTTAAGAAAATCAAGATTTTTCAACTTAAAATAATACAAATATATTCGTTTCATTTGGACACCCTGTATCATCAAGTTTAAATTTCGTTGCATATATCTTTATCCTCATCTTCGCATCAAAGCTAATAACAAAAATAGCGAAAATAGCGAAAAACTATTACGTGTGCGTACTTGTTATTATTAATAAAACAGTTGAAGAATTTAGAAACGAATTCTAAACAAAATTTAAAAACAGGGTAAAAAAAATGTATGTTTTTTTCGTTACGCTTTTTCAAGACATGTTTTTAAATTCAGAATCTCATAATCATAATCTTTACAACCTTTTGTATTTACCATTTTCTCATAACTTTTGAAATTAATGAGATAATGACCTTTATTCTATGTTTGATTCACTTGCTACCTATAAAGGCATAATTTTTGGACGGTATTTTACAACGGGTATACGAACCTCGAATCGACAAATAGTGCTGGATTGAGGTTGCACGATATCTTTATATTGCATAAAAAGAGGCGCCCCTCTAAGCGATTGCCCTTGCAAAGTGGCTGTAATCGATGTGGATTGCGTTGTCCCATGGACACTGATGGCTGCGTGATATTCGCTGTTCGGGCGAATCGTTCTCGGACCAATAACATTGTAGTATCTGTTTCCAAAACGATAATATTAAAACGCGAAAAGAATAGATAATTTATATATATTTTTTGTGGTTCCTGACGACGTGCCGAAGAATTAAATTTGGTCCGAGATTCAGTCATTACGCGGCTACAATACAAAAAAACCAAAATTTTTAAAACATACTTAAATTTTTCTTAACTGTTATTGCCAGATAAAATAACATCTTTGGATTTTATTTGAAAATTTTAATTTTTGGCAGTTTTGTCGATGTTAAAATCCTGTACTAATAGGTAGCTATGCAAATTAAAGGCCTTTAAACGATATAATTAACATTTTAATTTAGAAAATGTTACACTTGAAAAGGTACGGTGCATCATACCGACATGAATGACTGAACTCAGAAAAAACTGCGTTTTAAAATACAAAAGAAATCACCTCTTTTGCACATCTTAATTAATGTAATATTAATTAATGTAACATTTTAAGTATGCAATTTAGTTTAGTTACTTTAAAATATCAACGACTTTTTTTTTACTATATTTAAAGTATTGCGGTATTTGTTTTAAACGGAATTATGTTCAAAACAAATTATTACATGGTTATTACAAAAGCATGTTTATCCTTTCTCTTATGACTCTCTTATGAGGACTACATTTAAAAAAAACATGAAAGTTTATATTGTAAGTGTGGCCGGTTGTTACTTCTAAAAGATTTCTTTAATATTTTAAAAATAAAAGAGGGTCCGCTGTCATGTGACTTTTATCAGTTTGCGTGCTCCTTCTCGATAGCTTACACCTAAAAATACATAAATTTGTGTTTTTGTTCGTTTAAAATTCTGTTGTTACTCACTTATAACACTTTGTTTTCGCTTATAAAATCGTTTTACGAACTGTAGATTAAGAGAGATTTTTATTTTGTATTTTAAAATAGAATGTAACCAATAAGCTGTTTCTAGATGATAACTGAGGCAGTACAGTAATTTTTATGTGGCTGTTTTCGAAGTCGCCATGATCCTTACCTTACTTGTTCCATATTTAGACATAATATGTTCACACTACTGCAAAGGCAAGGTCGCATATTTAATCGCATACGCTACAGACCAAACGTGTTTTGTTAAATTATTGATGTTTATCAAACATTTTTGTGAACAGACATCGTGGTGGAATCAACAGTAGCAAAATTGACAAGCACACACAAAATTGTAATTTTACGATGCCTTATATGACTCCCTAGGTTCAAAGCAATTTTTATAATTATCAAATATGACGAGATTCTTGATCCATATGATAATTTTTCTTCACGATTTAACTAAAGTATATGCATATAACAAATAGTACTTTCAAAAGTTAACAGTAGATATTTAGTAGTTTTTTTTTATCAACAAAATTTTTCCTTTGCTTAATTGCAAGGAAAATCTCAGTATAAACGCGCCACTATCCCTTTAATTATGTTGTCGTAGTAAAACTTAATTTTCATTCGTTATTTTGTTCGACGCACAGTACAAAGCACTTTAAGATTTGTATGCGGCTTATTGTTTTATTATTGACAAAAGACTCGATCGCCATATTTCACATTTTAACGTACTGTGTACAAAACTAATGATTTGTTACATTTTTGACTGCCTATAGTCGACAGTTCCACACTACATCTATTTATACGTCAAGTTTGTTGTTTTTGTTTAAATTTAATTAAATAATATTTTCATCTTCGTTGCGCATTTCCTTTCAATAACTTGTTTACATGTTACGCGCCATTTCTTATAAAAGCCTTGTTTTACTCACGTTACGAAAAACATCCAAAAACATTCCAAGAATTTGAGTGCCGTATGAAATTAGTTACATTAGTTTCTGGACACACCTATAACGGTGCTGGGTGGTCGTAAAACTTTTTGCATAACTTTGTAGATTATCTTAAATGCGGGGTGAATAGGATAAACGACTACTAGTGAGAGTACTGGGGCAAAATTTAAGAAATGTAAAATTCTGATTGGGGTGTATATAGTTCGGTATTAGCTTTGTTAATCAATAAATTTTGAAGCGTGATAACTGGAATTAATCTTAGAAGCAATCAGCAATCAATCGATGCTAAATTATTTTTATTTAACATGTTGAATTTTAAACAAATTTTAAAATGTTAAAAAATAAAATTTGCCCTAACTCTGCAATCAAACACAAAAAAAAACGGTAAAAAAATTGACCAAGCGGAAAAGGCGTTTCCATCACAAGATGCTTTCTGCTAAATACAATAATATAATCAAGGCGATTATCACAAACGTTGCGAAACATTCATTTCAAAACAATTGAGTTCCTAAAAATGGCAGCTCGAAACTTTCGTGTTCATTTTTATAGGAGCAACTTCCCACGTAAATTCGTCAGCATTGTTGATTATGCAAATAATGAATAGTCCTAAAATTCAGCGCTAATGTTATTTTTGTGGGATTAAATCTTCGCGTCCGGTTGGTTGCTGCTCCCGCACAGTTATTTGTAAAAATACAATTAAAAATAATTAAACGGAATAAAAAAATGAAACTATTAGCCGAAGTGAAATTTACAAATCACAATTGTCTAAATATCCATATAATAAGGGCATTTTTTTTTTATTTTAACGCACTGTTGCTACACCTAGATACTTTTGTGTTATAGTGTTTATTTAAATTTGAGTTGTTTTGAAAAAACAATGCTTTGTTTCATATTTTGTGAACCGGTTTATTACAGCAGTATTTAACCACGTTTATTCGACAAGTGAACCGAAAAATTAACTGTAGACTCAAATTAGGTTAAAAGTTAAAGAAGGCAACAATCGTTTGTCGAGTTCACGCTTTATCTGAGACGGCCGTTACGGTGCCCTGAAGTGCATTTGTTTTTATGGTCCGTTTCAGGCCACTGATCATCAACAATAAATTTAGTTATAGAATTTAAGCTTTTCTTTCGTTTTTTAGTTTTCGGACAGGAAGCTCGCATTAAATTAATTGTCCCATAAAGACCTGATACCTTGCCAGTAATCATACTAACATTTTAATAAAATGCGATAGTTAGTAATTTACATTACTAAAAAACTTGTATAGAGAAACTTCAACAAAAGTAATTATTACAATTGCTAAATTCGAATGCATTTAAAAAATAAGGAAAAATATTTTTTTGCCTTAAAAAATACATTGCCACTTTGAAATTTTATGATAATGTAAAACGCATATTCACTTTAAATTCATAAAGGGATCAACTGTATAGTCATGCTTAACCTGGTTGTGTGATAAATATAATAGGATCTATAAACTAAGAGGTCACATCTAATAATTTTAATAGTGGCATTTAAAAGTCATGGGAGATGTTTAATTTCTTCTTTTTCGAATAACTTTTTACGCATCCTTTCGGTTTAGTATATAATATTATAGTAACAATGCGCAGAAAAAAGGAATATGCTAAACTGATTTACATTTGTACAGAACTTTTGAATTTTCTGCAGAAAAGCATAGCGGGTAGACAAAAGCTAACTATACACTTTTCTTATACCAGTATCGCAAAGTCGCTTTAACAATAATTTTGGTAATAAGACGATTCGTAGTGAAAAAAATAACCATGACATGTGCGTTCGATAAGTCATAGGTGAGTAATTACTTAAAATTTATTTATTCACGCCTTTGTCTGCTGCGGCGATTTTAAGGCTTAAATCGTTGCCTTGATTTGTTTCGTCAAAAAATTAACGTCCCGATTAGATTGGCGTATAGGTACTTATTTATGATACTTAATGTCTTACCCTTCTTGGCATCGAACAAATGAAAAAACAACTAGAACATTTAAAGCGTGTAACGTTCTCATGTTAAATTTTGTTGCAGGAATCCCAAATTTAACTATTCACAGTAACTACACTACACAAGAATATAATCAAAACCGAACATACATCTTCGAAGAAACTTTGATTAGAAACGCCGCGATACCACTCCCTACGCCGCCAACCCATGCACTATCCTGCACTCTTTAAATTGTATGTATACCAATTCCCATTCCACCGGTCCACCATCTGTCTGTCGTCGCGTTTTCTTCCTTGGGCTAGGACACCGTATAAGGTGACCGTAAAAGTAGAAGACAACAAACGTGCGAAAGCGTCATCCGCCTGATTCTAAAGTTGTATCCTGATATGTTTTGCGAAAGTTTTTAATGTTTAAATTATTTCGGTTAAACTTTGAAAAGGTTCACTTTTTAATTTAAAGATGTATTAGAGTAAACAGATCTAGTATCGCCTCTATTCGAGTGCGATACAAAATGGCAAATGAATTGTTTTGACGTAGTGCCTATTTAATGTGATTGTGTACAGCTGTGAACACTTGTTTCAGTTTAAATAACGTTAAAACTTTGCAATGCCTGATTGGAGTTTCTTACAAACTTTATTATTGGACTCCAAAAATATCAATATCAATATTCGTCACCCATTTAGTAATACTTTTCTGTGAAACGCGTTGTGTATTCAACGTGGTTCATGAGACCGACCTTCGAGCGACCCACCTTCTGGCACATTTTGCGAGAAAATACTTATTGCGTTGCTCGTTTATTTGCTTAGTTAAGATACCGATTCGCATACACCCGAAAGTTTCTTTAAAAAGAGGGGTTCGTGTTCTTCGGTCACGTTGATGTCTCTCCGAGTTAACAATAGCCTCTTGGTTTTCTTGTTCTTAGTTTGTTATCGCTACATGGTTATCCTAGCCGCAAAGATCCGAAAGTAGTTTTTTTTTTAATTTTGTCACTTTTAGGAATAACGTGTGCCCTATATTCTATTACATTTTTGGATTACTAGTATTTTTTCGAAATATTTTAACTTCAATTTAGCTGCAATTTGAACTCATACGTTGTCCAGATTTCGCTTACAGTTTGCGAAAGCTCTGCTCTTATACGGGATTATTTAAATTTAGTGATTCTGAGGTGTTTTGCGTTCTGTCACTTACCATCGGTCATCAATCACCTAGTATAAGAGTTTTTGACAAATTGCTGAATTTCTGAAACTATTTATCACTATTTACAAATCTTCTGGATTCCTCCTGCGTTGGTTTAGTTTATAAAATTTGCTGTCTTGTTTCGCCAAGCATCACGTTGCCTTCACCAATATAGGAATCAGTCATCCGAGACAATGTTCATGCCTCTCCTTTAGCTCAGCCTACCTTAAAGGATATTTAAGCAGATACGGAGTAGAATGCGAGCCCGTTTCAGTAAAGCTCTGGAAAAGCCAACAGGAAACGTCAGCAAGTTTGATTTATAACATAGGACAAATCCAGAAGATTTGTAAATAGAATTACAGTAATCTGTCTTCGAAGTTCCTTTAAAAAAGTGTTTCAAATTTTAGTCTCAACACCTGCCTATGAATGAGCTGGATAAATTTTCACACACACAAAAAAATTAAGTTACGTATTTTCAAAAATAAGCCAGAAAAACTGTTTTTTTTTTAACTATTATCAACTTTAATTTTTTTACAGATGCCATATTGAATTTTTTAGTTATTCCCTTTCATTACAATTCTAGTTTTTTATTACCAGCAATTCTTGTAAAAACATACAAAATATTCGGCAGGCGATAAAATGTTTCATAAAAAATCGTAATTTGAAATCGGAACATAATGAATTTGAGTTTTACAATTCTCTTACCTCGAGCAACAAAATTTCCAGTCTACCCATTGTTTTGACAAGTTTTTTGTAGTACTTTGGCTTTCGTATCATGCGTGCGTATTTCTGTTTTTAAATAAAAGTTAATTTTTTGTAATAGGACAATTTACTTTTGGTGACATTTCATATTCATATTTATAGAAAGATAATTAAGATATTCGGAAAACAAAGGTTTGAAACCATGTATTGGAAATGAAAAGCGTTATCGTATTTTTTACAATTTTATTGATGGTGATTTTAAAAAGAAACAACGTACTAATTTAAAATAATATTTATATTACTATACATACGTTTATACTTAAAAGAAATTATAACGGTAACTCCTCATATACACGCTTTACCTAGAAACCTGCTAAGTAATACACTGACATTATAAAATTTACACAAAAACACATTAACGGGCTTGGTTTCCATATAGATATGTAATATTTATTCTTTATTTATTCCGTAATGTATCTCCGTTGTAAAATAATAAATCAAACTCTTCTTAGTGTTTTTCAGTCTTACTTTGTAGTATACATTTTTTTACATTTCATTGATGAATAATACTGATTATTAGCAACAATTTTTTTACAATTTCCTAGTGAAAATAGTTAAAATGAAATCACTCCAACCAAATGTATTTATTGTCTCAAAGACTCCTTTATTTGTTTGGACAAACTTCTGGCAGTTAGACTAGACACGACGTGTTTGCTTTTCCCCTAAAAACAGTTAAATAAAATTTTAGTCAGTATTAACGTTATAAAATCATCAAGAACTTCAACTTCCTATAAGCTCCCATAATAAAATATGAATAAAATGAAAATTTTCTAGAAAACGAGATCCGATTCCATACATACTTAAACTATACAGCCGTGAAATTTACTTACGTCATTAATTTCAAACTTTTTCCTCAAATCCTTGACTGACACTCTAAATTCATCGATTTCCTCTACCGACTTTCGAACATCATCACCCTCTGGGTGAATATGAACTTCCGATGTATCCATTTCCGATAGCTTTTCCAAGATATCGTGAACTAATTTCTTCCTGGCAATTTCTTCCAAGTCTGGCTCCAATTTGTTAACAAGTTTCGATCTAACTTCTTCATTCCAATGCTTAGTTTCAATTTTCTCCGCGCTGATCTCGCGCTTAAACTCGTAGCTTTTATGACCTACTTCTGATATAGTCGAGGACACATTATCCACAGAGCTATAAATTTCTTTCTTTTCATAAGGAGCTGACGCAGGTCTCCTATCCGGGAACACCTCCTCATCTGAGTTATATTGAGAAATTTTTCTCGACCTGGACTGATATTCGTCTGGGATAAATTCTCTGCTATTCAATGCAATTTTTCGGACTTTCGGATCTTTGTAGATCTTCGAAATCAACGTGTTATCTTTTCGTTTCGGCAAGGCTTCAACTTCATCTGTAGACAGAAGATCTTCCGACGAACTGTAGATAAACTTTCGAGTGCTCAGTGGCTTTGGTGTTAGCAGACTCGGCGACGCAGATCTGATGGCAATTTCTCTACTCGATGACCTTTCTTCATTTTCTAGTTTGAATTTTACGTCTACCGAATCTTTCTTAGCAATGCTCGCGTTGGAGTGAATCGAGAGTAAGTCTTCTTCGGAACTAAACGACATTTTCCCGGTTTTTCCGGACGAATAATCATTGTCCGATGTAAACCCATGGTCGATAGTATCCAGTGATATTTCCGGTGCGCTTTTTACTTCCAAACTCCATTGATTTTGATAGTTTGGACGGGATTCTTCACCGGCCAACCGCCCCTCCCTAGTCGACTGAGCGAATTGCCTGACTCGGTGATCCTTGTAGATTTTGGATATCAGGGTATTATCTTTTCGGTGATGTAAAACTTTTGGTGGAGCGTCGAAAGAATCGGCCAACAGATCAGACTCACTGTGATGTCGGCGTAACACGTTTGGGTTTGTCGTTGCTACCAGATGCCTTTGCGTAGGTGTGGGGGCCTTTATGAACCGGCGATGGTCGTCCTTTTCTTCAGCACCGAGAACTCGGGGTTTAGCCACGGGAACTTCTTTTATAGTCGGATGTATCTCCGCTGCTAGAAGAGAATCCTCGTCGCCATTGTTATCTGATATCGCCGTATACGTTCCTTGAGCATCGGTTGACTTAATAGGTATGGATATTTCTTCGTGCTTGTTTTTCCTAATAATTTGTGAGTTTTCAACGTCGTAGAAGTTAACATAACTCAGGTCTGAGTCGCTTGTGAGAGAGATATTACTCTCGACTGCGAAACTCCCACCGTAACTTTGAATTTTTGGCTCTTGCTTAAACAAATCTTCTTCTACGCATTCGTATAAAGCCTCGTGTTGTTCGGAATCTGTTACGACGGCGTGAACAGCGTGATGTACCCCGTTCGTTTCGGAGTATTGGTAAATTTCATCTTCGGGTGGTTTTTGTGGAGGCCAGTTCACGCCGTTTATCTGTGAAGGGTTAGCGAATTAATATGAAGAATGGAATTAGTCACAAGCTGATTTGTTACAAATATTATTGATCGTTTAAGCGTAGCGGGTGATGTAATGATAAAAATGCGATTAATCGCAAGGGGGTTAAAACAGTGGTACCATCGTTGTGCCGAAATAAAATATTCATAAAACAATGCAACTTTTTGCATTGAAACCAGGGCCTTAGAAACAAAATGGCTAAAGTGGACATGATAAAATTCTACAATTTATGTTTAAGTGCGGCATTTATCCGTAAGAGAGCGCAATCGATATTGTTATCCCTAAATTTCAAGATTTTTCGGAAAATCCTTAAATTAAGCAATAACTTTATTAGAAACCCTGAAAAACTCCGAGTTACGTAAACTAAATTCATCCAATCAAGAAACCGCAAACAATTTTACACACAAAAAAATAATTTTTCACTCTCTGCAATTGGCAAAGTGTGAATAAAAAATTCAGATAAGGTGCATATAATTTCTAGAAAGCAAGTTTTTATTATATTATATGAACCCATTGCTATGGAATTTTTTGCAAATAGCATTAAACTATCCCTTTCATGACGTTTTTGGGATGACATAATGGTGAAACTAGCTGTAAGGTAAAATGTCAATTTCCATCCATACTGTCAGGAGCAACCGTATGATAAGAGGTTTTGCTTACGACTTTGTGATATGATGTAAAAATGCCGTTTTTCTATTTGAGTATTGTTAGTATTGCGACTTACCGAAATTGTTATATACTTTGTGAAACATCTAATAAGACCAAACCAAAACGTATAAAATTTGAAATACCTAACTTACCAATTCAAGACGTAATAATTACCGAACGAAATAAAGACTATTCGTGTGTACATTTAACAAATATTTATTTTTACAATATCAACAATACTCAACAATTTTTATACATTTCATGTACAATTTTTAAGACTATGTAATACATCTACCTACATTGAACCTTATGACCAGAAAAGAACTACATTTCTTCCCAACATTTTCTTCAACCGATATTTGACGCGAACACTGAAGAATATAGTGAAGGGAACATAAGAAAGCTTAAGGAAGGCACTACTTTTTAATTTTCTGGAAAGTTGAGTAGAGGGTTTTTTACGAAATTTTTACTAAAATCTTTAGAGGAGTAGAGACTCCTTGGTAAACTAGAATATGTAGCCATTTCTTCCAAATCATTTATACTTTTCTGCAGACTTACCTCAGAGGATTTGAGCTTTCCTCCTGATGGACTTTTAGCCTGTTTAGCATACCAGTCGGCTCCAAATCTATAATCAAACTATATGTCTGTATGTTGCAAAATACATTTAAATTTTTTAGAACACTCTTAGTTTTATCTTTCTCTTTGTGCAATTTTCGCTATTGCGCCCAATAAAAGAAAAACATTTTATTTAATCTAAAACTATATTAAGCTATATAAAATTGTATATGGAACACTGTAGGAGAATTATTTTACCAAATAGTATATCTGAGTCATGAATCGATATTTAGCATGACCTTAAGTTAAATTGGTAACATTGTTTCGTTCAATTTTAAAATACATGGAATACACTTGAAATATTTTGATAAATGATAACACGTAAAGTAAAAACCAACATATCCGGATAAATTCACTCACTGTTTCGAGGTAACGCCTATTTATGGAAAGATCTGATTTTGAAATCATGTCAATATCTCTATACAGCCATTTGAGATGCAGAAAATTTCTACACAATGAACGGAAATGGAAAAGTCAAATATTATTCTAGGATTATGCCTCAATATTTTTACTATTTTTAATACTAATTTTATAGTGGAGTATTTAGATGGACAACAAAAAATAATAAAAACGACGCTTTAGTAACGAGTTGGTTTAGGCAACAGCGAAGTGAGTTTTTAATAAACTACGATCTGATGGATCCCTGTGTTGTATACTATACTATTTCTACGACGTTCTTCATTCACTCGCTTATTAAACACTCGCTCTGCTGCGTCCAGCTCGTGTCAAAACTCATAAATATATTGTCGTTTATCAATCTTATTGCATAATATACTATTATCGACACAACAACTTTACAGCCAACATATAGCTTTATTCATAGTTCTGTGAGTGTGTGAAATGCTATTTTCTGCAATGTATTCTTATTATTCTTGTACTTACTAAAAGTAAAGCAGTATGTTGCTCTGACGTGTCGCGTTCTGATGCTCTATGACGAAAGGTTTGCCGTTTTATCAAAATGTAACATGACAAAAGTCATAGCGTCAGATCAATGTGCCCGCTGATCATTTAAATAAACTCGGAAATAATTGTCTGATATATATAGCAACATATTACATCAAAGCAATGTGTTCCCGGCTTAACGCAATCAGCCATAAAACGCTAATATTTTTCAATAAAATTATTTTCGTGTGTGATCTAACCACTGATATGTAGAGAGTGCAAAACGCTGATTTTATAATTTCACTAGATATATGTGGATTTTGACGGACTTACACGTGAGTAGTATTGTTTCCATCGCTTTCTGCGAGCACATCCACCAACCTTTTCGGCATGACGCTACCACGATAATTACAAAATGACACCTAATTCGCTCCACACCACGACAATTACGATTTGGTATCTTTTCGAGCGACAAGGCGAACAGCAAATATGCTAAATTACTGATTACGTTTTATCTTATCAAATAAAAAAATGAATTTATGATAATATCTTGAAATAATCTCGAGCTGATCCGTTAAAAATGTTTGCAATTTGCCCCAGCTATAATCTGTTGTCGAGAAGAAGGTGTCAATCAGTTTTGTGGTCGGTGAAATTTTGTTTCGGGGAAACCATCAATCATCTGTTAGCGGTTATCACTTAATAACTGTTATGACTTTCTACAACAATATGTATAATGTAATGTGTTCATTCTATTAATGCCATTACCAATTGTGCATGAGTAGAATATGATTTAAAATTGTTAAAGTTGACAAACACCGTTTTACACATTAACTAAGCTTTTTCTATGAGCATTATTGTTTTGTCGGAAACGTGTGAATTGGCTCGAGACCCTGGCTAACAAAGCTAAAAGTGACCCTTTCCGTTTCTTGATCGATTCATAATTGAGTATATTAAAGTACGGAATAAGAAAAGGTATTTTACGGATCAACATTTTTGGACCAATTGGACTGTATAATAATTTTGAAATGAAAACTATGTAAGCCGAGCGGGGCAACGAAATAACTGTAGCGACTTACCGCGGTGCCACGGAGCTGCCTTGTATTCTGGGTTCGTCTTCGGGGTACCCCATGGTGATGCGAAAATGTTATTTGGCAAAATTAACGACCGGCGAAATGCAGAACAGGAAGCTAAAGCGGAACGAGCACAGCGAAAACTACCTTTCCGACAGCGTGGTTTTATAGCCGATCGACCCGAAAATTAAGTTATCGGCAAAAAAAAGGGGGAACGCGAAAAAAGTCGCATGTAGAAATTTCGTTGCCATTTAGCGCCCAATTTTAAACTATAAACTATAAAAAATATTAAAGAAAACATAAATTCTTAAAGTCAAATAAAAATTAATCATTAATAAACTATAAATATGAAACTTATTCACACTGACAAATTAATATGGGACTCAAAATCTCCCTCGCTACGCTGCTTAGGCTACTGATTTACGAATAAAATTAAAAAATTGATAAAATGAAGTTGAAGTAATTGTAATTGTAATTGAAGTAATAAGAATTCTAAAACATGATAATAATGCCTATGTATTAATAAATTAATAAAATTAACGAAAGTTTTAAACTATAAACTATAAAAAATATTAAAGAAAACATAAATTCTTAAAATTAAATAAAAATTAATCATTAATAATCTATAAATAAGTATGAAACTTATTCACACTGACAAATTAATATTGGACCCAAAATCTCCCTCGCTACGCTGCTTAGGCTACTGATTTACGAATAAAATTAAAAAATTGATAAAATGAAGTTGAAGTAATTGTAATTGAAGTAATAAGAATTCTAAAACATGATAATAATGCTTATGTATTAATAAATTAATAAAATTAACGAAAGTTTAATTAGGATATAATCGTTTGTGTTTCTTGTTTGTTGTCTATGTTATACGCAAATTGAATTAGAACAAAAAATGTTCAGATTTTCACAATTTTTAATGTTTTGTGACAGCTGTTTCGGCAACACCGTGCCTTTATCAAATACAAAATATGACTATATTCCGACACTTATATATAAAAACATAGATTTTTTAATTACATGGATAGGGTATAAATTTAAATTTAACAACGGAGACGCATTTAAACCCAATTGGTCATTAAGTAATAAATTCGAATATCTCAGTTTGTTAATCTCCATAGCTTCCAACAAATTTAATTTTTTGCTTTTTGAATGATTACGTAAAATATCAAAATTTTGGGACAAGATCCACATTTCAACTTGTAGACTCCGGATTTTTTTTTAAAGCAATATTAATACCAAATTTAGATAGATGTTTCGAAATTTTCTTGCTGGGTTCTCCTGTGTATTTAATGGTTTTATAAATTTTGCGTATATATATATATATATATATATATATATATATATATATATATATATATATATATATATATATATATATATATATATATATATATATATATATATATATATATATATATATATATATATATATATATATATATATATAGTTGTCTTTTACAAGCAAGTCTTGTTTTATGATAGGGTTAACTTGCCTCTGCCTGAGAATATTGTCTATTAGGTTTATTACGTCAATTGGTGGAAAGCTAGGAAATAAGTTTTGAACATAAAATGAAACTAGAATTGCCTTGGGAAGAATTTTTATGTCTTTAACTTTGTTAATTAGTTCGAATGAACTTTTGATTGCATATCTAGGTTTAAAAACAGTATTATATTATAAAATTTTAATTAACCTTATTGAAAATTTAACTGTTGGTGCTGTTACAAAAGAAACTACAGGTTTTATTGGCATAAGCTGTTTGTGTAATTTTTTTAAAGAATATGACTTTGGAGGTTGAGAGTTCATGATTATCAGTTGGCATTTATCCTTGTCAAAAGTAGTTTCAAATAACTCTGAACTCTATCTATCCCATATTAAACACCGAAAACAAAATTTATAAAACAATAAAATACATAGGAGAACCTAGCAAGAAAATTTCGAAACATCTATCTAAATTTGGTTTTAATATTACCATAGGACATTTTCTAAAAAACAATAAAACCAAATTACAAAAAACTCAAAAATCCGGAGTCTACAAGTTGAAAAGTGGATCTTGTCCTAAAATGTATATCGGACTAATAGGTAGAACATTTAAGAAACGCATTAACGAACATAAAAGGGCTCATAAAAATAAAAGTTTGGATTCTAACCATGGAATTCATTTAAATTCCGAAATGCACAACTTTGATGATAATTTTGATATTTTACATAATCATTAAAAAACCAAACAACTAAATTTGTTGGAATTAGAATTTATTACTTAATGAGCAATTGATCCAGTTATTTCGCCAATTATATAATTATATAATGCACTCCCTTTAGAACCGAAAGGCGTTATTTGGATGTGTAATAAATGTATTCTTTTTTCTATATTATTGCTTTCACAATCTAATAGTTTTTCACTGGATATTTTGCCTGAATGTATCGACGATAATTTTATTTGTTTGGAGTATCAGTATTCTGACTTGGTGATGACATTCTAGAAAAATATATACTATTCTCCTAAAAACCATATTTAAATGAGATGATCATTATTAAATTTATCGGCTAATTAAAATGATATCTACATAATAATAAAACATCCACTTGGTTTTGTAATTTTTTTATGATTATTAACTTGGATTAAGATAACTCCATTCGAATACTTACGAACCATTATTTAATTCTTGTCTTACTGGATAGTTTATTCCTTCCATCGCGCGACGTAGACACGATATTGCAAAATAACGTATCAACCAAGACAATTTCGATGAGAGTAATAAGTCATGGACCAAGATAATTTTTTAATAAATAAACAGCATTTGGAATAACTATTATGGATATCCATGTTTAAGCGATACTTACGAGGATCCAACAGAAGAGGAAGAACGCTGTAAGCGTTTCTCGATATTTTCTCTAGAGTAGGGATTATTTTTCATCTGAACAGCATGTTTCCATTTCTCCCTTTCACGTTTGCTATAACTACCTGTCAAGAAAAATATACTATTGTAACTTTATTGGTCAAGTTTCCAGTCTATAACTTCATGGCCTACCGGAAAATTCCACTTCTCCGGAGCTATCAGATTTATATTCCTCGTTTTCATTAATAATGGTCGTTCGCGGTGTCGGCACTCGGTCGTGGAAGTTTTCTGTTCTAGACGTAATTACATCGGAATATTTTGGTGCGGTTGATGTGTCTAGGTTTCGCGAAGGTCTAAATTAAATAAATTAAGCAACTGGGTGAAACAAAAAAACAAATAAAACTTTTTAGAAACATATGAAAACGTACCTTGCGGGAGGCGTTGGACTTTTCAATATCGTCCTTGGCAAGGAGCCATATCTCTCAGTATACTCAGCCTCTTTTTCCGTGTTGCTGTAGACGGAAAGAAACGACGAGTCTTCAACATCTGCAATCAGACTCTGTTACTTTCGAAAAAAATAAGTTCACTTTTAGACGCACTGTCATCATCTACACTGACGTCCGTCTTGGAGATCTGACTTGAACTCATCAATTCAAATCTTCTCTGTTCCCGACCGTTAACTTCCTTCACCCCAGAATCGGTCGATGACTCGCTCTGTTCATCTGCGTGTTCGACCAATTCAGGATTTCGTTTGCCACCCCCGATTATAGTTTTCGATTCTATCAATAGCGTGTGAGCTTTAGGTAATGGTTCCGGTTCTTCAAAGTCCGATCCTACGTCGGATAAATCAGAAGTATCATCGACCGGTTTATCGCCGATAAAAACCTGGTGAAACAAAAGTTTAACTCAAAATTTTAAATAGTGTATTTGATGAAGACCTTAGCTTCTGTTGTAGGGTTTGGCACCAGCATCGGAACGGGTACTGGCGAAGGGGTTCCTTGGAAGTGGCGTCTCTGAAGGAACCAGTTGGTGTCACTATCGCCGAGCAGCGAAGAGCTTGATCTGAAATAGTCTGTGCCATCTTCTTCGTCCTCTGAGTGTAATCGATCCACTTCTTCAATATCCTGTTTTATCTAAAACAAGAGATCATATGATGACAGTTTGTTCCATTGTTGTTTTCTAAAAATAAATGCACAATTACTTTGATGTGCATTTGATTTTTCGACTATAAAGTCAAGCCCAACATCAGTTACAGTGCATTTCAGAATTTGTTGAGAGTAACTAAGTTGAAGAATGCGTGATAATAATAAATAATTGCTGGACATGGTAATAAAACCGACAAGCTCTACGGGAAGATACAATACAGGACGCTGTCGTGGTAACAAAAGCGCCGACCAAGTAGCCTGCCAAGGCTCGCCAAGGAGCGTAATTGGGCCAGAACCCTTTGGAGTGGCCATTGCAAAAACAGCCTTCAAGCAATGGATGGAAAAAGAGGCCAGGTAAGCTACAAAAAGAAGGCAGTACAGTCTACTGACGTGCTACTACCAGAGGGAATGGAAGGAAACACTGAATGCAGATTGGGCAAGGAGAGAAGAAAAATGCCATACACGTATTATGCCTATGTGGAGGTATATTGGAACAGCCTGGGCGTAACCAAACTTGAGGCAACGAGCTGCACCAAGGAACCACTATCGAATCTGCCAAGTCTAATTAGAGAGATGCTAGATAGAGCTCTATAACTATGTAGGAAGTCGCAATAGATTCGTTAGGTCGCAGTGACAGACAGACAGGCTAAATAAACTCTCCCAATCTGAATCTGAATCTACCATATAACCTAATAATATTTCTGGGTTTGCTTTTATAAAGTTTTTAGAACAAGAATTACAAAGTTTTATTTACCATAAGGGTAACCCGATCCACGTATTTTTTTGATCCCAAACTTGAATCCGTTTGGATCCATTCTTCCGAACTAGAAACGGAGGACGTTTCTAAATCAGTAGATTTCCATTTGGCGTCTAGAGTTTCCTCACCGAAAAAGTATTCCTTACTTTCGTTTTGGCATGAAACTTTGGACACATGGCTACATACGCTGTTTGCCGAAGAAGACGGCAAGTTACTTTGGCAACTGCTTATCACCTGAAGTAAAAAAAAAATATCGACAAGGATAGGAAACAGTTTCACAAATTTTGTTTGATTTTTGCAAATAATCTCGTCTTTAAACTAAATTAAAACAATAAAAACAACAAATTGAATGTTCATTTTTGGCTCTTTCTATGAAAGATGCCAATATCTATTTCAAAATAATTTCTCTCTCTTGGGGCAAACAAAAATAAGCAAAAGTTGGCGGCAACATAATTAGTGATTGATTTTTTCTATAAGAAAATATTTTCTTCAAAATTACTAAATTTCAATTTGATTTTCAATAAAAAAAAATAAAAAAAACTATGAGCAAAAATTGAAAGATCTAGGTATCATGTCATCATGTCATGTCATCTCATCTTTGAGAAAGTTTCTCTTTATTATTTTTTGCTTCAACTTAAAATAATTTTCAAAAGAATGTTTTGTGCTTCATTCGGCGTTAAAAGCGATCAAGATGATTAACCAGCATGAAATTAATAAAATAATTTTCACAACAGAATTTTCAACATAAAGATTTACTTATTGTATTTCCTTTAATTATATTATACCATTTTTAGTCGCGTCGAGAGGTTTTACAGTTTTTTCTCTCTAGTTTATTCAATATAATTATTTAGGGATACCTCTTGAAACGTTAACATTTAACAAACATAATAAATTAATCTTATTAAAATAGACACTTCAATTTTCGAACAACCTGTATAACGCGAAAATTATTTTAAGGATAAGCCTACAGCAGTTTTTTTTATCCATTTTAAACAAGCACAAAAAAAAAGAAAATCAAAATTACACTTTTCGTTTAATTGACGATCTTGCTTCGATATAGCAATTTGTATCACTAACAACGTAACGGCTGCTTAAAACAAGAGGTATACAAATTTCACCATTAATTAAAGCCAATCGGCTGCTTTATTAAAATCTTGATAAGTAAATAAACTTTCACACTGACGGCTAAATATCAATTATAGTCGCGAAAGTTAATTATAATCAAAATATGTTTTAAACATTTGAAATATAATATAAAAATAAAAACAAATTTTTAATTTTCGATAGCTCTGTTTATAACGCAAATGTTCATAGATAGAAGAAGAAGAAAGCAGTTCCATATCTGTGTTTAAAATTATTCTATTAAAAGGAGCAGCTCCAAATCATTATTTTTTAGTAACAAATAGTTAACGGTAATTATGCTATTATGGCCAATTTACACTACCATCAGCATTAAACACTAACTTGGCGGTAATATTTTCTCGACGATTTAATGGAGACTATAGCCATTACTAAACCGAAACATTGACGATACAGTAGCGGGACTGACACTAAAGAAACCATAAAAGATTAGCTTGCACGCAATTAACAGGATTGATTTTCAAAGCTCACCACGGTAAGAGAGAAGGGCAAACAACAAACAATAAATTTATTTTTCAATATGAGATAATTAGGCAATATGGCGACATTACAGAAAGAAATATACTTCTTAAAATTGAAAAATGACATAAGAATGGTTTCAAACCTACCAAAACTACCAAGTGTCAAGTGATAAACAACTTTTTAAGATCCTTTTGAATAAGTTTTTTATTTTAATTAATTTATAATGATATCAACTAGATTTTTCAAAAAATAGAGCGTTGTAGGGGCTTAATTTCCATCAAGTTTTACAGTTTTCAGAAATTAAAAAATATGCGTTTCATCTGTGTCTCTTTATCCCATATATTTATTGTATGTAATATAAAACTTTTTCGTGTGTGAACTTTGAACAAAGCGTACCAAAACCATTTAAATGTTATATCAAAATAATTACATTATAAATCATTTTAAATCTTTACGTATTTCGAAATTTACCTTATTGATAATTGCTGTGGCCAAAAGGTCTTCGTAGGTTCTGCTAGGGTTTCCTTCTGCGGTAGTTGAATGATCTTGAGTTTGCTGTAGCCGAGGTAACGTCGCAGCTTCCTTTAAAAGTTGCTCGATCAATTGCTTTAACGCTTCATGTGCTGAGCTGGGCGATTGACCTGTTATAGGCAAATCTGAAAGGCAATGTTTGCTGCATGCGGTCTGACAATAAAACTTTATATTTAAATCCCAAAAATGTTTTAGTTATGTTCACTCCTTTATCAAGTGGTTATTGTAGCTAATTAATTTATTAATTGGTTACACTGTTAAAGCATATTTTTTACAAATATGTCCCCTAGAACGTGGAGTTGGATACCATTCCTTGCAATTAAAAAATATTTCATATGTAAACGTTTAATTGCCCCTTCTGAAAATTTAGTTAATGGAGATTTTAAAATGCCCATTTTAACAGTAATTTCGGTCATATTACCTATGTCATTTTGTTTACAATAGTTGACCGAAAATTTGAGCCTTTTATAGGGTGTCCAATATTACAACCGCAACATTAATTTTACAATGAATGGAAAGAATATAAAAACATTAATATTTATTGTTTATTTATCGACATGATAGGATGTTTATGTCTTGTACGTAAAATTACAAAAATAAGTAATCAATCATTGTGCTTTTAATAATTTGAGACATTTCATTGCAAATCAAAATGAAATTAATCATGATTTAAGTGTATAGGGTGACACAAAATAAAGCAACGAGAAAGGGGATTGCTGAAATATAAAAATTCTCTTCTAATTTAGTTTCGATGATAATTATTAATCATCTGTTATATTTCTTCAATCACAACAAAACTGACAATTAAATAATGAATGATAAAATGAAATTAAATGATTACCATTTGTATTAATATTTTAGTTTTATTGATAATATTTACGGCACCACTGAATTTCACAAAAATGAGAAAAACTAATTTCAAACATCAGAATGTTTCGTCAACAAGGCAAAAACTCTGTATTTCTGTGGATAAATTGCTTACACCTTTCACAGAAAATCGAAAATTAAGACACCCTTTACTCTGCCGTACTTAGATTAGTGTTAGATATATAGATTTGTTTTTAAAAAAATGGATGCGCTCTTAAATTAGACATCGTTAAACTAAGCAAATTTATTTGATATTTTTAAAAGGTTTGTCCTAGATAGATAATACACATTCGAAAACAAACACCAAAACTACGTAAATTACAAATAACACTTCCAGTGGTAAAAAAAGTAAGTGTAAATAGACAGGTCTAAAAGCTTACCCAAAATAACTTCGACGAGGTAGTAAAATGCAAATAATCCGACACAAAACAAAACATAAAATGTCACAGAAACACTTATCAACACTGTGAAAAACATTTCGGCAACAACAATCGCTACCCGAGGTGCCGCGACGTCGATTAAATTGATTTACTGTTATTTTTTCCGAACTGCATAGATATTGATAGTAAATATACTCGTACGGAATTCAAAAGATGCGCCTGTATGAAAATTTCTAGGTTAAATTTGTATCACACAAACCAGTCAAGGTAGACATGGTGTACCTAGCGAAAAACAAAACCGAACTAAAATTACTGTGCATGTGTGTATTCGTTAACAATAATTGTTATCTGTATGTTCAAACATTAATATAAAAACCAAGCCACACCGCCTAAAGGTTGTAGCTTCGTATTTTCCCATTTTTTTTTATATATTTAGAAAAACGTATAGCAAATCGTTTCCGATTTGATCTGGAGAAGGCTTTGAGGATAAAAATAATCACTGCATTGGGGGTACGCTCATCTATTATTGCCGCACGCAAGTGATAAAGAAACACTTGTACAATTTGATGTAGTTTATCAAAAGTTACAAATGTAATTTAAAATATTCAATCAAACAGCATATTGAGTTCCATGTCTTAACTTGTTTTACTTCAAGGTTACTGCCATTTGATTTACGTCACTTATTATTCGCTCATCAAACGAAGTTTCTCTAGGCGTTATTTAAATGACATTCAATTTTTTACACACATACAAAGTAATTGATATGAAAGCCCATCTATCTGATCAGAACAAGTTATTTTACTTAAAAAAGTATTTATAGGAATGTTTTTTATGTTTTCTCAGAAATGAGATAAAGATATCAGGCGACCGCAAAGTCTGGATAATTATTGTTTGGAAACGTAGGACGCATCAAAGAGGATGGCTGGAAATGCCTAAAAAATAATCTAGACTTTCGAGAAACCGTTAATTTCTTGTCAAGTTATTTTCCCAGAACGCCTGTATGTGAGCTCGAAAAAGGAAATTAAACAGAGAAACCATTTCATGGAGCACAAGGAAAAAATCTTTCTTTATAAAAACGATTTTTATTAGTATTAGGAAATTAATAAAAATATGTTTTTTAAAGTTGATTAAGATGGTTCATTGAACTGATTTAGTTAATCAAAATTAGCATGAATAATTCAAAAAATAAACATCATAAATTAGATTAGATTTTCTCGATTAACAATATAAATCATCACACTGGTTCCTATAACAGCAAATTTTACCTCCCTTGGTTCCCTTTCCCCATATTATTACATATTCAAGATGTCTGCAGAAAGTGAAACCAGTCAGAGCCTTGTGAAAAATTCATCAAGAACGAAACGACCACATTGGCTAATTAAAAACACGTCACATTCATCCATTATTTTTTGAATATCGTATTGTATATGTAATTTAATGGATAACTTTATGATAATTTAGTACTATAAACATTCCCGTTAAACGACCATTTCGTCCGACGCGACGCCGTGAATTATTTCTACTTAAATATTCGCCATTGCTTTCCGTAACGCGCCTAAAGTTTCAAACTCACAGTACGGCTTCATAGAAGCGAGAAATCCGCAAACACACTATAATCGAACTTTGAACTCTGGACTTACACGCGTATAAGTAAATTAAAAATGATGATAACTTTGGTCAAGGTGCGCTTGTAGACCGCCGAGAAGGAGATTCAATTGTACCTTGGTGCAAGGAGGAATAAATAAAACGTGACCAAATCAAAGACAAGCGGCGAAAAACTAAAAATAAAGTGATACGTAAACTCGAAGCAAATATGGTACAAAAGATTAAAACAGATTATAAGACAATCCATACCAATCTGAAACACTACCTTATCTCAGAAACTATAGAGGATGGAGCCAAAAGTTAAATACCATATTACATTGCCAATATTAAATTGCTAAAACACTTTTTTTTTAAATTGAAACTACCTTTTTTTATAATCTTATTATATTTAGCATAAAAAATTAAGGCGATTTTATATAAAAGTTGCTATATAAGTTCAGTTAGTCTAAGGTGGGTACGTCGGCGTTTAAACAAAACAAGTGCTATAAGGCTGCTTGCGTATTATGTTTACCACAGAGGAAAAGATTGATATGTTAGGAAGTTACATATCGAACGATAAAAACCGAACCCTGGCTCTTAGAGATTATATTAGAAAATTTGCATTTAGGAGGCATTCAGAAAAAAAAGATCTTCGACAGGATTTACCAACACTTTAGAATATTTCGAACTTTGAAGTAGGAAAAAATAGACCTCGTCATATTTTAATAATGAAGAACAACTTAATATTTTGTTGCATTTTGCAGAGACCCCTGAAGATTTAACCCGAAACGCGTCCTTAGATCTAGATGTCAAAAGAACAAAGATTCGAACGTGCCCTTAAATAATCAACTGGTAGCCCTTTAAATTCTATCCAGTGCAGAAATTAGTGCAACGGGATTACAACATCAGGTTATGGAGAGACAGTTTTCAGAAAATATAATTGTTAACATTATTTGGACAGATGAGTCCATATTTACAATCTCAAGTGAAATTTAAAATCTGAAAAATTCCAATTACTGGAAAAACAAGAATAAAAAACATTACAACTTCAGGTGGAATCTCTGTCAAAATATGGCGCACCATTAGGTTCAGGAGAGCTTTTAAATATTACCCATCTCTTTGTTGAAAATGAAGTGCCTGAAAGGGGACGACGAAATTTAATTCGGCTAGCAGGATAGCGCTCCTTATCACAGAAGTCAAGAAATTATCACCTACTTTTTATAAAACTTCTGGACTCCTCCTGCGTCGGTTTTTGTTGACTCGAACTTGCTAACGTTTGGCCAAGTATCCTGTTGACTTCTTCAGAGCTTGACTGAAACTTAGTTTCAGTTGTGAAGAAGCCAACAGGACGATTAGCGAAACTTTAGTAAATTCGAGTCAACAACAACTGACGCAGGAGGAATCCAGAAGTTTTATAAAAAGTATTACAGTAACCCGTGGAAATTTCTTTGAAAAATTAGTACCTATTTAAATGCACACTATACAGAATGGATTGGGGAGAATGGGGGGAATGGGTTACCTCCAAGAAAAAACGACTTACCTAACCTAGATTTTTTTCTATGGGGAACAGTTAAAGATTTTATCAACAGAGTCCGTGAACTGCCGAGGAACTTAAACCTAGGAAGGTATCGGATATTTAAATGGGACTGAAGCTGTTAGAAATGCCATTATGTATTTAAAAACCCTTTAAACTGCTTGTATTGCTCCAAGGGCAGGAAATATTGAAAAACTGTTACCATAATTATTATCCTTTGTAAGTTATTAATTTTTTATTAGTAGTTCATTAACAAAAAAAAACACCAACCTTATCGCTTATAAAAATTTATAATTTATAATTATATAAATAATGTATAACATAATCTTTCGATCTTCATAAGTGCATCGACAAAATTATGGTCAACTATGAAATGGCAAATCATAGTGGCAGCACTGTGTAGGCACTTTAGCACTTGTTTTGTTCAAATGCCGTCATAGCCACCTTACTACACTAACTGAACTTATGCAGCATATTATTTGTGATAGACAAATGTTTAAGAGGAAACATTTCAAAAAGTAAAAACATTGGACATATACAAGCTTATATAAAATTGTCCATAATTTTTAGTGCTAAATATGGATTATAAAAATGGGTAGTTTCCATTTTCAAAAAAAGTTTTTTGGCAGTTTGATTAAATTCATTTTTAGTCTTATTTTTCGCGTACCTTATATTAATATGTATCGAAATTTCTTGTGAAATCCGTTATTCGAGTCCTTCGTCGACAACAAAATTAACTCAAGTGAAACAATGAATGCTTCCGAATTAAAAAATTGACAGATATTTTAAGTCGTGCAAACGTCATTTTTCGCTGAAAAAATTAAAAATGTCAAAAACGGTTAGACTTAGGTATAGGACCTTATACACAAAATATGTCTCAAATTTTGTATAGAATTCAAAAATGACGTAATATACCAGGTGTTCCATTTGAAATAGGAAAGTTTAGACTCTCCCACGAAAAATGAAACACCCTGTATATACAAAATTAAAATTAATTTAGGGTTGGTTGGTTAACTTTTGTATTTAACTTTTGGTTCCATCCCCTATAGTTTCTGAGATAAGGTAGTGTTTCAAGATAAACGGCCCACCCTATACATCGACTCTGTATTTACCTGTTTTTAATTTTAATGTTTAATAAATTCTTCATTAAAGACGGCTGTTGATATACAAATTACATAGAAGTTACAATAAATTATATTTAGTTACGACAACCAAAATTTCATTTCACTTGTAAAGCTATTTAGCTACCAAACCATAACCTTTATTCCCTGTCACTCTGAAAATCTGGTGTTATACTAAAAACTTGAAACAATATGAAAACTGGTATCATTCTCTTTGAAATAATTTCAATACAATTTAAAATCGTCAAGAAAATTTACTTCATTTTTTCGTACCCAGTAATTAATCGAACGCCATAGCGGTATCCCTATTGTTTTCCGTCTTAACGAATCGTGATAAAATTTACGATTACGCGTCATGAAATAACCTTTGGTATTTTTATATAGCCATATATCCGCTGAACAATATTTATTTTCGTTAATCCTATTAATAACAACAGTAATTTATCCCAGACTATTCGCTGAACAATTGTATATATCATTCTCACATTATTTCGCAGTGTATCCAAAATTGTGCAAAATTTCATCAACGTGCTTTAGAGAATCGATTACACACACTTACTGGAAATGGCAATATGCAATGCGGAGCCCAAGTCTGTAAGGGTATTGCTCAGATCTAGATGGTATCTATGGAAAATTTCATCATCTGAAAAATTTAAATTTAGAATCAACTGCTAAAAAATGTGATGACCTTCTGAACCGTAGTTTATTTGTCTTTAAAAACGACTTATGTCTATAACAGTTCACATAACGCGTTTTGTCTGAACATGATATTAAATATATTGTCTTCCCTAAACGTCCTTGTAAACCGTCGCATTTACTAAACTCAAACTGCATAATCTCCGTACCATTAAATACTTACATTGTTTGTCGTTATATAGTTTGGACACACTAGCATTGTCGACATTCCCGCAGAGCATAACATTGACTAGTTTCTCGATGAAGTCACGCACTTGTTCTTTTTCCAGTTTCCGCAAAGATTCTAAAGCGGCGTCTAAGTCAGAGCTTTGCTGGACATTCATACTAGCGTTAAACCAGCCTACAAATTTGTTGATCTTTATTTATGAGTAATGTGAAATAAGGAGAGCGATTCATTTTCTGACAAAAATATCCAAAACAACTTCAACTTCAACATTCACACTAGCGTTAAACCAGCCTACAAATTTATTGATCTTTATTTATGAGAAATGTGAAATAAAGACAGCGGTTTATTTGCTTCAAGGTAAGAATAACCAACACAGCAATTCAAACCGAAGATAGAAGATCAAAAAAATTTTTTTTTCAAATGAGATATTATGCTCTGCTTCTTCTGGGAAAAACGTAAGTATCGATTTTAGAAAGATTTGCTGAAAAAGGAGCTACTGGAGAATGTAAATTTGAATGAACCTCTTTGTACGAAATTTGTTGTCGACGAAATTGCTTGAAAACGAAATATAACGGTACCCTCTTGTAAGAGGCTTTTCAATACTTTTGTGTAATGCTAATAGGGTGTAAATTAATTGTAAATAACATGATTATCTATTTAAAAATACTATTAATTTGCAAATCTTTAGATGCAATCTTTTCATCATTGTCTTCTCGTTCCAATAAAGAAATGACTCTTCTTCAATAAGTGAAATGCTTGAATTAACGTATACAAGAGTGATGATGATTATCAAAAATAATATTTTCATAAATTTTAAAAATTATCCAAATTTCTGTTGCTTCTCACTTCATAAAGAAAGCATCACCAACCAACCAAAAATACAGGCAAAGCAACAAATATATTTTTAAAATTTAATTGGCATTAATTTTAATTTAAGTTTATTAAAATTCATATTTACCGACCATTAGGTTGTACGGCGTGAAATATTTCCTTAAACCACGATTCGGACGGATTTAAACATCTGTGACAGAACCACTTCGTCCATTGAAGTTTTGCACATTTCTTTCTGCACGCTCTGCAACCGCATTGCGAACAGGTAATTAATGTGTTTTCCAATATGTCCTCCACCTGCCTGACATAAACCCCGCAAATCTCACAGTACCAATCGGATCCCCGTTTACGAATCCTGCAACAAAAAAATCATGTAGACATTGTGACGTTTTATATTTGATTTTTGATTTTTTTTAAATGTGGCTTTTAAGGTTTGTGATTGATTAGGTTCCATTTTCAAATTTTCAATATTAAAAATCACAATTATTACGGAAATTACAGTCTACCGTGATTTTTCATTATAGATTCGTTCTCTAAACATTTTTTTAATAGGTAATACGGTGATTAGTAAAACGTTTTTTAAAAGTGTCACGTTACATTAATCTAAGTTACGTTTAAATTGTCAAAATTTAAAAACCCACAATACATAATGGAAACCATAATAGGTTGTTAAGGAGAGATTGGTGTGTTAAACCGAATAGTGATAAAACCGTGCAATTTGTTTATTATTTGAACACGTATCCACTTAATCTATCTTGAATATTTACAACTAACGAAAACTAAAACTAAAAATTTGATTACAATATCTCTCTCAATCCTCGAGATACTTCCAATACGCCATTCGTTTCACATATCACATTTTTAATTTACCCAAAGGTGTACCAGCGATATTTTGTAGGGAAAGGATACTAAAGGAGACACACATTTTGAAAGCAATTTTTTACGCAGAATTAAATGGCTTACATGTAACATTTTTAAAATTAATGGTGTTGGTTAGTTATCAATAAAAAAACGTTTTTTTATATGGGTTTTTAATATGTTTCAATCATTAAAAAGTAAATACAATTGACATAATATTTTGCCCCAGCCTCCTGGGAAAAAATTGAACATTTTAAGTTTGAACAAGTAAGCGGTGAGCCTGGGTATCTAATGGCGTTAGGGTATCCCATTTAGCTACTAGAACAAAGGAAAAGCAACTATGAAAAAAGATTTGAGAGAAGTTGGCAGATAAGTTGGATGCCTCATTTTTACTTTAAACTTTCTAATCTTATACAACAAAACTTTTCATGTGCGAGCAAAATCACCTTAATACATGAAACTAAAAAATGTTTGATAATTATTTCGCGTTATTTTTGTGGCTAACAGGAAAACCATTAAACGTTAAGTTGATAAATTATCGGAATTATGACAATAATAAAGAACCTTATGAAACAACTATTAAAAAATTATGACTTTGCGGCATTGGTAGAAAATGACTTTGCAACCTGACAGATCGCCAATAAGTTTGAATGCGGCATTTTTACGACAGTATTTTCTTCTTCTTTAATAGCTTCTTTTAAACTGTGTTACAGGCAACTATAACAAATATAAAGTAATTCAGTAACCGACAGATAATATTATTGAGTAAGACGACATACGGTATATAAAGTAATTAAACAACGAGAACATCCCATTCTCCCAATTATATAAATGAGCTAGAGAAAGAACAGAATACCCATTACAAGCTACTGAATTTATTTATTAAGTTTTGAAGAGCACAATTTTGATACGTCACATTTTTGGGACATCCTGTACAATATGAACATAATTTTAAAAATGACGATAATAGAGTTACATGGCCACTTATGATGAATATGTTAAAAGAAGATCGTAATATGAAACATATGCTTATTCAGAAGCTTTAATAATATAAATATGCACGCTAATCCCAGGATAAATCAGTCTTTGCAGTTGTAATTATTGTGTCACTTGTGTTTTAAATAAAACATCGTTTTTTAAAAATACGAGTTGCGCATTTCGAAATAAAATTATAGTATCAAACAGTTATCCCCAAATTATATCTTTTACAAAACATTTGCGTTTTATAACCCTGAGTACTGAAAACAAAATAACCTAAGATATATCTGTTATCGCCAATATGTTTTCTACATCGTAATGGATATATTAACCTTGCGCGACATCGATTTAAGTAATAAAAACAGAACAGGTACGCGAAATTGTTTTACTTTGTAAACAAAACAATGGTTGTTTTTGATATTATCCTAGAGCCGGGTTACAACCACGGACGAGGATCCAAAAAAAGTGGGGCGCTAAAGTATATTTGTTGCGGCCAAACGTTTTTGGATGTCAATCCGTTGGAGTAAAACCTTTCGTGCAGAACAACGCTGCATTTAGCCACGTACTTTGCGAACGAGCGTTATTAAGCAATACAACAATTATATAAGTGTTATGTAATGTGTAGCGACGTGCATAATATCAACAAAGCGTGTGCTACTTTTGAAGCGAGAAAGTGAGTTGAATTGAATCCCTGTGCTCAATATCGGCATTGATGTTGTGCGGTTAACATTTCTGTAAGGGGGTGCGCTTTTTTTCGGATACACACATGCTGCCAAAAATTCTCGAATTCGCTCAGAAGATAATCAACACTTGTGGGACTATAAAACAGTGAGCAAAATGTTTTTGAGTTTTCTGATAAGTGTCCAAAATCTGGGGACCGTTGAGGATTATCCGCCGGGAACAAGTTTTGCGCCCAATACGACCCACATAGACGTATTTATGGCTTTGTTCATGCTTTGTACGCTGGAGATTGTGATATTAAAGATTATCACCTACGATTCGGAGAGGGAGGAACGAGAACAGTCCACGAGAACGTCCGCCAGTATTTTCTTCGATAGGGACTGACTAATTCGACTTATTTATTGCGAATCTTGCTTGACTGTTTATTATATTTCTAGTTTGTATTTTAATAAAAACTATTCGACAGTATTTCCGTATTTACGTACAAAAGTTTCGAAAAAGTGAAAATGCTCATCCTGATTCAATTCTGCAAAGGTTTGGAGAACTCGTTACAAGAATGAAAACGTCATATTATCTTTGACTTTATCAGTATTGTTTTTCATAATGTACATTCAAGAAGAATATTGCTCTAAATTGAAATATCGCCTGAGATATTTACAAACGCAAATATACAAAGGAATAGTAAAAAGTTCTTTCAGTAATACAATAATTGGTTTTATTTGAAATTCTTGAGGTATTTTGCAAAAATATTTTTGGTCCTATGTTAAAACTATACCCAAATCGTTTTTTTATCTGTACTTCAGTTTTGTACACCAGCAAGAATTTATCAGATTTACAATAAACTGATTATCACCTACTAAATATTGACATAAAAGCATTAGGTAAATGATTAGTAAAACGTTATAGTATATTATATATTATGACATTATATATTATGACATTATATATTATGACATACTATATTATGAAAGTTTGATAAATATCGCTTTAGACTTAAGTTTACTTTAGCCATCATGTTGTGGGTACATTTCTGCAAAGCAGCAGGAATTCATTTACCTAGTGACGTGACCGTCAGAAACATCAAAGTACTATCAATATTTAAAATCTATCGAAAACCCCTGACTAAAGTACTAGAAACGGGCGAAATAGCTCGCGACAGTATTTAACGAAGCCTGGCGGTGACACATTGCGAACGTATGAAAAATCTTCTTTATTCTGGTAAAGCTTTCGTATTATTTTTAAATACTTTAATTCACGTTTATTTTTATTGCGTAAGGTCAAAAATTTATTGTTATGAAATTTCATGAAAAAGAAAGGATTGCAGAAACCTTAATCTTGTAACTCTAATAATAACCAAAGTAACCTACAAAGCTGTTGAAAACAGGACAGCCTGTATACATAATAATCCATCGTCCGAATGCAACTGCGATTTTATGGAACGTACACGCGCATAACGCAGGCAAATAAACACATCTGGCGGCATATTTTCTTTTTCATTGACCTAGGTTAAACGGTAACATCAATGAATACTTAACCGAATGCTTGCTGCTGCATTTATTTGCTACAGATTTTTGTATTCTTATTTTTGGTTTTTAGTATTTATTCGGAGACCAAAGTATGTTAAAGATAAATACTTATGTGTTTAAGATAGGTACAGCAATGATGCTGCTATTATTTATAAAAGTGTCTCTTGATTTAGCTCAAATTATAATAGCAAACTTACTTAAGTTGATTGCATGTGATTTATACTAAACGGTATTTTTATTTTTTCGGTTTTTAATTGTATCAGAATTTTCATAATGCATCACAGGTCTAATAACGAATTGGAAAATTTTGTTGTATTTATTTTTGATGCATTAAAAGGACAATAAGTTATTCTAGAATTCATAAGGCACAATGCCACTTTCAGCAGTTGTTATTAAATTATTACACCAAGGTTAGATGAGCAATTATTACATTAACATTAAGTCAGAACTCTAATAGGAACTTAGCTGAACTCTAATGGAGTATTCCGAAATGTCAAACATTCAAAAACATCGTGCACCTCAAAAGAAGTCCTGAAAAATTTGCGACTCATTGCTTGAAAAATTAATATATCTCTTAAATAACAATGATATTGCAGAAAAATTGGATAGCCTGTATAGTTAAATTATGCAAATTACCTAATAATGCATGCCTAATTACTCGCCTTAAAGCGTAATTACTGTTAACAATGTTTCATTTAATAGCAAATACCAAAAAAACGAACTATAATTTTACTTCTTTAACATTGGCGGAATTTACCAGCGTAGAAGCGAATTGAGTACTATCTTCTAGTTCGAAAAAGTTCCGAAGGGCTAGAAGCGCTTTAACTTTAACGTTTTTTGACGATGAACACTTTTGAACTGTACGTAAACATCCCTACATAAAAAACAACCGCTTCCTATTGCACCCATTGCTGCCAAGAGCGCCATAGATGAGGCAACTGTTGCCGTCTAAGCAAACCGACGTAGCTAAGCACCGAAAAACCAATACAAAGCTAAAAGGCGCTACTAAATATTTCCTGGTCAGTTTGTATTGATTGTGAGCAAATGGTTTCCAGGAAACAAAGCACGGCATCCTACCGGCCAGATAAAACTGTTCACCTTCCTGTTGGATCAGAGATTTGAGAGCAATCCAAGACGTCATTTACCACCCTATTAGCGCGTGTAACGAGTACGTACGAATAGAAAATAATTCAAGGTCAACGTATAAGGTACACTGACCTCATTTTCGGTCCAAACAAATGTAAATCTTTTGTTTTTCAATTGTCAAGAACGAGCTGTTCTTATGTGAATAATCTAATTTGTACCGGCGGGTTTTCCTAAATGTCACTGAGGCCCTTCCGATTTAAAAATGTACAAAAAAAACTTACACTTGCGCAATTCAAATTAAAAAATTTGTTTGAATTATCGCCAAAAATTATAATTTGGCGGATGCGCCGGGATACGCTTATATTTCCCCTTAAAAGCTAAGAAATAGATTACATCTATTGAAAATCCCGACAGTGCAATTTTATGTATGTCTCAAATAAAGTTCCCCTCTTTAAAACATTTTTTGCCTATTAAACATGAAATGGCCAAAAATAAGAAAACACAAACTAATAGTGATAAAATATTTAAATATCCTCCGCCTCATCATTTGAATAATTATCTTTTGCGCCTCCTTTTGATTGATGCATAGGTACAGTATATTCAGTGCTTATATCATAAATAGTATAGTAAATGGTACGCGGTGTTTTTATTCAGAATAAAAAAAAACTAATACAATGGAAAAAAATAAAACTCCAAGTTGCGCTTTGGTGCCCTCACGGTCTTGTAAAAAGACTAAACTAATTGCATGCTTTATTTGGCTGCGAATAATTATGTAATTATACTTTAATTTAAGATAAAACCCACGTAATAGAAGATTCACATAACAAAATTATATTTGGCTCGATAAAAGGTCCGGTGAACGGTATTTAGAAATTTCGAACCTCAACCTTTTCCGCTTTTATTAAGGAACTAGGACAGAAATTCTTTCCATATACAAAATTAAAAACGTACTACCGATTCCGTTAAAAAATGTTGAATTATAAAATAAATTGTGTAAATGTATTGCCACCCCACCTTTTCCATCCTATTTAATCTAGTGAAAATCTTTGTTATCAACATGTTGATAAAAAATATTTTCTACTGAGTTAAGGAAATTATATCTTCAACAGTGTGATGGAGATCGACATGTTGCAAATGACGAAAATGTTGACAGTGCCGTGAGTTTGAAATTCGTTTTTAAATAAAATCAGAAAAAAAAACTATTTAACGAATTTAATTTTCATCGGTACCATTGGGATTTTTTAAATTTTCTAAACGATGTTAATATTTTTTGTTCTATTGAACCGATCGCGACGATTTTATTTTGACACACCGCATATTAGTATATAAGGGTCGATTAAATTAAATTGGTGGGGTGTTCTTTTCAGGATTTTACAGTTATTTATATTTTTTTAAAATCCAATTTCAAACAACGGGCAACAGAAATAATGTTAATACCTGTTAATTCATCGTTAGTAAATAACTCCACTAACACTAGAACAAAAAACTGACACTTTTGCAACACAACAAAAACAATCAACCCAATAATGGCGTTATGAAATTATTTCACATGGCTAAGTGCTTCCCGACTTTATGTGTAAATTATCGTGCGTACAAGCCGCCACAACGTCCATATTCAACCGGAATCGCGCCATCATTGAGCAATCGTTCATCCGGAACTTGTGACCGACACATACTGCTAACTGTAATGCCTCGTGTTGGTGTATTACTTTCTCGCTGCAACTATTTAGCTCCAGCGTTTTCTATTTTACACGATTTTATCAAATAACAACTAGAAACATTTGATCCCATATTACAATCTCTAAATTTCTCTTATCATCATCCAAACGAGCAAAGCAAAAAAAATCTTTTCAAAACCGTCTACCGTATTTGGTAGACTATAATATACACAAATATTTGAACTGTAGGATCCTGACCTCAAAATCTTAAAATGAAATTTTCGTGTTAATAAATGCTTCTATATTTAGATTGCATCAAAATGATTTGAGAATCTCAATTTATTTTTAAATATTGAGCGCATCTATTCGTTGCAAGAAATTGCAATAAAAAACATAATGCTTTTTTGTTTATACAGATGAATGTATCATAATTAACAAGTATAAACCCAGTGACACAAAAAATAATATTTAACTTTAAATGCTTTCGATAAACAAGGATTTTATCGCAGCAAAGAAATAGTGTGTTATTTACAAATATAATAGCACTTTATTTCGAACAGGTAACATGACCCAATTACAGGAAATATTAAATATAAATCATATGATATATTTACAGGGAACGTAAAAACTAATCTTAAATCTACTAATCTTATAACTAAATAAAAAAGAAGAGGAAAGAAAATGACAAGACTTGTCAGTACGGATAAGTAGAGCCTGAAAACATAAATTACAGTGCGATGATAGTTTGTTGAAGTTAATACACATACTGTAAATAGGGTTTTGAAAATGGATATTGGATCTGGATAATTGCGGTAAGAAAGTTGATTCATGTCTCCCTTCCAGCCACGCCACATGAAAACCTAATTGTTCCAGAAGAAACGGTCAATCGCTTCCGTAGAAGCAGTACAACCAACCTTCTCAGTAGAAGATCATGATCAATTCCCACCTCAGGACAGGAACCCTCCTCACTGAATATTAAATACTTCAGTAACCTTTTCTGCACACTCTCAATGGACGGAGCGTGGAAGTTATATATTAGTGATCATACCAATGAGCCATAGCCAAGCTTCGACTCAACGTAACTGAGCTACAAAAATGCTTGCAAATTCTTATTACGAATCCTGAAATTTTAGTAATGTGAGGTCAAATAAAATCTCCAGATCTTTTACAGTTGCGTCAGTTACAGTCGAGTCAGGATAGCACTATCCATACTGTGATTAAAGACTATAGGAGTTTTTGTGCGGTGGTAAGAAACCACATTACGCTTGCTTTTGTTAAGATGCAATTTATTTTTAGTACACCACTAAATCATCCGCATAGGTTAGCTTGTCGCAGATGATCAAAGATATGAGATCGTATATACATATATTGAACAGGAGTGGCCCAAGGTTGGAACCTTGGGGCGCACCAGGAGTTGAAACAATAAAACCCTCAATCTCAACGAACTGTCGACGGTTCACAAGATAGGACCTCAACACTGAAATCAACAGAATCGGAGAAACAAAAATTTTGAGACGCTTTTTCAATCAGTGAGTGATGATTTATCTGGTCAGACGCTTTGTGGAACTTAGTGTATATAACGTCAACTAGACTTTGCTTGTTCAGAGAAGAAGACTGAAAATATGAGTTGGTGATACATGATCTTTTCGTATAAAAATCATGTTGTTGCGTAAAGAGTTTATTTCGAATTTGAGCAAAAACATAAAACAAAGTTTTGCAGAATCAAAAAATTGTGCTGAAATGGCAATTTCGCCAATGGCTTAGAATGTGGAGAGGCTCATCTAGCCAATCCCCAGTTCAATCTTAATATTTTCCGCTTATATAAATATTATCTTAGCATTTGTTCATCGGGGTGATGAAAGCTTCCTATAAATTTAAGGCAAACAGTACCGGTAAAGTAAAATAAAAATCAAGATAGTAACTTTTACAACTGACCTAGCAAGCAACTTCACAGCATAATTCTTCAATTCGATTGTGTTTTGTGAATGGATGTCGGCAATTAGTTAAACATAATGCCTTAATTCGTACTTCCCATTTCTATCCTACTTAACACGTTTGTACCCAATTAATATGCGTCACTAAAAATATTTGGGTTCTTTTATTTTGAAAAACGAAGTTTCTTTTTGTCAAAAGTTGGAAAGTTATTAATGTTAATTAATAATATATTTTATTGTTTCAGTTCTATGCAAAAATACCAGACAAAAGTTGTGAAACAGTAAATTTACTATAAATTTATTAAAGAAAAAAATGCGTACCTCTTTTTCTTATAGCCGTGGACAAGAACGTAACAAACCCCAGACAATATCCCGGCTAGGACACCAACCCCTAATCCAGTGGTGACCAACGACACGACATCTGACGGCATTCCGGTAGTCTGATGGTCAACTTCTACTTATCAAAGCGATTTGCGTGTATTCACATTTTTACCACAAAAATTGGCGACATGGGAAATAAGAGCACTAACATCTTCAAGCATGAGAGTGTTATCTAAAAATCTGATCCTTTTATTCATAAGTAAACGACAGAGTTGGTGATTTAGCGAGATAACAGCTTAAGATTTATTAGGACCAAGGCATGCGTTGTATGCGTTATCTTATGAGATTTTTCTTATATTATTGTGTAACGCAAATTGCTCGAAATAATGGAGTTTGATTGGATTTTCTGTTTCCCATATAGACCCAAACCAAAAGATATCAAACGAAAAACGAAAAAAAAAATCTCAACTGACATTTTTCGAATTTGTGGGAATTCTATAAATTTTGAAATTTAATTAAATTCTTCAAGAATTATCATATTTTTTTAATTTAAATAAAAAAAAACATCTTAATTGACCTAATCAACCACGTAGTTACTCGAGCTAGAATCTGCTATAAAATATCATCAGACTTTATTGATTTTCCAGATACATGGTTTTCTATTTGGTTTTCATTTAAAACAAACCCCAATTTCTGGCTGCTTAAAATAAAAAAAATGGGTAAAGCCAGCGGCGCATATTTTTTTGTGATTTTTTTTAATTCGACATCCTCTATGAAACTAACTTCCGGACCTATGTTTAAAATCGCTTAAGAATCACCATTGATATCTGGCAAAAAATTATTTTCTTAGTAGTCAATAAAGCTCAGTATTTTTAGTGCTCAAACTCCCTATGTCCTGATAACCATTTCTAGGGTAGTCAAAATGATACTTCGAGGAAAACTGAAACGTTCAGGTACTCCGCATCCCCTGAGTGTTTACAAACCGCATCGTTCGGAAATATCCGCACACAGACGCACCTTAAACCGCGATTAAGCCGTTTTGAGGCATCGAAGCCGGAATACCACAGAGAAACAAACTTTCACGTCTTATCGGCAAACTTGAAGTCACGAGATAAACTGCGACCCCGCCTGAAACGTACTGCTTTGACGTATGCCGACCTTGTGAAGGTAAACACATCCCACGGAATTTTCTCGCCACAACTTGGCCAAGCGATCGAAGAAAGTGCCGCGAAGATCGAGTCTGTGAATGGTTTAGCTTCAGGTGACCGGAATCTTCGTTCAGAGGGGTATACTTGGTGGGTATTCGAGGAGATAACTCGAAGCTACTATCGCTATCCAAAAGACTTTGGAGCTTTGCGCGTTAGTAATCGGAATCACAGTGTATAAATATCCAAATTTGGTCCACACTATGTGACACTGTTAGGAACACAGTAAAATATCTATAATTTACGATAGTACAAACCTGCATTCTTTATCCTGCTTGAATGTTTTCTATATTTTTTAGTATTTTTTTTATTAGTTATCTTAAACGCAGCACTAGCGCCATTTTATTTAACGAATATAGTAACTTGGCAATTATTACACGTTTATCCAAACTTTGAATCATTATATATATTAGTATGGGCAAAATTAGTTGGGCCGTTTAAGGGAAACGACGACAGACGACAAAAATAAAAAACTGTGTTTTCTGAGTCAAAAAAAATATCTTGCTCAAATTTTGAATGAGTTTTGATGAGTTTACTGCTTTCGAACAAATCGACTCCCAGTGCAAACTAGTTTGACCTGTAAACAGCAGGTATTATTTAATTATGCATTTTTTTTATTTTAGAAAAATAGAAAAAATCACCATTTAATGAGGTTGTTCTATTCTTACTGAATTTATTTAACTTTTTTTTTCTTTAAAAATGGTAGATCATCAAATCCACTCAAGTATTAATTTCACAAAACCTGAGCCAGCTAAATTACGTCTGATCAAATCCATTTTTAAAAAAATTCAAAACGGTGCTATTGACATCAAAATTCGACAATTTGTCTTTGATATTTCATGTTATTTTATGCCTATGGGATGTTTTCAACTGCAATAGGATATTATACAACTAGTGCGGCAAACCTCACTTGACTCACGAGTTTATTCGACAAAAGCGGAGCGAGTGTTTAATAAACGAGTGACTTAAAAAGTTTACCGAACGTGTTGCATACTATACTTTTTCTAAGACCAGTAGTTTTTGGGTACATTTTGGGACATGACTGTCAGAACATCAAAATTCAAAGAGTGGGAATTACCTCCGAAAACATCAGATTGCTTCCGAACCCGTGCGGTAAAATCCCGGAAATGTCGGATCGGTTAGTAATTAGGAATTTTACAGACGGGAGTAGCAAAAAAGACATCCTCTCTTTTTTCCGTTATTTTTGATTAATGTAATATTATTAATTATTTCAACATTCTTTTAAAAATAAATCATAATTGGGGGGAAAAGGGTGAGATTGAAAGTGAGAGATTTATTTTAAATTATATCCTTCATTAATTTTTTCAGGATATCAGAAAACATAAAATAATTTAAAAAAACATAACGGGACTGTGGTACCAAAACAACTTGCGAAAATAAAATTTAATCGAACCATTATAGAAAGTAACTAAAACGGATCTAAAAATTATGCAAAAAACAAAACTTCAATAACAAGGACATATCCAAAGTGTTAGGCTTTTGGAGTCACTAAAGTATCATAAATAGATAAATTTAGCCAATCCCCAGTTCAATCTTAATATTTTCCGCTTATATAAATATTATCTTAGCATTTGTTCAGCGGGGTGATGAAAGCTTCCTATAAATTTAAGGCAAACAGTACCGGTAAAGTAAAATAAAAATCAAGATAGTAACTTTTACAACTGACCTAGCAAGCAACTTCACAGCATAATTCTTCAATTCGATTGTGTTTTGTGAATGGATGTCGGCAATTAGTTAAACATAATGCCTTAATTCGTACTTCCCATTTCTATCCTACTTAACACGTTTGTACCCAATAAATATGCGTCACTAAAAATATTTGGGTTCTTTTATTTTGAAAAACGAAGTTTCTTTTTGTCAAAAGTTGGAAAGTTATTAATGTTAATTAATAATATATTTCATAAATAGATAAATTTAGTTATATAAGTCATGGTTATTAACTGCACAGTAATTTTAAACCAGTAGTAAATCTAAACAAGTCAAAATTGAATTTCTGCGACGGTCACTTTTAAAGTTATATTGTACAATACAGATGGTATATAAGAACATTGATCATAAGAGTGCAATCTAATAAAGTAATTGTGGGTTCTATATAGATTATGTTGATAATGTTGAGTGGATGGCGGAACTTTGGTTCACCAACACCAACAATAACCTGAAACTAAACTGAGTTAAAGTTAAATAAGCGAAATAATGGTCAACAATGGTCAAAGTTAGGGCAACCATCTAGGAGTTCTAGATACTGTTCAGGCCTCAATTTAACAGCGAAAATATAATAATAAAAAATTTCATAGAATTTATTTGAAAGCACCAAGCGTAGATACACATAATTCTAAAGAAAAGAAAAGAGAAGAAATGGAGAGGGAAGGAAAGGAAAGGAAAGGGGCACATTTTTTGTAGAAGAGCTTAATATTAGTGCGTACGTAACAACTGCTTTTTGAAATTATTCCTAAACGTCGAGTTGAACTGATTAATATCAAAATTAGTAATGCAATGGCAATGCAAATGGCTATATTATAGGAATATGATCTTTTAAATAATTCTTTGCGGTGACGGGGTATAACTAGTCGGTGTCTTCCACGCAGATTCAAATTGTGTATTGATATGTTAAGAGTAATTTTTCTGTAAAGATAAAAAGGTAATTTTGTTTTAAGGATGTTAAAATAAAGGGAACTCATTCGTAATTTGCATCGAAGGTGCATATTAAGCCAACTCGACGCAGCAAGGTACGGGGAGATATGATCTTTCCTCCTTACCCCATAAATTAGCCTTAGACAGGAGTTTTGCACCTTCTGGACACGGTAACGATCGGACGCATCCAGGCACGGTCCGTACACAGCACTGCAGTGATTAAATTGTGACAGAACAAGTGATTCACACAGCAACTTACGAGTTCCCTGACGAAGTACATGTCTATTGCCATAAATTAATTTTAAATTAGCATAGGCAACCCTTAGTTTATTAGTAATATGTTCTCTGAAACGCAACTGCGAATCAAGAGTGAGACCAAGCTTTTGCATGACTCAGAGAGTGGCAATTTTATGTTATTAAGTTTAATTGTTATGTTATACTTTGCATGGGTTAAATTATCATTTCCAAAGAGTATTACTGAAGATTTATTAGGGTTAAGCTTTAGGAGGTGATTTGTTGCAATGCTAAAAAAAATTGACAAATCAGTATTGATGACATCCTCCGCGGTAGCTATTTCTTGAGGAAAAAATGAGTAGCAAATTTGAGTGTCATCCGCATAAAAATGACAGTTGCATTGGTGGAGGGCTCCAATGAAGTTAAAAGTAAAAATAGTGTACAACAAGTGACCAAGAATGCTGCCCTGTGGAACACCCATGCGAACACCTAGGAACGATGACTGCTGCTGATTGTAGACAACCCGTTGTGTCCGACCTGACAAAAAGGAAGACAGAAACTTTCGAGCACCTTAGGAGAAACCAACGTAATGGAGAATGGCCAAGAGAATTGAATGATTTATCATATCAAATGCCTTACTGAAATCCAACAATATTAAAGCCGTTATCTTTCCAACGTCAGTCGCTCTAAAAATGTCATCAGTAATGTTCAGCATGGCACTCTCACAACTGTGATTAGGTCTAAAACCAGACTCTTTCTCTGGTGGAATATGATTAGAATTTAAAAAGTTTACCATTTGATCGTTCATAATTCTTTCAAGTACTTTAGATAGAACAGGCAATATGCTAATTGACCGCAGGTGACTAAATTCGCTTGGATTGTTTATTTTCGGTAAGGGGATGACTTGTGCCCGCTTCCATGTTGACGGAAAGTACGAATTTAAGTTACACTCATTTATTATATGCGTAATGTATGGGGCAATATATGGACAGCAAAGAAGTATTAATGATATATTTATATCACCATGGCCGGCAGCTTTAGATTTTATATTTTTCAGAATGTTGAGAATCTCATCTTCCGTGGACAATACAAAGTCAAAGTGATCCGTTCCATTAAGTTTCCTTAGTTCGTTCCATTTCTCTTTGACATTACCATGACAAAACTTAGTTCTTAAATAAGCTTTTTTCTCTGATCTAATGGCCGAATTTGTATAATTACGTAATTGTTTGTAATGCTCGTAATGTGCTGGAAGTTTAGTCAGTTTAATTTTTTTTAGCGCTTTATTTCTCAGCTTTTGTAGCAGTTTTATGTTTTCTGTTATCCAAGGCGCATAGTTATAGTTTTTATTCTTCCTAAAGCGTTTTAACGGCGCGTGCTTATTAAATAGTTCCAATATGCAAGTATTTAAGAGGTTTAGCTTTTCTTCAATGTCACAAAAATAAAGTAAGTTATTTAACGGTAAGTCATTCTCATCTAACTTACGGCATAGTTCTCTGAGGTAATTTTGCCACAGCAGACCAGGCATTTAAACTTCAAAAGAAAGTTGTTCTTTTGAGTGCCGGTGCAGGTTATCTGGAGCACTGTCAACCAATTTTTAAGAAGTTGGAAATTATGCCACTTCCTTGTCTGTATATTTATTATCAATTATTAGAAATAGACAAAAACATAGACAGCTTCAGTCAGAACTCCTCTTACCATGACTATTTAACAGCTTGACCTTTCTTAAAAAGCACTGCTTTTACTGGGTCGGGGAATACATGAGTACTCCCGCTGTGATTGAAGTCAAAGAAGAGTATGCGAAACGGCGTGACTGTGCAGTGACTTTCTATAATTTTGTTGAGGTTTCTTCCTTTTATTTATTTATATAAACGTCTTGTTCTTTGTTATATACACTGGGTTTTTATGTATTATACACTGTTTTATATAATTTATATACTCTTTATATAATTTATTCACTGTCTTGTTTTTCATATACATATTTTTCTACATATTGTATTTATGACTTGCCATAATTGTATCAACAAAACATGGTCATTAAAAAGGGTATGATTATTTATGTGGTCACTATAGAAAGGCACAACATCTGCTTCAATTTTCTCAATATTTGTATAATTTTTTTACATACTTTAGATGCTTTGAAGAGACTGAGACTGACGGTTTTTAGACTTTAAGTTTGAAATAACCGATTTTAGATACACGCCTAAGAAACATCAATCTATAAACTCTTTTTTACTATTTTTATGCACGTTGGTGAAACTCGACTTTACCAAAACCGACTGGCACTGTATCTTAGATAGAGAACTTGAACCACTAAAAAAATACGGGTATATATTAGACCATTTCAAAAATTAAATAAATTTTAAATATTTTAAACGTTTAATAAAAGAAGTTCGAATTTTTGTTAGTTTCTTACATAAGTAAACACCTACAAACCGAGGTAGGTAATACACATCATGTTTATTAGTAATGATGATCATGATGCAATTTCCAATAGTGGAGTTCAAGGTCAAACTTTATTTTGCACAATTCTAGAAGATCATTTACAAAACTTCTCTTACATTTTAATTCGTAGAGCCTAATAGAACAGCCGATACCTAACGGAAATATACCGACCATCTCAGGTCTACTATACTCCACTTTCACTTAACAGTTCTCGATGACTTGCATCATCACGTGTTCGATGAATGAGTTAAATTACCGGTAGACGAAAATTTACAAGCGTGTAAGAATTCTTTATTGCGTTACCCGATACAGCTCGTCTTCTACCAATAACGAAAAATAATTATTCTCACCACTTTCTATCGATCTAGGAAGGAAACCAAGTCCGGTCACGATAATAAATCCTTTAAAACATGGCCAAATGGATTTAATGACCTTAGCCATCTGCTGTTAAAAGAACCGATTGAATGTCCAAGTTTTTTATGTTTTACCATGCATCGAATTTTGTATACTAAATGACTTTCTACCTTTCATGTAAGTAAATCCCAAGTGGACCAAATATAGGTATCTAACAATAGAACTAACAATTTATATTATTATCATGAAATTACGATAAGCATTTTGGAAATTAAATAGCAAATAAAGTGCACCGGGAAGGCGATTTAAAAAATGTAATATGTGTAACAAATTATTATTCACATTGCAATTTCTATTAAAAATTCAGGAGAAATATTCTAGGAAACTTCTCTAAATTTATAATATATCGTCATAATAAGGTGACAATCTATATTGCCCAAGTACTTTGGAAAATTCAGCGATTAACCTGGTCTTCAGAGTTTCAATATGTTATTACAGGTTCGGCTTCTACACAAAAATTTTGTTCACATCCACTTTATCTCCTACGGTGGTATGATATATCCCCATTATTATGACTTATAACATCTCGTACATTCATCTAGAACCAAAGAAAAGGAAAGGTTTTTCTTTTAATAGGGAACACGCTTTATGAATAATATATATCTAATATAATAGTAGTAAAATTTAAATATTTCAACAATGAAACAACAATCGTATGTGCTAGTCGCATAGTAGAAAAAAAATCGAAAAACAAACAATTTTAATATTCCATAGTTAGGAAATTCAAATGTTGTTCCCATAAAAAAATTAAATTTAACTAATTTACCAAAACTGAGAAACATCGAGTTTTCAGAATAATTTAGAAACTGTGTTGAACTTGCGGTTTATTAAATTGAACCAAAAATTTCAGAGGTGACATTCTAGATTTCCGTTTAAATACTTTTGATTATAAATTTTAAAATAATCAGAACGCAATAATATATAGTTCAGCCTACTTACGAAAAAAATTTCTTCATTTTTCTTTCCAAATTTCGGAACCTGCGGAACAAAAAAGAAGGTGTTTATTTAGTATTATTATTATAGTTTAAATTATTAACTGATAATGTTTAATATTATTGGAAGTTTAGCATATCGAAAAAGTGTTGCAAAAAATTAACTGTTTACTTAATTTACAGTAATTTTAATTAGTTTTATATTAATACTTTCATAACCGGTTATGATGCACCAAGCAACATCAAAATAAAATGAGTGCGTGTTTGAGGGCAAACGATAAACCCAGTCAATTTTATAATCTCACTATTTTATGCCATACTCTTTTTCGTTAATACCAACCATGGTTTTTTTATTAAAAATTATGATAGTGCTGATTCTATTTACATTCACTTGCGTGAATATCATTATCTTCATGAATTTAATATGGGATTGCTTTTTGACGCATATGGAGCATCCTATACCGTACGGTCAATTAACAAGGGCACTCAGCCCTATCTCCAACAGTAATTGTAGTAAAGAAGATAAAAAAAATTATGACTAAATTAAAAAAAATATATATATATATTTAAATTTTCCACTATAAAAGTTTTGTAATAATTAATACTTATTTCACACAGATAAAACACTAAGATCTTTCCATTTTAATGCAGGATACTTAATGCCCTAGACTCTAACAGAAACAGTTGCGTTTTATAAATATAATGCATACAATATTTGCTATTTGTTTTCCAAGCACACTTGGATATTAAAAATTTTGAATTTCGTGTATTAATTCATATTGGTATTTCAAATATAAGTTTTATATATTATCAGAAAATTTATATACTTTATTTTGCTTTGGAAACTAAAATTAGGATTTAATAATGGTATCATATTATAGAATTGGAAAAAGATATTGGGCTATCTGTTGCACTAAAAGTGATATCGTTGCATTTAATTTTAACTTTTACTTATAGTGGTGAAGTAAAAGAGAAGCAATACTGGTCTAACCTAAAACGAGCGCCTTTCAACCGCTCCCAGTTTGACAAAATTTGCTTAGCCATTCTGAAGTTATTGACATTTATTAAGAGAAACCAATTTATCCCAGCTTTACACTGGTTAGCTGTCTGTCTGTCGGACGGCGATTAGTCCCCCAAAACTTAACAATTTCCAGCATTTTCTCCAGCTTTTCTACTCCAAGACTTTACGACAAATAATTCAGCCGATGTTAATTAGTCATCCGGAATAATGGCAAATAAGTCACCAGAATAAAGTTATTTGTTGGTAAATAAAGAATAAAACTAAATAAAGGCCTCGAAGTAGGCAAAATAATTTAAAAAATTGATTCTACCTTACAAACCACTGTTTTTTGGTAGCCACCTAAGTACTAAGTACTTACCTTTTTATCAATCCTACAAAATCAATTAGATACACGTTACAACGACCGCTATGGCTCAACTAATTCGCATCAAAAGAATGAAATAAATTCAATAGGAAGTAGAAACATCTTCTGTACGTGACTTCCTGTGGAATAAGGCGACGTGAATATAATGGTCGCGTATATTATAAAATTTGTCCACAATGCTGAGCCATATAATATCAGAACCACAAAATTACATGTTCACTAATTTTGTCAAAAAATTAGTTCCTTTTGCAAAGAAAAATGTACCTGGAATGTTAACCAAAATTCGTTATTAAAATTTTCTGTAGGGGCGGTTGCCTTGGGATTTTTTTCTTAACATTTCTGATACATTATTCCATTTTTCTAGAGCTAAACAAAAAAAAAATCGTTTCAATTTCCATTTGGCTCTTCCAAATAGTTGCTAATTTTTTCCTAAAAAAATTTATTCGTAGACGCTGCAACGTCTTTATGAAAAAATACGTATATAAATTGTATTGTTTGAAAAAAATGCCTTAATGAAAGGTTACATAAATTTTATTAAACTGATTAAACAATTAACGTTAACTAAAACTAAGAAATCTAGTGACTCCAGAATTTTCCAAGTCCAGACTCCAATCGTAACGAGAAAGCAATGATGATTTTTGAAATAGAAAAAAAGGCAAATTAAGCTGTTTGATCTAAGATACGTATATACATTTTTTAAAATTATAACAGTAGTTTATATGTATTCTCGAAGTCGCATACACCTTAAACGTGAGTGATTAATCGAAAACCTCACTTTCACTCACGATGGCACTGTCAGAGTCTTCTCCGCTTAAAGCAACGTCCTCGTCCTCACTAGGCAGCTTCTCATTTCCTTCTGCGCTCTCTTCGTTAGAAGAGCACACTGTACTTTGACTTTGACTAACAATTTCGTCACCGTGCAGATCTTTATTTCTTAAATTCCCCATCCAAAATGCAGACGAACAATTATTGGCCGCCAGAGCAGCTTTAACGCGGAACAAAAGCGTTTCTAAAACATGCCGGAACATAGGAACGTGTGCGACTAAACTTGCGTCTTGATTTAACCTCGAATAGCAACACAAACTATGCAAAAACCTTGTGGTTATCTGGATATCCTTAAAAATTTGTACTACCTCGTCTGGTTTTCGTTTTAACATGATTTCTAAAATTGGCACGCCGTGACTGATAAAAATCTTTAAAATTCCAATGGATTTTTTTAAAAAACAAGACAAGTTAACTCGATTTTCGTGAATCTTTACAATCGCCATAAACCCTTGCATTGTTAATGCGATCTTGTGCCATAACACTAAATGCTGATTGTTTGTAAGAGATTGAATTTCTATTTTCACCCTATTCAAGAGGGCATTCCACAGTCCTAAATAGAGTACATGGAAATTTTGTTTGTCAATTGCGACCAACATATGAAGAGAATCGTCTTTGGATTTTAAAAGAACTGCTTCTTTTTCCAGTGTGCCGACCAGTCCATAAATAGTTTTCACATCAGCACGCTTCAAAAATCCTTTTATTAAAACATCGATACTAAGGTTACAGTCTTTGCCACGATCCAAATCTCCATTGAAGTTACGCCAGCGTTTGGATAGCAGTTTTAGACAAGTCGTAGTAAAGCATTTTTGAATCTCTTCGCTCGGAACAATGCAATTGCACAACGTTTCGATTGCATTCACTAAACTTACTGCATGACTTAAATGTAAACATTCGTCGGTGTAAGAACTAAGTCTCGTTATAAACTCACAGATTAAAAGATTAGCTGAGTTTAATGTTTGGGAACTTTCAGGTCTCATTGACTTTAAAAGGTCCCGTAGTAGATCTATGTTTGTCAAATTTTCAAATCCTGGCCATTTAAAAATTAAAAAAAATATTTGCAAAACTAAACCAAAACAAAGTTTAATATCCATAGCTTCCTCGGTATACATTGCCAAATAATCTTGGCTTTCATTGGTGTTGGCCAATAGTCTTCTAATGTATTTCACAATTACTCCAAAACACCTATTAACATGCGGTAGGATTAAAACACAATCTTGGATAAGATGTTGAGGAGTTACATCATTTAAATGGCTCAGCCCTAAATCTTTGTTCTGAGTTAGCAGTGATAATTTAGTTCTAAAATCCTTCAAAAGAAACTTCAGCTGATCAATGTTGATTGAAGCGCTTTGAGTAAACTGTGTCTCACAATCTTGATCTAATCTAAGGGGGTACCTAAGAAGTTCGAGTACGTCGGTATCTAAATCTCTAAACTGGATGTTTTGTTCATTTGTCATACTTCTTTTAGTTGAACAAGTTGGCTTTGCCGATTTCTGGGTGTTTAGAGTTGTCTCTTCATTTATTACAGAAACAGTCTTGAATTTCTTTCTGGGATTTTTGCATACCTTAGCTTCAATTTTCATCAATGTGTGATTACTGATATTGTTTGAGGAGTCAAAAAAGCCCAAAGGCAAGTTATGGGTGGGAATACATTTCATTATCTCACGCAGTTTCTGTTCCAGGTCTAGCAATTCTTGCAGTCTATGAATGACCTTGGCCTTTAATGTTTTAGACTTTTGTGTGACAAAAGCACTAATAATCTCCCTAAACCAATTGGCGCAATGAAACAAACAATCAGCAACAAAACTTAACTGCTGATTATCCAATTCAGTTATGTCTTCTATTTCTGGTAGCACAATGCCACAACCTAACAATGCATCTATAGTTGCCAAAGAATTGTTGTGCTGACGCAAATGTAATAACCGCAGAAGGCGAAAGTAAGGAGGAAGAACCAAAACCATATTTCGTTTATCACGCACCATGAGTCCTACAATGTCCACCGCCATGGGAACAGCCATTTCCTTTGGATCATTAAGCAGATATTGCATGTTTATCTGCAAATTATGAACAGATTCTGGCAGTGTTTCACTTATGAAGGTGCTCTGAAAATTATTGGTAGCACTTTCATAGAGCCAACATAAGAAGTGCTTATCAACTGGCCCACTATTAACAAAGATGGAAGCCAATTGATCATAATATAAACCCAAACACTCTGGACAAGTTTCCACGCAACTATTTATCAGTTCCAACAAATACGCCGCGTCTCTTGGTGGTCCCTCTGGCACATCCGTAATATTCATAGAATCTTCCATAGTTGTAACATCACTTTGAGAGTTTTCGGTCATAGCAAGATGTTTCACCATAACAATAGCGCTTAATATGCCTCGAAATTTTATATTTTTTGATGGACTTGACAATTGCTTACGAATAATAATGTGAATTTCATCTGTAAATCCTAGCAACGATTGACTTGTCTTTTCAGAACGGCTCAATCCACAGAGAATGTCAAAAACCATTTTTACATTCTTAAGGTCTAGAATGTCTAATTTTTCCAGTAGCTGCATCAATAAACCCATATGTGTTTCAACCTTAGTAACATCTATAGATATGAGTGACAGTATTAACTTTAAAATATAATTTATGGTTTTTCCGTCACTAGACCCAGTGAGCACAATCAGACTGCATAATATTTCTGCTCGATCAACCGCTAATACATAGGTATGATTAAAAAGGAGTTGGAATAAGGCTGTAGCAAACTCAACTACTAAACCATCCTTCCCACATTTAAATAAAAAACAACCGATTTCTGTTATTGAGCCAATATAGTTTCTCATTAGTTGTTGGGCTAAATATTTTTCAAAAGTCTTTTCCAGCAGACTAATTTTAAACAAACCTGAACTCACACGTTTTTTAAACATTAACTCAACAACTCTCTTGCGAGCTTCACAAATATGGTGTAACATAAAAAGTATGATATAGTCTATAGCCTTATGATCAGAGAAATTCTTTATGTGTGAAATTGCAGTTAACCACGCTTCTCCGACTTGTTTCTGAGATATTGCAAATGTCTGCAAATTATGAAATATTAATATTTTAAATGATTCCTTTTCCTTGTTACAACCTCCCGATGCCATTATAATATCTAAGGCATTTCTAATTTTATATAGAATGGGAACTAAGTTTTGACTTTTTGACTCATTTAACAAAAACTGTAGCAATATTGGAAAAATCTTTGGTGTAGTGCCTGCCAAAATTTTTGCAAGTATTCTATCTTGAACTACAGCTCTGACCTCTGAATCCAAGTTTAGAGCATTTAAGCAGTCAACAATTCCCCCACAAAGATCATCATTTTCATCTAAGAGCTTTGTAAGTTGTCTCGCTGCTGCATCACACTCACTATCTGGTAAAATATCTGGAATTGCTTCCAAGATTTCCAGTTGAGATGTAAATGTAGACACTTCTAATATATCTAGCAACTTTGTAGCAAGCTCCTTTCCATATCTTATGTTAGGAAGGCAACGTAACGGACTAATTAACAAACGAAGCCAAGATGTGTCCTGCACTTCTTCAGTTGAAATCTCCGTTATTCTATCCAAAAGCATGTTAGTAACTTCTTTTTGCAAAGGTGGTACCTTTAAAAGTGTGCTACAAGAAAAACAATGTACTGAACTGTTGGAGTGCAAAAAAGGCTTACTTATTTACCGAACTAAACTTTCTTGATAAATGGCAATGGAATTGTCTCGACCAGTATCATTCAATGCTTTTTGAAATTTAGTAGGGAGCAAACATTTTTTAAAACATCTGTCATTTTTACAGTGTTCTTTCAAACCTTTTAGAAATTTGTTAATCAATTCGGATGAGTTATCTAAATCAGTAAAACATTTCATTAAATCCCTAACCACAAGAGCCTGCTCTTTTATGATATTTAGAGGTTCCTCATCTTTGTTGTTCAATACGACTCCAACACCAGCTAGAACGTCATCAAAATAACTTGTCAATGACATGCTCGTTATCAACTAAATATTAAAAACTCATTTAAAAATGCACATTAATTTCAATTATAACTTTCTGCTTTAAATTCCAATTTGGCGGTAAACTTGAGAACTGTCTTCTTTTTTGATGGGTATAGAAGACTAAGGTTAACTTCTTCTTTCTTAGGGACCTTGTCTATTGGAACAAGTTCTTTAAAATTTCTATTCTAAGGTTTCATAATTTCTTCGAATGTATTTGATGTCGGCAATGGGTGAACGACTGCAAGAATTTTGTCACGTAGTTGAAAAAAGGAGGAAGCATGATGCCACCATATACGGTGGTCCATGTCGATTATGATTCTTTCACTTGTGCGTTGCATAGTTGCGTCTGCGTTGTACTTTACGAAAATGGACGACATTAATTTGTTTAATTTGTTTCACGTCAATTGCGAATATTTACACTAAAAATGTAATGCAAAACACAAAACCAAGGAGTTGTGAAACTTTATCACCAAATTAAAGTGAACTAATGTGAGTCTGCTGAAGTGAGTGCTGTTTACTCAATTGAAGCTACTGGAATTTTCCAATAGCGTGGGTGTCTCCGCATGCGTTTATAATAAACCTGTATACAAATTAATTCGCGTCTAGTTTAGTTTTAATTTTCTGTTTATATAAAATTTGCGTAGTAATAATAAAGTTTTACCCAAGCACTAATTATTTTTTTGTTCTTCTTTCGAAATATCGACATTGGTACCCTGTTTTATTTAATATTCGTGGTCCAAATGTAACGAGTTAAGATTATTTTTACTAGGTAAAGTCTACAAGTTTTAAAGCATTTATGAACTATTTTTCAGGTTAAATGAAAAATGGCAAATAGCGTTGTTAAGGTAACAGATGTTAAAGATGACATAAACGATAGTTTGTTGTTATTAGTTGGAGAAGATGGGACTGTTATGCCTGATAAGGAAACGGTTGAAATGTTTTTAAGTAAGTAAATATTAAATAATTATGAATAATATGTTATAATAACAAAATTTAAGGTTCAAAAGAGGGCCCCACGAAACTTCAGATAATGCACATTGATAAATCAGATTCTAGAGGTATTGATTTATCAGTGGATAATGTGACTTACATGCCTGAAAACATGGAAGTTGCAAACATTGAAGGTAAATGGAAAAATTGTAGATGAAGATGTTACAAAACCCATAACAATTAAATATCAATAGTCATACTACAGAGTTTTGCAGATGTAAAATTGAAGAGAAAAGCAGTGTTGAATGTTGAACGCTGTTGAAATACATAAAATTTTCTGTATGCAATAAAGATTTTTCAAATGCATTCTAGATATTTTATATGCATTTAAAAAAGGTTTTAACCTGCCTGGGACATATGTTTTGTGCTTGAGGAAATGTAGCAATAGCTGATCATAAAAAATAAGTCTACCAGCACTGAAAAGTTTCATATAGTAAATTATAATTAAGTGTCTACATTTTTTTCATAATAATGACACTAGGGTATGTCAGTGTTCTTCATATCTATATCTATAAATGCTTTAACTTTCTTGGTAATCCATTTTTATATCAAACATCTTTTGATAAGATTATTTGTGTAGCTAAAAGGTCTAAATTTAATTGGAGTAAGTCTTGTATGTGTGAGTGTATACAAGAGTTATATCCCTGTGATATAACAACAATTTATTATATCATTCTTAATAATAAATAAGTTTTCAAAATCTGAACAATTGTTATTTGATAAATTGATATATATCTTTCCTCAGATGTTGTTATCAGAGAAGACATGGATGAAGTGGCAAGAAATCTATACAACTTTAAGTTGGATCATGATTATACTTCTCTTTCATCACCACAAAGACCCTCAGTAGATTCTGATGAAGTGGACGAGTTGACTAAAACACTGAGTATTCTTCATGGATCAGGGGAACATGAACCTCCAGAAACTGTACCTCCTAGCAAGGTGGTGAAATCTAGTTCTAATGTTAATATTCTATCTTCCATAACAATACCTCCGGTTTTATCAAAAACACCTGTTAAGTCTACACCAGTTGAGCAAACTCCCGTATCCATAATTGAAAAATCAGAATTGCCTTCAAGTTTAATTCCGGTTGTAGAAGATGAGAAAGCTGCTGCAAGTTCTCCGAAAACTAAATCTAAGCCGAAATTATTGAATATTCAACAATTGAAAGGAAAATTAAAAAATCTACCTAACTCCAGGAAAAACAAGAAAATAATAGAGGAGGAAGAACCCGAAGTAGCCAATGAAAGTGATGGACTTACTGATGAAGAAGAGGATTATGATGAAGCAGATTTTGATATGGATGGAGAAGATGACGAAAATGATTTAGATTTCGTCCTTGATGAAGAAATTAAGGTCAAGACATTACCTAAAAGGCGGGGCAGGAAAGTTAAAGTGGATCCCAAAACCTTATCCAAACCATCGAGAACTACACTAGTGAAATCCAAAAGAAGTAAAATGAAAGATGCACCTGGTACTCCAAAACAAGAGTCTGAAAAAAATGCTGAAAAGGATCAGGAAAAGAATGAGAAAGAATCGGAGAAGTTTGAAACCAAATTGGATGATGCAAAACCTGAGTCCAAACTAGAGGCAATACCAGACACAAAGCAGTTGGAAAAGAAACATCCGAAAAGGGAAAAGAAACCTCCGAAGCCTATTCCAAATGATTTTGCTTTATTTTCTACGCCAGATATTATCAGGAGAGTTGGTGGGAAAGAAGCACCTGTTGCGCAGGAAATAGTTAGTACTCAAAAATTAAATAAGGAATCATCTAAGGTTGAAAGGCCCACTGAACCCACAGGACCTACCAAACCCGCCAAAATTATACAGGAATCACGTTCTAAATCTGTTAGTTCTGAAACTTCTCAATCGCCAACTAAGCACAGACATAGTAGTCTTGATGGTAAGATTGCAATCATTGACAAAGAAAAGACAAAAGACAAAGAAAAGCAGTCCACACATCGCAGTAGTAATGAAAGTAGAAACAAGGATAGAAGGTCCAGCTTAGACATTAAATCGAGAAACAAAACAAATGATGAAAAAAGTAATAAACCTGAATTGAAAACTCCATCAGAATCCAAGTCAGCTGAAGCCAAACAAGATAGTAAAACTTATCTGGGCAAACTATCTCAATTGAGACAAGCTAGTGAGAGCTTGGATCATATACCTAGTGCTGCAGATGTTCGAGCAATTATAATGAATGAGGATACAAAAACCTACACAACAAATACAATACCTATACCAGATGTTAATGTTAACACCATTGAACCTACTAATTTGAATCTGGATGGTTCTGGTCTAGATTTAGATCAATCCATTTTGGATAACATTAATAATGACATGATTTCTGAAGACATCTTGTACCAGGTTGCTCAACAACTGGTTTCAAACACCGACATACAAAATGCAATTGATAAAGGAATTAATGAGGGTGTTTTGGACACCAGAAGTATACAGGAAGCCATGGAAGTTCAGGATCAATTATCAAATTCAGCTTCCATAGGGGTAAGTTAACAAATTCACTGCAGAACTAGCAAAATTTTTTCATCAGAATATGTTTTATGAAGGAAGAAACAAAATTTAATCTAAATATAAAATAAGAAGAGCACACTAAATTAAAAAACTACTTGAAATAAAAAAAGTTTTCTCCTATTCACTTGAGTGTGTATGTTTTAGAATACATCTGCTGTAATAAAAGAGGGAACCCAAATAGTAAGATCTGATGGAAGAATTGTGGTGATTCCACCTATCGAACGGCCAACAACCCGAAGTAGAAATAGAAAAAAAGATGATCCAAAACCACCATTTAAGTGAGTTATTTATTTACTTTGGCTTGTAACATATTCTTACCAGTTTTATTATGTTTTTGGTTGATCCATGCGAATATAAATAATATTGTGAATTCAAAAAAAATGTTTATAAAATAAAACAAAAAAGAAATGAGGGAAATGATATTTCCAAAAATTAGGCTCCGTTTCAAAGGCAATTTTTACTAACTTAAAACTAATATCTTTTGTTCATCACAATGCGCAATGGATGATTTGTTTTAAACGCAATTAACAATGATTGGCAACTAGTCCAACTTAGTGCGCAGACATTTTTATAAATAAAAGACAACATTTAGTGAGTTATTTAGATGACAGAGTATCAAAGTATCACAGTTGTCATTTCCTACACAGTTCACTACAAGATAATTTGTGTCTGGTGAACATTAAAATAATAATTGCTAATTATTCTTAATGTAGTGATTGGTAGTTGCTAGTTGCTTTTTATAATACCTGTTGATTTCAGTTTTAGAGAGTACCAGCAAATATCCAAATCAAGCTAAGACACACTATTATATTAATAAAATTCAACTTTGCCTAAAAGCAATGAGATATGCAAATAATACACTAATATTATATTTATTATATTATATTATATAATTGTACACTAATGTTAACATTAATTAAATGTTTTGTTTTTTCAAGACAACCTATTAAGGCAGTTATTAAAATCAAAGGAAGGTAATTAAGATTCTTTTATTAAATATTAATTAAAAAGTTTAATTTTAAAACAACATTTTGTGTTTTGTTACTGCAACTGCATATAATATGTATATACTGTAAATTCGATCATCCAAACATACACCCACACTTATTATTATGGTCAATTTGGTACTAATTTAACTGATTCAAATATTCATTCAAATTGTCGCATACCGCCACAAACTGGAAAGCATGTCTCCGGATTATCGATTTTGTAGTATATTTTATATATATTTCTATATCGTGATAGGTGACAACACTGTTTAAACAAGAGCACATCGTTTTGAATTTGATTTTATTGTAGTGATTTAGTAGTATTTCTTTTTATGTTACTTTAAGCTTTTGCTCTTTAACCGAATTGAAAAAGGGAAAACACTATTATTAACGTTAAACTTACACAGAAGAAGTCTTTATATTCGTGTAATGGTTCATGTAATTATTGTAGCTGCATGTGAATGTCTTCTGAAAAAAAATGCTTCAGAACCTCACACTGTTTGTTTACCTACATACATATTAAATCTACATAACTAATTCTATTTTTATTACATATCATTAGGCTAGACACAACCCTTTTTCTCCAATTGATGTTTTCATTAGTGCCCTCAATTTCATATAGCTTCTTTAGAAAGAAAAACTGTTCTATCTTTAGAAAGTTCATACAGAACACACAAACACACATTAATTGCCATGCAAGGGCGCGGTTTTCAGTGTTACATTTTTATTCTTTAGTTAGTTCTTTAGTAAAATATTCATATATTCAAATATTTCATACTAATGATTGCCATAGAACAATCCATAAACCCTTGGATGATGAGCACGTCTCAGGTAATGAGTTGGACAGTCCAAATGAGGAAGAAGAATCTGAAGATGATCCCAACAAACTCTGGTGTATATGCAACCAGCCGCATAACAACAGATTTATGATATGCTGCGATACCTGTGAAGAATGGTATCATGGAAAATGCGTAAATATAACTAAAGCGATGGGTCAACAGATGGAGTCTGAAGGCAAGGAATGGATCTGTTTGTTTTGCAAGGTTAATATTACAAGATTTATTAAGAAGTTGAATGACATCCAAAGCTGTACTTTTTTAGAATCCGTCTATGAAGAGACCTCTAGCGGCAGCAAGAAGGGTGCGCAAAGCTTCGAGAAATTCCAGGGCCTCAACAGATAGCAGCAATTCTTCAAAAAAGATAGACAAGGAAAAATCTACCAGTTCCGTACCTTGCGTCGTGTGCCAGAAAGCTGCCAGGAAAAATTCAATTTATTGTTCCGAAAACTGTATTTTAACGCACGCGCAAGGAATTGAGCGGGTACAAAAATACTAGCTTTTCATATTTGTTGAGTTTTTATTATTTTATCTTTTAGGTTGTGGTGTTTGAAAGGTCTACCGGAAATATGCTTACAGGAAACAAGGCACCCAGTTCCGCTAATCTAGATCAATGGCTTAAGGAGCATCCAGGTTATGAAGTTGTTAAGTCGGCTGGCAAAGTGGTTACTACAAAAGTTAAGGTAGCAATTGATAATGTGAAAACATTTAAAAAATAATAATTTTGTTGATGAAATTTTAGCCAAACAGTTTGTCCCAATCGAAACTTAAATTCGTTAAAAATGCAAACAACGAGGGAGTATCTCTCGCCATTCAACAAAAAGGAATCAATATCGGAGTATTGAAGCATGCACCTAAGCATCAGACACCAGAACAACAGATCAGATCTTTTAAAATTGTAAAACCAGGCAACAAAGAGATTACACCCAAAGAATCAAAAATTAAACTTATACAAGCGCAGCCAATGAGCATTACAAAAACTCAGACTCCAACAGTCAACCCTAAGATTACAATTCAAACAACTTTGACGCCCAAAGCAACACCTAAACCAAAGGAAAGTCCCAAAGACAAACAGCAAGTAACCAATAAAACACTGAAATTGAAAAACAAAGAGAAAAGTAAGGAGAAAGAGGAACAGATTCCCACAACTCCACAATCGAATCGGGAAAATATCCGAGATAATGTTCAAAAAACTATTTTTGAGCAGTTGCTAATACGCCTTAAAACAGATCCCAACATAAAATTGACAGATGATGAGGTTAAAACTATTTCAAATGATATTGAATTGGAGTTGCATAAGTGTTTCGGAGGCACGGGTCACAAATACAAAAATAAATACCGGAGTCTTATATTTAATATCAAAGATGCTAAGAATCAGACCCTGTGGAGGCGAATATGCGAGAAATCCATAAGCTCCTACGAATTGGTATGGCTTAAATTCCACACTTCCAAGTTTTCATCAAACATAAAGCAACAGCACTCAAAATTGTATTTATTTTTTATTTTATTTTTTCAGTTCAATACTAAGTTTGAAAAATTTTATTGTTGCATAAACTGTTATTTTTTATAGGTAAGATTATCACCTGACGATATGGCTAGCCAAGAACTCGCCAAATGGAGAGAACAAGAGGCAAAGCATCAGCTTGATATGATTAAGAAATCGGAATTGGAGTTACTCAACTCTAGTCGACAGTATGTTTTGAAGACACACAAAGGTGTGCAAATTGCCGTAAAGTAAGTGTACATTACTTTGTTTTATTTTTCTAGGCGAGGAAATATTAGAAGACAACAGACCCGGCGCAAAGGTGGATAACGCAGAAATAATAAAAAGTTTAACAGAAGGTTCTCCCCTTGATGGTGGCGATAAAGATAGGGACAATGCCAAAGACAAAGATAGGGACAGGAAAAGTTCAAAGCACGGTCGCAAGGATAAAAGCAGGGACCGGGGCAAAGATAGAAAAGAGTCCCACAGAAGTCGTAGGTCGTCGAGTCGCGAAAGAGATAGGAGCAGGAAACGATCGCGATCTAGAGATAAGTTGCGGCATAGTGACAAGAAAAAAGACAAACGAAGCCGATCGCGCAGCAGAGACAAAGACAGGTATAAAAAATCGTCGCACAAAAGTTCGAAGCATAAACGAAGCTCTTCCGTTTCGAACGATAATCTGGATAAACGTTCGAAGGAGATTTTAGAACAGTTGAACAAAATCGCTCCGCCGGTAGAGGACAGGCTGTGGAAGCACGTTCCGCAGGAAGATATCCTTCCAGGTATCGGTAAGTGCACGTGCGAACTGGTAGATTTCTTTATTTTATGTTAGTGCACTTTATAGGTGGTTGGTTTTGGCTAGTACTTATTTATTTTACCGTTACATTTTTAGTTGGATGCAAGTATCAGTACCTTATAAAAATTGTCGTAGTAAATTGAAATAAGGCATGAAAAAAAAAATTAAACTTGGGCCAAGCATAAATATTTATTCATTTTATTTCGTATTTGATTAATATTATTTTTATACATTTGACAGCACCAATCGATAGTGATAGCGACCACGAAATCCCATCTTCAACAGTTACAATCCCAACACCTCCCAGAGTATCTGAAACTGATGAGTACCAAGCCGCAAATCAGTCTTCCAATGATTCGAAATCGTCAATACTCCCCGTTCATGATGAACAAAATGACGGGGCAATGTCTCCACCGCCCAAGGTTCCAGCGGCAGAAATATGGTCAGGCACTATAAATATGGTCGATGTTGCTCAAATATCTATTACAGCACATGAAGTGTCGGGTATGTGACACTTTTGCACTTTTTAATATTGTAATATATTTAAATTTTTAAGGTGATTGCACTAGATTAAGCAAGGAGCTTCCGACGAATTTGGATATAGTGGGTCGAATATCGCCGGACACTGTATGGGATTACATAGGTAAAATGAAGTGCTCGAATAGCAAGGTAATATCTCTGGTAAGGCTAAACGCGACCAACGTGGAAGAACAGATGCCATACTTGGCTCTCTACAGCTACTTAAGTAGTAGGAACAGGTTGGGGGTAGTGAAGAGTACAAACAAAGCAATTAAGGACTTTTACATCTTGCCTCTGGCATCACAAAAACCTATTCCGCAAGCGTTGCTTCCATTGAATGGACCAGGTAGACACAAAGACATTCAATTGCATATCCTACAGAACATCATCTTTCAGGATTTGAAGAGTCTAGACCTGCGCTACTTCTGGGCATTATAATAAGGGACAAGAGGAAACGTCCATTTATGGAGTCGCTGCCCCTGCCGTTGCACACCACCACTCCGAAAAAGTTGAAGGTGGATGTGATCATTCAGTCTCCCCTACCTGCAGCGACTCCTGCAAGATCATACACACCTCCTCCAGTACCGTCTGGGCCTGCCACCGTAAAATGCGATCCAAGACTTAACAAGTTGCCTTTGCCTCCACCAACACCTCCAGAAGAAATTGAAGGTGGAGGTAAGTCACTTTAGGCATTACTATGCAATTTCTAAAATAATTAATAAATTAATGCTAGAAAGTGGTAGAGCAGGAATTGCCTTGTAAAGAAACCATATATAAATATTACTCTTTAAATGATTTCAGATGAGCCATACAGTCCCGAAGATTCTGATCCTGAAACAGTGGCAGCACCTGCAGCAGGACTGCTGTCTGCTTCCTTAACAACTGTGGTTGCATCATCCTTACCCGAAACAAACTTATCTGAAGAAACGTATACACCAATCCCAGGTATTAGGACGTATTTTATTGCGCTATTCAAATGTTTTAATAACTTTCGTAACAGATAACAATGTTGTGGGTATTAATATTCCGAATTAGGGGTTTTACAAGTGTTTTGGATCAATTTGACTATAAAATAATGAATTGTTTAATTGGCTAATTCAATGATTTCGTTAAAAGCCGCTAAAAAGAACTCATTGGATACACCATTAATATATATATTCTGGGATAGAATAGTATATGGGTCTTTTTAAGATAGTTTTTCCAATAATTGTTGTCATACTGCTGCATTGGTGCTATATATAATTTATGACTGTAATATATCGTTAATAACATGAATAGCTAAATGCTAATCCAGTTTGGTACTATTTTTGACATGACATAAAGTAGTTAGAGCGTTTTGGCGACATTTGTGCAGTATAGAGAGACCTTTCAAATTGGGACGTACATTTTCTTGTGGGCGATTTTGTTGGGACTTATCAGTGCAATAACATTACACTCGTAACTTTTGCTACTCTATTTTCGATTTTACAGTTCAATGAGACCTCTTTGATGGATTTCACCCAAGAAATATTAAAAAATAACAATTAGCATAATAATATTTCTTGATATAATAACTTTATTCTCTAAATTTACCTATCACACTTTAGCAATATATTTGCAACTTACCGACAACCCAGCTTGAAGCAAAGCGATTTATGGATACCCAAACTTTTGGAATATTTAGTTGGCGTTTAATTTCATAGAGTGTACTTTAAATTTTGCTAGACTGAGAGCCTACTTTAGATTTGAGGTTTACAGCTAGCATGTAAACATTGAGTTTTCAAGGAAAACGAGTATGCTGGTTTACATTTAGCAGCGTTACCATCGGAGTTCAGGCAGGATGTTTTTCAGGTCTAGGAGATGGTCTACCATCCAGTAAACTAGATATACAGAGACAGATGGATGAATTGAATTATAAAATCGAAATGCAAAAATTCGAAATAACCAGCATCACAAAGAACATCGCGACAGCGGGATCCGAAATAGGACCGTCAGCTTTGGCGAATATAGCATTGCCCAGCAACCTGCAGCAAATCTTGGAAAGCATTAAAACGATAGGATCGGGAAGTGATGCGACGGTAAGTAGCTAAAACTAATTCGGGTGCCGCTTATTGATGCAAATATCTCTTTCAGGAAAAAGAACCTGCAGTGCCCGGGACAAGTCAAACAGATTTAACCATTCCACTTATGATACCAAAAACGTTCACTCGTCCACTGAGCGCCGCCACAGGCGTCAAATCTGATATTGACACGATTCCCTTAAATTTACCCAGCAAGCCCAAAATCAAACCGCAATCGGTGAATTCCCCTTTATACGATAGCGAGAAATCCACAAGCGTTTTGGGCAGCCTAACCGAAGAAGATTTAATAAGAAAGGCGGCGGAAATGTTAAAAGAAGATGATCCGGGCAAAAACACTTTGCCGCCAAATTTTAAAACCACCCCACCTCCAATTTATAGAAAATCGTCTTCCGTATATAAAGCAGCGCCCCCTGTTAATTACAAAACTACACCCCCACCTAACTATGTAACGACCCCGCCTCCGAATTTCATCGCGAATCCACCCCCGGGATTTAACGAGTCGCCCCCCAGCGGTGTACCTCCTTCCAAGAAGTCGAAATATGAAGTTCAACTGCCGCCCGTTCCCGGTGTAGACTAGGTTATGTTTTCATAATTGAGTGAATGAGTCTTTGTGTAGATTTTTTTTACTATAATTAGCTTAAAATAGGGGATGTATCAGTTTTTGTGTAACATAGCAGCAAATAAAAATATCTCCTAAATTAATTAAAACTAATTAATCAGAATTTCCATAATACTACAATTTTCAGTCCTAATGTCTTAGAGACAACACTGGTATAAATATAAAAACTATTTCTTGGAAACAACAATGTCTCCCAAACAAATTTAGGAGATATGTTTATATTGACGTTTTTTTTTATAAAAAATTATCAATTGGATCGAATATGTAAATCCTGATTCATTCTGTTTACCATGTTCCTATAGATGTTGGTATAGGGCAAACCATTTCCAAACAAGTGGGAAAAAAATGCAATCCCATTGAATTAAAAAAAAAGAAAACAAAAATGATCTTACGGTATAAGACATTATATATATATATATATATATATATATATATATATATATATATATATATATATATATATATATATATATATATATATATATATTATACTCCATTAAAATTGTTTCTATAATAGGAGTTTTTGCCAAATTTTCTAAAAATATTTTTTCCTTCAAAATTGCTGTTTTAGAAATTGTCAAAGAATCCAAAAATATAATAATATACAGGGCATTCAATTTTTAAAAAATAATTTGGTGTCTGGTTTAAATAATTACCAACGAGTTTGGGGAACCCTGAATAAATAGATCCTGTAAAATTTTGATTTATTTTTTTCGAAACAAAAAAATGTATGGCAACATCTATGGTCACATGCTGTATAGATTTTTAAATTGTTATAGTATTTACAGATATATCTTTTTATAGACCATTTAAGTTTTAAGCAGTTAAGTTAGTTCTAAATATGTGATATATTTTTTTTTACAAGCACAAAAGGATAGACCTATAAATAGGAGATATTTTTCCTGGGAAAAAGAGGAGTAGTGTAACTTAATTCTGTTACATCTCGACTTGAATATACATGTTTTGGCAAATGTTCACAACAAAAACATGGCTTTTTCGTTTTTTATTGGTGGCTTCTTAGAGGTGGTTTCAATTTTTTACACTTCCGCTGCTTCAGGAATAGTATCAAGTGTGGTAAAAGAGTAATTCCTGTCATCACAAGAATCGGTTATTTTTTACATCGTTACCTGCTAAAAGTACATTTTTCACATTTCTTTTAACTTCTTTTTTGAACTGCAGTAACTGTTTTCAAAGCATCTCGGGAAGGTATTACTTCTTTGCAACTTTTATCGTTTTCCAGATAGCTGTGTAATATTTAAGATAGTCCTGCATTGCTTTTTCTTATATAATTAATTTCGCACTAATGCGTGATTTATCTGTACAGTGAATTGTTTGTACAAACTAGTTGTAAGAGAATATATTGCAGATTGAGAAATAGCAGTATATACACGTATTATGTAATGATACGTACAAGAATATATTGAGCAACATACACGCAAGTATACATTGTCATTGTCATCTTCGGGTGATGTGTAGGTTATAGCTTGCACTGTTGTCTACGTGAACATATTCAGTTTTTTTCTATTAAGAGATGTCTTTATAATCAAAAATAATTTGTGTACAAATAGGGTTTTAGTAATGGACACCTTTTCTTATTTTATATTATATATGTATGTATATATTCTGTTGGGATAATATTCTCATACATCAAAGAAATAAAAAAAATAGTGGTCTTTTTCTTGCTCAAATTTACCATCAAACTATCTCTAAAAAGGTTACCCACCTACACCAAACAAATTAAAGTAACCTGAGAACTCATTTGACAATTAATTCCTATGCTTTCACAGCTGATTCACATAATTCAGGTTAATTTTCACCATTACCTAAAGACGAGAAAAAACATGTCATTTTGCCATTGCATTTTCTATGCTACATCCTCTTAATTTCCACCACTCTAATTATTTAGTAGTTAAAGGCAGAAAGAGAAGATGGTAAGTCTTAAGCAATATTATTTTTTACAGAACTTCTGGATTCCTCGAGTAAGCAAAGCATTCCTTAAGCAATAGTATTTCTGAGGAACAGTTTGTAAATTTACTTTGATTTATTGGAAAACTTTTTTGTTCAAATATTCATAAAAAAGATACCTATTAAAATTAAGTAATATTTTATTTCTTGAGATATTCCTTACATTAATAACTAACAAAGTTTCAAAATTAAAATAGTTTTTTATCCAAGTAATTCATATGTGAATTATTATTTCTACTGCTTTACTTGCCATATAAATTCTCATACTTCAGCTTGGACTTCAATTCATCATCATCAGAATATCTAATATTTTTGGGAGGAATTAAAGCTCCAGCTACATTTCTGCTTTCAGAATTTAAAAAATTAAATGTTGAGCAAGCTTGTTCGGTGGGTAATATCTCAAAAGAAATCCCGAATTTCCTTGAAATGGGCAACAAATTTTTATAACAATCATAATTTTCTATTTTATCGCCAATTCCTATAACAATGATGTCCAACTTTGGTTCCAATACTTTAAATATACTTAGAGATTCTTCTGTTATCTCATTTACATTTCTTACATTCCAAGAAAGAACGGACCTAAAAAAAAAATATTTAACATGTTACACCCAGAGTCAAAAATGTTACCCTGTACCTTGCAAATATTACCATAGGTCCTAAAACTGTTATATCATTATTTAATCTAAAACCAACCTAGGCAAGATAATTGTCAATGAACAAGCGCATCAAAATAAATACCTCACTATACCCATTTATCATTAAACCCAGCTCCTGATTTTTATTTAGAATATGTAGAGTAGTTTTGTCTTCACCAGCGCATCTTAAGGATATGGAAAAATTGCGTCTAAAAATATTAAACATATATAAAAGGTACAAATAATGACGAATTTTAACCTAAGAAAATTTACGAGCATCGAACCGGTCACTTTAGCACCAAACATTTTGAAAAAATCTCAAGAGCCCCACAACATTCTTTTTAATAATAAATAGGGTTCTATTCTATTCTTTTTCTTCCTTACTTCTTCTTATAAAACGTGGTTAGTGAACTTGAGCGAGTCTGAAAACAAAATTTCTATTATTTAATTGGTTCGATTTTTTCGCATTGCTTCAGCTCCAATGGCTGCTTTGCTCTCTGCTTCGTTATGCTCTTGGAAATTACCTTCACCCATGACCATTGCCAATCCATCGTGAAAGGAAGATGTTCTCTTCCTAATCAAACTTGCCCGAGGTGTGTGTTCGATTCCCACCGGGAGCCTTGGGTGTTGGTATCGGTAAATTTTCCTCGGCGGATGCCGGAAAATGGGTAAATATCCTGTACCCATTTAAGTGAAAATAAAAAATGTTCTCTCCCGAGTACCAATTCAAGTCGAAACCCAGGAATTGTAAAGTTACTTCTTAACAACGCTTCGTTTGCTAGTTCTGGTTTCGCAATAGAAATCGAGAAGTTGAACTATTTTATTCTGCCATATAAATAAAACATTAATTTCGAAATGGTTATGTGACGTCACTGCGATAAATAAAACAAAACGCCAATGCAACAATTCTCTTTTTAACAGACATCTGTAGATCAAAGTGAAAAGTAAAAGGAAAAACTTACCACATATGTTCTGTGACTTACAATTGGTTTTGAATTTGAATGTCGGTTTTCTTAACAACGAGTTTTGTCAATAATATCATTTTATAAATGGTCTTATCTGTATTTTATTCATATTATTTAAACATTTAAATGTCGGGCTTACCAAAGTTACCCGGGTATACATTTAACGATCCCAAGGCAAGTAAAAAATAAAAATAAGTACGTAACATTTAAGTTTTCATTACTTCATTGTTTTCAGTTATCAAAGTTTCATCGTACGCAAACGTTCTTTATTTATAATGGCTATAAATTACCCAAAACCAGCTACCCGGGTATTGGCGGTCAAGAACATGAGACAAATTCGGTCAAATACATAAAAAATAATGATTCCACATACTACAATCCTTCATTAACCTATGGAAGAACTAAATCAAAACCTCGGTCCAATTTTATTCCCCATTTTGCCCTATATGATCAAAAGTGCCTTACATTTAAGGCGTTTTTTAAACAATCAGTTACCGAGTCACCTCAAGAATTTTATAGAGTTAGGCATGTAAATATAATATACTTCCTTGAGGATGACAGCATAACTATAATAGAGCCAAAAATAGAGGTAAGCAACACGTCTCTATCACCTAGGTTAATATATGAGATTGCCTATGATGTAAATAAACTCTGCATTGTTGCCAGCAGATGTATATTTATTTGCTCACTGTCAATATATATTTTTATATAGTTATATATTAATTGATCATTGGTCCTATATTGTGGAATCGTTAATTAGGATATAGGACATACAAAATTCAATTGAACTTTGGTTGCGTTTGAATTTTTAAAAACATGCATTTTTTTTTTCTATACAGAAATTCTGCTGTGTCTACAATTAAAATGAGGAAGTACTATCCTACAAAAACTGGGTGGGTTGATAAATAATATATTTATTATGGTTTTTAAAGATCAAACGGAGGATTACTCCTACACAGGGTAGTATAGTTGTATATTAAAGCTAATTTCATTACATCTTTGAGTAAAACTAAAAAGAATCATTTTGTCCTTACTACTATTTTGCTGAGAAGTAATCAGCAAGACTATTGTGGCTAAATATTCTACATATGTATACACGGTGAATCCTATAACTTGTTGTATAAAACAGAATAGTGGTTTAGAACAAGGAAGGCTGATTAGAAGAGCAAAATTACTTAAATACAATGATGGCACTTATTGGCACTGGACAGACTTCGCGGTCGGAAGAGACATGTGTTTTTATGGAACTGTTTATCATATTGTGGATTGTGACTTATTTACAAGGGTAAGTTTTACAAAAAATCGTCAATTTGGTCGAGTACAATATTTTTGGAAAGGAATATATGGCTAGTCAAGGATTAGACATGAGTGAGCCTGAGGAAATTCCATATGATCCGTATATTTATAATAGGGAATTAAAAGTTAAACCTCATGTTACGAGCACGCCATCTGCCCATGATAAATTGAGGAGATTTTTGGAATATGACGGAAAGATACTTAAGTAAAAAATTACGAAATTGTAATTATAATACATTGTTAAATTTATTTATTTCTCAGATTTAAAGCTGTGTGGGATGATAGAGAAAATGAATATGGGGAACTTATGAAATTTGAAATTTTATATTTTTTGTCAGATGACACAGTATTGGTCAGGAATGTACTGCAGGCCAATAGTGGAAGAGACCCATATCCTATCTTATTGAGGAAAACTAAACTGCCAAAGGTAAAACTTTTTGTTTTCTCTAAAGAAGCTTAATTAAATTCATCTGCCTCTGATCTTAAATAAGATGTTTTATTATTGGGTAACTGTTGTTTAATTATAACAGATTTATTCAGCCACTCCCGTAACATATCCATCATTGTACTTAGAAAAAACTGAAGCTGAAGTTACTGAATTCTACCAGCCCAAGGACTTTTTAATTGGAAGTACTATATTTGTATTAGGTCGAGACATGTTGCTATATGATTGCGACAAATTCACTAGAGAATATTTTAAAAATGCTCTCGGAATTGAGCAGAAATCTGCTATTGATATAGAGGAACCTAAAAAAACCATCTTGGCCCCCCCCGTACCGGCACACGATGGACTAGGAAGCCTGGAGGACTCTTTACAGAATACATTGACTTTTATGCCAAAAGCACCTAAGAAAAATGTGACAAGACAATTACTTAATGCAAATAAATTTTTACGGTGGGTTTATTTAAACAAAGTGAATTATAATTTCATTGTTAATTTTAAAGATATGAAATGGTTATGGATGCGGTGCATTCTGAAGATTCTACTCGTCGATTTATTTTGTCTTATTCGTTAGCAGAAGGGACGTGTAAAATTCATGAACCTCCAGTAAAAAATTCTGGCATTATAGGAGGAAAATATCTTAGGAATACACTTCTTGCTAAGCCAGGTTCTGACCCTCTTAATCCAGACTTATACACGCCCGCAGATTTTTACATTGGCGCAATAATAATAGTATTTGGACAAAGGTTTAAGATAACGGGTGCTGACTTGTATGTGTACAGGTATATGCAAGAGAATTGCAGTAAGTTCCCTTGCGAGGTTATTGAGAATATGAGGAATTACATGTGCGGAAGAGGTTATCTGAAGGATGATATTGATGACCTTATAAAAGACAATTTAGCTGAGGAGAAGAAAGATGATGATGTTAATGGTGCGTAATCGTTTTTAGAATTTTAATGTCTTAAATGCAAATATTAATTGTATAAGGCAATACCTATTAGGGACATTGGTTGAGACGAGTTAAATGGAAAAGTGTATTAAGTTTTATACCCATACTTATATTTTTATAATACTTATTAAATAATTTGGAAAATTAAGGTGTTTCTGATTTTTTAATGAAGAAGTTGGAAATCTACAGAGGTACATATTGATTTATATAATATGCCAACACGGTTCTCAGCAATTTGAAAATTTGGTACTATTTGACTTTTTCAATTTTTTTCTGATTTTTCGATAATATTTTCTGAAATAATTGGGTATAAATTTTTGGTCCGCAAGAATTTCAAGTAATCAAATTCCAGGAATGTCATACATATAAAAAAAAAGTGCCGCAAAATATTCTATTTAGCTACTTTAAAAAATACCATACGATAATAAAATAGAAAAGCATTAACAAATAGAACGAAACAAATTTCACCAATAGATAGTAATCGCCCTATGGAAACTGAAATTTATTAATCGTTAAGATTAATAACGTTTATTTCGAATTTCTTAAGAAATGTGGAAACAGGAAAGTGATTCTTGAACAAGAAAACTATAAATAACGTTTATTTCGAATTTCTTAAGAAATGTGGAAACAGAAAAGTGATTCTTGAACAAGAAAACTATAAATAAGTACATTTCGTTTTAAGATGAACTCCAAATACAAAAGAGGGTTTCTGATTATCAAGATTGCACGGCGAGCACGAATCTCACTGTCCCCAACAGAAACATAAAACATACAGATGATAAAAACTATTGTGAAGAAAATACAAAAGTGATTCACGAGTATGATGATTCCATTAGCCAACATGCTACAGATCCCAGTAATCAGAAATGTAAATATCCTGTTCATGTAGGAGAACCAAAAGATATGAAATGCGATGAAGATATTGAAGGTAAGGTACACTTTACATAATCAGTACGTTACAGAACAATAAATTAGCGAAGAAGAATAATCGTGCCCCTAGGCACACATTTTTTATCTCACGAGCAACACATGCGCAATGATGTAAACGTCACAAACAACATAACCTATAGCAAATCAACTGAAATTTCGCTTTTGCTAAGAAAGCCGACATGATTTCAGAACTATCGCTAGACTGATTGACATAATTGACTTTTTCCAAAGTAGTCCTTTAATCTTCAGTATCCGCGAAAATGTAGTTTGCTTTTGATGATCTTATTTTGTGTAAACAAGAATTCATATAAAATCTTATTCACAATTTTATAATATAGAGAATAATTTTGGTATATGCTTTTAGGTCAATATACCTTTTACACACCAAAACATATTGATACACCTGAAGAGGTCATTCAGAAATACTATGCTCGAGTTTTGAGAGAGCACCAGAATATATGCAACACAGAAGACCCCATAGAATGCGTAGAATATAAGCCTACAGAAAAAGACCTTTTGAGAGCTGTGGAACAAAAACCATATCCTTTAATGGTTAATCCGCCTGATATCAAATCTGAAACATGCAAGTACAAGAAGAAAGTGGTACAATTTGCTTCTGACAGATGTCAGCAAGACGCGAATTATGTATGTGATATAAACACTGAAAAAGACAACTGCGATTGCACCAATTATAAAAAGGAATGCCTGTAAAGAAATAAAATTTTTTAAAAAATCTTATTTTTACTATTCTACACTATACATTGTTGAATTGTTGTGTTATCTTTTGAAAAAATTCTCATTCATGTGAAAAGATCTTTGTATATTATTTACATTAGATTTAATCCGGTCTTCCACTGATGAAGGTTTTGCAGTCTTAAGCAATGCATTATGGATAAAATCTTTATTATATTTTTTAGTAACTGCTTCTTCTTCTCTATTATCTTTTTCTTTATATCTCTTAACGTTGGCTTCCCTCTCTTTATCTCTAACTTCAGCATTCACCATCATCTCTCTTCTCAGCCTCTCTTTTTCCTTCTCTGTTAATTTTTTGGAGTTTCTGTCTGGTATGGTGAGCTTGATTTCACTAGACTCAATTTTTTTTTTAGTATTGGGCTTTACATTTCCTTGCACCTCATGCTTCAGCCTGATCTTCTTACCCCGAGATGTAACCAACCCAAAAGCTTTCATATTTCTTTTAGATTTATCATCAGAATCATTGGATTCATTACTAGAAGAACTACTACTACTACTCCTACTGCTAGTAGAACTGCAATTACTGTTTTCCCTCTTTAAATGCTTAGGTTTCTTTGGATACAACGTCTTTTGCTCAGTTTCACCCCTAAGAATTTTGAGTTTTTCCATAATAATCTCATCAAGATTGTTTGGATTACCAGTTTCCATCACATTAGTGACAATTTTATTGTCCAAATCATCGCTGTCACTACTTTCATATTTTGAATGTGGTACTGATTTGGCTTTAGCATTAATCTTTTTGATGGAATACCTGGATTTATCTAATTTTTTAATGTTGTTTGTCTTGCTATCCAAAAAACATTCACTGTCCTTTCTTTTCCATTCAGTTTTTTTTTGCTTACCCAAATTTGCTCTACATTTTGACTTTTCTCCACTATGTACCTTTGAACTGTCATAACTTTTCTTGACAGTATCGTCACAGTCGTCACTATATTCAGACAGAGTATCATGATGTTGACATTTTGATTTTACTTTATTATTATCTTTTCTACATTTTTTAACATCACTATGCCTATTACTTGGACTCTTGCTATATCTTTTTTTCCTTTTAGGCTTTTCTTCATCACTAGTTTCACTAAGCTTCCCATTCAATACGTCATTTAAGTCTTCTTCTGAGAGCTTGTCTTTTAAAGCATTAAACTTATGCATTAGAATAGTATCTAGCACATGCCCCTTCTTTTCTGTCACATGTGAAGAAAATCCACTTTTGAGCAACTTTAATTTTTGCATGATTTTATTATCTAAATCAGATTCCATTTGTTTCTTTTTGGACTTTTTTTGTTTTTTCTTTTGTTGAGCTTGCAGGGCTTCCTGCAACTTTTTAAGTTGAACTGGATTTTGTAGAAACTTTCTACGAGCTTCTTCTTCCTGCTTTCTTATAGCTACTAATGGATCCTCTTGCAATTTTGTTGACAAATCAACCTAAAATGTTACCTGGCCTTCATTTATTGTATATATAGACTAAGAAAAAAGTTACCTGTTCAGCTTGGACTATCTTATTAAAATCTCTAATTGATGGAGGAATACATTCATGCTCCACATGGTTTTTTGGAACAGGCAAAACAAACTTTTTTTCTTTTTCTTCTTCATTCTTGAGTTCCAATGCTTTATCCACACTCCTTCCAAGTAAATATTCTTCTCTATTCACAAGGCTATTTGCACCCTTGTATATCCATTCCAATTTTTCTTCGTTCGCCATGGCTGACCGTAATCAAGCCAATAATTACTTCTGATATTTATAAATAATTTGCTTTTATCTCACTTGGTTAATATAATACAACCCATACCATATTGATTTTAAATAGTATGGTACCTTCGATTCAGAAATTTTGTGTTGCGCATTCTAATCGACACACACTACTAAACACTAGTATTTTGAGGTACGATACAATACAATGATGCGTTTCTCAAAAATTGTTGGGCTAAACTGTTAGGATCATTCACCCATTGCCGACTTCCGTCGAGGATTTTCGCTTTTGGTCAATGACCAACACGTACGAAGAAGAAAAATAACCAAAATTTGCTCAGCTAGCAAAAAACAGTTTTGACCGATACCATAAAAAAACCGACATCCCCGCTTTCACCAAGGATCATCCGGACTCATCCGGCCTCCATACCGGCGTGAACGGTTAAAACAGCGGGGCCGGCTGAACTTTTACACTTAAAACGAACACCAAACACTGCCGAAACAGAATCACATAAAACGAAGACCGACACCAAGGTTTTTCGAACGAATACAGCGGATTCTGCTAGAAGCGAACGGAGGTTAAACCGCCACAGAATCCGTATTTTGAGGTAATAATTTTTAGGAAAAAGATCCTCGTTTCTTTGAAAACGGGTATTTAGCTAAGAGCACTCGCCTATTACCGACATCTGACGAAACACAGATTGCAGCCCTGACGTCACAATCTTACCGAAGCAGTTAAAGTTAAAAATCAGCAATAGAACCGGGTGCGTGAAAAATGACCGCGATTTAACACTCTGCGTTTGTTGCAATACTATATATATGATCGCACCGAAATAGACGGGGGTAGAGAAGAAAACAAATTGAGCTTGTAAATCTAAACAATGTGCAATCTTCGACGACAAGTCAAATCATTGAACACATACAATGCACAGAAATGTGAGATTATTATCTCACATATCTCTGCCCTAAATTGCAATGTAATCCATGGAAAACTTATTAATTTTTCTATGGTTATCGATTAATTGGACAAGGGTCTGCCATAGATAAATAAAAATAGTTTACTATTCTAAATATATATTATTTGTTGCTAACTTGAAGTTTAGGTATTATTTTTATTTTTTTGATCCTTTAGGAATGGTATAATTTACCATGACGAATAATCAAAATGATGAACCTATGGAGATTGTTTTTGTGAGTTTCATATTGCTATAAAATTGTATGTAAGAAAATATTGTAAATTTTTTAGTGTGATGAAGATTTACCTTATGAAGAGGAAATTCTTAGAAATCCATATTCAGTAAAACATTGGTTGAGATATATAGATCACAAAAAAAAATCTCCGAAATACGGCGTCAATTTGATTTATGAACGTGGTTTAAAAGAACTCCCAGGGTCTTACAAGCTATGGTATAATTATTTAAAAGTAAGGAGAAAGCAAGTTAAGCATCGCTGTATTATAGATCCTGGATATGAAGAAGTAAATAACGCGTTTGAAAGAGCTTTGGTTTTCATGCACAAGATGCCTAGAATATGGATGGATTATTGTACCTTTCTTACTGATCAGAATAAAATTACACGTACTAGAAAAGTATTTGACAGAGCTTTAAGAGCTCTTCCTGTAACACAACATCATCGTATATGGCCTTTGTATTTAAACTTTGTTAAAAAACATGACATTCCTGAAACTGCAATTAGAGTTTTTAGACGCTACCTAAAGTTATGTCCAGAAAATGCAGAGGAGTATGTGGAATATCTTTCAGGAATAGATAAACTAGATGAAGCCGCTCTTACCTTAGCAAAAATTGTCAACAACGAAAATTTTGTATCCCAATATGGAAAATCCAAACATCAACTTTGGAATGAGTTGTGTGAGTTGATATCCAACAATCCAGATAAAGTTCAGTCCTTAAATGTTGATGCTATTATTAGAGGTGGTTTGAGACGTTATACTGATCAATTAGGTCATCTCTGGAACTCTTTGGCTAATTACTATGTTAGAAGTGGTTTGTTTGAGAGAGCTCGAGATATATATGAAGAGGCTATACAAACAGTTACTACTGTTAGAGATTTCACACAGGTTTTCGATGCATATGCCCAGTTTGAGGAATTAAGTTTAAGTAAACGGATGGAGGAAGTATCAAAAGTTGCAAGTCCAAGTGAAGATGACAACATTGATTTGGAATTAAGGTTAGCAAGATTTGAAGATCTAATGGAAAGAAGATTATTACTTTTGAATTCGGTTTTGTTAAGACAGAACCCTCATAATGTGCAAGAGTGGCATAAAAGAGTGCAGTTGTATGAAGGTATTTGAATTGTTTCTTCTTTGGTTAAGTAGTTAGTTTTTAGAATAATATTCAATTAGGAAAAAAAATAGCAATCATTAATTTGTGCATCATCGCGCAAAAAAATGGATTATCAATGGATTTTTCAGTAACCTTTTCTCAAAAAATATTGGCGCAAAGGCAGGGATAAAATTTATTAAATCATTTTAAAAACTATTTGTTACAGCCTGAATTCCTTTATCAGTTACAATAGTGTTAATTACAATTGTGTATATAATATTAAGTAACTCCATGATCCATTATAAATGTTACTCCCCCCCCCCCCCCCTTCCCTAACTTTTTTATTTTCCATATTGGAAAAAAAATTAATACAAAAGTTCTAGGGTTTAATGCGTAAATTTAATGTTACAAATTATACCAAAAAAGCATTTTAAATTGGAAGCCCTGTATATTATTATGTAAGATATTATAGTTATTTTTTAGTTTATTGCCAGAATTAGCCAAAAATAAAATCGCCATTTAGTTGGCCATGTATCTTCACTCCAACGCTACATCTTTTGTTTAATTTTGATATTTGTACCATGCACGTAACGATTAGATAACTGCTGTAAACATGAATTAATCAATAGCTATCTAAAAACACTCGACTCTTTTTCTAGACATATTTTGAGAAAATACTGCCTTAACAATGCCGCATACAAACTTATGGACGATTTGTCAGCGGCCATGTTGGTTGTTCATAAATTTATGTATTATCGGCATAGGGATATGTGGTGGAATACATTGAACCGTGGACTGTTCTTTGAAAAACTAATTTATCAGTTAGGAATATTGCGTTAAATGTTGAAAATACCATTTTCCTGAATACACAGTTGATACCCTTTTGTAACAACTTATCTGAAGCTTTGATTAGTTTTTTAATGTCATCTATATTGTAATGCCGCCAAAATAAATTTTGTTTTTTAAATACCCCCAGAAAGAAACTCTCTGGAAGAGTAAGATTTGGGCTTTTTCAAAAATATCCACTTTGATATACTATGTTTTTTTGGTATAATTAAGTATGTAATATTAAATTTGCACATTAAACCCAAGAACTTTTGTATTAATCCTGTTACTATACAATTTCCGCGAATTAATTGATTTTGATGTTTTCTAAAAGAGTTTCTATATCTTCTCTAAACATTCTTGAATAGATTTATCTAGTCATCGAGTAAAAAATGGATCCGATAATTTGGTTACTTTTTAAAGTATTGTTTTCCTGAGTAAAATAAACTTTGGTAAATTAAAAATGGTTTCCCAAAATTCTTCTGCAAATCAATAACACCTTCGAGTATTTTAATTGATTTTCTAAAAAAATGTTGTTAGCCTATTAGGCTAAACAGGTTGTTTAATAAACCTTACCAAGTAATATAAAAGCCTCTTTAATACTTTATTGTATATTAATTTTATATTAATGCGCTTGAATATCATGGTATATTGGCTATCATTAACAAAAAGCGAACTTTTGTTAAGTCAAATTTTTTAAAATAATTTTTTAGGTAAACCGCATGACATTATAAACACTTATACAGAGGCAGTCCAGACAGTGGATCCCAAATTAGCGGTAGGTAAATTGCACACCTTGTGGGTCGAATTTGCAAAATTTTACGAAAAGAATGGTCAAGTTGACGATGCAAGAATAATTTTTGAGAAAGCCATTCAAGTACCTTATGTGAAAGTCGATGATCTTGCATCTGTTTGGTGTGAATGGACGGAGATGGAAATCAGAAATGAAAACTATGAAGAGGCTTTAAAATTGATGCATAGGGCTACCGCAATGCCCTCACGAAAAGTGGCTTATCATGATGATGGGGAGACAGTACAAGCACGGTTATACAAGTCCTTAAAAGTGTGGTCGATGTACGCAGATCTAGAAGAGAGTTTTGGCACTTTTAAATCATGCAAAGCAGTTTATGATCATATTATTGATTTAAAAATTGCCACTCCTCAGATAATTATCAACTATGGAATATTTCTAGAGGAGAATAATTACTTTGAAGAAGCTTTTCGGGCATATGAGAAAGGTATTTCATTGTTTAAATGGCCTAATGTGTATGACATTTGGAATACATATTTAACAAAATTTTTAAAACGTTATGGGGGATCGAAATTGGAAAGAGCCAGGGATCTTTTTGAACAGTGTCTAGAAAAATGTCCTCCACAATTTGCTAAAAACCTTTACCTATTGTATGCCAAATTGGAAGAGGAGCATGGAATGGCGAGGCATGCAATGGCAGTTTATGAGAGGGCGACAAAAGCTGTAAGGAAATGAGTTTTTTTTTAATAATAGATGATTTTAAATATATTTTATAGGTGCCAGAAAAGGAAATGTATGACATATTTAATGTGTATATCAAGAGGGCTGCTGAAATATATGGTATCCCAAAAACCAGACAGATATATGAAAAGGCGATTGAAGTCCTTCCGGAAGACAGAACAAGGGAGATGTGCCTTCGATTTGCAGATATGGAAACCAAATTGGGAGAAATTGATCGGGCACGGGCTGTTTATGCCCATTGTAGTCAGATCTGTGATCCAAGGGTGACCACTGAATTTTGGCAGACGTGGAAAGAGTTTGAAGTTAGACATGGTAATGAAGACACAATGCGGGAAATGTTGAGAATAAAACGAAGTGTTCAAGCCATGTATAATACACAGGTATGTTAATAAAAAGAATTTGTCGTTTAAAAACATGATAAATGGTTCTGTATGTTCAGTAACTCATCCAAGCTTTTTGTAGGTTAATATGATGTCAGCTCAAATGCTGAGCTCTGCTGCAGCTACAACTGGCACAACTGCAGACTTGGCTCCAGGAGAAAAGGATGGAATGAGACTATTGGAGGCAAAAGCGGCAGAAATGGCTGGTTCTGCTGGGCTTGTCACAAGATCTGGGAACATAATGTTCGTTAGGGGTGAAACCCAAGGAAACAAGCAGGACAAAGTTGTGAATCCTGATGAAATCGATATTGATGATGAAGAGGAGGAGATTGAGAATGAAGAAGTGCCAATTGAAAAGAAAAATATTCCATCAGAAGTGTTTGGTAGTTTAAAGAAAGATGACCTGAATGATTGAAGGTGTAATTATGATTAAAAAATGGTAGATGAGCAGCTGTTTTATTCTTAAAAATATAAATTATAAAACACCCTTTCCCCCTAGTTCCACACTGTAACTAAAATGACTGTATAATAAATTTTATACAATGACTAATTAAAACTTTAGTGATTTTGCAAAGAGTGCCGCTGTCGCCTGAGTTTTGTCTCCGTCAAATCTGCGCAGTTCAAATATGACTTTATCTCGTTCAAACCCAAGAGATACGAGTTCCGCAATATCAACTTCTGTAAACTTGTCAGTTGACAAAAGTGTTTGTGATTGTATATTATTTGAAGTACTTTGTGGCGAAGTAGAACTTGCGCTTGGAGCTAGAAACAAAAAAAGAAAAGAATAAACAATATTGGATATATTAGCAGTTTATTTAAATAGAGTGGATTTTTTAATGAAATCTTTTCGAACAGTAATGATTTTTACTATGTTTTGGACATTGGTTATTTATTGACGATTCATTCACTGAATTTCTCCTTTTTTCTGCAAGAGATATTCTGTTGCCTAGAATTTGCATTTAATTAAATTGTTTTTTACCTCGTCTACTGTTATCTAGGGCGGACTGCAAATCCCTCTCCTCTGCCTCCTTTCTAGATTTTCTCAATACCTCTTCTTCTGAAACCGAACTCAGTCTTGCACAATCAGGTAACTCACTTTCAGAAAGGAAAGAGGTCTCGGTACCTGTTGTTCCGATTCTCAATACATTCTTATGCAAATCAATACAACATTGATGTCGTTTTAACATATCTAACCCTAAAACATTATAATTAACGATATACCTGTCCATGCGAATGATGCTGTATTTACCTAGAAGCATATCCATTGGCTGTTCTTCAAGTACTGAGAAACTGGTTGTTAAATACACATTTTCTATTTGTATTTGAACCATGTGGATCCTCCCAATAATTTTTTGGACACCAACCCCTTTTGCAATTCCTGCCCATCTAGTATCAACTAATCTCATTATATTACATCTTTCAGCACATCTACTTGACATAATAGTTGTTTGTGCACCTGAACATAGCACCAATGCAATCAGTATTCCCAATGTTATATGATAAAAACACACCTGAATCAATAAAAGCCCTAACAGGGAAGCCATTCACTTTACAGTTTATATACAACATCACAACTGTGCCAAAAGATTCTGGATTGAATTCCATTGCAGCTTCCATGTTAGCTTCAATATTTTTTTGTCTAATTTCTTCAGCTATAAGTCTTTGGGCTTCTGTATCAAATGGATCTGCATTGACCATTCTCAGTCTCTGTTGTTCTCTTTCTTGACGTGCTGTCACTTGTTCACGCAGTACTGATGCAAAAGTATCTTAAAATTAAAATACAGCAATGAATTTAAATGGAATTACTTTTCTAGCTATAGAGTACCTATGTTGCCTGTCATTAATGCATCAGCCAATCTGGGATTATTTTGTTTTAGGAGGGCCAACTGATCAGGATTTGCTAGGAACATGTCTCTGATTAACACTGGATCATCTTCAGCAACTCTAGTTCTAGTGTTGCTGGGAATTTCTATATTGCTGAAGTCAAAGCTGGATACTAAAAATGTTAATTGTTGACATAATGTTTGTGTTCTTAGATTTTTGCTTGATAAAATAATTAAAAAAATCTAGGATGAAAACCAAGTTACCTAAACTCATTAATGCATCATTCAATCTTATCAGAAAAAACAGTACATTCAAACAATGTTTATATTATTTTGTTGAAGCTTCATGTCTGCTTGTATCAGAATACTTCAAACAAGCATCAAATTCTCAAGAGTTGTGAGATACCTACAATTTTTTTCACTTATCTTTATCATAACAAAATTAAGCAGCAAATAATATTTAAATTATTTTCATTTTAGCTTTACACATAAACAATTTTTACAAGTAACAATATAAATACTATGTTCTCATTGCATTTGATAACTACAAATTATTACCTGATGGATTTTGATCAATATTATTTTGAGATCTGGAAAACATATGCTGTAATATCACAGCATCTCCATCACGAACTCCATGATCCTTTAAAGACTTTTTGTTATCCATCAAAGGCATGCCATTAAACGCGATGGCAATTTCTGATGCGGGGAATCCTGATTCGATTTCGCAAAATGCTTTAAAATTTTCTAGTTCCAAGTCTTCAGACACTTCCAAGACAAATACAAAATCTGTTAAAGTTGTCACGGTCACCTTCATTTTTATTTGAAATTATTTGTTACCACTTTTTATCTAACACGTTTAGTGAGAATTTAAAATTGACATGATCGCTTCTGAAATTTCGAAATATTTGTTCCAAAAACATCGAGAAAAACGTCAACATCAAATCATCCTTGTTTATGCCAATCGGCCTGCAGTTGTATTATCGGTCAATAAACGGCTCCTTTGTTGACTAGTTAAAAATATGCGGCCTTTTCTTGGTGAGGGGGCTATTTTTACTTTAAGAATTCACTCTCAAACAAAAGCTTTATGTTTTGAGAGTTCAATGTACTAGTACACAGCCGAAATGTAATTTCATGGAGCAAAGATTCTTCCTCTTATCTTTTAACTGCAAATTGTCTAAGGGCAATCGCCCATTATTGGCATATCGTGGCATACATTCTACACTTCTTTATTTGGTCTATGCATTAATAGATAACATGTTTGAAGGGAGACGACTCGCAAAGCTAATAATATGGATTAGAAGCCAAAAGGACGTTAAGTCAAAGACGATAATTATATCGTCAAAGAGTGACTTTAACCCCTTCGAAAATAAGTTTATTGGCTTATTTAAATAATTTGTTTATTACACAGTGACATCCTGTATATTTCTTTTTTTTTAAATTAAATTGAACTCTTTATATTCTACTGTTACAACTCTTCAGATAATTGATTAAAATTCATTCAAAAGGGAAAGCCTGTAATTTTTTGTATTTTTTTTTAATTATAGGGAAACTAAAATTGTTTCCTTGTGTATGTAAAGCATATAGCTACTAGAGATATGAATTATTTTTAAGGTGTGTTTAACATGCGCGTGTGCGAGATTTAAAAATCTTGTTTTTAACAATTTAACATGGCAGCTGACAGATCGTTATTGAGTTTGGATGCCGCATTGTTACGGCATTAATTTCTCATATCTCAAAATAGGCTGGCTAAATGTTCGAGAAAACCGAGTTAAGTGTCTGTAAATCGCTGTTGCATGATTAATTATTTTTTACCGTAGTAGTGCCACTATATGATTTAATAGCTATATGATGTATATGTTTTGCATCATTATAGCATGTACATTAGCGCAGTAGCGAGCATGGAGATTGGAGAGCCCTTTGTTTGTTTTTAAATTTTTTGTGTCAAAATTTATCAATGTTTGTCATTGCAAGATCGTCTCGATCAAATAAAACAAAACAAATCGCGACATACAACTTTTGATTAGGTGGCGAGATTAGGAACACGTGTACACATTGGGGTGGTTTCGCCAATGACAGCCCCGTGTACGAAATGAGAGGGGATATACTTTGTCAGAACAGAGTGGTAATGTATTAAATGCATTTAATAAAAAAAAAATTAAACGACGTCAAATGAACGTGTTATACGTTAATATCAACCCAAATTCTTCGAATTTGCAGAGCAGAAACTAACATAAATTATAATTTTAAAATCGTTCTAAACATCAAACTGTATTTATTTTGCTTGCAAAAACCGAAGCCTTTATTTCGGCATGGGACAGGTTATAGCAACTTTCGCGTATATGACGACTATGGGACTCTGCTATGCTATTTAGTGGAAAGTGGAGAAGATAAAAAGTAACATAGTCATACGTGGTTTCGACGCTTTATTATCAATATTTTGTAAATTTCCATTTTGCTTTTGGTGATAGTACTTATTATACCGAAGATGTAGATAAGTTCCGTTGTTTAGTTGTACTACAAATTATACAGGGTCACGTCAGAAATTAAATCAACCGAGATATAGGTCATATAAAATTCGTTTACAACTTTTTTTTTTGTAAATTGAATGTAGGAAGATAATTGCAATTGGTTATTCCACACACTAAACAGTTTCATTAATATTTAGAAACAAAACACTTTTCAAATTTGCTAAAATCAGAAAATGCGAAAGTCTTATTTGAGGTCATAATTTTTGCGGTTCGTGGAATATTGCGTCAATAATTATTTATTATGCTTGTCGTGTTGTCTTGGATATAATGTCTTTTAGGCAAGCAGACGTGATCGACTGTGGAATCCTCCATGATTTGAGGAAACGAGCTATTAAGCCCGGGGAATGATGAAATGTAATATAAATGCTACTTATAAATCTCGTCGTGTGTTATTCCAATCGGGATCTAATGGTGATTAAATAACTCTTATTTTTAGGAAATAACATAATAATTATAAAATAAATAATTAGTTCGCCTTAAACTGTAGGACATAATAAAATACAACAACGATAGTACGAAAAAATAAAATAGAATAAGATAACAGCATTTGGGTACTAAAAAATTTTCTTTTACGGTCCTGTTCGAGGGTAAATTGAATCATATAGGTCCAGGTCGAAGGTATAATTTGTGGCTCCCCCTTCCATCTCGTGTCATTAAATATGTAGGAGTAAGCATTTCCGTTATTTACGAGTGCCCTCCAGGGTATTCGGCGATGATGTATGTACCGCCATAATTATAACACATTCAATAGGTGTTTTTAATTTTCCTGTTGTTAATTAAAGTTTATGATGGGCATAAAGAATCACCATTTAGAGGGGGAGGGTTCACCACAAATGTTTGCCATTCAACAGAAAATTTAATATAAGCATATGCAAAACAGTATAAATGGGATAATTATAATTGAATGTTTTCAGCCTATACTTGGTGAAAATTAAATTCCATAATGGATTTCAGAAAACAAACTGTAACTAATTAACAAAGTCTATAATCATCAAATCTAAATAATTTATAACAGAGGGTAAATTCCGGCTAGGTAACCAATATTAGATAAAAAACCGCTCTTATTTTAAGCCAGCTGAGCTGTTAACTTAATCGAGTATGTAACAAGACAATGCAAACTTAATTTAGTATACCAAGTTTACATACAAAGATATGAATCAAGCAATAAATCAAAAAAGGAGAACGATAAAAAAGCAATATTGAATAAAGAGAACTGATTATTAATCTAGTTAGTTTTCCGTACGAGATATTTTTTTAAATGAAATTTAAAAGCGCAATGGGAGATATTCTGTGATTGGCTAATCTGAGGATATTTATTAAGTAGTCTAACAGATGTATACGAGAAGCAGCTTTTAGTCATGGAATTCTTGATATTAGGTGTTTGATACAATTGAAGCCGGTTCCACGGAAATGAATGCAATTTTTACAAGGCAGATTTTCCAACAGTTTTGAGTAGTTCATGAAGGAAACAAGCAAAATGATTCTTCCCGGCTCGATATATTTAACCATTTTAAATCGTGAAGTTTATGACTTACATGAGATTTCTTCGTTTAAGGTTATAAATAAATCGAATACAGGAAATCTGTACTTTTTGTAATTTACATTTTGTCAAAACATCCAAGCAGGGTCCATAAACCAAATTACAATAATTTAGCTGACTCAAAACCAATGCTTCACAGATATTTCTTTTAATCTAAAGATTATAATATCTTATCTTTACTTTTATAAATTAAATTTAAATTCATTATCAATTATGTAACCAAAGTTTTTACATTCGTCAACAGCTGCAATTTTAACCATATTTATAAAGATATATTATAAATATAATATATAATAAATATATTAATGCAGACTTATTAGAATTTAATTTCAAGCCATGATCATTTGAGCATTTAAAGACCGATTCCAAGCATTTATTTAGTCTCCTTGCATCAGACCGGGAAAGAGAAATATGTATTTTGCGTTTCATCGGCATACCTGTGACTATTGAACTCACCAAAGCAACCCGACATATACGCTGTGTAAATAATGAAGAAAAGAGGTCCTACTAATGAGCGTTGAGGGACCCCGTGTCAACTTCTAAGGCCTTCGATCTAATATTGTCAATTTAAACTAGCTAGTATCTGTGATCTAGATAATTACGAATCAATTGAATCGTCTTAAATTTAAACCCGTAATATTTTAACTTGGCACAGAGCATAGCATGAGTAATGGTATCCAAAGTATTACTATAATCTAATAAGGCCAAAGCCGATATTTTCTCTTTATCTGGTGCTGAGAGAATATCATCCAAAACTTTGAGCAAAGCCGTAGCCGTACTGTAACCTTTGCGAAATCCTGGCAGTAATTTAGGTAAAAAGTTGTTGTTTTCAGTTTTTGTATTGCTATTTCATCCCACCATAGCCCAGAAAACCGCCTCATCATTTATCGACTCGAGCTCAAATTCTACCGACGTACATTTTGTACTAACAGTATTAGGAATTTGACGCAATGAATTAACAAAATGTTGATTAATGAGCTCAGGATGCCTTCTCATACGCAAAGCGTCGGTAAACCAAGGAGCAGGCGGTCTCCTTACCTGTTTTCAGTTATTGGTGCGTGATGGTTATGATCATATCAGAAAGCATAGCAGCCTTGTGGCTTATATTAACACAATCAAACACTTGCCACCAAGGTAGATTTACTACAACTCTTTTAAAAGTATCCATATCAAATTGTTTAAAATTTCGGTATCTAATAATTTTTATTCGAACGCAGAAATTTCTACATCCAGAGAGCAGTAAATTAATTGGTGATCCGACTGATCGTGTATGTCATGGTGATGAACATAGCCACTTAACAGACGGTCATCGGACAGAATAATAACGTCAATCAAGCTCACCTTATATCTGGTATATCTAGTGATATTGAGAATCATCTGCTTGCAGTTGAAATAGTCAAGAATTTTATCAACTGAATCATTGTTATGTTTTAAAAGATTTATGTTTATATCATCCATGACTACAAACTCATCAACTAGCATCACAATATTAGCAATAGAATCCTCCAATTTATGTAACGCGGTAAGTATATTATGTCGTGGAGGACAATTTTCAATCTTTGGTAATAAGGATCACACATTTATGTGACCAATTTTTAAGATATTTATTCTGATTTTGACTAGCCACAAGGGTAGCATAAAGATCAGCTGTAAATATATTAAACTAGCTCAACAAAGAGACAAGAGACAAAAAACAAAAGAAAAACAGTAACAAAGAAAGATAAAAGTCTATTTAAGTAGTTCCTTAACGTGGTCTTGACTACGGATAACAAGAACTTTGGAGTCATCAATCTTGGGAATGAAGATTTTCCTATCTCGACGCCACACGTATTTTGTAGCCGACGCCTTTGAGTTGTTTCGCCTGCTTGAAGCAGTCATATGCTTTTTTTGTAAGTTCCTCATCCACAAAAATTCGCTAATTAGAATGGGAAAAATTTGTGTTTTTAAGAGCGAGATTAAGACTTAAGGATGACGATCGCCCTTTATATCGCTTTTAGCAGGTACTTGTTTAAAGTTTGACATTTCACTTGAGAGAATAGGGCTCGGGTTTTTTCAATTGCTTGTTCCTGGTTGTCATCCTTAGTCCGAAATGGTCAAATCGTTTGCAATCCTTTTCGTTTCCTCCTGATTAAAAGCAGATTTTAATTTGTCAACTTCAACTTTGAGTTCTTGATTATCCTTTGATAGTTCGACCACCATATTTTCCAAAACCTTTGATCTGTTTTTCTCTTCATCAAATTGACTGCTGACAAATTCAAGAGACCTGATTATCTCCTTGTTCTCATTTTGCATACTTATAACCATAAGCTTCAGCTCTGCTATCTCATTAGACTTGTCATCCGAGGAGTCTGCTGTCTGCATCCAACCCAGTCGCGCATCTACTTCATTAACATTCCCGCACTCCAAATGAAAGTGCTTCTTGCAAATACCACAGTGCAGTTTATGTGCTCCCTTAGAAACAGTCTTTCGGCAGATATTTAATTTTTTTGTTGTTCCGCCAGCCATTCCTGTATTATTCTTTGAACGCCAGAGTCCAAAGTCCAAATCCGAAGCATACAGCGCGGTTCCCGTTGCTATTGGACCGACCGATCAATACGAAAAAATAAAAAACTTACGTATTTTCATGCAGATCGACCATCTAAAAAATATATCAACTTTACTTTAACAACTTTCAACTTACTTTAACGCAACAATGAAACTATGTAATTAGGCTCAAAGTAAATTTAACATTGATGAGCTTTTAAGATGTAATTGATCATTTAAAAGGATATTTAAATTTTTTAATTTGTGACCTTTACTTTCAAAGTTTGAAAATCTTGAGTGAAATTATGATACATTATCTTAAATTAATTGCATAGATAGAATCAAAATTTTCATTGATTACTGAATTATGATGTCCTTCGTGTCTGACCTATATACTTTTTGGTACAATCATTACTTTAGAAAAATTAATTAAATATATACAATTAAAGTTGTTGTTTTTATGTTACTGACGAGTTTAATCGTCAGTTCTCTCCTCAAAATTAGAAAATTTAAGAATTAAACGTTTTAATTTCTTTGAAAAAGAATCTCTCCTCTGTGATATTATCCTTCTTAGTTTGTAAATAATGTGTATTATTATTATTATTTAAGAGAATGTATTCATAGTTTTCATCAAGATTATTAAATTTTACATTTTGAGTAAAGTAAGAGGCACAAATTAAGTTTACTTAAAGCTTTGAAATTAAGAAACTAAAAAATTCAAATATCTTTTTAAATAATCAACTAGATGTTAATAACACACCTCTATTGAACTTAGTTTGAGCCTAATTACATAGCTTTTAATAGTTGTTAATTATGTTGCCTGTTAAGCTAGAATTTATATAATAATAATATATATATATATATATATATATATATATATATATATATATATATATATATATATATATGAATTTTGTTAGTTAGTTTGAAAAAGTTAGTGTTAAGGAAACATGCCACTCTGCTTATAAATGTATGTAAAAGTGCTGGTAAACACTTTGTTTTTTAAAAAAAAATGTGGATAAATATAACGCTCCCCATGAAATCTGATTTTTGAAATTTGAAATTGCGGTAGTTTTTATTCCGTAAGTTCCCATAAGACTCCGGATAAAAGTGTTGGATATTATTGTATAAGTGAATTAGATAATTTTTAAGGAAACTTCCCCTTTTTAAGGGAGGTTTCTAGGGTTCAATTTTAATAAAAAAAAATAAAAAAACAAACAAAAAGTAATTAAAAAATATCGTTTCTATTATTCTCGAGCCGTATTCTAAGTACAGAGTTATAAAACCTTAAAGAAGTAGCCTTTGGCCCTAACGCAGAAAAAATGCCTAATCATAGTAATAATAGTAAATAGTTTAATCGTTTTTGAATATTATTCTTGCCTTTTTCCGGTGTCTATTTTTTTCTTCCTTTTTTTAGGAATATGAAATTTTTGATTGATTTAAAATTGTCGTATTGTGAATTTAGGGCCTAAGTGCTGCTATTTAAATTTATTAGTTTTTTTCTTGTTAAATTCTGAATACTGGGTGGAATGGCGCTGCCAGACCTCGTGTATTGTATCTATTGTATTACGTATTTTAATAAAGGCTGTTTGTTATTATTATTATTATTAATATTATTTAAATTTTATATTCCTTGAAGTGAAGTTGATATACTCCAATGCTCTATTTTTGGCCTTAAGTTTTTATTTTATATATCTATATTAATAAATTGTACACATTTTTTCCAAAATTTTAAAGCATAACACATTATACATATATTTTTGGAGTTAAATATAAGCAAAAATGGTGTTAGTGAAAACGGATTCAGCATGGTAAAATTATGAAGTAATTAGAATAGACCAGAAATAAAAATCCGGAATTTGACAAAATTGAGCACAAAACATTAGTTGAGAGTATCATGACTTATGGAGCTGAGGTTTGGGAATTAACCTAACACTTGAAGAAAAGACTGCAGAAATGGGTTTTTGGATGTGTTGTTGCAGACTCACGTTAATGATTAAAAAAAAACAAATAAGAAAAAACACGAGACAGGCAACTATAATTGACATCAAGTTGAGGTAGTACGGCCATCATGTTGACCGAAAGGATTATAGCAAATGGCCAAAAAAATTGCTACAGTGGCTTCCACAGCAAATACGTATTTGCAGAATATCACAAAAATGGCATAAAATGAGTACCACTTTAAAAATTGTAATAGAGTTAATCAATTTAATCGAGTTTCTCCTGGGTTACTAAAAGATACACTAAGTCATTCCGTGAAAACAATCCCGTAGGCGGCATATTTCACACAAAGGAGATGCTATAAATTATAACGCATTCATTATGTTAGATTTAATTGCCTCTGGTTGTTACCTAAGTTTATGATGGGAATAAACACCTGGTTGGGGAGGATACACTTCCGGTTTAACAAATAATTTATTCGGAATATCATTTCTATATTAATATACATTTCCATTAGTTTTGGTTAGTAGCGTTTTGCTTTAGGGAATCACAGGATGCGGATTCAGTTAAGATGTGCTAATTTTCGCTAAATGCGACAAATTGCAAACTCGGGCAATCGTGATTAACATAAACTACTAGTTTTTCAAAGAAAAATTTACAAGTAGGTGGTGAAATCTTATCGATGTGCTTTGTGATTTCATTTAGAAATAAATTAAATTAAAAATTAGTAAAGAATGAGTAACTAAGGAGGGTATACATTACGAATTATTTTTGACTGTAAACTATCATTGAGCTTGCACATCGATTATATTGTAAATAACTACTCTAAAATGCTTGGGGTTATGTATAGAATACGTAAAGATTTCAGAGCTCAGAAGGCGACTAAGCAGGTTTACTTTGCTTAGGCTTAGGGCTTAATTTTTACATGTGTAATTTGGTATTATTTTTTATAGCAAATACATAATAAGGATTAAACGACCGAGGTCAAAATTTGTAAGATTTTTGTTGTTGTAGGCGTGACTTTAATTTGACTAACAATCCATCTTGGATCAGTTTTCCTTGCAGGAATTAGCACTGTTGTCTTGCCACATTTTACATGTCGGAATTGCTAACCAACTTGGTAACTAATTTCGGTTCAGAATTTTCGTAATTTTTTGCAACTGTGTATTCCAAATTTAATAAATATAAATGACTATACAAATAGTCTTTAAACCCAGTCTAAAGGCGACCAAGAGAAGCAAGTGTGCAAAGTTTCCGTGCAAATGAATGTGTAGAGTAGCTGCTTCACATGCGTGCATAGCAAACATACCAACGAATGGGTAAACTATGCTAATCTTTTCTAGGATTGCATTTTTTCAGGCGAAATACATTCGTAGGTGCCCAGAAATACTCGTCGCCATTACCGCAACGGATACGCGACCTATGAACCCTGCAGCCGCTTCATTCCCCGATCTAATAGGTAAACAAAAAACACTCTATATAAAAGCACTTGCAATTTGTCATCTAATCCTCTCTTCACGCTTTACTATTTGACAAGTAATTTAATCGCAGTGAACCCGGCATGATGCGGACCGCATTGGCGTGCTTTCATTTCTAACCATATGGCTATTAGATAATATATTAGCTGACGAAAAAAAATTGATGCGCCTCAGAGAAGGAAATGATTTTCTAAGCATTTCTTTCAATTCCATTCACCAACCTGCACTTTGTGCCACTCTTCTTTCAGCATTCTGGACAATTTAAATCATTAATACTGCTAAGAATGCTACATCTAAACTCATATAGATACTAAAGATATAGAGGCCCTGCCTATGACTGACTTGCGAAGCAACCATTAAAAAAAATTAATCAAAGACGCATGCGCGAGATTTAAAATCTTGCTCTTAACCAATAACCATGCAGCATTCAACGACAAATATTGACAGATCATCAATAAGCTTGGATGCATTTTTAAGGCAGTTTTTTTTGCAAAATATCTCTTTAAATGTATATTGTATTAATGTGGAAATCGCTGTTTAGGAACGAAATGGTACAAAGTGCAGATTCGTGGGTGAAATATAAAGACATGCCCGGAAAATCATTTCCTCCCTACGGAAATATTTTTACTGTAATAAGGTCGCTATATTATCTAATACCTATATGCATACTGAATTATTGGTTGAAAGCAACAAATAATAAACATTTGTATCTCTCGGAATTGAAAGTATGTTTGGACGCATTCAACACGCCGATTATTGAACCTTTGGTTTCGGGCTGCTGTCGTAAGAAAAAATATTTTCGATTTTGTTTGAATCATTTTCAAGAAGATACATTTTATTACATTTGGAAAGGGCGATCCCTGATTTTCAAATACCTAGAAACGAACGCCCTTGTCCATGAAACGCCCCCGGTGTGGGAGAACGTTTAAGAGAAACATATGTATCAACTAAACACCCCAGACAAAAGCGTCGCTCCATCGGATGGGGGCAGAAAAAGCGTGAGTATATTAAAAGGCCATTATTGATTCAATGGGCTGCTAATTTAGTATTGGCAATCCACTGAGTGTTATGCCGTTATTGAGACGTTTGAACAATTATTGTGGTTGTCTCTGTTGAATTGACAACCATTGAACACTTGCTCTCGCTTATTGCTTTGATATGAAGCCTTCCTTAATTGAAAACAAGTTATTATTCCATTTGGCACACTAATAGACCAAAGTTTAAAAAGTTTCACACAATTAATGTTACTGGAAAATTTTCATACCGTGCGGCAGCGGAAAAAATTTACCCAAAAAGAGAATCACCCAAATAATTGATATTTTAAATGAATATTTCAGTATATATTTTCAAATACTTAACTTATTCTTTAAAGTCTTTAAAAAATGTGATAAATAGTTTCAATTTTTCATTCTAAAATGCAGAAGTACTAATTTTTTTAACGTACTTACCAAAACTAACAAATTCATTACTATGGCGAGCGACTTCATTTCTTGAATCAACTAGACCTGATTTTTTAATTGGAATAAGAACAAACACAAACAAACAAAAAAGCAAAAGTGGTCCAGAGAAAGGTAATTATTTTTACGAATATTACGTTTGTCACTTTATGACTTGTTAACATTGTATAATCCCGAAGGAAGTCTTCTTTCTGAAAATCGTTATTAATTTTCATTAATTTTCTATTGCAAAATGTAATTAATGAACTTTAAATGATTGTCTTAGTTTTTCCTTTCGGTAGGGAATTTAAAATGTCGTCTGATTGATAAGGGTACAATGTAGCTAATGAACTTTAGAAGATTATTTTAGTTTTTACTTTTGGTAGGGGAAACCTTGTATCAAAAATCTTTTTTTTTAAATTATTAAAGTAAAATTTGACTAGGAAAACAATCTAGAGCATTTTCAATTTGCAGTTTTTATTAATGGATTGCCTAATTTTAAAGTATATTAATTATTACGTTGGAGGACCACTGATTAAATTAAAAAAATGCAATACATTCATTCAGTTCTTTATATTAAACGAAATACAATTTTCCTGGGTACTCGGTAATACAAAACTATTTTATTCAGTAAAATCTAAGTACGATAAATATTTAATTACGAACGAAGACCAAGTCAAGCGATGAAGAAAGATTACATTATGGTTTAAATTTTAGGTTGTATTTTGATAAACCATAGTGTTTGTCCATCGTCTTTGTTTATACACATACTATATATCTCTGAAGATAGCCTATTGTAAGCGAAACGTGAGTAATGTTTACGGATTAAAAACGTTTTATATGAGCGAATACTTCGCAAAATTTTATTTCTTTTTTTTAAAGAAAAAGTTCTTCATATTTAACTATAAAATGAGTATTGTGAATAGGGCGCCTAAAATATTGGGACACAACATACTTGAAGAATATGTGGATACTATTATTAATTTGTATATTTATTAGAATTAGCCAAATTGACTCTATAGTTCTATATTTTTTGTGAAAACAAATACTAAATTATTTTCGGTAAAAAATAACTAATATTATATGTCAAATTTCTTGCAATTTGTTTGTAGCCACGTTGCAGAATTGCGTTCTTTATACAATGAGACACTGAGGTTTTTAGATAGAGCTAAGTTTTTTGGAAAAAATTTCGGTAATAATCCTCGCCGATATGCGACGTTGAAATCGATACACACCCTCTTTGCGAGGCGGAGCTTCCAACTACCCCAGTCGAAACTCCGGCAAATCCGGAGGCGCTTCTCGATATCAACGTTCCGGGGTCACACACACTCACACAGACTGGCAATTCCACGGAGTATGGATTCCTGAGTCTCATCTTTTAGTCGATCCAAAACATCGACACGTGTGAGACCACGTGCCATAAGCGTGTCCATAATCAGGCGACTAAGTTCGAAACGTCGCCGCCCTTTTGTTACGGTCACATCCTGCTAATCCAGCAAGTGTATGTAAACATGTCCGCACGCCTCTCACACTGATTTCTGGATTATTAGCTAAAGGGAAATAGTGACACGTGTTTCGAATTTGAAACAATTTCGTCCCACCGAAGAATAATGTTTAATATGGACCATTTGGATCTCGATATCGTCAATCGGCAGTATTTTTTCGATGCTAGTCATTACATATCCGCAAACGGGAATAGCAACGGCAGTTCTACGGGATCTTCAAACAGCGGCGATTTGTTTTTGTACGATGAAAATAGCAGTGATTCGGCGCTATCGAATTATTCGTTTAACAGCGATCAAGAAAACCATTCCGAACAGAGAGAGTAAGTTTTGTGTTTGTGTGGTCTACTATTTTCTTGGCTTACAACTGGATGTGAAGATAATCAAATTAGTAATATCTACGACGATCGTTTACACCAATGCGTTTTCAAAATTTGTTTTGGATTTAAATTCTGACGTGTTTTCGTAAGACCTTTCTCCTAAGGTGGGACACTATTGAAACTAACTATCACTATCAATTTTCTGACATATAAGCCTACATCATATTTTTTTTTAAATGGAACATCCTATATATTATATATGTGTTTAATAGAATATCCTATTCCGATTACAATGATGTAACACACTTTATATTTTAGTCCATTCGTTTTTGACAAATCGGCACAAATTGGAAATTTTTATATAATTTCAGAGTGCATGACTGACAAATAAAAATGTTTATGTTTATGTTTGACATATTAGTAAACAATTGAATTATTGTCCAAGTCATTATTGTTAAAATGGTTTTTTCGCGAATTTAGCATCTGATATGCTTCAAGTATACTTTTTCAATAAAAAAAGTGCAACAGCAGCTCCTTCAAAGCATATTTCCGTGGCTGGCAAAGAAATTTTGCAGAGAACGTTAACGTATTATAAATGCTAAAAAGATATGCCGGAATCAAATCATATCGTTTCAAATGAAGAAAATAAGGCAAACATATTAGGATTCTATGAAGTACATCCAGTTTCCTCTATTACTAGAGCATATAAAGAATATAAATATGAGATTGGGAATAATATTTTTTCGAAAAACATTTTATGGACTGATGAAAGTTCGTTCACTACAAGAAAGCGTTGTAATGGACAAAATAATCCTAGACATAAGCCCAGGGGTACCAATCAATTAGTGTATGGTGTGGTGTCATAGATGAGCATATTTTGTGTCCGATATTTATAGATCAAAAGTTAACTGGAGGTCATTATTTGCAACTCTTAGAGCACCAAAGAGAACAATGTATAGAAGATTTACCCCTAAATATATCAGCCCTGATTATATGGCAGCAAGACGGCGACCCTCCTCACGATGTTGTACAAGTTAAAAATTTTGTTAACATTGGACGACGGAACTATGGATTGGACAGCCAACAGCCCTGACTTAACTTTAATGGATTTTTTTTGTAGACAAATAAAAAATCACGGGCACAGAACTTCTTGTAATAATGACGTGGAATTTCATCGAAGGATTTCAGGGGCGATCAATCAGTTGAGAGACAATCCGAAAACGTTACTAAATGCAAGACCATACAATTACAGTGAATGAGAAATGTGTTCAGGAAACTGGTGGTCACATACAGCAGTATTTATAATAGTTAAAGAATTTTTTACTTTGGTGTGTTTTTGTTTTACTTTGATTTGTAAATAATTATTGTTGTTGCACTCTTTGAATTTATATTAAAATTTAAATATAAAGTGTGTTAAATTATTGTAATCGGAATAAGATATGCTATTAAACACATATAATATACGGCGTTCCATTTAAAAAAATATGATGTAGGCTTATATATCAGAAAATTGACCGTGTTTTGTTTTATACATTATTTGGAAAAAAACTTGGCCACGAACACTACATTTTGTGTTTTTGTTTAAATTGATATCTCTAAAAACAAAAAAGTTACAGCAAATTAAAATCTTATCAAGGTAAATTCAACCCACGGTACTCCTTCTGGATTTCTCCGGCATCGAGTATTGACCCTGTATTGCTGAAATCCAGAAGGAGTGTACCTATCGAAGTTCAATTGTCCGTAATCAACTGTAAACTTAACTAATAGTGTTGTTTAGTTTAGTGATCCATCTGCATGAAATGTTAATAAAAATAAAGACAGGAAGTTCGGAGTTCTATCACTTTCGTCACTGAAACGTTTTGAATTCGATCGGAAAACATTTTCGTCGTTGAGGTTTAATAAACAAGAAAAAACACATTGTAGTATTTATAGCAAAATGTCGATTTAAAGATGAAATCATTGCCTGGCATCATTGTGGAGTTTATCTGAGGAAAACTTTGATTAGTACGTAAAAGTCATTTCATGCGATTCTGTCGCGATTCCAAAGGATTTGAGTAACATGTATGTAGTCAAAATATTCTGTTATCTGTCTATTTACTAAAATGTCAACGAATGCAAATATAATTAGCAGTCATTCATTGATCTTGGTATAATAATTGTGTATACCTGGCGTTATCTTTCCTACAGTGAAAAATATTTCGATTAAAAACGAATACTATCTATATTGTCTGATTAATATTCGATATGAAGCCGAATATTATTACAAAACTAGTATCAGTACGTGACACGCAGGAATTATATGCACAAAATGAATTATGGTGTACACTTGCTCCTCCCTCCGTGGCTTACCCTTCGTGCGTCACTGACGTTTGATTATTCTCATTATCAGTAGAAGAGTGAGATATATTTTTATTTGTTCTGCAATCTAACTCTACGACAACATGGTAAAGAATAAACATATTTCTCAGTGAAAAGTTTCATCAGTACCATGTATCCATTTATTGCTAAAATGTAATCATCGATGTCATTTCTGTATTACTTTCAACAATATGAACCTAATTTGGTGCTGCATTAGAATCAAGTTGTTCTTACTAAACATATTGTCTTATATCGTGGCTGATGACATCAAGAAACGTGTCAATCCTAAGTTTCGAATGGGAGAAAAACTTAAAAAATCAAATTGGCGTGAGTCTAATAAATATGCTAGTCTTCAGATAATAAGTTAGATAGTTTTGCCAAAAAAAGTATCTAGTTCTTAGGATATTATTTTTAGTGTTTGGCACACCGCAAACGAATCAGTTTGTAATATTCCAGTCACCTAATAGTAGGAACATTTATGTTTACTTTTTAAAGGATCATAGGTCATAAACTTGATTCAATGTCAACTTTCAGTAGAAGTATATATTTGCTAAAAATTTACGCTCCCAAACAAAAACCTCCCTATTAGTCACTATAGTCCACGTGCCCCAAGGGGCAAACCCTTTCATAACTACAATTTCTTGGAATTCTTTTGTAATGAGAATTCCGCTGCAAGTCCGTCCTACTGTGCAACATAAATGGGATTTATCCCTTGAACTGCCCTAAAACACCTATCATAGTAACACCTCTGTAGTAACAATCTGTTTCGATCATACTGGTTGATGCATAGACACGTTTCTAAGGTCTTTCAGCGATTTTTTGCGAATAACTTTTCATAAGCGTGGCTATCCTTGTTATGCAAACAAAGTGATCTTTCGAAAATCAGCCAACAGAAAAGGGAGACATTAAAATGTTAATAGCGCTGATTTTTAGTCGTAATTATCGGCTTCGAAGAAGAAACAAATGTCCCCAACAACAAATTCAGCAAAGACAAGCTGCGAATCTTCGCGAAAGGAAACGCATGCAGTCCATTAACGACGCATTCGAAGGTCTTAGGGCACATATACCCACTTTGCCGTACGAAAAGCGATTGTCCAAAGTGGACACGTTAAAATTGGCAATAGGATACATCAATTTTTTGAGCGAGTTGGTGAGAAGCGATCGGAATTCCAACACAGAGTATTTTAATGGGCATAAGAGAAGTTTGCAAAAGGACGAACCAAAAAAGATTATCGTTAGAGGTAAAGGTAGTAACTAGTAAGTAGTTTAGTATAATTTTGTGGAAGTAGCAGAATATCCGTTTTAAATTTAGAATCGATTGATAAAGCGCTGAAAGAAATGCGCTCTTATTCGGCAAATTTTTTTGATACACAAAAATTGTTATTTAACGTCAAAACTTATATATTGAATATTATTAGAAAAGTTAAACATCTAGATATATACAACTGGTACAAATTATGGTAATAAATACAGTAACCTGTGCAGCAGTAATAAAACTTCATAAAATGTTAATTATTTAAAACAAATTTTGCAAATTTCAGATCAAATGAATTATTTTTTAACAGTTTAAAAAAAATAAAAACTAGAAAAATTCAATAGTTATTCCTATTACTGTTATTTTTATATGTAGTCCTTAGAGCAATTTAGGTATTTTTGCATGACTAGTTTTTTGTGGTTTGGTACCGTATATAGGAAATGTTTGGCGGACAAATTGCGTTTAAGCTGAGAGATGTAGAGTATAAGTATCTGAAAACCAGAAAAAGACGGTTAGTTTTCCGTTTGCGAGATGTTGAGAAACCAGAAAAAAACGACTTATTTTCAGAGATTTTCGAAAAAAATAAAAATTTCGTTTCATTACATACAAGTTCTTCAAGAGCTATGAACAACGCATAATATAACGGTGTATTCCAAAGATGTGATTGTCAACTGCATGAATACAATGAATTCACAATATGCTTTTATTTTTAAAGATTCATAGAAAGTAACAATAGTTTATAAAGTGTGTCCAGTTTAAGAACTGTACATTCTTGTAAAATATTTCTTGATAGGTCTCTGAAAATGCACTAAACCCTTGTTTTGCTTATTGTTTCAACTTCAAGTCATTGCCAACTGAGACTATTCAACAAAATTTTTATAATGATTTAATACAGCGCGTTTAAAATATCCGCTTAAGCCTGCAAATCCCTGTAAAATCTTTGAATACGGTTTGATTTTTTTTTTGTTTAGAAGACTAAAACCTTATGTTTCTTATTACATCAACCTGAAGTCATGGTTAACTGGAACTAATTTTTGATGTCAAATATCCATAAGGGCTATTAGTATTACACAAAATCTAACTATACTAATTTCTAAATACTAAATTTTCCCTTCTCTCTCTTTTGTTAAATAGTCTCAGTTGACCATGACTTTAAGTTGAAGCAATAAGCAGTGCATTTTTCAAAGACCTATCCAACAAAAAAAAAACAAAATCGAACAAGGAACAAAGATTTTACAGGGGTGTTCAGTTTTTCATTTGTTAATTTAACTATTCTTAACTTTGACGAACACATTTAACTAAAACTAAATTACCACCTAAGCCCAAATCAATACATAAATAATATTAACCAACAATTAATAGAAAGAATTAATGTTTGTGTTTTGTACGAAATTTTATCGTGGAAACTTGATAACATATTCTTCCGTGTAAAGCGGAAAACATAGTAATGAATACGTTTTTTTTTAATCAAATCTCTCACAATAATTTAAAAAACAACGAATCGCAAATCCGAATATATCTGAATATAAAAGCAAGTGGTTTATTTTCTTACAAATAGAATATTGATAGAATAATGGAAATTCTTTTGTAGTTGACCCCCGTTTTCCATTAAAATTTTTACACACTTTTCAAATTAGTGGTGCCGATAAAAATTTACCGGAATTAATTAAAATCGATTTAATAATTGTACTTCTTTATTACAATTTACTTTTAAAAAAATGAAATAACAAACAAATAACAAATTAACAACGTTTAACCAATATAATTAACCAAAATATTCATGCACTGAATATAATTATAGTGTCTCCAACATTTCCTGGTTAGCTTATGTGTTCTTAATGCATTTATGATAATTGGAAGTCTGTAATTAGGTATTCAGTGTCCGAATGTTACAGTTGTGTATTATATTACCGTTCAACTCATTCATATTTTTTAATGACAATCGTAAACCTATTATTACTACTATTTAAGATTCCTCTAAAATATTCATTGTTCTCCATTTTTTTTTTAATAGAATCAAAATTAACCACGCCTCTGTTCTCATATTACCCCGAAGCATAGATTTTTTTAGGACGTTTATGTCATCACAAAAAACAGTAATCAAGAAATTACACTTATTCGTAGGCCGTTCGAAAAAAAAATACAACGTTTATTCCCATTTTAGTTACCTATCAGCTCAGTATCTCATCCGATATGAAATTTAAGTACCTTCAGTTTAAAAATCAATCAACCTTTTAACGAAAAGTATTCAGTGTGTTGCATGTTTCGAATACAAATAAAATGAACAATTTTAAATGTTGTGTCACCGTTATTAAATACCGTATTGAAATAATGTTATTGTCAGGTGTAGCTGAGTATCACCGGAACCAGCTGCTTTGCGTAACAAACGCCTAATGTTCGAATTCGACATACCACCCCTAAGAGGGGTTGGTTGGTATAGACCTCTAACCCATAGATAATCAATCTAAATGCGGCGATAATTATCGTATTTTTATATTGTTCCGGTAAATCGGATGCGGTTATCCGACGGAAATATTTGGAATTCGAAATGAATATTTTTGGATGAGACAATTCGTGTAACAGCGACAAAATGAGTGTAAGAGTTCGTCTTTTAGGTGTTGGTGGCTTGTATACCGCCCATTCGCTCTCCTGGTCTAGGGTAAAAGACACGAACGCCAATGGTAGGATGCACGCCAAAGTCTGGGTTCCTGAAGACCCCCGAACTAATAAAGACGGATCCAGTTCTTCGTTTGCTTCCGATTGAAGTCAGCTTTTTGTTGCTTCATTTGGTAGTACCTTTCTAGTCACATTTGTTTTAGTATTTTTTATTTTTTGTTTATTATTTTGTTATTTTTTTTTTGTAAATTGGTAATCTTTTGTGTTTGTGTACATATGTAAATAAATTAATCATACCAACAAAGTTAGAGAGCAGCAAATAAATTATTTCGAATTAATTTTACGCTTAGAATGCTAGTCAGATTATTGTAAATATGTAAATAGTTTGTTATTAAACGTGAACTAATTTCGTTGTATTTCACTAAAAAAACACGTGCCGTTATAATGGCGGTAAACGTAAACGGTAAGTGACGCGGGGGATCGTCTCGGAAAATCGTGGGAAACATGCACGTGCAACCAATAGTTTTCCTCGCGAAATATTGACTTGGAAACTCGCTGACGTCACGGCATCGGCGATGGATGCGTGAGAAAATAACAGGTGAAAGACTTGATGGAATCCGCTTTATAATGGCGTAGCAGCTTATATGAAAATGTGAAACTTTTTCTGTAAACGTTCATTGAAGTTAAGTTGTGGAAAATATAGCAAACATAGCAAAAATTTATCAAAAACAACACAAACTGCATTTGCGCAATTGCGGAGGAATTTGATACTAAAGTTTCCTGATTTATTCTATTTTTTTTTAACAAAAATTCTTAACTTTTTAGGTAAGTAACATGTGCCTGATTTAATAATTCGTTATTGCGCAAATGTATTTTCTTAAAACTTGTATTTATTTGTTTTATGCATTTCCGTTTTTATTTAGTCGCTTAATATACTTAGCAGTCATTACAAAACTGTCGAAATGTCAGCATAGAAACAAATTCGTTTTATTTGACACAATAAATATCCGAACTCGAGAGCTTATTCCGCTATAACTGCTGAAAATATGGTAAAATGGTGCAGGTTTATTTAATTTACCATCAATCAAATATTATTTATTGTGATTTTATTAATAGCCTATTATAAATGTTTATAATTATATGTTTCATTTTCTTGGCGTCAAGGCGTCATCACTTTCATGATCCATTTTCATTCATTTTGAATTTGGTCACAGTGTCCCCTCACAAGTCAGTCAATATTATTCATGTTGTTTTGAAGAATAGTATATGTAACATGCACGTTGTCAATGAAATTAATGAGTAAAATGGCGTTTATCAAACTTCTTGCATAATATGTTATTAAATAACTCGTTTCCAATATCAATAAAGTTCTTCGAATCAGTCAAAATTCCCATCTGTGAATTTTTCTCTTATGTTAGACAACGAAAGCTTGTTTTGGTTTTCAAGACACGTATGGCCGTTCCCTTTGTTGTAAAACAAATTACCTAAAATAATCTGTTTTCCATTTTCAAACTAATTGTTGTTTAAATTTTAATCCCATCGAGGATTATGTGCTCAGTCGGACAGAAGTTGATAGAATGTTTGCGTAAAGATTCGGTAGTTTGATATCTTTTAATCCGGGTGTAGATTTGTGTATAGGGGGTTTCCGCTATTCATTAAATGGATTGTCTAAATGTGTCTATATACGATAATGCTTTAAAAAAGTATTGGTAAGTCTAGATATTATCAAACTCCCTAGAAATAACAAAAACTTATTTTGCAATATACCTATCAATTACAAAACATTTTATTGTTTTCGGTATTAACTATTTTTGATGTTAACTTATATTTAAAGGGAATTAGATATCTGGTTGACGAATTCCTCAAAAACAGGCAAAAATGACTTCGACATATTGTTGTGAAAATTAGAATCTTGCTTCACCGAATTTATAATCTACAACAAAATAGGGGCTATAAAAACGATTTCGTGAAAAAAAGTAACAAAAATGCTTACCAAATCACTTTTATGGAGTAAATCTTGAATAATTTTGTTACCAATTTCAGTCAGTCGTTCGCTGATAATGCCTTGGTTGTTTTGTACAATTTTCCCAACATTGAAATGGTCATTTATTAAATTTTCTACCATTGTACTAAACTCATCATCTTCCATTAAGTTGCCAACGCTTGCCTATTGCAAAAAATAAATATTATATTAAATTATGTAGATTTTTATTCACAATCTTCAATCGCACAAAGAATCGTCTTATAATGTTCGATTACTAAATAAATCACTAGCCCAACATTAATGGGTCAGTAAATTTTCAATTTTCAAAACGTATCAAACTCGAATCTCGCAACCAAGAATTTTTGCTGTTTTCATTCTACTATGAAGAAATCTAGGATCTTCACTTTGGGCAATTTTAGTGGCATCTTTGAGAACTTAGAAAATCGATTCAATAAGAAGAGTTTTACAGAATATTGCTGGTACGTACGTACTTTTATCTTATTCCTTTTGTAAACAAAAAACTGAAAAGTAGCGAAATCCGAAAAAAAGGTAACCTGAGTTGACAGTAACTTAGAAAAGTCTAATTTAATGGACCCTCATTTAATAAATTTAAGAAAACATGATAATTTTGTTAATTTTCAACTGACACAGGAGAAATCCAGAAGATTTGTAAATAGCACGATAATTTTGTACTTCTGCAAAAAAAAATCGTATTGTACAGGCACACACTGACTTAGTTTTGATTTTGGTAAGGCGTTTGCTGCAATTTTTTTATATTAAATCAATTTTTGTTCACTAAAAAACTATCAAAAATATCACCAGTCAATAGAACTCTACATTATATTATAATAAGAAGCCTGTTACCTTCGTGTCAGCAATTTGTAGAATCACACTAGTTAGAGTAAAAAGGCCACTAGAAGAAATTGGCAGGATAGATCCGTTCAACTTTAAATCTTCCACGGAATAGCTAAAAAAAGCACCACTTAATAGGTATGTAGATAGAATTTGAATAACAAGAACTGTAGTTTACCTCATCGAGCCGTTTCCAAAAAGACCCAGAAACGGAATTTTGAACATTTTTATGTCGCATTCATAATCCATCGTCATTTGCACTTTTTCGAGAGTCAATTCAAAAGCTTTTGGAATATACTCTATCATCCAATAGTACTGCATATCGAATACAAACTCCTTCACTCCCGTTATTGTTAAATCTTTTACTGAGAAAGAGCCGCTAAAAACGATTTAACATTGGACGTGACTAGTTGATAGATGTGACTAATTGATAGATGTGGCTAATTCAAAGACTCAAATATGAGAAATGTTTGCTTTTAACTTTTTTTGTATTTATTTTTTACTTTGCTTTGATGAATAATTGAACGATTTTCTTGAGCAAGACATTGTTGCTATTAATGATTTCTTCCTATTGACTCCAGCCTTTGGCGAAATTATATTCTATTACCGATATGCCATATGGAGATATAATATAATTAACTTTTTTTTACAATCATTAACTAAGCATACATTAGCGGTGAAAGGACGCCATAAGCAACAGTTTAATACAAGCGTAGGATATAGTCGTTCAATGTACAATTTAGCTTGTTGGTTGAGCTGAGCAATGAGCAATAAGTTGAATTACTGTTTATGGTCGTTTGTCTCAGTTCAAATGATTCAGCACTGTTTTAAAAGTGGATAAAAAGGCTTCTATATAATTTTCTTCACTAAACTAATTAAATGATTGTAATAATTTTTATAAATTGATCCCCTAACGCGGATAATGCAAATAAACTCCACATTATTAACCCGATGAAGCTTATAGTTAAATAAAAGTGTCAATCTTGTTTGGTTGTACGTAATTGCAACTGCAGTGATCCTAATTCTCTATCATTGTTTTACTTACGAGTGACTTGAATCTTCCGGAATTTTTAAATTGACATTATTCACGTGAATGGTTTCTGGAATTTTTTCTCTAATAGATTCGACCAGTTTACTAATATCATCTCTTATGTCTGCCAAAACTAAAATAAAGTGGTCTCAGATGCTATAAATTATATTATAAAAATGTGAAAATAATTACATTTAATTTTCCTGAATTTAGATCGTTCAATTAAATATTAAACAGTTCGCTATTTACCTTTATGATCAATGTATATCACGAGTAAACAGATGACAAAGTTAATTTTTACAGGCATCATAACCACCAAATCCAAAATATATTCGATATATGTTGCAAAAAAAGTTAAAACTTATTTCGGGAAAATATCAACGAAATACTCATGCTGTTTAACGCTCCCACAATCTGAAACCAAAATTTATAGCCGCTTTATCTGAAAGATTTATCGTAAAATAAGCCTATATTTGTTTTTGGTCATCAAGTTTTTACAGCTACGTACACATCTTTGAAGGTACGAGTTTTAAAGAAAAAAGGAGTTGGAAAATGATTATTGTTAACTCCACAGTTCAGTGGTGCCAATTGTAAAATTTACCCAAAGTACGTTGTGCCAACGCATTAGCATTGGCAGCATAGTGTGGAAAGAGATTGAATGTCGTTTTCGGTTTACAAGTATTAATTGATAGAATTAACGAAGTTTGGAGGAATATACCGATTTTTAGTTGGCGTTTTTGGAGCAACACATTATCTTATTTTTTATTACAATTGCTTTATGATGTTTACATAGAATATTGCGTAAAATCTACGCAAAACAATTGCATTTAAATACAAACCTGTTTAATGTTTCGGTCTCCGAGTTAAAATTATCAATGGAAAACTGATCACTTGATAACCGCCATCCGAAAGATAGTATGAGGATATGACGAAATAATTAATTTTTTACAAAAATTTACTTTTAACTATTACCATAAGAAATAATAATAAATATATCATTTAAAAAAATGCTTTCTAATTCTAATTGTCTTACAAAATAGTTAAACGAAATTTAAAATATATACTTTTTCTAATCCCTAGTATAAATATCCTTTTGTGCACCGATGAAGAGTGCAAAGTGTTTAGTAGCGGCTTTGCAAGCATCAGATACTTACCCACTGATAGTACTGTGACATTCGTTATACCCAAAAACTTATGTTCCTAAAAAAAGTAAAGCACACGCTGATAAACTGCTCCAGTGTCTCGGTTTATCAAACTCGTCACTAAAGTGGCGTTTATCAAATTTGTTGGATAATATACTGTTTCAACATCTGGCAGACCAAATTTAAACGAATCTGTATAACACGGAGCAAAGTTCTTTCCATACAACCAATACATATAGCCTTAGTGAACGCCAGTTTAATAAAAACTCAATTTGCCTTGCGGGTGTTTTATTTTAGTGGTAGAAAAAACATTCTTTTCATATACATTTTAGGTGTCTGATGAAATGCCCGTTTCGAACAAGAGAAGACAACTGAAATAAACATTAACGCAATATTATCTGATAACCCGAGGGATGACGGGATTATAATTAAAATATATGGACACGATCTGGGTCCAAAAACTTATCTAATCAAAAACCGAGTCGGTTTTTTTATTTGGTGTGGATTAGTTTTTTTCGATATACGCGAGGGCTGCTAAGAGTCTTAATTCCGGTGGTTTGAGCTACAATGGGAATTTTAAAATCCCCCTTGGGCAGGCGTGAACTCGGCACGGGGGTCCGACCTTAATACCACTCAAGCTCTCTTTCAATGCTTATTTAAAATTAAATAAACAGGAACGGTCCGCAGCTGGATATCATACCTATTATTTGCCCCCCTTGCAATAATATTATTAAAACAGGGCCAGCACCTGTACGTCCCCGACGATGTGCCCAGCCAGTCACATATATTTACAATTACATGTGGTATTCCAATATTCCTGCCATTTTAAATTATGTTACAATCCGGATGCGCTTTTATTGTTGCGATGTTGTCTTGTATGTTCTACGCAAATTTTGCGGTTTGAAGAAATGCCAAACAATAGCAATTGATCTGATTTTTGCTTATTTTTTAATATATTTTTTTAATTTTGTTATTAAAATGGGTTAATTGTTAGTTCTAGCTTCTTTTTGTTCCTCTTTAAGATTTATATGTTCTCATTTCCATCATTGCGTTCAATTCTTCTTATTACTAATTCCTGTTATTTAACAGACAGATGTTTCTTAACTCAACTGATGAATGAAGATGAAATTGTTGAAAATTTTTGTTTTACCATTTTTAGTTACTCAGTTTATTTCCAACTTTCCAGCCCTGCATACATATATTTTAATGCGAAACTTATACGTTGAATAAATTTCTTAAAATTCTTCCTTTTTATCTTACTTAAATAGTAAGCATAGTATGAGAAGCAGATTATGGATTGTTCTGGTTTGCTTAAGGTTCCAAAATAATTATGTACCCTCCTCGTTTTTACCTATTTGCCACATACACACACACACACACACAAACACCACACACACCACACACACACACCAACACACACACAGATATATATATATATATATATATATATATATATATATATATATATATATATATATATATATATATATATATATATATATATATATATATATATATATATATATATATATATATATATATATATATATATATATTCCGGGACATCATCCGTTCGTTTGTTGAACTCCAACTGGAATCCTGAGACGTTTCGCCAAGATCTCACTTGGCATAGGTACCATTTCTACAAATAACACAAAAACAATTGCACCAAGTACAACTTGTAGAGTCTCGATAATTGGTTAGCTACACAGTATCGATTGATCCTAAATGATAGATCTCTGCATTTTTTATTATTTTTAATGATTTTGGTCATTAACATTATTTAAATACGTAAAAATTATTGACATAGACGCTACTAACCACGTAAATAATTTGTTTTTTTTTTTTAATTTTGTAGATTTCTAGTTCTTGGGTTGGTTTGGCAGAATTTTTTACCACTCATTAACAAACTACGATGTTTCGATATGGAACGAATAATTATATTTTTACAGCTTCCATCCCATCCTGTTGAGTGTTTGTTAGTATTTAAATACAATGAGGGTATTTAGTGAAAACAGAAAGGCAGTGGACGAATTTACTCTCGTCCGTATTATACTTATTTTTTAATATTTTTTTGTGTATGTGAGAACTTAAACAAAATACACTGTTAAAAGCAATACAGGTATTTTAGAAGCCAACATTAAAAGAAACGCATTCATGCCCGCTGACATTTCGGCAATTTGGCAAGTTTGATGTAACATCTTTTCCACAGTATTTTGTCACAATAGGCCCAAAATCCATTAAAGCTTCAGAAAATAAAACACTTTAAGTGTGTGGAGATCGCTGTTTAGAAACACATTGGGGCAATGTGCAGGTTAGTATGTGAAATTTATATGTAAATTTATTTTATTATGTAATATGCTAAGATATGTGTTGGCTCCAAGTCGTCACAAAAAAATTAAATAATGTATCACATTATTGGTTTGGTCTGCGAGAACACTGGTAAATTGAACTTATTCTGATCTATGTTCACAGCCTCTACCACCTTTTATTCTACCGACAAAATAGTGGAGGCGCTAGCTTGTTAGCTACATGTTTCATTTTGCCTGCTTATTATTAATTTATTAATATAAAGAAAGTGGTTAGTTTCTCTGTTTTTTTTTTCTTTGTACCTAATCGAAATAAAACCAACATGATGTGAAACAAACAATTTACAATATAATATGCATATAATATAATAAATTAAAAAAAAAGAAAATGCAATAAAATAAAACAATTTACAACTTCTTTTATGGCTATTTGATTCCTAACAAAAAAACTGGGTCAAATTCAATGACTTATTTTCACTTTCAGCCAATATTTCTTCAATACTTTACTCTTAAGATTACAGTCTAATATTTATTTAGTGACTTCATGCATAGCATGAGCGAGGTAATCAACATTTTTGCTGGTAACGCCTGCCATTGAGATACGTCCGTCTTTGGTGAGGTAGATGCTAAAATCTTTGGTCAATCTTTCAACCTAGAAGTAAAAGCATTGAAGCATAATTGTTGAACAAATGACACATCAATTAAGTGCTTACCTGTTGAGCATTCATTCCAGTAAAGCAGAACATACCAATCTGGTTAGTAATGTGTTCCCAGTTTTTGGTCGACCCTTCTTTTTTCAAATTATCACGTAGTTTGGTTCTTACAGAGATAATTCTATCAGCCATTCCTTTAACTTCCTGCAACCTGAAGTATATTTTAGAATCATGCACTATTTGGTTGAGACCCTCTTACCATTCAGATCTCAGTTGGGCATCTCCTAAAATTTCGGTAACAAGTCTGGCACCATTTATTGGGGGATTGGAATACAGTGCTCTGATAAGAATTTTTATTTGGGACAAAACCCTCTCAGCCTCATCATTAGATTCACCGAGAATACTAAAAGCCCCTGCCCTTTCTCCATAAAGACCCATGTTCTTAGCGTAGCTTTGAGCTAGTGCTATTTTGTGCCCATCTTTCACAAAAAGGCAAACCTAAAACATATAAAAACATGTTTATGGTACTGACAGTTTCTGATTTTACACTTTTCACAAAGTCATTGAAACTGACTAAACTTCCGCTAAAAAGGCATAGTCCCGCTTTTGTTGACAATTCAGTGACATTATACTTACTGCAAAAGCATCATTGTCCACATTACCAGTGGCAAACCCTTGATAAGCCAAATCAAAGAAAGGAAACAAATTTTTCTTCTTGATTAACTGTGACAGCTCTGCCCACTGCTCTTTGCTAGGGTCGACTCCAGTTGGATTGTGAGCACAAGCATGAAGAAGAACTATAGACTTTTCTGGTATTTTCTAAAAAATATAATATCTCTTACATAATATTACCATCACTAAATTTTTTAATTATAGAAGTATATATATAGTGCTTACCGAAATATCATCTAGAGCTCCAGCAAAGTCAAGCCCGCAAGTTTTAGGGTCATAGTACCTGTAAGACTTAACATCTAAGCCAGAATGCTTAAAAATTGGTATGTGGTTACCCCATGAAGGTGTTGGAAGGTAAACCACTTTGTTTCCTGGGAAAAATCCATTTAAGAAAGCTGCACCAATTCTCAAAGAACCAGTGCCAGAAATACCCTGAACAGTAGCATTTAATCCATTTGCAATCTGATCAGAATTATCACCTAGAGCCAATTCTATACTGAGTTTACAAAAATCTGCGCTACCAGTAATTGGAGCATATTCTTTATCCAAATTTTTTGACCTTAGTTTCTCCTCAGCTTTACGAACACATGAAAGAACATAGGGCTTGCCTTCATCATCTCTGTAGGCGCCTGCCCCCAAATTGATCTTTTTAGGATTCGAGTCTCGTTTATAAGCCTCTGTTACACCCAAAATAACATCTGGAGGCCCCATTTGAACTCCAGACCACCAAGAGCTAACATAACCGGTCATTAAAGAAAAATACAAAATTATAGATATTGATATACTTACTTGGCCCTCTGTGCATAGGTTATTGCGTTTTTGTTCTGAAGAATGGAAGTAGATTTTTTTAGGGACATTTTTAGGTATGGGCTTGCCTACTTCAGTGGCTCTTATGAAACTGGTATTTATATGTATTATTTTAGGAAACCGTATACGTAATGCCGCGTTATTACCAGTATTTTGCTAAAATCTCGTGACGAAATTCTGACGTAAATCCTATAATACCGAAAACGTGGCAAGGTCAAACGAAAGGTCAGCTGGTCAGCCAGATGCATAGATATTCTATGTTTGGTCCGATCTCTGGGTCCACGAATTAAATTGGACTATTTATAAAAAAATGCTTCTTACACACTATAGAATCAAGTTAATTAAGGTCATACAACCTATAATAATATACAGCTTTTTTGAGGAAATACACGATCCCGTGCGTGGTAATCTCCTCGAATACTAGTTCCAACGCCGTCAGTTAGTTAACGTGTTTCACAGTATTGAAGCCGTTTAGGGGTACTGTGGTTCGACGTCAACATGATTTCTCACGTAACCGTACTAGCGTTATCCTGATATAACAAATAATTTTGAACTTATCCTTGCCAAATTATTATTATTCGATACTGAAACTATTTTATTCTAGCGCATAAATAAAACAAAACTTAAATTGCATGTTATATTATACTGAATTATGGTAAATCAATATTTTGTCTTGCCAGCAGAGATATTTTCTGCGCCTTCTGAATAATATCAGGACACTTTTTTCGTAATTTGAGTTGACAATTTTGAAAGAAACCTTCGTTCTTTGGAAACCCATTGGTATTGTCCTTAAAAGTAGTCAATCCTGAAATATAAACATATCTACATATCTGTTACATTATTCTAAATTAAAAAAAGTAAATTATTTAATTAAAGCTCCACATTTTCCATCTGTAATTAATAATTCTTCAAAAATATTAATCAAATTTCTAAATTTCTTGGGTAACTAAAGTAGGCAATTATAGCCCATATTTAGATTATTACCTAGTCCCCAAACTTTCCCTCCTCTAAATTCTCCCTCGTGTCGCATACCATCGCTTCTCCAGAAAATGCCATACCCGTGAAACCATCCTTGGAAAAACTCTCCCTCATATCTAAAACTTTTTGTTATTTAGAATTCAATTATTGATATGCTCAATTTTACGTGAAGTGTACAAAAGAAAGTACAGAAGATTCTTTGCAATACTAGCTTTTGATATTAGGAAAATTAATACGAACTTTGCGCCATCAGTAAATGTCAGTACTCCTAAGCCATTATATAGACCGTCCTGAAAGTATCCATCGTAACGAGTACCATCGGCTAGTAGTAGATGACCATTGCCGTGCCTTTTACCCTCGTTATTCCAAGATCCTACGTATATGCTACCGTTATCACACCGGTATCCACCATTTACTACGACTGGCACTGAAAAATGTTATCTTTACACAAAATATTTCTTTGTATAAATACCATTTACTTACGAGACTCATCATCCATTTTTGGCTACTCTATCAATTAGTTCCTAATAGAGTTAAGTTAATTTAATTATAAATTTTTATCGATTACTAAAGGGGTTTCCTGAAAATAACGTTGAACTAATGTCACTTACCATTTATCTGTTCTGTGGTATGAGCATATTTTTGTTGTGCACTTGTAAATAAACAAAACCAGTTTTTTGATAATGGTTTCTACTAGAGGAATTAAACTAAAGTTTTTTGTAGGTGAAAGAGTTTTATGTTACGAACCAGATCCTACAAAGGCAAAAGTATTATACGACTCCAAGGTAATACGCTATGGTACTATAAAGTCGAGTAAGTGCAAACCTGTTTTTTTTAGGTTCTTGATGTTGTGATACGCAAGGATCAAGCAGGCAAAAAAATTGTGGAATATCTAATACATTTTCAAGTATACTTACACCGATTTGATTCTCACATTTATTTCTAAAATATTAATTATAGGGATGGAACTCTTCTTGGGATAGATGTGTAGGTGAGGACCATGTTTTGAAAGATACTCCTGAGAATAGACAACTTCAAAAAGACCTAGCAGAGAAGGCACAATTACAATTGTGTGTATAATGATACTCTAGTTCCAATGTTTAACACAATTTTGTGTTGTAGGGGAGCATATTTATATCGAAAAGAAAGAAAAAAGAGGAATCGAAAGATTAGTGACAGAGCTACATTTTCAGAAGAAGGAAGCTCAGACAGCCAAGCCCGAATTGATGGGGACAATTGTGAGATGACAAGTAGTTCAGATGAACACTCTTCTATTGAGGATGAAGCTGTAGAAATTGAATTAACACCTGAATTAAGAGAAGTCATTGAGATTGATTACAGTTTTATTAAAAAGAAGCATAAGGTGTCAATAGTATTTAGGTTTTGACAGTACAGTATTGCTTAAAATTTTCTTTCAGCTCCTGAAATTACCAGCTGAACCAAACATAGTGACAATTCTAGAAACCTATTATAAACATTATGCTACAAGTCAGATTTGTGGCCTCAATGAGAAACCAAGTTCAAGATATAAATATTATTCTCATAATCAAAATTGCAGGCCCAAACATGAAGATGTTCAAAGGAAGTATGTAGCTAGTTTTTGGATTAGGCATTCTGTTGTTTGAAAATACGTTTTTGGTAGTTTAGCAATATGCAGAGAAGTGATGGACGGTTTGAGGCTTTATTTTGATTTTACCGTAAATGATTTGCTTCTGTATGGCATTGAAAGAGGTCAAATACAAACAGCAATGGCTGTCTCTCAATTAGTAGAATCTACAGAAGTAAAAATGGAGTGAGTATCCTGACGTTTCATCCTATAGGTGTTTTACCAAATAACAAAATCATAAACAGGGTTAAGAGTGAAATAAATAGTAGTTCTGGAACTCGAGTAAGCAGTGCAACTGCCTCAAGTTTGAATGGAAATAGCGGTTTTAGAATGAATTCAAGAAGAAGAACCTTAAGATCATCAACTAGTACCAAAGTTGAACCACATAATAATGGCAGTTCTGTTCTATCTGAAGATGGAACGAATGCTGCCAAACCATCATCAAGGTATAGTTTTAAAATTTGTCTTGCTTAAGACATTGGCAACAGTTACTGATATCTAGTTTCTTAGTGCTGGTAGTACAAATTCGGACACGTCGGGGCCATTAGCAAGAGCCTTATCTTGGAAACTATTACCTGATTATGTATACAATCAACAACCGCCGCCTCCCTGCTTGGTATATGGTGCTACGCACTTGTTAAGACTTTTTGTTAAGTTGCCAGAGTTACTGGCTGCTTCAAGCATACCAGAAAATAAGATGAAGATTTTGTTAAGGCATTTTGACTCAATAATTGAGTGAGTATTAATCAGCCTAAGTGAATGCTTTGCAGTATTTTGATTTTACTTTTAGCCACTTGACAGAACATAAAGAATGGTTTGGAGAAAAGTTTTATGTGGACTTAAATTAAGATAGTTTTCAGAGGTTAAACATTATATATGTGTATTTTACAGACATGAATCTAAATAGGTACCAAATAAATATTAGTTTTTCAATGAAGTTTTTTAATTGGGGAGTTTTTGTGTTGATACAAGTAACTTTTTGTTATTGTTTATCTTTTTCTCCCTGGTACATTTTTTGTTTAATTGAACCCTCAAAAAAACTACAGTTGCAAGTTAGATAACAGTCCTGCTTTTATCCAGTATAAATAAATATTTCCAATGTTTCATGCCAGTTTGTTAGACCTAATAAACTGTTCCCAAATATAAAATAAAAGTACCATAATGATACTTTAAAATTCAAAATCCTGCCAAAAATTAAATGGATAGCATATAAAAACAAAATTATTTCAGCACTACAGGTGAATTTTAATTTTTTAAATGACATAAACATATGAAAAATAAACCACAACATGAAAATATCGTCACCTTTTCACCACATAGCTCTCTGTACACCTGATAACTTATTATAGTCAGCTAAATGTCTAAATACAATCCGACTAAGTCTCCACCTAAGGACAGTACCTCTAGGTTTTGACGTAAGGACGCAGCGGTTAGTCTTATGCCGTTTTATAGAATCTCTAGGCATTGCGTGTATTTCTGCATCTGCTATTTCTTTAAGCTCAGGAGGCAATATGTCGTTTTTCCGCAAAGTATTGATTCGAAGACGCGTAGGTCCATATTCTGCAATCGCCTTTCTACGTTTTACGTCCCTTATCATCCAACGATTTACCCATTTATATCGGATTTGCTGAAACTATAAAAAGCAGTAAGAAATAAATTATGCTTTCGGTTATTAACTCACATTTTGGAATACACTACTTTGGTTACTTAATAACCCCATAGCACATCTTAAAGTATTCATGTCTTATTAAGTTTAGTTGTGTAACTTGTCAACGAATCGTTCAACTAAAAAAATTTCTGGAGCAACTTCGAAATTATTTTTATTATAAGTTGGAGTTGGAAGAATCGAAAACAAGTTATACTTCCTCTTTCTTTTTCTTTTGGCGTTAATATACGGGATACATAATATATATGTATATATGGGATATGTATATGTTCTTTATTTCTAAGGCCAAAACTACAAGGATCATTTGGCCAAGGATATTTAGCTTTGATTCGTTCTTCAATTCCTTTTCTACATATTGGCAAATTCACTGGGATCAACCGCTGACTGTAAATATAAATCGATGACTATCTCATTTTCTAGTTTTAATTACTATGCTGAAATATGACACATGAACAAAATATTTACAGCTTTAATATTCAGGCACGTACGTAGAAAAAATTCAGTGACTGTTTCGTTTGCCTTAATCTTACCTTAACTCACCTTTTCTGCTACTGTACAAAATATTTGTTTTAATTTGAGGTTAGAGATGTTTTAAGTTGTTTTTTTATTTTTTCTTAAGAATATTTGAGCGAAATGGTTCAAAGGATTTGGTAATTGTTTGGTGTTTTTTAGTGCGGCGAAGTTTGATTTTTATTCCTTTTAGCATGGCGTCCGATTTCTTTTTTCCGAATATGGGTGGCGTGGAAGAGCATATTTATAATTTGTCTCAGTGTTTGTTGTTAAAGGGACATAAAGTAATAGTTATGACACACAGTTATGAAGATCGAGTTGGCATACGATATATGACCAATGGGCTGAAAGTTTATTATTTACCTATTAAAATATTCTACAATCAGTGTGTGTTGCCCACAATGATTTGTAATATTCCTCTAATCAGGTATATTTTTCTTCGAGAAAGAATTGAAATAATACATGGACATTCAGCTTTTTCTGCATTAGCCCATGAAGCAATGCTGGTGGGCAAACTTTTGGGTTTAAAAGTACAGAACTTGAGAATTTCATGAATAAATATTTTAAAGTAAAATTTTAGACTGTTTTTACGGATCATAGTTTGTTTGGATTTGCCGATGCTAGTGCGTTAATAACTAATAAGCTATTACAAATATCATTGGCAAGTTGTAATCACTGCATTTGTGTGTCCCATACTGGGAAAGAAAATACAGTCCTTAGAGGTAGAGTAGATTGGAAAAGAGTGTCAGTCATTCCCAATGCTGTTGATACTTACTCATTTACTCCGGATCCAAGTCAAAGATCACAATCACAAAGTAAGCATAGTTCAATAAAATTAGGCACAGCTGATTTTTTAAAAAATTTAAGTTACTATTGTGGTTGTTTCCCGGCTTGTATACAGGAAGGGTGTCGATTTAACTGCTCAGATAATTGGTGACATTTGTGAGAAATATAGAGAAGTTGAATTCTTAATTGCTGGTGATGGACCTAAAAGATGGTAACCCTGACATTATATTTGTTAAAAAATAAACCATAGGTACTTGATACTTTTCAGGTTACTAGAAGAAATAAGAGAAAAAAAAGGGCTTCAAGATAGGGTCACAATGTTGGGTAGTCTAGAACATTCTCAAGTAAGAAATGTTCTTGTAAAGGGTAGTATATTTCTAAATACTTCACTAACAGAAGCTTATTGCATGGCTATTGTGGAGGCTGCATCTTGCGGGTGGGTTATTTTCAATTTTATTTTTTATGGTGATCATTTGTTTACATCCTTGACAAAATTTAAAAACTATGTGATATTTATATCAAGCTATTTGTTGTGGAACAATTAAAGTTATCAATTCTGATGAACTTATGGTGTGGTGGGAGCATTTAAGGTATAATTTATTGGTAGTTTTGACAGAGTGACAGAAGGTTAAAGTTCTTTTAATTTGTGAAGTCTACATAGATCAAGTTTAGTGTTAATGTTTTGCATTTTGTCCTCATTTTTCATATTGAGAGAGTAAGTATGTAAGATTGAAATGGTTTTGCTATAATTTTTCCACACCCTGGGGGAAATCTATATTTTTCAACAATTTTCTGAAATTACCCAGTCTTGATGCATGTAATTTTTTATTTATATATTTGGAAATATTTTGTTTATTTATTAGGCTGAAGATTGTCTCTACAAAAGTTGGTGGCATTCCTGAAGTTTTGCCTGAGGACTTGATAATATTGACAGAACCAAATGTACCATCTCTTATGGAAGGTTATAATAAATATTGTCGCATAAGTACAAAATATATGCTGTATATTCCAGGGTTAGAAAACGCAATTAGAGATTTGAAATTAGGTCACTGTGTGTGCCCTTATGAGTGCAACCGAAGGGTTAGAAAATACTATAACTGGGAGAACGTATCTTCAAGGACGGAAATAGTTTATCAAAGGGTCTCACTAGAGGAGAGAAAGGGTTTAAGATCGATTTTACAAAGGTAACAGTAATTTTTAAATCTTAATATTTTAATTATTCACTACTAAGCATAAAACTGCTTATAAATAGAAAGGATGGTTTTCTTGGTTATTCAGTTAATTCAAACCCATTTAAAAGTAGGTTGAGCTAGTTTTAAGTAATAGAAATTGAAAAAAAAACAATAACTTAAAAAGGCTTTATTGATATTTACATTTTGTTGAATCTTAGATATTTTTTGTTTGCCTTAACATAGAGTGTTGTTAATTATCCCTTTTTGTTGTTACAGTCACCTTTCAAGTGGAGTTTGGCCTTATTTATTGGTTATATCCTTAGCACACTTGATACTTAGGTTCTATGAGTTTTGGGTACCAAGAAGAGATATTGACCTCACAAAAGATTATATCGTAAGAAATCACAACAAAGTTAAGGAAAAATGAAGTCTTTATTGAAGAGTTAAAGAATTCACATTTTATCTTAAATATACAGCTGTGATTTTTATAAATTAAAAATAAATATTATACTCTTATGCAAAGAAAAGTCTATTAGTTAACAAAATACAAAATATTCATTGTATTTGTCTCACTTGACACATTTTAATACCTATTTTTTTACACAAACATCTCGCAAGTTTCTATAAGAAATAGAAATCCAGAAATATTCAAAGTTTCAATGTACAATTCCTTAGAAGCACACTAGAATTGCTCTAGAATATATCTCATAAAAAAGTTTTTAAGTATATATATTAGGCCTGATAGAGTTTTGATTAGATACGCAAGTCTCAAGTTTACTCCCAGAATGTACAAGGAATGTTGTTATTTTTTAGTTATCGGCTATAAATGTTTTTGATATTGTGGTATTGGTCCACGGGCTATTAGTACAATTCCCGTAAACCTGAGCTTCGTCTTTGCATTTCCAATAAGTCAAATAATCTCCCTAAAGAGCGATTTCAACTCCACTAATATACAAATTGCAATGTAGAAGATCACTATACAAGACACTAAAGGATTTATTATTGTATGCTAGGTGTGGTCCTCATTAGGTGGCCGTTGTTCTTGATTCGTGCAGTTCCAAGACAGTCTCTTGTAAATGTTTGGATCTTTGTTGTCATTTTTCTGAAACAAATAACTTCTTTATTGTTGTCATGTTTTTTAAGTTATAAGAAATTTCACAACGCCGAAAATTATACGTCCAGAACTTTTTTATTTCCCTTATTGGAAATACACATTATATTCAAAAAATTGTACCCAAAAATGGAAATTTTGTAAAAATATAATCACAACATCAAAGGTAATGCAGAAGCTAACGCTAACTTCAGATTAATGCTACCATTTTCACATTGTTATTAATTTAGAGTGCGTTTTTTTTGCACCTGAAACCCAGTTAATCGTGTGATGCCTCTCATGTTGTTAAATATTTAACCAAAATGTTTTTTTTTAAATAAGCAAGCAATAATCGTTGATTTTCGATGGTATGTGTATGTGTTGTTATCTAATTACTAAAACCAAACTAATTATAGCATTTGCATTTAGGCATAAAAATGTTGCGCGTAATGTGAAATTTGGGTCCGTCGATGATAATGTTCTGTTTAATGTTTAGCCCTTTTAGCCCCCATCAAACTCCCAATAATAGATGGTTCATTGTTTATTTTTTGTTAAATTAGAATTTCAAACCACCTACCTTAATTTCATCGACTATTCCCGCTGTATGATATCGATGATTCCTTTTCATAGCCTGGCGATGATGGCCTCTACTAAAGGATTCACAATTTTCTTCTGTTTGAACACCTGCCAGATAATTGTGTTATATAACAAATTTCCCTGCTTTCTATGTTGAAACGCATCAGAGTGCACCAGGCAAAAATGACACAGTTAGTACTCATGCTCTTGATGCACCGCATCATTAAAGTAATTTTTTCACTCTCATTCTCTCTAAGGTAATAGCTATTTAGTATTAGCATTCAGTGGCTTGGTGGACGGACAAAAGGTGAAAGTTAAGAAAAAGAAAGCTGTAGAAGTGATCTAGTGCTAGGTATCATATGCTACACTAATTGAAGCATTCATAGAGAGTTTTGGAATTATGTACAGAATTGGTTATACAAAATAAAGTTGAATATAGGTTGGTCATATCTTCCTGTGTAAAATCTGTTGTAAATATTTTGTATTTTGCCCGGACATTGAGTGAGTTACTGGGTCGGACAATTTTTATAGGTTACAATTATTCGAAATTTTCAAAAAAATTGATTGATTAAAAATCCTGTTTTTTTAGACTTTCTTTCATTAAATTAACAAAAATGTTTTTTTAGAACCAAGACGTAGTCTGAAGTAAGGCAGAAAAATAAATATATATTAACTTTTTATTATTAGTAAACAGTTTTTAATCAGGGAAGTATTATTTGCCCATTTCTCTTGTCGAATGAATTATACGATTATCGAACATTTTAACGTAAAAGACGCGAGTTCGTTGGAATACCTCTACTTTTAATTACTCCTATTTTGCATAGCCGACCTAAATAGAAAGACCAACCTATAACAGTTGTTTGAGCCTCCACTTTTGAGTTGAGTTGATTTCATAGATCCTTATCCCTGATCCCCAATCAAATAGGAAACAGATCTATTATATTAACGCTAGAAGTGGCAGACTAAAAGATTAAGTGACGCCGATATTTCCAAAGCTCCGTGAATAGCACACGAATTATATCATAACTCACAAGAAACATTAAATTACGTTGGCTCATAGTGTTCTTCTTCTAGTGATACAACACAGAGACAAAAAGAAATACTGTTCAAGGTTACAACTTTTTTACAACAGATCTGCATTTCTGCTCTAAAATTGGTTTAGTCATATAGACTCTTTTATTTACATTCACCCCAGTGGAGTTCGAATGATAAACTATATTATCGCACTAATTTCTATAATTTTAAATAATTTTGAAAACGAAATATTTAAATCTATTGTTTATATAGTTTGGAGAGATCTTAATAAATATATAGGTGCTAGATGACAGGTTAAACCTTTAGGGTAAGCGAGACGAATTGACTTTTACATAAGCATTATAAAATATTTTTAGGGATATGGGGTTACCGATTCTTCTTAAAAGCAGCAACATCTTTGATACTTTAAATGAGACTGTATATCCCATACCCGTCGCTTTGGGGTTACATTTGCATAATATGTTCCTATTGATTTCTAAGAAATGTATTATTTTCAAAAATCTGAAGTTTTGGGCGTAGTTTATTAAGAGCTTTGTTTTGTGTCCAGGGAAGTTGAAAAATTAACCAAAGAAGTTCCCTTTGAAATTTTAAAGATTTATTTGGAGAAAAAGCAGTAGCGCGCATATTTTCCCAAGAATATTTAGCTCACATCTTGCACTGGTTCAAAAATCTAAAGAATGCTTATGAAGTTATCGAAGTTGTTAAAGTAAAATTATATGTACTTGGAATAATACAGGGGATACCCTGTAAGTTGGTTTCTCTAAAATATAGAAAGTATATGCAATCGCAAAACGAAGACTGTGTTATTTAAAAACCAGATATCTGGTTTTATTGTGGGCTTCTTTGATTTTTCGTTCAACCGATGCAAGAGATGGAAGATTTGCGGCGCAATATACAGTGAGTATACCGGTTCTATTTTGCTTAGTTTCCAGTTGATCTACAAATTAGCACAGATTTTCTAAACGTTTTGGTTAGTTATGTGTTAATTCCTTGATGAAATGCAACATAAATTATTTCATTTTTCCTACGGATTTGACTTAAATTGCTGATTTATTAATATCCGTATAACAAATCGATAATTTAGTGTGAACTTCTGTGTAATAAGGTATTTGAAATGTTTTCGTATAGAACAAAAAGAATCCATATCAAAAAAATTACAGTTACTTTTTAAAATGGGCATTTTCGAATAACGGTTGAAAATCAGCATCAGTTTTCATCTATCCGTCTAGGAAAGGGGAGTTTCCTTTTAAAACAAATCGAAAAGCATGCCCCCCGATCACTAATGCGAAACTATGGTTCAATCTTATTGGAGCGAGACTTTGGGGTTGTTCGACAATAGATGAAATAAAAAAAAAACTCGCCTAGTTCAATGCCTGCTTTATTCAAATATTGGGATCGGGACTTCGTGTAAATGCGTAAAGACCTTTTCTTTATAATCACCCTCCCCGCCTCGGATCGTCGAGCATAATGAAGTTTCTTCGAAGGATTTTGAATATGAACAAAGGCACTTTTAATTGTATACTAATTAAGGCAGAGTCGAAGGAATATTTCCATTGCATTTAGATCCTCTTTTTCCTTAATGAGTTTGGCGTAATAAAAAAAACAATGCCAGATTCGAGTATTTACGAATAGCTCCCTTCTTGATTATGATTATATCACAAATTAAATTATTTTATGCACTAGCCTGGAAGCGATTGCAAACTTGTTAGAGTTGGCTTCCAGAAACAACCTGTTTGCCTTATGCCCAGACTAAATATACTCTGTCTAAGTAAAAAGTCCCAAAATTTTGATAGTAACAGCCGCACGCAGAAAAATCTAACATTTAGACTGCTGAAAGTCAAAATGTATTATATAATTAAATTGCACGAAATGTTTCTTTCAATTCGAGTCGCGTTAGACTCGCTTAAGTTTCGTTTGTGACACTGATAGAAGAACACACAAGCACAATAATAATCTCAATTTATAAATAATATTGTTTTTAATTGTTATGTTGTTACTTGTTATTAAATCAAATCAATTTTTACTTTCATAAAAGTAACTTACAAGTTTTTTAAGCGTTTTAGACATGCTCCAACATGCGCATGTGCGAGATTTAAAATTTCGTTTTTAACCACTGACCTTGCAGTATGCAACAATCAACATGGCAACTGACAGATCGTCAATGCAGCATTTTTGCGGCAGTACTTTCTTAAAAATATTCCTTGACCTCCTTAAATGTTAAAAAATTATATTTAGAAAGAAAATAGCTCAAAGTGCAGGTTAGTGGGTGAAATGTAGAGGCATGCGAGGATCTCCTTTATGAAAATGTCAATCAATTTTTATCGTAGCAGCGCGTCTATATTATCGACTAACTCAATGGTTTAGACGGTCAATAATTTTTATTAGCTCGCGCCGAAACTTCTTGCTTGTAATCTCTAACAGGCTTGCTTTTTCTCCAGTTATGGTAATCAAAAAGCTTAAAACTTAAATATTTCTGAGTTCTCTCGTTTTTTCCTGATTACACTTAAATATTAAAAAAATAAAGTCAAATAGGCGAAAAATGATATTATCTTATCTTGCCAACAAATATTCGTTTTTTTCTTTATTCTGCTACAGACAATATGCGATAGATGCCAGTTTTAAGTTCTAAATATTATAAATAATTAATATTTTCATAGATCCTATTATTAAAAAATTGTAGCTCATAGCCCTCTGATTTTGATGTTAGTAATAATGGATACAGAAGGATAAGTATATCCTCATGCAGTGTCTTAGCTAAATCAATCTCTCTAAAACATTGCCTTGAATTACGTGGCGCCTATATTTATGATTTACGTAAATGCCAGTGTTTTGTGCCAATTTTAGAGCAGAAATATGTAATGTTGTAAATATATAGGTATTTACTAACCTGCTATGACCGGAACGTCGAAATCAAAGCTGGCAGGCAGATGGCTGGAGCTGACACTCGACGCCGAATTCACTTGTCTCGTTTTGATGAGCGGAGGATTTTTGCTTTGGGAAATAGCGAGACTTCGCCGAAGATTACCCCTGGTGGGGCTTGGTGGCGGGTACGATATACCTCTGTGCGTTGGACTCAGCAGGTGGCTACCATTTTTACTGCTCGGTACCTTGAATATATTAATAAAACACATAGTAATGAAGGGTGTATAATTTTAAATTCCAAATTTGAAAAAGTTCTCTTTGCCGGTTGCCCTTTAATTTAAACGGTTAATATGGGACAATAAACACAAGCATTTTTAGTTTTCAAATTATTCCAAATAACATTATTCTAACTTAAGTGATACAGTGCGCCTCTTAAAATGACCAAGATGATGCTTAAAAAGCAAGTGGTACTACGGAAATGTCACGTCTTGGTAATTAATAAGGTTTTGACAATTAAACTATAAACATTTATCTCGCAAAATATAGAAAATTAAGTGAAACAAAGTATAAGAAATTGGGAATTCCTTTTAAAATTCTTCACACACACACACTTTTCCAATATTTACCTTTCTTTCTAGTAGTTTTGTTACAACTAACTAATACAATAATATTTAACTGACAACTGACTAAATAAATTAATTGATTTATATATTTATATAAAACTTGGTTGGCAGTGTAAAGCTAGTATTAAAATATTGGAAAAACATATGTATATATTATTATTAATAAAAAAGTGAGTCAACATTTCGTTTTATTGTTAAAAAAAAAAAACAAAAAAAAAATAAAAACAATAAAACGAAATGTCCAAAATCCCAAAAATGAGGTGTCTACAGGTTGAAATGAGGATCTTGCCCTAAAATAAAATAAAAGCCACCTCAGTTCAATTTTCAAAAGAAAAATTTAAAATATGGTGTTCCATTTAAAAAATGTGTGTTTTATTCGTTACGCTTTTTGAGCCGCACCGTACATTTTAAATTAATTTTAAATTGTGCCTGTAACAATCTTTACTTTTGAAACCAGTGAGTGACTGTCGTTGACTCATCCTGTGTATATTTAAATCGTTCCTCTTGTTAATAAGGACTCCAATCCAAATTAAAATTTATTCCTTATTGAAGAAATGTCATATTTGTACAGAACCGTTAGGGCTTACTTATGGGATGAGGGAGAAGTTTACAGGACTTCCCTAAAAAGAACAGTGGACATAAATTGCTGTCGACAAAAAGTGACGACAAAACCCGACTACTTCAGTACTCCAAATTTTAAATTTTCACCGCATAAAACCAACCCTAGTCGAATATTTCCAAAATCATCCACTTTTTGAGTGAGTTTGCTATAGGAAACATTTAGCGACATCCTGCATAGAATTCAGCATTTATATTAGTGATAGGGTTTAAACACACCAAAAATAAGAGTTGATCTTTATGAAATATACCGCCATATATCTTGATATGACTTACTTTTCTCAATGTTAATGTGCTTTGTCTCCTCCATAATTGAAATAAATTAGTAATTCGGATAAGATGGCTTTAAAATGTACATATTTTAGTTGCGAAGCGGGTTATTTATGGCGAAGGGCATAAAAAATGTAGGCGGCGAATCAATAACGAAATCGAACAGCTTGGACATTTGCAATTCAAATGTTACAAATTGCGCTTAGATGTTTTCTGCAACTTTCGAAACCAACTGCCGTCTCCGGATGGAGAAAATCGAATTGATTTTTCTGAAGTTAAAGGTAGAGTGATGCGTGTCGAAATTAGCGCGAAGACGCTGAAACTTCTAAATTGAATTTTATTTGAACTGTGCACGTGAACTATCTTTATCGGAAATCCTAAGCATAGCAAAGTATTTACTTGTTTATAAACGGGTCAACCATCCAATATATAATAAGATTTACATAAACAAAATAGTAAAAAGCAAAATAAAATAAAACAGAATGAAATAGATGACAAAAAGTATGACAAACGTTGGTTTTCCAAAATATTAATATTAATATAGGAGTCGACACGATAGTAAGAACACATATAGTGTCACTGACAGTCTCTTAGTCCTTAAATATTTTTTCACTCTGGAAGCAGTCAATTTGGTCCGAAAAAACCCTGCCCATAGTTAAATAATTAAAAATTAATATAATTAATATAATAATAAAATAATTAAAAAAATGTTATTTAGTTTAATAGTTTTATCTGAAGTACTCATATTTAGAAACCTTTATGCGACATTTTTGAAAGGTGTTTTCTTACAGCCATTTGATGGTTTGACCAGTTCTTATCTTTTGTCACTGTCACGCACATGCTGGCCAAAAGGTGCGTAAAAGTCGTTTCTCGGCAAATTATCGTTATAAAAATTTAACTTTAAAAATTAATAATGTTTAATTTTCGACTTACCGAGAGTGTGTTTTGATTAAGACTCAAACTCAGTCCGCTTCCGACCGACGGCGAATGCAGCGTTAAATTCGGCAAGCTTTGTCCCAAACTTCCGTAAGGTTGAACCGAGAGAGTGTTCGGGGTTTTGTGAAACAATCGATTCTTTAACGCGTTCTTCTGCGACACCGGACTTTTATCTGCGGGAAGCGATTGCACGCCTTCGTCGCTCGATATCGATCCCGTACGATTTTCGGTTTCCATCGATACCACCTTCGATTGGTCCTTTATAGAGCCGATGGAGGTCTGATCGTTCATCTCGACGGAACCACTACAGAAAAGAAAAAAAAAAAAAGGAAAATTAATTCATCGTTAAAATTCTAGCATTAGAATGTTACGTAAAACCTTACTAGAATCTAGGAAAATGTCCTAAAAATAAAATAAAATTACATTATAACACTTTTACATCTTAAAGTTTACAATTAACTTGAAGATTTAAAACATAAAAAAATTAATATTTTAAATTTAAAATAAGTAAATTGTTTTGGCAAATTAAGGAACAATTAGTGAATATTTCATATTTAGCGTAATTTTCGACATGACTTGTAATTAAAAATGAAATAACTAGAATTGTTGTTGTTTTACTTGCCTTGAGATTCAAGGCAACAACTGAACAATTCATCTGAAAGGTAACAAAATTTTTCTCGAATTGCAAAAGATGCAGGAAGTTGTAATGTTTATTATTTAGATTTTGCTAAACTATGAAGCGAAAAGTAGATTTGAAACACTTTATTTTTAGAAAGAAAAAGCAAATATGTACTATTATTATATGATATATCGAAAACAAAGATGGATAACTAACTGTCCCTAAAGGGACACCGCATTGCAAAGGTCTCGAGTTTTTAACTAATAAATCCAGTAACTATTTGTTATCATTTAGTTCACAGTTGAGTATAGTATGACTAGTGTCGGAGCTGGCCAATTGATCACTTGTTAATTGACTAGTCAAATTCAATCACAATATTTTAAGAATTGAACTGGGATGGCTTTTACTTGTTGAAAATCCATTTAACACAATCAAATTCGAATAAAAAATGACAGCTGTTTCGACAACACCGCGCCTTTATCAATTTGCATTTGATGTTCTAATGTAATTGTGTAAAATGTTTTAAAAAATATCTTGCTATTGTGTGTTATCTATGATTATTTATTAATATTATGTATTTTATATCAAATTAATATGTTTGTGATATCCAATTTACCTATAACCCTCTTCAAGGAATACCGGGGAATCCCAATAAAAATATCCACTGCATTTAGTTCTCAGAACGACGCAACAGTCACGCACAATATAAATAAATATAAATTTCATGGTATTTTTAAAATTATTTCGGTCAATTGACTAGTCAAAATGCAAATCCCTTACCCTCGACCAGGGCTACTGTTCAGAGCGTGAAATTCTACTACCACATTTCCAGTTAGGGAACGTAGGAGTTAAAACATTTCGTAACAAATACTGCGCTTGTTAACGCTTGCTCCCCTCTATGAAAAATTATTTTGTAAATACAGGATCTAGTTGCGCAACATTTCATTCCATCAGCAACGATTTCGTCTCTGCTTTTATTCGGCCACCCGAAGAGTTCTTTCTAAACTACTAAACTCAGTTGTAGTATTATATTGTTCTGCAAACTTTGCCAGTATGATCCAATTGTGTTTCGCACTATAGGTAACAAATTTCAGTTCAAAAGTTCAGATTTTCACGAAATTTCGTGAAAATCTGAACTTTTAGTTCTTATTTATTTTGATAAATGGATTTTCATCAAGTAAAAGCCACCTCAGTTCGATGTTTTTATTTTAACTCTAAGAAATTGAATTTAATTTCAATGTAGACGTAATAATGGAGGTTGCTAAAGGATTCTGGAGCTATGTTTATTAACACGCAATTTATTTTTTAATTTCATTACCTACCCCCTCAAAATACAAAGGAATAGGTATCCGGAATTCGTTCTTTTGAGATAATGTTGCGTTTTATAGCTCCGCGAAAGTATCCGTTTTCATGTAGCGAGCGTAAAATTTCTATGCAATAGATATTTTATTGTCAGTTTTATGGGGTTGTGAACCATTTTAAATTCATAAATTCCAGCGGAATCGATTACGTCGTAGACGACAATGTCGCCGGGCTTTCGGGTGCCTATGCGACCTTCTAAAATTCTATCTAACAATGTTACTATAATTCGAAGTCCATCCCACGAACGGTTTTACGATCAAATCATCCGGTCATTTTCGTTTTAATATTTTTCCGCGGCTTGACTATAGAGTATACCTTAGCGGTTGCTCTCGGGCACGGTCGAATTATTTTCTTTTTTCACATTATATTATGGAAACTCTTTCACACTACATCGAAAAATGTGAAGTTTGTCGACGATTAATCTATTTACGGGAGAGAATTAAATAATTAAATACAAAGTCAAAATTATAGGTAAAATATTTTCTGTACCGCCTTTTGGGCAGTGCAAATTCAATTAAGAACCTCAAATTCAAAATTATTGTCGTAGCAGGAAAGTATATTAAAAAGACGATAACAGAAAAAATTAAATTTGTAAAAAAAATCAATAAAAGTTTGAACATCGCACTGCTGCAACCGGAAGATGAAGCAAAACACCATTGCTATATTACACAAACTGATACCCGGTACTGAACGTAGCTGACTAATTCAATCAGCCTAGTCAAATGAATTGAGGAAGTTACTTGTTCAATTTTTGCCAAGAATGCCATCAATAACGTCACACTTCCACAATTCGATGATTATTAAATATAATAACCAACTTATATTCTTTGATATTGTTTCCGTGCCCCAGGGACCACTGTGTCTGTCAAGTTGATTTCGAAAAATTCTGGATATTTTTTCGGAATTTAAAATTTGTAATAGTAATAAGTAAATAGTAATTTACCGATATTTTTTGTCCGTAACAGGCACACCTCTATACACTTTCGACTAAAAGAATAAAAAATCGGCTATTGCCTGGAATCTCGCGCGTATTCTCGTTCACGAATTTTTTCGATCGGCTTTATGGTTTTCGAATTTTCCCTGTCCAATTTCAACTCGATTGTTCGAAATTTCGAACAAGGCATTTTCTTAATAGTGATATCCGAAGCCAAAATTAAAAATAGCTGACCGTTGAGTATTAGAACGGAGGAAAATTCGAAGACCGTAGTTCCAACCGTTCGGTTTTAAAAACCTCTTGTTGGTTCGTTACAGAAAATGTAGAACAGCTAAAAAACTTTTTTTTTTCAAATCCGAAATTAGCACCCAAAAACCATAAGATCCAAATATTAAAATTTTTATTTCCAAGCAGTCTCTTTTTTTATTGAACTAATAAACAATGGATATAACGTCAAATTTTCGTGTCCAATGATCAAATTAGACCTTACCTACTCGTGCGTCGGTTTTTGCTGAGCCGAGCTTACTAATTAAACCTTCATGACACTTTTCTACGTTTGCTTTTTTGACGTTTTCCGGGGCATATTTTTTAATATTCAGGTATGTGCTTTTTCAAAAGTGTGTTTTGTGATGACTAATTCATAGTGCGAACTAATAATTTTATATGTAAAGCATTATTTTCCAATACTTTTTCATAATCATAATCTTCCATGCGGACCAGGCGGGTTGGCCATTATAGATCCCAAAATATGTAAACCCAGTGTGGATCACACTGCAGTAATGTTTAGTTTTAATCAATAAATCAATCAATCTCTCAACTCAATTGTTATTTTTTAAAACAAATCTAGTAATTTATATCTTAAACGGTGCCCTATTTTAATAAGTTCCTACGCAAAAATTTACCATTACCTTTATAATATCCGCAAATTCGAAAATATTTTTGTCAATCTGAATAAAAGTGGATCATTGATGATGCGACGAGCGTAGATAGTCTCGCGTAAGTCGATTTTATCGATTTCGAATCCTGTATGTAGTCAGGGACGTTTTTTCGTTATATTAATAAATCGCCTTACTCGCAGTTCCAAAAAATTTACAGAATGAATGGATACGTTACTCACCTATGACTATGAGCTAGGCTAGATACTCGACTGGCACGTGAAGAGGAAGCCAGAGGCGACTTGGGCGCCAACTGCAAACTGTGAAAATCGTTTTCGATGTTGTACTCTAAGTTGTAATCGGCATCTAAGCTTTCGTCCGTAATGTAGCTCATCTGTTTGGCTTGGGCGTAGAGATACTGTGCCTTCGCAATTCCATCTTTCCAACCCTGCAAGAAGAAAAAAAATCGGCGGAATAATAAAAGACAGCCTGCCACACATCCGCACTCAGTAGTCTACGTAAATCTTGTTAATTACTAACCTTGGTTTTCTTGGCGTCGTTGCTCTGCAAAATAAACGCCGCGACTGCCATTTCGAATTCGTTCCTGTAAATCACAGCCAAACTTGGAGTTTCTTTGTTTAATTCTGTGACTACTAGTTTGTCGACCAAGTACGGTTGCCTTATGACCCGCATTGTTGCTCCTCCCTTTTTCGTCGACGGTTTGCAAATCAGCAGCATATCCGTCAGCAGAAAACAATGCACTTCCACCTGAAATTAAAAACAAAAATTGTCAGTGAAATAATGTCATCGTAATACGTCTCTTTTTACATTCTTTTGGAATTTTTATTAACTTTGTCAAGAAAATTTAGTAATTTTTTTTTTTTTTGGAAAAGTATTAAACAAGTTTATGACTGAAATTTGGTAGAAATGTGCAATTTTGACAGCCCGATTTGAATTTTGTGTAGATATATTCCAATTTCAATTTACGAGAAGTGTTCAAAAAGTAAGGTAGCTTCTAATTGGGCGGGCTACTACATTTGATCTTCGATATATTTTTTTTGTTATGTTGGTACACATGTCCCTAACATATATTCACAGTTTCAGCCAGTTTGCACGTTTACTTTTGTTTTTGTGAGATAGAAGCGTTAGACGTGTTTTGTGTGCTCAGCGATTTTCTACTATAAAAAAAAATGAAACAAAGAATTTGCATAACATTTTGTATAATAAATGTTGTAAAACACTTGAAATGTTGATAACGGCATATGATGATCGAGAAGACGCCGATGACGAACCTCGCTCTGGACGCCCTAGCATGTCAATAACTGACGAAAACGTTGAAGAAGTGGTATTGAAAAATCATCGAATCACTATTAGAGAAGTGTTGGGCATGAAAAGTGTAGCAGCAAAATTTCTTCCGAAACTACTTAATTTTGAACAAAAAGACCGTCGAAGGAGAGTTCTGACCACAAGGTCGGACGGTCAATAAAGAGTATTGAGGTTATGCGCCGTTTGCGAGAAGCAGTACGAAGAAAACGTTCGTGGGAAAACAACCTGCTCACTTATCGTAGCTTGTGTCTAAGTTTTTGGCCAAAAACAAAACCACATTCATGCCTCAGCCACCATATTCACCGGATATAACCCCCTGCGACTTTTTCGTGTTCCCAAAAGTCAAGACACCCATAGAAGGGAGAAGGTTTGGAATGATTGAGGTAGAAGAAAAAATCGCTGCCAGAACTCAAGGCTATACCAGAAAGTGCTTACCGGAAGTGCTTTGAGTATTGGAAAAAAACGTTGGGGGGCGGGAGGATTTTTGATAAATAAATACATGCTTTTTGATTAAACTTAGTCACCTTACTTTTTGAACACACTTTGTATATACAGGGTGTTTCAAAAAACATGTGCCACGGCTGGAGATTCGTCATAAAAAAGAGTTCATATACAGAATAATAATATTTTAAATTGACGTCATTTACAAGGATATAAGGCTAATTTTGATTTAGCTAAATTAAAATTGTAAAGTCCAGTGCCGTCTCGGGAGGTATCTTAAGGAATAGTGTCGTCAAAGAGTTCAAAATCTTCAGGAATAATATCGGTTAGGTTGGTGAAAAAATCACAATAACAAATTTCAATTCAATTACAATGCTTAATTGTTAACAAGATTAATTTGTTTATTTTGAAATAAATTTTATTATCCATGTTTTTTTTTGGCAGATTTTTTAGAGATAGTAAAATATTTTGTATACTTAGAGTAATGCAGCCGCTAATTAGGCAGATAAACAGTAAAAGTGGTTCAATTTTCGAAGATTCTGGAGGGTATGAATGTTATCTGCTGAGAGTTGACGTTAACTTAATTCAGGACCGTCAGGGAAATTTGACGCATATTTGCATATTTTTTAATTCAATTAGGATTTCAGAAAATTTATAACGGTGACCAACTGGCTTTGTAAATATGTGCCTTCCGAGGAAACGTTAAAATTAACCATGAGTTTGAGTGTGATTCACCATAAATTTATTTTCTAGTATAATCTAAAACGAGTTTTTCTAACTTTCATGCTAAAAATATGACTTCGTTCTTGCCTTTTGATTTAAAAATTGTACACTTTTGACCCGCCCTAAATGAGATTTATTATGCAGACGGGCGGAGCCCTTGCTGTTGAATCTTTAAATATTATTTACGAGCATCCTCCACAGAATCCCCAAATTCCTGGAAATCGATATAAATCACCTCAAAAGGATAGATCGAACGAAGTTGTATTTTTATTTAAGGAACAAATATAACTTTGTGTCAAAAATAATTTTAATTCCGTTCTCTACATTCTAAAACATAAATAATATCGGCATCGGACTCAATAAGATTGCGAAGTTGGCAACTTTATATCACCAGGTGTAGTATTTCCATTAATTTAACAAAGTACTTAGGGGTATACTTTACGTGGGACAATATTTATTACCGTTACAAGAGATTTCTAAATTAAAGGCGGAACTTCCAACCCTTAACCTAATAAACTACGTCCGAATGGGGGAGAAATAATTCCAAGGAACGGAAGCCTCGAATTTCGATACTTACTTCGTTTTGAATGCAAATACGGAATTTTGGATTTAACAGTAGCAAATTGTAATGAGAACTCGTTTCACAATGCTCGAGATTTACATCTAAATTTAACATTAAATTTATCACTTGAAGCGAATTCAACTATTGTAAACAACATTAATTGGAAAAATTAGTTTATGTTCAAGGCTATACTCAAGTTTCTTTTTAATACGATGAAGCATACGGTGTTCGAAATCAGGTATTCATTGATTATTCATTAATTCATTAATTTTATTGTACATGCACCCTGTGTAAAGTGATTTTCACGTCTCGCCGAACTTCAAAGTCAAAGTGACTTTGGAAAATATAAAAATTTGAACAAATAATAGCGATTTCTAATGATATTTTTTCAAATATCTCGCACAACCTGTATTATAGACGAAACCTGAAACTAACTCTCCACGCAATTTACTGTTTAAACCAAACTCTCCCAAGTTTTACAGTTTTTCATTTACGGCTAATTATTTACCCACGAAAACGGCAGTTTTCAGGATGTTCTTGTTTTTTTTTTACCCATAATCGACACACCCTTACACATAATTAAATTATTAGCCCTAGATCTCCCACTTTCCCTGGTATATAAATTTTTTCGATAAATGGTTTTCGAGAAAATACTTGTCTTGTCTTGTGAGTGCGCGTGTTTATATAATTACAGTTGCCGAATAACCATATATCTTGGATTCTGTTTTATTAAACATACTCATCAAAAGTGACCATGTAACTTAACCATGCAGTACGCGGTAATAGTCAATAACGTCATCGCGTCTAAATTGAGTGTGAGATATAGCGACTTTCACATGGTGTAATAGACGAAAACCGTAAATACAAAGATTTTGATTTACCTCTTATAATTTAACGCCAGAAAGTATAATTTTCCAACTTTGTACCTTGTACAAAAGTACATGGTCAGGTTTTGCCGAGTGGGTTAATAGTTAGTTAATAGATAAAATATTTTTTTTCTGGAAGCCAAGATATCCCAAAAAAAATTTTCAAAATTTTTAAACAAGTACTTCAAAGAATTCGATTGAGTCCTATTTCAACAGTTGGAATGTGGGTGTGGACTTCTACCTTTCTGCCAAATCTTTGGTTAATAGGGGAAACCATTTTTCAATTTTCTGCGTCTTCTAGTTCAAGAAGTTTTTTGGTAGCGTTTTTCGAGAAATCTTTTTTTTTTGGACCTCGATCTTTCCAATTTCAATAGGTTCCGTCAGGGGACCAAATGCTATTTGCTACCGCGGCTATTTTGACATACCTTGCGCATCCCGTGGAGTGTTAAAAAGCATCAAAACTTGAACTGTCTAGTTTAAACCGTTCGGAAGTTTTCCTCGAAAAAATCTAGGAACAGAGAACGGAGAACGGATAGACAAAAATTTTTACACGGGCGTAGATACTTTCGAAAAATTCAGCATAGTTAGTAGGTATGACTTTTAAAAGTCAGAACATATAAACATATAAAACTCGAGCGTTAATAGAATTCTAGGAATTCGGTCAATGAACCCTAAGAGATCAATAGTCAAAATGTTACAGAGAATAGTGTAATATGAAAAGAAAACACGAACACAAATTCCATATTTTAAGAACAAAAAATTTTTTTTCATTAAAAAAAATATCCAAATCTGTAATTGATTTAATTAAAAAATTTAATTATTGTATTTTAATGTTTAATTTAATTAATTAAAATTAATTAAATTAAACAAAACCAAAAGAATGTCAAGCGCAAAACCTCGATATTATTTATTTTATTTCTATTTTGTTTTGTTATAGTTGTTTGTTTTGAGTTTTAATTTAATTATACAAAACTAAAAGAATATTGAGCGCATAACCTTGATACGGGTTAGTAATACAGCTTACCGAAACGTTCTTGAAGTAAGTGAAGCAAATAAAGTCATATGTACGTGTCTACTGAACCATTAAAGAGATATATTAAAGTTTAAGTCTTAATTTTAAACAGAATTTGCATTAAAAGGAATTTTGCAGTGGTATTAGTAAGTACTTGCGATTCCCGAAGATGCCCTATAATTAAGGAAAGTTTTAAAAGAAAATCTAAAAATTCTTCGCCGAACCACCTGAATGTCAATAGCGCTAATTTTACTAACCTTTGAGGTGCCGCTATCCTTTAATTTCAGGTCACCTTCGAGTAGTAGGTGTCTTTTTCTTTCCTGAGGACAGCCGAGCATCGGTCTTGTTAAGTCGAGCTGAGTGAATGACTTTTCCTTTTTCAGTATTCGGTCGATGTCGTCGTCTTTAGACTCCTGTAAAGTTTTTAAAGATCCTTTACGTTAACGACAAGGGAGGGAATCGACGGGAAATTGATGGCGAAAAACGAGACTGTCGGAAAATGTTCAATCTACACGGGAAAAGTTTTACTTAATTTTACTCTACTTTACATTTCACCTCGAAAATTCGGTGCGTGTGTTTTAACTAACAGAATTAATCTAGAGTTATATTCTAAAGCCTTATTCAAAAAAAAAAAATCTAAAAATTAAATTAAATGAACTTTTTTCAAAAATGGAGCCCTGAACGCATCTACTGTTTTTTAGATTTCCATGCTAGAAATGTGCCAAAACCAGCAATTCAAAACAAAATTGACCACCCTGTAGATGTTTAAAAGTTGATATGTTTTTAACCAACATCAAAAATTTTTCAACTGTTCAATTTAAAAGCGATGACAAAATGAGCATTGATGACGATATATTTTTTGTTTTCACTTTCTCTTCGACATAAAAATAGCCTTCCTAGTAGACCAAAATGAACTTTGCACGAGCTCAGGGGGCAGGATAAAGGTTACTACAGCGAAACAAAAATTCGTCAATAATAATGAATCTCTTGGGGCTTGAATAAATCGGGGGCAGGCCAGTTGGGTCTGGAATCCAAAATTATATGAATTAAAGCGCCTATAATACAACTATCGCTACTTCGAATTGTCAAAAGAAAAGAAAGAAAGAATTTTGTAGTGCTATTCCCATGCTAACCGGGAAAAAGCAAAAGTCGTTTCATAATAGACTCACCACGATGTCATAACTTTCGATCCGGGCTATAATTCCTTTTAATCTCTCCTTGTCTTGGCGATGTTTTAAACTTGAGTTCACGTTGTTAACGAACTCGTCGACCATTTTTATCTGCAAGTACACCAAAACCGCGCATTACTTATTAATTTATCAGACTAATTTTAAACGGCACCCTTTTCTTTTAGGAAATATGGAAAAATTTTCTGATTGTGAAAGTAAGTTAAACATATTAATTTAAAAATTATTAAATCGGAAGACCTTTGCGTTCATTATTGCATTTTTTTTTAAATAGTGACAAAAATATTTTGCTTATTACAGTACAACACAATACAATAAACAAGAATAAATTCAACTTCTAAGCCAGAATTCAGATCACTCAATTGAAATTTCTCTATTTTTTTTTAAAGGAAAGGAAATCTTAATGACAAATGTTTAATTTTAAGCAACAACTAGTAAAAATTATGTTTGTGAGCAAATATTAACATTTCAGATATAAAAGCGCTCGTTTCTTATTTGATCTACTTAATAGCATAAAAATACAATATGTAGTCAACAAGAAAATCAAAGGTAATTTCAAACGAATATCGAATACATCTATTTAATTTTTGGATAAATTTAAGCACGTAAAACGTGTAAACGTGAATATCATCGCAAAAAAAGTATTTTTCGATGTCGGTGGGTCAATTTTTAATTTTATAATAGAGATCAAAAAACTCAGTTTTGATTTGTACGATGTGGTAAATTTGACTAACCACTCTACTTTTAAACTTTTTAACCATAACCGTAAATTCGACATGAAACTTTAGGGGACTTTTTTTATAATTTTTTCCATAACAGACTGACGAAATTCCCGGTGGGAGAGGGCATACGATTTCAAATTTTAACGGGACAGCCGGTACACGAAGAAAACTTTAACTAAACGCCGTGACATGGCTTTAACAATTAGCGAAGTAGGTCGTCTTAATCCGAACGTGTCAACGTTTAAGCCAGATACCTCTAACGAACTTTGACCGTTCGGGCGGATCGGAGATTGCGGCTATATATGAGGGTCCGGGAGGGTTGGGTTATATGAAAGTTTGAAAATTGGTTATTTAAATTGCTATCGGGAGTGAACGTGATTCGAACTTTTTCGATTGCAAAATCATCGAAAGACAACTTAACGACAGCACCGCGTAGAGCCAAATTCGACGAGCCCTTATTTAGATTGAAATAAATTTCTAATAAATAATGTAATAATAATAATAATAATAATAATAATAATAATCAAAATAAATAACAACTAAAAGTTCAGATTTTCTCGAAATTATATATTTTTACATGACAATTGTTTCGACACCGTGTTTTTATCAAATGTATAATAATAAATAAAAATAAAATTTTAAACGTTTTTAAACTTTTTTGGCATAGGTTTCGGATCAAAATCCAACCATCATTAGCCAATTCTGGATGAAATAAATTAAACATACATACCATCGTTTGTAATCCTTCTCGTTCGACGTCCTCATCGGTATTTTTCAAAATCGCCTTAAGCAGCAGACCGTATTTCGTTAGCCTCTGCATCGGTTGTACTAAAATATCCATCAGTCTTAATCTGAAATCAAGACAATCTTTGGAAGAAGCGGCAACGTCGCATTGCTTATATGACACACGTCTAAAGTTCGCCGAATCATATACTGTTTTTACAACCTTTTATGGTTTTGGCTTCGGAATAAGTTTAAGACCCGCCTATTGCAAAGCGGAAGGGATCATTCTTTTCAGCACGTGTACCACAAGCCATGGCCGTATTTAAGATGTCAACCGACAAGAACTGTGCCGTGCGGACTGTTGTATTTTAAGAGTAGGGAAATTTTCTTTGATTGAAGTGTTATATTAATTCATATTTTTATAAATTTTCCGAAAACCCCTATTTGAGGTAGCTCGATTTCAAGTTGAATTTGACCATTAGATAAGTTGATCTCCTATATTATAAAAAACATTAGAAAGGTTAAACTGTCTGAAATATTTTCCTAGGAAAGCAATAAAAACTCTTATGTAGATAATTGATTAATAACAGATGTTGTCCCACTTTGCTATTGCTTGATTTGTGGGGGTTGATGAAATCGGAGTATGCAATGAGTCTTATGAAACAATATTTTCTTAGCTGTCGAAGCTTTGGGGTTATTTCTATTCTGTCTTGTGTTTGTAATTAGTAATTACCAACTTGCTATAATTCAGAAAGAAAAACGCGAAAAAATCGTGGGGTCTCAAAAAGACTACTTGACATGCACCATGCAGTTTTAACAATTAAAACTTTCTATGAAGAGTTGCGTAATGTTTTGAACATTGACTGTTGCTAAGAGACTTGACTTTGTGTGCTTTCGTACGAAGAAATGTTTGAACTGTACACAAACAAGCAAGTTGGCCATGGAGCACCGATTCAAAGTTGTTTTCCAACATACCACAGCAAATCGCCGAAATTTAGTTCTGATTAGAAGTAAAGCAGAGAAAATATCTGCTTTTAGTTGGAAAAAATCTGTAGAACATGTCACCGAAGAAGACAATGTTTACGCAAGTCGACTAGTGTCAGAATTAATTATTAATATGGGGGACGAGTCCAGTGACAATGGTGACTATTTTGATGAAGAATAACTTTTTTTTTTATAAATATTATATATAAAATAAATGTATATATTTTTATAAATATATACATTGTTTCATAGCTAAATTTACTCCTTCATTTGTATTTATAATAAACATTTTAAAGTAAGAATGAATGTTTGAAACTCTACACAAATCTGTCAGCTTTCAGCATTTGTATGCACGAAGTAACGAAGTACGGTTCTGGAACGTGATTGTGTGATTGTTACAAAGAGACAGGCCTGGGGTTAGACCTTCATAAAAATTTACCAAAGTTAAATAGTGGATTAAGTCGTAAAAACGGTATATCGTTAGCGAACTTTAACCCCCCATCCACCTCAGCCGATAACAGTGATGAAATGGGACATAACAAAGCTAATTAGTTGATTATTACCGCTATATATAGGCTGTTGTGAAACTTTCTAATATGCCGAGAGGGAAAAATGGGAGCGAGCAATACAGAGACGTAAAAATACCTAAAACAGGAAAAAACTTCCCTTGATATCTTGGAGATATATAAATATATCGAGTCTCGTATATCGTCTGTGTCGGAAAAATGAAGAAGAATGCCGGCAAAAGCAAGGGAGTATTACAATTCCGGTAAATAAATGCGAAACATTACGTTCTACGTGCGTAAACACGTCCCTTAACGAAACAGAAGATTTATTGTGGTGTTGCCGCTAAGAGAGATTAATGAAATACTTTGGACGGAAGACGGAGTGGATTAAAATATTCCGATTACGTTATTATTTCGGAATCTTTCGTTACACCGTTGTTTGGAAGGTAATTTAATTTTGACTTTTCGTACAGTAACAAGGAGTTAATTTTCCGAAGTGAAGGAAACGCCTATATATCGTGTTCTTCGAAAACTTGGTCTATCTCTCAGTTCAAAAGGAATAACATTAATTGGTTAATTATTTCTGTTCCTTACCAGTTCTCCCACTGATTTTTAAACAATACTTACCTAGGAATAATAAAACAATAGCAATATCGACGATACAATGGGATCTTAGATGACAATATTAATTCATTTACCGAATTTCACTACCAAACCAGCTTGCGAAAGGTGCCGTTTAGTTTACAAATAACTACAAACAGCGTGATATTGCAAATCAACAAATTTTAGTTCATTAATTAGCTGGTCCATACCCTAGTTGACTTCTCTTATTCGTTGATTTTAATTATTTGATGTGGAAATATTAAAACTGCAGAGAATACGCTCTGGCGCTACAAAGGATCCGCTATCCGTTAGATATGGACGTCACCAATGTGTCATAACCATATAGCTATTAGATGATATAGTGGCCCTAGTACGTTAAAAATTGATGCGCCCATTAAATGGGCCATCCCCATATTTTTAAAATTCCTTTCCGCTTTAAAAATTCGTGTACCACCAGCATTAAGTAGGGCCTCTATATACGGATACATGGATACATGGAACAGTTATAGCAAACCACACGTTCTTCGAAAAATATTAATATATGTAATTGTATGAGACTCCCTGATTCTCACCTTAATCAAAATAAATTCTATCAAATCAATCGATAATACCCTAACGAAACAAAAACCTTTTCTTTTTGGATATTTAATTAAAGTAATTATTATTTAGTTGTTATTGGCACACAAAAATAATACTATTAATTTAACCCGGCAATTAATTTTTTAAAACCACTGATGTCCTATTAAATTGACTTACCAAACTAAAATTGGGAAAACATTTCTTTTGGCAAAATTAGGAGTATTACCCTGGCAAATATACTATCCCCAGGTTTGAGTAGATACGTTATTTTATTTGGGTAGCATATAGAAATTTCTTTAAAACTATATTGGACGATTATATTCGAGATATTAGGATTGATCAACCTTGTGAGAAAACACTTTAAACGAATACCCATACCCAAAGGAAAATAAAGAATTTACCTATTGCAGTCTTTTTGGCTTTCGCACCAAGTTAGATATGCCGTGAAAACTTCGCTTTCCAGATTTTCTCTACAATAATGTTGACATCTGAAAAGAAAGACACTGTTTTTTCGAATTCGTCAAACTTGCGTACATACAATTATTTTTTTACCTGGACTGTTCCGCGCAGTATTTGTAATATGGCTGAAATGTGTCGTGAATTTTCGAAAATCCCTCCAGCATGTTCTCGAGGCAGGCGGGCCTCTTATATTTCCTCATATCTCGTACCAGAGGAAAGAGGGTGTTCCTCCAGAAAACCACGTTGGCATCGAGTATTTCGGTTATGTTCGAGAATAGTTTTTCCGTGTCGATCTCTTTGAATAGATTTTTTGATTGCAAATCTCTAAGACAACCCAGAAATAACTGGAACAAAAGATTTCGTCACTACACTTCAAGTAATCAAAATATATTTTTTAACATTATTTTTGGATTAAGAAAAATATATTACCCAAATGGAACAAATATAATCACATTCTCAAAAGCGCGGGTTCACATAGAAGTGGGGCCTGTTTCAAATGAATAAAATTTGAAAGAAACCGCACGAATCCGATATTGATAGAATCGAAAAGTTATATTTTTAATAGAATAAAACTATTCATCGGTTCATGGAATACTTAAAAGCTAGAACTCCAGAAATTGTGTAGAGGATGCGTAGTTAACACCAGCGAATTTCACTTTAAAATATAAAAACGTTTGGTACGTTGATACTTACATCCGTCACTACTTTCAATGTTTTGATATAGGCGACTTCAGTCTTGATAAGTTCCCATAACGCCGTTTGCTGCTGCTGTTGTTTGTCGTTTAGTTCTGAAAAGGAAAAACACAGCAACCTCAGCTTTGCCGCATTCCAGAATTCTCCTCTCGACTAGTTCATATTATGTAAACCATTTTGTTTACGTTAGCGTAAGAATATTATACGCAGCGACGCCAAAGTATTTATCATACAAACGAGGCAATTTTACGTTCGATAAGGCCTTTGCGGTATATAAAACCGAAAACGTGAGGCATGTATAATTAGTTTACTTCCGCTCAAACATTTTCCAGCTAGAGTTATTCGAATTTTAAACAGACCTAGACCGTTATAAAACAAAAAAATTATGTTCGAACGGATTAACATAGGAAATTTCGAACCAAGCTGCCAGAACTCGATCAAAAAATTGAGTTCTGTTTTTGAAAAGGCAGATGTTAGTTTTTAATTGTGTAATTTGTATTTTTCGGAGTAAACTTATGACCAAACGACACTTAATACTAAAATTAACTACTAAAAAAGACGCATTTTGGGGTAAATCTTCAGGGGTCTCTGCAAAATGCAACAAAATATTAAGTTGCCCTTCATTTTTTCAAATATGACGACGTCTATTTTTTCTTTCTTCAAAGTTCCATATATTCTAAAGTGTTGGTAAATCCTGTCGAAGACCTTTTTTTTGGGGCTTCTCCTTAATGTAAATTTTCTAATATAATCTCCAAGAGCCTTACCCTACCTTTCTAACATGTCAATCTTTTCCTCTGTGGTAAACATAATACGCAAGCAGCCTTCTAGCACTTGTTTTGTTTAAACGTCGTCATAGCCACCTTACACTAACTGAACTTATAATGGCAACAGCATATTAATTGTGATAGACAAATGTTTAAAAGGAAATATTTCAAAACGTAAAAATATTAGGTATATAAAACTTTATATAAAATTGCCTTAATTTTCGATGTATATAATATGTATATAATATAAGTTTTTTGGCATTTTTTTTAAATTTCAATTTTAATCTTATTTTTCGCGTTCCCTGTATTATTATGTATGCAAAATTTCTTATGAAATCCGTTATTCCAGTCCTTTCTCTACAACAAAACTTACTTAAGTGAAACAATAAATGCTTCCGAATGAAGAAATTGGCAGATATTTTACTTTTTGCAAACGTCATTTTCCAAATAAAAAATGTAAAAACTTACACTTGGGTATAGAATATTATACACAAAATATGTATAGAATTTTGTGTAGAATTCAAAAACGAAGTAATATACCAGGCGTAACATTTAAAACAATAAAGTTGATACTCGCCCACGAAAAATGAAACCCCCTGTAAGATTAAAATAAATTGAATACCCCCACTAACTTTTGTACTTAGATTTTGGCTCTATTCCATATAGTTTCTGAGAAAAGGTAGTGCCCTAAGATACACATGGCCCACCCTATACATTTCGTATCATTAAAATATTTAAATGTGATGCTAATCTTTTGACCGAAAGTCGTATCGCTGACTACATTTTACATCGTAAAATTATGAAATTTTGGATACGATCCTCTCATTTTCCTTAAACAACGTGTCCTGGTCTTGTATCATTCTGTATATACTACATACAGAATGATTCGCGTTGAGCGCCCTCTTAAAAGTTTTGTGGACCTTATATACGAAATTTTGTCAAATTTGTCAGACGGGCGTTATGTTTGATTTTGTATTTACTGAATGCACTATTTACTCAGTGATTCTTCTTTTATAATGCAACGTTTTTAAAGTTTTTAAAAAGTTTATATATTAGAATCGGCCATCTAGCAAATACAAATCCCTTATCTTCATAATGTGGCGTTGAGGTGTGAAATTCGATTAGTTACTTCTGGGTACAGATTTCCAAAACTTACCATTTACGCATTAGGTTCTACGAGGGTTGGATTGTTTATATCAAAACAAGTTCAGAAATTATGCTCGAATAATATTTGTTTTTAAGCATATATAACGAAAATTTCTCTTTACATTTTATATGAACCCAATTGAATAGATTGAATGCATTACATTTATATTAACTATAAGTACAGGTTGGCCAGATAAAAATGAAAGGCAATGATGTATCTTAAAAACTATTCGTCATAGAGATTTTCGGTAAAAAATTTAATTATGAAAGTGGTCAAAAGAAGATCATGAAAAATATTTTTAGATTTTCAAGATGGTCGCTAGGGGGTGTAACGGCCATCTTTAAGTTTTAAAATTAATTTTACACTATAATCCTTTGGCTTTATACGAGTAATTTTTGTTGAATACTTTTTGAAGTATCTATCATAATAAAGTGGTGGTGATTCAATTTTTTTAAGCAAACAATTTTAACTTCAAAACGACTTAACGGATTTTAACAAACTTGATCTCGTTAAAGTTTTTATTGCTCCATCAACCCCATCTTACCTGCAATATGTTAAGAGTTCTTAGTTCTTAGAGCGTGTTCTTTGATGTTATAACAGACGATTGGAAAATTTTCAAAAAAATTAAATGCAATGATATGACTTTTCCATAAAAATATCTGTCTATCTAGGTATTTTGATATCTTATTTCTGGGCATAAATATCCAAGAAAGAACAATATAAGTACCATACAATTTGAAAAAGTCGATATTACACCGTTAATTTTTCTTATTTATTCGTTTATTTTTCAAGATCCATTCAGAATAGTATATTATGCAACAAGTGTGGTAAACGGCATTTGACTCACGAGTTTATTTGACACGAGCGGAGCGAGTGTTTAATAAACGAGTGAGTTAAAAAGTTTACCGAAGGTGTTGCATACTATACTTTTTCTATGACCGTTAGTTTTTTGGTACATTTTCGCAAAACATTTACTGACATGACTGTCAGAATTGACAAACGTCAAAATTCAAAGCGTGGGAAATATCTCCGAAAACATCCTATTGCTCCCAAACCCGTGCGGTAAAATCCCGGAAATGTCCGAAGTGGCTCGGATTCGTGGGAAACGAAACTGACGTGGTAAAGCGACGTGGACAATACTTGTCGCATAACATACTATTATCGTTTATTAAGTACAGATAAGTTAGAGACCGAGGATGGCTCGGTTGGTAAGGCATTGACCTGCCAACTCGAACTTGCCGGAGGTTGGGGTTCGATTCCCACGGGGAGTCTTGGGTGTAATTTGTGTTTGTTCGGACTTAATGACGAAGACTTGGACCGTCGGCTAGATAGAGGTCATCTTCACTGAATGTTGGGTATGAGTAGGGAAAATAGAGAGAGACTTTTTATACGAAATTCTTTGGACATATGAGGTCACTTTAGTGATAATCATTCCCTTAATTACTGGTCTCACAACAATGTTCACTGGTTGCGCGGGGTCCAATATCAAGGCCATTGGACTCTGTATGGTGTGCCATCCTGGGTCCCTATTTCTTTGATCAACCACTACTAAATGGTAAGGTGCTCGTGATTTTCTCGTAAACCAATAGCCTCTTTTACTAGAAGATGTGCCGCTAAAATTACGGCAAAATATGTTTTGCAGCTAGATGGTTGCCCCTCACATTTTTTAATAAATGTGCGAGAAGATTTAGATCAAAAATATCACCAGACGTGGATTGGACGAGGAAGTCTATTTCCTTGACCACGCCGTTCCTCAGACGTCACTTGTTTGGACTCTATTGGTGGGTTCGGTTAAAAGATATTGTTTAGCAAATTCCAACAAAAACGGTAGACGACATGAAAATACGAATTCAAGAGGCCATTCGCAGCATTTCAGGACCAGAAATTGAAGCTACTGTAATTTCCATGCCTGAGCGGCTTCATCAAGGCATTGAATGTGATGGAACATTTTAGGAAGCATTAGTTTTGGTTAGTTTAGTTTAGTTAGTTTTGGTTTAGGTATCATTTTACAACATTTTTATTGCTTTTACACGTTTATGGAATTTTGCATTTTTTTGTCATTATATCAAAGAACGCGTTCTAGCGGGAACACTAAGAACTCGATATATTATATGTAAGACGCGTTTGATAGAACAATGAAAGTATTTTTAACGGGACCAAGTTTGTTAAAAGATGTTCAGTCGTACAGGAGTTATAGGTGTTTATTAAAAAAAAACATTGAATCACCCCCACCCTTTTATTTGAATAGATACGTCAAAAAGTAACAAACTGGTAAAGGGTAAAAAGAACTGTGCTTGTTAACACATGCTTGCTATACAGAACTCGAGTGCTTTCAAAATGGCTAGTGTGAAAAAAACTTTTCATTATTTCTAGAATCTATTTAGATAAATACTCGCTTTTTATCAAAAACGATTCGCCTTTGACTTACAGTACTATGTTGCTGCCATAAGTGTTATCCCTAATAAACAATTATATTTGTGTAATCGTTGCTGGTTGATTTTGGATTATGAAAAAGGTAAGTGCTTGTACAGTTCATAAAAAAAATATGTTGGAAATATTGTTAATTGATGCAAACCGATGCAGGAACTGTTATATCCGCAAGCGACCGACCAGTCAAGCATACGGCTTTATGCGTCCGTTGCTATTTTCATAAAAAGATATCACCCTAATTTAACCGAATCCCCGACGTTATATTAACAATATAGAGTACTTCAATTAGATGTTCATGGACGGTTGATGTGTCGTAAATGTACATTAACAACTCAATGAAAACGGCAATCCGGACATAAATTTTATAGATAATAACGAAAGGTAGTTAAGTTTTCCCAGTATATTTCAACAACAATTCCGCGTATATGGGCGACGACAGCAAAACTTTACGATTGCTCTTTCGTATAAAACTTATGGAGCGACCTAATTTCGACTATCATGCGGCGCGGACGAAAAATACGAAACGAGGCATTACATTGAAATTTACGCCTAGTGTATGTGAAATAAATAACTATGGTAACTATTTCATTAATTTTTTAGCAAACAATCAACAAACATTTTAAATTTCGTTTTTGCTACAATGGCATTATAGGCCGAATGAATATTGAACCAATTTCAAGCTTTTTTTATCAATACGAGGGTAACTTGAAAAGTTTCTGATTCAACAATATTACAAAATATTTTTTTACTATATTTTTTATTTTTCTACATAGCCTCCTTGTTACACTATACACTTCTCCCAGCGATTCTCTCATCTCTCGAACCTGTCAAAATGGTACACAGTGTTTTTTACATATGACGAAATTTTTTGTCTTCCGAGCACAGTTTTCATATGAGGCAACAAAAAGAAGTCGCTTGGAGCTAGATCTATTGAGTAAGCCGGATGATCAATCAGTTCAAGCTGTAATTCGTGCTTTTTCGCCATAGTAACCCCCGACGCATGAGACGGCATGTTGTTTTGGTGAAACAGGATTTTTTTTTGCAAATGTGGTCGTTTTTCCAAAATTTCTGTTCTCAGCTTGTCACGTAATGATGCGTAGTATGCTCCTATAATTTAATAATAATTTCTCCTTATCACTTTCCTAGACTTTTTCGGAGTCACTTCCCCCTTCGCAGTCCACTGTTTTGACTGTATTTTTGATAAGGCCGAATAATGGTGTATCCAAGTTTCACCTACAGTAATTAATCGACGCCAACACTCGGATTTATTGCGCCCAAACTACGCTCACACAGCGTTGGAACGTTCATTCGAACAAGTATTTGGTTTAACGTGAGTAAATCCGACACCCAAGGCGCGGACATCTTTTTCATGCTTAAATCTTGATTTAAAATGTGACAAACCCGTTGTTCGGATATTTTCATACCCTCTGCTGTGTTTCTCACTTTAATTCGACTATTTGATGAACTTTAGCAATAATAACAGTTTTTGGACGTCAGCTGCAAAAAATTTCACTGTCGTAAATGACGGTGTAGAGTTCCCATACACTCCAACTCAACTTTAATCTGAATAGTCGTATTGCCTTTCGAAAACAAACATTTTATAAGAGCTTTGAAAAAAAAGAAATGAGTATTCTTTCCATTGTGACGAAAATAATCACATCGACTGACTCGAACGACTATCAACTAAAAACTCCGGGTCAATAGCTTTTAGTAACTGGTGCCGCCATCTTCAGGGTGAGGTTGGAAAGTTTTCAAGTGTCCCTCGTAGAATGTGTGAACGAAATAATGTGAATTTTTTAGATATGCCATTGCTTCCAGCTATGAAAATTTAAATAATTTAATAGAAAATATTAGTGTATTAGTGTAAAAATCACAAAATCAATAATTAAAATTACTAGTACTAAGAAAAATCTTACCAGGACACCGATTGGCCCATTATTGGAATTTTTCTTTTGGAAGTGCACATTCGTATAATTTTATATTAAATAAAACACAAATAAAGAGCTTTAAAAAAGCCTAAATAAGTTAGTATTAACGATGTTGCCCCACATGTTGAAAATCTTACGTCAATACTACCACTCTTTAATGCTTTAATGGTGTAAAACGATGTTCTGAATCCAGAGGCAGCTTTGGGTTGACCCTAATCTTCTTTTCAAAACGAATGGGCGATTTTTTGTCCTATATATATTAAATAATCCAAGTTTCATATTTGCTGGGATTCAACTTTCAACAAACTGTATCCCGTATACAGAAATAGCCATCAGATATAAATTGTTATCGAAACAAAAATAAACAAAATATTTCCGACTTTATTAGGGCAGCCCATCTTTCAGGTATCACAGAATATAAAACATATTGCTCTAATAGTTCAAAGAAGTCACTAAATGTTTCACGCCACTTGATAACGAAGTTATGCAAATTCGAAATATATCAATCGGTATTTCCGAGATACGTCACTTACCCCCATAATCTGTGATAATGTCACGCCAGTCTTCTTCAAGTTTGTACAAAGCGTCGACCGATTCGCATTGCCCTTGAGGATAATTTACGTTCTGCGGTATCCCTTGTTTGCTATATCTGTCCAACTGGTCTATTACAACTTCGTACTTGGTGTCCTGCGAGATAATCATTTATTAATTTGCTGTAAATCACGCCCCAGTAGTTTTGTTTGTTTATGTGCCTCGGGGGGATACGCAAATAACTCACTGCGTAGCGATAAACTTGTTAATAGTTTCGACGTGACTTACGTGCTGCGCCTTAAAACGGTGATTCTAATATCGGAAATTAATGCAAAATGGTATTTGACAAGTGTGTACAGAGATACCTGGCGATTCACAACACTCTAGTAAACACATAGTTAACTTGAAACTAGCTTACAGTTGTTAAAGAAACGTTGTCTAAGTCAAATCAAACATTCGAAGTAGTTTTCATTTTTAACAGTATATAAAAAGGGTGCCCAGTTTTATTTGAGCATAGATCCGGAGTGTCAAAAATGACGTGTTACGATGTTAAACTTCTGATTGCACCTTGCACCTTAAATACTTGCCATGGCAAGTGGAGTGATAAATCTATGTCGTGTTTTCTGTTATTATGTTTAATAATTTCGATACACTTCCGATTTTTTTTAGATATAAGAAAATGTTAAACACAATTATTTTAACCCAATCGGCGTTTTTGTCTGGTTGATATTTTTAGACCATTTTCCGATATGTTTTTTATCACAGCTAGAAGGTATAGTGTATTTATTCTCTTGAGAGGAATTGTACCTTTAATCGATCGTGGATATTGGGAAATTTTAGAACAAATAGAGAATCTAATTTGACTGTTATGTTTTTTTTCAGAAACTTTGATATTTGATCGGTGACATTTTGAACATATAGTAGTACTACAGTGCCTAATTGAGGGTCTAACTGCGGAGTTACTTGGTATAAGTGCTTCTAACGAGGTGTTCTTTTTTGCTGAACGCAAAGGACATTATACCGCCGACTCCATGGCCAGGATAGCTGCCGGCTGCTTTATAGGAACTCAACCTTCTGTCGATCTGGCGAAGTCAGTCATGAAAAGAGTTGGAAAAAGGAAAATTTCCGGAAAAAATTTCCAAAGCAATGGGATGAAAAATAAAACTGCTGCCTAGCTAGGAACCTATTGAACTATCCAAACGAAACAGCAGCCATACAGTACTTGACTATGTCCAGGAAAATGATGGTCGCAGGTATTTTAACAATTAGCAATTCAGATTGGACACCCCCAAGTGTAGGATGCACGAACAGAAAGATCAGTCTGTGCGAATCTCCTAATCTCTGACTTGGCGAATCATATCCGTTCCCTATAGCAATCAGTATTAATTTCATTACAACTGAAGATTTAAAACCATATGCATATTATTATTCATTATGCAAATACGATTAATATTTTATTTCACGTATTTTATTGGTATCGGTAGACTACTTATTTAATATATATAAATATTTTTGTAACTTCAGATTCTCTGTCCAGGAAAACAAAACATTTGTCAAGTATGTTGATACGGTTGGGCATTTGCTCGGTGAACTCGTCCTTTATTTTTAATGAATTATTTATTTCGTTGGTCACCGTTATCCAGTGTTCGATATATCACTACTATTGAGCACGTTGTTCATGCCTAGACCAGTTATTTTAGCAAAACAAACGCCTAGCAGCCCATTTAGCTCGGATAGAAGATAAATCCGGCCAAGACAAATATCAAGGCGGAGAATAATAAAGTCCACGTTTCCAAGGGTCACGCTCTCCCATTATTTGTTTCTCTAAACAAGAATTATATGACCGCACTCCGGCCAAACTTAATACCGCCGGAGATTCTTTTAACTTAATTAACAGGAGCACGAAAGAATTGTATGACAACCGCAAAGCACAGACTACAGTTAATTAATTAATATGCTGTGATCGTAACCTTTAAAGGTCATAAATGGTCAATGGTATACAGGGTACCTCATCAGAATGCGATTGCCTTAAATACAAAAAAAAATCACACAAAAACTTATCAAAAAAATTTTTTTTTAGCAAATGTAGTTAAACAATGTATGAAGAAATGTTTTATTTCAAATAGTGATACCAAGACATACGTAAGTCTATGCACTAAGTAGTTTACATATGTGAATCTTATACTAGAGCTACAATTATTATGACAATTAGTCAGATTATTTTTGAAAAGAGTCACTAAAACCTAACCTAGCCAATGCATGGAGAGTCATTACATCTAAACTTTTAAGTATAAATCAGCAACTCTATAAATAATTGTTCTTATTACTCATTAAGTTCTAAGTGACTCCTGCTTCATAAACTTGGCAATAACTCGAATAACTTAGCAATAGAAATGATTTTTTTTTGTGAAGATGTTTATATGATAAACCAAACAAGATATAGAACGTAGCTCCAAGGAGAAGTTTTAGTAGCTCTAAGGTTAGTTGGCAATAAAAAAAAAAGACAAGAATCATCTGTAAGTCAGCGGTGAAATTTCGTTATCCCGAGAGACGGGGGATGAAGAATTTAGGTGTGTCTACTACTATCCTCTATGACATCATTTTCTCCTTAACTCATTTCAACACATTTCAGTCTGTTCTTTTTTTTTTATTTACAATTTATTTGTTATTTTCGATAGTTACTTGGATATTTTATTTATTTTTTTGCGAATAATGGGATTTCTGACAGGTAAATCGCCTATCTGCATTATTTTTTTTATCGAATTTGAAGCACCAATTCGAAAATTCTTGGTTAAGTTTAATTAAAAAATATCCCGTATGATGCTGCATGTACAAACACATTTCCGCTGGTTGATTGCAAAACACAAAATCCCCGCCCGCAGAAGTTGATTTAAAAAACAAAAAGTGAAAAAGTCCCAACAAAAATTATTAAATATTCGTCGAATATTGGAATATTGGGTGAATACGAGGCACTTTCTTGTCTTGTCCCTCCGAATATGAATCCCAGCACGTTCCGGAATTGAACTTTTGATATTTTCGTAAATTACGTGAGAATCGATCGCTGTTTATTCATTTTTAATTTCACGGAGACTTGGCAATGAGGCAATTTTCACATTAGTATTAAAATTTAAATTCTTTCCAGTGCAACCGTATGAAAAAACTCATACATTTAAGTCAGCGAGAGCCGCTCCCGCTTTGTAAGATTAACGAGCGAGATGAATTAACGACGGGTGATAAAATTGTTTTATATAAGGCGCTTACCACAAAACTGGGGGATGCTCATTAAAATAACGCGGAAGGACCGGTCGGAGGGATCATGAAGAAATAACATTTTTTTCCTTATAGAAACGTGCTCACCCGTTTTATTCCGAACTGGAATGCTTTCCCTAATACGCCCAATACCCGTTTTGTGAGTCAACTTTTATTTAAAGGAAGGCAGATAGCAATAGCGATTATTTTCCTTTTCATACACGTTAAAGCAAATAGAAGCAAAGCGTAATGGAGATTGTTTTATATTATTTCTCAATTTTTCTACCTATTTGGGTTTTTAATGGTAAATCTTGTGCTCCCATGAACTGAATGGGTAGCTTTATTTTGACTATTTTTGACGGTAACAATCTGATGTTAATTAATAATGTAAATTTGTAACTATATTTACCTAAAAAATTATTCCCTTTTTCAAAATATGGGTTTTAAGTACTTGGGGAAATAAATGCTTCGAAACAAAATACATACTGCTATTTTCTAACAAAATTATTTTTTAAAACATTAGGAAAAGCTTAAACATTTTGAGTGTCAAAGTATATCAATATCTATGCGTTTTATTTCAATTTTTTAGAAGTTACGTTATTATGAGGTTTATTTTTTAAATATTAATAAACGTGTACACCGTGTGCCAAATAAAACTATAGGATCTGGAAACCCATAGGAGATACGAGAAAAACTTTCGTAAAAAAGCTTCTTGTACTCTTCTGAAGATTTAAATTATTGTGATTTTATTGACACAGAGTGTCCCCCCAACGAGATCATCTTTCTTATTTTAAATGGAACACCCTATATATTTTAACATTTTTATAATCCTTGGTTAAAATAAAGGTCACGTTTTTAAAAAATTCCTATTCGAATTTTGCATAGTTTAGACAGAAATTGAAATTATGTTTTTTTTTCATATTTTGATTGACGCATATAAAATTGTGTCGTGATGACAGACTAAGAAGATGATGCACTAGTCAATCAGTTTGACATATGGGTTCAACTTAGACATACAGGGTGTCCCAAATAGGTGGTGCCATTTTGGCGAATTTAATTGACAACATCTCAATGTTTTAAAACCGAACACCCTATATTTTTATTCAGATATCAATTCTAGGACAAAAAACAAGCAACGTTCGTAATTTACCTTATATTTAAATTTTTCTTATTTTTTGATATATTCGAGGTTTAAGATTAAATTATAAATTCTAAATTCTGTCCCACATTAGTTCACTTGCTGGCAATATTATATATTTTTTAATAGCGAAAACACGACACTACTTCTTTTAAAGATATAATACTCCAGAATTCAACAACACGAATTTATACGGGTGTTAGCTTAAAGCTCGAATATCTCAAAAAGTATGAAAAATTTAAATATAAGATCAATTACAAACTTAGGTTACTTTTTATCTTCGAATTGAAATCTTAATAAAAATATAGGGTGTTCTATTTGAAAATCTCAAGATTTTCCAACCAAACCAAAACGGCACCACCTATTTGGGATACCCTGTATACGCCGAGGCGCTTCTGTCAAACTGATCGAGTAGTGCCTCATCTTTTTAGTCTGTGGTCAAATTTTCATTGCAATACCTGGATCAGTGAAATCACAACACAATTTTATATGAAAAAAAAAGGACACATATCCTCAATTTCTGCCTAAAATATGCAAAATTCGAATAGGAATTTCTTAAGAAAGTGACCTTTATTTTAACGAAGATTCAAAAAATTTCGACATATACAGGGTGTTCGGTTTAAAATAACAAAGTTGATGTCAGGGACACTTTTGGGATACCCTGTATCAACAAAATTATAATATTTTAAATCTTAAGGAACTTTTGTAAGAAACATTTTTTCGTACCTCATATGGGTTTCTAGATCATTCATTGGATCGTTTTATTTGGCACACGGTGTACATCGCATTTCCCATTTATATGAAGCAACAAGCGAAAAACAAGAATCATTATGATTAATATCCCTTATATCAAATTTTGCGTCACTTTTCTATAATGCTGTTACCATTGACGGATCAACATTTGGAAAAAAATTGAACGTATTACCGAAATGTTATTCAATGTTATTGATAATTGTTTAATGTTTAGGATAATAAGTTGCGTCCCTCTTAGAGAGAGAACCTACCGTGAAGATAAATTATTGGATTGGTAAGATTGCCCAATATATGTCTCTAACCTAATTAATTAACTAGAGATAGATAAAAACGTTACCTTCCATACTTATATCTGTCCAAAAATTAAAATTGAAAATTATTGTCAGATTTTAAAAAAAGATATCAAAAATCTATTTTTTTTTCGTTACTCTTTAAAACAAGTAGGTAATTAGTACACAATTATAAGATACCGGTTTCTATTAAGAGGTAGTTCACAGAACGTAGAAATTGAATACTGAAACTGGGAGATAGATATAGTCCAAATAAACAATCTCAACAACAAAGTTTTAATTATGAAACCGGCAGCTTGTGAACTGGTCGTCTCAGTTCCAAATGAGATTTGCCGACGAATCCGTTCATCGTCTGATTAACTTTCGTTAACGTTCGTTGTGCGAAAACAAAAATTCATTAGTAAAATTGAAAGCTGTAAGTAATCGTTCGCTACTCGACGGCTTCTTAATAACATCTTAATTCAATATTAATGCCTATCTTAGGTCCAAATGGAGTCACTAAATTGCGATTTCGACAAAATTCTTTTGTCTGAGAGTTAACTGATGACAAAATAATAACGATTATGAATAAAATGTTACGTAGTTGCTTCTCGAGATGGAAAAAAAACTTTTTTAGTATTTTTTGCTACGTAATTGGAGTGGTGATATTGCAGGTGGAGATCGGAGAATTATTAATCTGAAATACAATGTGCAGTCAAATGAGAAGAACTCCTCTTCGATCATCGAGAACTTGAAGTTTATCCATTGTAATGATTACAGGGAAGTGAGTGTTTACCACAAATCTGCAGCAGAATTGGCATGACAAGAGGCGTAACTGCAAAGTTCGTTTGAAAAATGCAAGGTGCGTTCAAAAAGTAAGGTGACTTTTAAGTTTTATCAATCGTATTTATTTATTCATCAAAATTAATGTGGTCCCATTTAAAGTATTCCCTCGCCCCCACTTCTGGAAGGCACTTTTTCCTTTATCTCTTCAATCGTTCCAAATCTCCTTCGTTTCATGGGTTCCTTGAGTTTTTGGAACAGAAAAAAGTCGCAGGGGGTCATATTCGGTGAATATGGTGGCTGAGCCATGATTGTGGTTTTGTTCTAGGCTAAAAAGTTTGAGTAATGATGAGTGAGCAGGTGCATTTCGTGATGCAAAATCTATGAAGGGTTTTCAAACAATTCCGGACGTTTTCTACAAACAGCGTATAACTTTTATTGTCCATACGACCTTGTGGTCTTGATGTACTACGCCACGATAATCAATGAAAACAGTAAGCAGAACCTTGACATTTGATCGAACTTGACGTGTTTTTTTCAGTATTCGCGATTCTGGGTTCTTTCATTGAGGCGACTGAGCTTTAATTTCGACATCATAACCATGATCTGTCACCAATTATGACTTTTTTGAGCATATCAGGATCATCATTGACATCGTTTAATAGCTCTTGCACGATGCTCCTTCGACGGTCCCTTCCTTCAAATTCAACGCATTCATTAGTTATTGATGTGCTGGGACGTCCAGAGCGAGGTTCATCATCGGCCATCTTGGAACAGCTTGTACCACTTATAAACATCTTTTTTCAAGTGTTTTGCAGCACTATATTCCATTTTTAACACCAAATTTTATGCAAATTGTTTATTCCATTTATTTCTAAAGCAGAAAATCGCCGAGCACACAAAACACGTCTAACGCTTCTGCCTCACAATAAAAAAGTAAACATGCGAACTGTCCGCCCAATTACAAAAGTAACCTTATTTTTTGAACACATCACTTATAGCAATGAATAGGAAAACGAAAACTTACTTGTAGAGTGTTTCATATGGCATGTCGTAGAAACCTGCACAGTGAAAAGAAAAAAATCGCAAATAAGAGATTCACTTCTATATAAAACTTGGGATGGACAAAAAAAATTAACATAAATAGTCATAAACGGGCACACTGCATACGTTAAGAAACAATTTACCAATGCGTAGACATTTTAATCATAAAAGCGCACACAACATTTTTAGAACAAAGCCAGGAAAATGATGTATTCAAAACATCTATTGACTCTATTGTGTATAGATTTATAACAAAAACCTTATCATGTTACCTCATTAACTTGCATATTCACGTATCCCCCGAGCCTAATAAAAACAAAGAGCGAAGTGGCTTCGACCATAAACATACCTTACTGTTTCCAAAAAATGCCGTTAGGCGTTGTTTTATCTGCCTTTTGCTTTGATCACCTTCGTGGAGAGATAGTGTTGAGCTTACTGTATTCTGCTCTTCTGTGCTTGAATTGAAAAAACTGCTGGTACGCGGACGATAACTCTGAAAGTGCACGGAAAATTTAACATTTTAAACTATTGTTTATACATGTAAGCTGATTAAGCTGATTATAATCTTTAATTAATGAATCATGTGCTCTTGGACAACCAATAAACCTTGTACCAATGTATCTTTTCTGTATTTCTGGTATTTGAAATGCTTATTTTGAATTAACATTAAAGTTAATGCGTTAGAGGGAGATTGTGTATAGATTAAAGTATTGATTTTAACCACTGCATAGTTAAATAATCATAAATGACTTTTCATATTTCGAGTAGATTTATTAGCAACCACACTAAGGATAATTTACAGTCTCCTCAATAAATTACTAAACTAATATGGCTAACTCTAATGGAATCTACTTACAGCCGATTGCTTTCGGGAATGATTGCTGCTTAGCGATCCAGAATACTTTTTATTGCTTGAGTCTTTGGCTGAAAAAAAAAGGCGTTTAACGTTTTTTTTTTTACATTTAACATATAAAATTGATGGAAAATAGTGTGACATGATTATTATTATTATTATTATTATTATAATTCATTAAATATTTGAATTATTCTTTAGTTCTTGTAGAAATTATAGTCTGCCGGTACGGTTTTGGATAGTACAAACGGTAGCGTAGTAATTTCTTTGCTTGGGGTCACCAGAACCACCCTAACGCCCTCTTCAAGCGAAGTGAGTGGAAGAGAGTTAAGAAAATAAATATATAGGTAGTGTAGCGAGATTAAAAAAAATCCCTAATAAATTCAAGAATACAGTTTCTGATAATTGCTATAACAACAAAAAAAAACACTTCGAGGTCGGTAGAAAAATGTGAATTTTAAAATTCACAGTGTACAGAATTTCCAATTTTTTTTTGAGGGGTCTTTGTGGAATGAAACACAGCATAAACAGAATTTCCAGAGTTTTTTTAGTTTTTAAGATAGAGGACCTTTAAAGAGTTTACATTTTAAGGTACCGTGCGTTCAATTTTATCTTGATAACATTTTAATTGGCTGTAACTTTTTTGTTTTTAGAGATAAACAAAAAATAACGAAATGTAGAATTAGTAGCCAAGTTTATTTCAAAGTGACGTATAAAACAAAACACTATCAATTTTCTGTATGTTATATATGTGTTTAATAGAATATCTTATTGCGATTACAATTACTCACTGCAACAACGATAATTATTTACAAATTAAAGTAGAACAAAAACACTAAAAATGACAAGTGACACTAAAGTGAAAAATTCTTTAAGCATTCCAAATACTGCTATATATGACCACCATTTTCCTGAACACATTTCTCATACACTCTAATTGTATGATGTCTTGCATTTAGTAACGTTTCCGGATTGTCTCTTAACTAATTGATTGCCTCGGAAATGCTTTGTCGACGTTCCACGACATTATTACAATGAGTTCTGTGAAAGCGTTTTTTTATGTGTCTCCAAAAAAAAAAAAAATCGGAATAAGATATTCTATTAAACACATATATAACATACAGGATGTTCGATTTAAAAAATATGTCGGCTTATATGTCAGAAAATTGATATGGTTTTGTTTTATACGTCATTTGGAAAAAAACTTGGCTACTGACCCTACATTTTGTTTTTTGTTTACCTTGATATCTCTAAAAACAAAAAAGATGAATTGAACGCACGGTATTCTCTGTATCTTACTTGTTTGATAACCTATGCCTCCCCCTCTCATAATTAGTAAATGATATCAAGTTAGAAAGTTATTGGTCCTTTTTTTTATTGATCATGAAGTGAGCTAAACATTATATTTTTAACGAGATTTAAAACGGGCAAATTTTAAGAATCGGCCAATTTCGGTTGTCGGGTACTTTTCAATTTAAATTCGTTATAGTAAACATTTTTTCTTTACTCAATCTTACGAATCAAGAATGGCATTATATTCTGGTAGAAAGCATATAGAGATATAATGCACTGAAACAATAATAACTAAAAAGAAAAACAAAATATGATTTGGATTTTTCAAGTTTCCAAAAAAAATTTTTTTCAATGAAAATTGAGATTCATATTTACTTGCTTGTTTTACCTGAAATAAACCGTATACAATTTTTTATTTAGATTCTTATTTACTAAGCAAACAAAAAAAGAGACCAGGTAATCCTAAATACTCGCAGTCAGCCAGTTTTCCGGTTTAAGGCCAGTCATTAAAGAAACTCAAATTTAAAAAGTTTCCGAATGTAATTGGAGTGTTTAATTTGATGGCAGACTTAAAATTAAAATAGATACGCCGACGGCCACAAAGCAAATTAAGTTTTCTAATTGAACGGTGGTTTGCTATCGAATCCCCGTACCCCAGCCGATACGTTAATACGAAAGATGGGATTTAGTTTTATAAACGGGGAATCTAGCAATTTCGCGGAAAATTGGATATTAATTTCCAAAGTGACTTTAAATTTACCGTCAATTTATACCAGACCGACGTAGTAACTACGAAAACGTTGATAAAAATTTGATAGAAAAGTTACCTGTAATTCTAACGTGTCTGCCGACTAAACTGGCCGTGTCCTGTGTAAACAGGATATATGATTCGGAATTATTCTCCTTATCCTGAAGTCTAGCGTCGCACGTCGATAAGTCGATGCTTCGAAGTTCGCACAACTTCGAAAGGGAATCGCTAAAACAAAAATTATTTTCTTAACCCAAGTTTATCTGAACGGTGAGTTGGGTACGAAAAACTTTCGCGCAGAAGTCAACGGAAGTCAACTACTTCTCTTATCATTATAAAAAGCGTGTTAGCTTATTAAAATATTTAAAATTAATTATGTTTATACTAACCTAAAACGAATGCTTATAGAAAAAATATGCTATGCAACGCGTTGATACACTTTCTCAATAACTCGCTTAGTGTAAAGTCCTGACTAAAGTGGCATTTATTAAACATGTACACTCAGAAAAAAAATACGCTTTAGAATGAACACCTTGTAATAAATCAACCCTTTTTTAGGCAAATAGGTATGATTGAAAAAAATGTGTGTTTTATTTTAAGTAAGACTAACATCCGTAATTCAAGATCGGGGCAAATTTCATTCCTATAAAAATATTATATTTTATAAGAAAAATAGGATTTTCTAGTTAAAGGATAGCGCTAACAGAAAAAAAGGACTTTTTAATTTAATTGTTATTTTAAACACGTTGAAAATAATATTTTCTAATGCTAATTTAATTATCTGTTAGTTAAAATTTAAATGGTATCCTTTTCAATCCAAATGTATTATTTATTTTAATAAGAGTAATTAATAAAATTTATCATGCACACGTTAGTTTCAAGAAGATATTATAGAACCATATAGGGTCTTAGTAATTTATTAAAAAACACCAATGAAGCAGAGTCAGCGTTTTTTTTTTAATTTACAACATTTTTTGTTGTGTAGTTCCATATAGCAGTGCATAAAATTGGTGCGTATAGCCAGCAATTTAATTATTTTTAAATGGATTAAAACTCTTGCACAAAAGCTTTCTAAATAAATTTCTTCCATAAAATAGTGAAAATCGCGACTAATATCAGCTTACTTTATTTTTTATTCTTGGCGAATTTTAAAAGCCCGTGTACTCCAACGCAGAACTGCTCTATAGAGAAGTAATATACATAGCGATATGACCTTCGCCACCTACATTCAAAATGTCAGTTTTCCGCGGCAATTAACATTTAATTAGAGTTTCGTTTTGGAGAAGAAATACGAAAATTAATTAATTTCTATCTAGTTATTACACGAACAAATAAGAAAGCAATAACGGAAGAAAAAAAAACGCTTCATTTAAAACAAGTTAAGTGATGTTACTTTTCTGAAGAAGCGACTGCGTTGTAATCGATAAAAAGTCACCACTTAAGTATACTACCAAATTTTTACAACTATACTTGAGTAAGGCAATTAGGTCGTTCAAAACTCTCTCTCTGTCTCCGTTAAAATATGGATTAATATTTCGCATGTCGAGAAAATAATTTTGCTTCATCGGGTAAAATTTTTAGGATAATAGAACATAAATTAGCACTGCAATCCTTCTAGAAATCGGGATATATCCATCACCAAACATACGTTTCTACGAATGCGTAATATATTCAATAAAAATCAATTATTGCGTCGAGTCAAGTCAAATGGAGATTGAGAAAGGAAATGGTGCTCGGATTATTCGTAATATGACATTTGCGTAAAGAAGAAATGATTTTTTATTTACGCTATTTACATCTCGTATAGGCTAAACCCTAAGGAAAATTCTCCACTATTCAATATAGTGAAATTGTAAAAATTTTCATACGAATTTTGGTTTATTAGATCGTGTTATTGTGAAATTCGTCCCTATTAAACTGTTTTTTTTTTATTCATATGACGCGTTTCAAGCCGTTTTCATTTAGTATCAAAATTAAATTCATAATCTAACCAACTAAAAGAATCATTGAAAATTGATGTAAATTAATAAATATTAAATTTTAATTTAAATTTGCAGCAAGACCTGCAATTCTAGAATATTAATTGTGCTGTGTCTAGTGGCCATATTCTGGGTTAAACGTTCCTCAGTATTAATGACAAACTAAGGTCATCACTACAACGTCATTTTGCAAGCTATATCTAGCATCTATGATTGGAAAATATTGTTCAGGAAGCATTAGTTTGGCCTAGAATTTATTCTTATATATCGAATAGGGTTCTAAACTTCTCTATAAAAATATGACAGCTTTATTTCTACACTTTAAACGAGCAAAATATTAGGCATAGGTGCATTTCTGAAAAAGAAAGACGGAATAAAAATATCTCATATTCAGCGGGCAACCTGTGGATGGGAATTTAAACGATGCGTTCCTTGAGCATACTTTATCGGTTTTAAGCAGAATTTTCCACCGAAAGCAGTTATGATTTAAACGTTTGGCTTAAGGTAATATCGGGTCGGTTAGACGGCTATTTATATCGCATCTAGTTCCGGATATTGCGCAAATCCCCTTTAGAACCTCTCGACTTTCGGAGTGTTTTCGACGTCGTTTTCTTTTATTCTGAGGTTGGCTTCCTCATAAAAGTAAGATGAAATTTTATCACAAATATAATAAACCAATTTTGTGCAATAAGAAAGTTCCTATTCTGAGAATTGAAAAACTACTTGATAACTGTTAAATATTTAAGACCAGTCCCGTAAGCAAATAGTGTCTTATATTCCGTGATAATAGAGGCAGTGTGCTTTGAAACCTTTAAAAAGATTCTAATTACATATTTTATAAACGCCAGCTTCTTCTTGTTTATGGTATTCTGGTAACAATGCACACTAAATGTAACAATGGTTGCCTATAAAACAACATATAATACAAATAGTAACAGTAAAAAGTTATGACAATTCAGGATTAAGGTGGTATATTACGAAGAGCCACTGTGTGTCAGTCAAAGTGACCCCAATTTTGGTGTCAAACTTGGGGTATACAAAACCAGCGGCTTGTTAATTTCATTAGAGCGTTATTTAAAGCACAGAATACTTTAAATAAGAATACGGCAAATCGGTTTAAGTTTAAGTAAAAGTGTTTACAGCCGGTGTATTTACTATCGGCAGAATCTATAAGCAGCTTCAAGCTACATTTATGTCTTAGAAAAATGTATCCACATTCAAGATCGTAAAAATCACGAAATTATCAAATTGAAATGCAGGATTAAAATTTCATGGAAAAGTAAATTAAAACTCAATTTAATGAAGCACTTCAAGACTGATACAGAAAACATGAGTGTAAAAAATAATTATTAAAAAAAACTAACCATGTAGATAACAAAGCAGTAAGTATTGTTTTTATATGATTCTAAGAATTGTTGATTTTTATTGTAGCCAAAGTAAGATATTTCTGAGAAAAAGTAGAACAAAGAAAATGTCTTTAAGAAATTACTTTGCGAAAAAGAGGAAAGATGAAATAAAAATGAACCACAAAGTCAAAAGTTTTGTTGTTTATAAATAAAACAAGGAAAAAAAAATTAATTGAAACCTTGAATAACAATGATGACTTTTTAATCGTACAATTTTATGAAACCATGAATATACATTGAAGGATAACCAACGAAAAATTCGCGACAGGGATCTAATTTAATTCAATGCCTCTTTTAAGTGGATTTAAGCTGATCCCGAAAACAAACAAAAAATCCTTCCCGGGATTTTGGCGCGCGATGGCAAATTGCTGTGCGAAAAAGCAATTTACGATGCGCGAAATACCAGCCCTTAATATATTTATGTTTAAGTTCGGCATTTTGTATTTTTGTCCTGTGCAGGAAGCGTCTCTTTTATAAATTTAAAACAACATTTTTAATTAAGAATTTATGTTGCATAGTTGTTAAACAAACGAATACTTCCGCCGTTATACGATTATTACTGTGAACGAGGAGGAGGCTACCTAGTTTATGCTTTATTACTAAATTAAAAAATGGTAAGTCACTAACCTCATTAAGAAAATTAACCGAATTTTTATCATATCCACTTTAGGTTTCTAAGTGATAAAAATGGATTTAAAAATTTCAGTAACAACGGACTTATATTCAATGCAATTCGTGGCAGAAATTAAATCGACGGTTGGGCACTGACTATTTTCGAATGCTGCTGTCACCATTACATATGATTAAATTATGCAAATTTTTCAGTGAGATGTATTTTATTAATAAATATTATAATTAAAGAACAATAAAATTTTAGAGAATTCGTGGAGTTTAATTATTTATTTTACAAAACATTTTATCTGAAACGTTAAGTTATTAAAGTTATAAATATATGCTTCTTAAATGCTTAAAAAAGTTTTTGAAATTAAAATGCCCATACGCAAATAATACAATAATACAATAAATTAGATATTATGGACATATTTAAGTATTTTTTTCACAAAATTTGCACCGCAGCCCCAAATAGTTGATTTCGTCAAAATGACTTGAAAAAAACTCTAAACACTTTGAATAGGTTATAGTGAACTTAAAAATTAAATTAACTTCGTTGTGCCAAAACAATGAATTAATCACGAACACTGTGAATCAGTGTAACATATAATAATAATAATAACGCATATTTCAAATAAAAAATGAGGTAGCTAAGTGTTATCAAACATTTTCAAAATTTTAGGACACGCAACTTGCTACAATATGCCGGTCACACTGTCAAATATTTCCTAATTAATCGTACTTAATGTTTAAGTAATTTTTAATAAAACTGGCGACTTACTGTAGGGTGACACCCCTTTGTGCCGGAAAAAATAACTCATTGTCCCATGTGGATTCGTCGCCCACTTCAAAATTCACGCTGAAACATTCGCTGCTTGATTTCTGAAACAAATGAAACAACATGAGTTTTTAATTTTTATTTACAGTTTGCGGAATACTCGACTTCCGCCTTTCTTAAATTAAAAAATTTCCCTGTTGGATTGCATAGCTGCTTTGTTAGCCGTAGAATTTTTATCAAGATGTGAAACGATTTAAACTAACTTAAAACCAAACTTATAATTTACACGTCAATTAACAAAATTTGTTGCTGTTTAATTCAAATGTGGAACTATATTATTTGTTATTCCGCTTTCATTAGTCGGAAATTATTAGGATGCAGTATGAGGATTTTATAACGTCGGATGCTTTTAATTCAAAATGTTTCCTCTCATAATTCTTCAGCTTTTTTGTCATTTTAGAATACTTACAATACTTATAACCTTACCAAAAGAAGATAATTACTAATCCAGTCAACGTAAAATAGTCCGTTCCTCTCTTTATATGGCAAAAATAAAGCTGGAAAATGCCAGCTAGTTTAATGTCTAGTGCTCAGGTTTCAATACCTGTCAATAATTTTAATTAGTTAATTTAATATTATTTTGGCCGGTTTCATCAGCTTCTACATCCCGACGATAAAATGGAATAACACGAACGCAAAAAACGAACGGGCCAGATCCTTTTGTTCGCCGTAATCGCGTGGCGCTGAAAGACCAGGGAATGAAATTCATCATTCGTAACAGAAATAGAATAGTAGATTGATATGATGACTAATCGCATGCACTCCGGAGATTTCAACGTCAGCAAACGAGAACGAATAATGTCGGATTTCAATTTGCGATTGAAGTTTTTTAATATGCAAAACGAAACGGAACAAAGGCGGGACAATAAAACTGTCCTGTGCAGTGTTTAAATCAAATGTTGTCACCCTGGAAAACATCGAAAAATCTGACTTCATTTATCATTTCTAGGAATATGGTAGTAGTCCGATTAGGTAGTAAATTTACTAATTATTGTTAGTATTTCCAACAATGACTAATGATAGAAAAATAAATAAATCCTAGACTAAATTAACATTCTCTTAAGAACGTAATAATACAATGTTTTTTGAGGCGGTGAATCCGCGGTCTAAATTAAGCCACTAGCTGTTGAATAAAAATTTACTTTATTTTCTGGGGATTTAATTCTATATCGGATTGCCCCTTGGAAAAATGCCCAATTAAAATTACGTGGTGTTTAGAAATCTCTGAAATTTTTCTTAGGTCTTAAGATATTTTTTATATATTTATATTAAGAATTTTTCGAATTCTGCAGTTTATTTTTCTGGTTGCTGATATTGGGACCAAGAAGAAAACCGACCTTATTTATTTAAAGCATTTTTTGCGCATCCACCATCAATTTAAATATATAAAAGATTGCAGGATCCTATTCCGATTATAGATGAGCAAAAAACACGATTGACTTAGAAGAATTTTCGGAGAACTAGGAAGAAAAAACATTGAAAATTCCGGGGAAAGATATATAGTGAAGCGGATGTTTATTTCTCATAATAAAAAACTACAGATAACGGAATATATCGGCTGCTTTAATAATATATCAAATCCTAATCCTAATCGTAAGTTTTTGGAACTCGTTTTTTTTAAAGGCTGTGTGGCATCTGTATTATTCCATGAATTATCTTCAAAACGACTTCGCAAGAGAGATTCAATTTAACTTGATCTTGATACTTTATCTTCAACCCGAAATTAACAGTGTATTTTATTTCCTCGCCGTCCTAGTTAATGGTTCATTATGGTTCACATTTCATTTAAAATATCTGAATCGTTACTGACTTCATACGTGTAATTTAAAAATCTGCGTTTAGGATTTAAAAAAAAAATAAAATAAAAAAGTATCTTATTACAGTGGTTGGAGTTTTGCTTATTTCAGCTACCAAACCTTCCTCACGGATTAACCCCATATTACAGATAAGGATCATCACAATATGACTGATAAACACTGAAGAATCTTACGATGTTATAAATGTCGCGAAACTACGCGCCAAAGCACTTAAAGCAATGCTGCTAGGGGGAAGATAACACGTTAAAAATACCAAGTAGCGGAAAGTCTTAACAACAATATCAAAAGCAAATACGCCAAATAACATTGTCAAAACTTTGTCAGCGATAGTTCGGGTGAAACAACAAGAGTCCGAAAATGCTTCACGTTAAATATTCTCTGTGGAAAAGCATTTGCATGCCTATTCAGTCAATATTTGTGTTTAGTTACCATAAACTTGTGAATTAGATAACTTTTTGTGACATTTCTGGCCATTTGAGTTGCTTATTTCTCCTCTTTTCCTTTATATGTAATAAAATCGGCATAACAAGAATACGATCTGTTTATTATTTGGAAGGTGCTTTCGTATCAAGAGTTTGCTGACTACAGAGTAGTGCAAAGGTAAAGTCAAAAATTATTGAGCTGGAGAAAGTGGATACGCAATTATTATGAAATTTCGACAACGGAATGCGTTTCGGGATCCTCTCTCCTTGCAAAATTGCGCTCGCGTCTGCTTAATAGTTCGTAAGGAATTTCCCTTGAGACGTGCGGATGACATTGAAATTTACCTGTTTGTGTGTATATTTGAAGTAACCTGCGATGTGGTTTAACATTTTAAGCGTACAAAAACACAGTAAAATCAAGACAACATTTTTCATCTTTAAAATGTGCCGATTTTCATGTTATATAAATAGAAGGCCAAAAAGCAGCGGCATGACTTGCGAGATACAAAAGGACCCGCCTAATTAAAGGTTGTTGGAAAACATGTCGTCCAAAGGTTTCGTATTTCAAATAAAATTAGAAGCACTTGCCTTTGAAAGTAGGTTTACGGCAAAGGTGTCAGTCACTCTACACGTTGCGATTATTATCATTCCGCAAGGAAAATAAATCATTCCCATTTGGAGGGGAAATCTGAACAATCATTAATCTTTATACTCGATAAGGACCCATTGTCCGAGAAAACGTCTAAAATTTCGAGCTAACACGATTAGTTTTGATTAGTTATTTTTTCAAGGCTCATGATGGCAAAGTGCAGCTCAGCCCTTATCTATCTCTTTAATAATTCACTCCCAACGTAAATTTAGTAAATCAAAAATTTTAAAATGGACACTGGCTTTTTGTAATTTCAAATTTAAGCTCGCACAGTACGAAAAGTAGGTAAGCTATTTTTCTTAAGTATCTTAAGTAAGTTACGCTAATCATTCCTGCGAAAGGATGGTATAAAATAAATAAAAGTTTTAGGATATTAGGTAAGTCATGTACAAAAAAATATATACTACTAAAAAATCAAAGTGAGTACGTATACCAGTTTAAATTTTCATTGCATTTTCTAAACGGTAAATCGAACTTAAACCTCTGGTGAGGGTGAGTATATTACGAAAAACCTTTTTTTTGGACAAAATTTTTGATGAAAAATCAATGAATCCACTAGATGTCATGAAAATAGCATTTCAATTTCCAAGCTTTTAGGCCGCTTATGCAATTTGTTTTACAAAAGTTTCTGACATGCATAATTTTCATATACCTACGAAACTGTACGGACTAAAACTTCCTGACCGAAATACGGTATTATGTTTATATAACCGAGGATCTATATAAACAGAGCATGTGTGTGGACCGTAAACATTTGGACTTTGTGATGCGCATTAAAGGGAATTTTTCGGACGTTTGTATCTACCACATAACCTCTAACAGGAATTTCGTTATATCAACATTATTACAGTTTTCTTCAACAAATGATAACTAGAATGTGCACAAACATGAAAATGTACATAAATCCTTAATTAGTTGCAGGCAAATAGAAAAGAAGTTTAATGAGTTTAAGTAGTCCCTTGCCGCATGCGCCGAAACTCGGTTAGTTGGTTAGTTGTTCACGTCATTTTGTCACAACTTCACCAGGCCCGTAAATTCAACCAGAAACGTACCACAATTGCGTTTAAAATATACAGTTTCTCCCGATAACTACGCCACTGGTTACATTTTCCCGTGATTTTACCGAATTTATGTGCCATTAGAGTACCTTACAACTAATTTATTCTCGGTGGAACCTAAACTAATTACCAAGTGTTACACCCAAACACAACGCATCAAGTTGTTAATGAACACTCCCATAAAATTCGGGCTAAAGAAACTTTCCCAATTTCCTTTCATATCGGAGCTTGGTTGTAATACTGTGATAAATTTATTACCAAATTATTTTTAGTTTTAGTTGGCATATTCGTTCGCTTAAGAACTATATGAATGCGAAATATTTGTTCTTGATGCCAAAATCCACTTTAGGGATAGGATACAGCGTAAGCTGCAGTTAAAGGCAACCCGCTCAGTCGTGAATTGCGAACATTAAGCTTTGAACTGTGATTAAACACATCCTCTGTTCGCGAAATATTTACGCACCATCTGCTTAGGATACGATTTATCAAGTGTCAGGGCAGGCTAATTACACGTGCAAGTATTGACTGACGTTTCATTTCGTGCGTTTGACTGCTTTGGGGTCAACCTCTGGTGTCGACAAGTTGCGTAAAACATTTTTTTCTACTCGCTACTTTAAAATACCCAATTATGTTCGCGAGTCACTTCGAACATTTGGTACTATAGTACAGCTTTGGTAGCGATGGTTTTCGGTCTATTATAGTCATTGATGACCTACCAATAAATAGTTGCGTTAAATATTTAGAAAAGGCTTGTACGAAATTCCTTACGGCACGCTATGAAGCTAATGGTAGTTGTCTTCATCATCTTGTTCTGTAAATTTTGTCAAACAAGTCAAAAATTGTCATTTACTTAAAGCAAAATTAGCTTTGTGTAAGCTAAGTTTACAGAAACTTTTATTTCATTAATTATTAGTTAAATAAATAGTATAGAAAAATTTTGCTGCTCTGTAAGATGGAAAGGTAATAAAATTGAAAAGCTGCGTCATAATTTTTTTCATAGTAAAACAAAGAAAAATGGAACCCTGAAGTAATAATATCTGGATGCAGTGAGGAAAAGTGAAGTAATTATGGAGGTTTCTCCCTAAATATGTCTTATAT